TCACTCTTAAGTATAAGGTACAAAAGTGGGAGTTGAACCCAGGTTGTCTGCCTCTACAGCGAGTATCTTTTCCAGCAGGTTTTCCTTCTCTAATGACTACAAATAGCCTAACAGTTGCTGATCTGCATTCGAAGAAGGGTGATGTGACCTTGGGTAAGTCATTTCATCTTCTCTGGGTCTCTGATTTCTTATCTACAAAATGAGGGGGTTTGGACTAAATGGACTGGTGCAGGGGCCACTTCCAGTTCTAAATCTATGATCTGTGATAAGGCATTTTTTCCTTACTGAGAGTTACACAGATCAGTGAAATCACATGACCATCAAAACCAACAAAAACTGAAACCAAACAAAAAGAAGAAAAAAAACTAGTAAGTTTCTCATAAAACTTGATGAACTGCCAGACTGACAGAGCTGGGGAAAAAAGCCCCAAACAAACAACTCCCCCTGATAATTTAGTTGTCTCTTTCTCCTATACTTGTCTTAAATTGATTTTCCAAAGGTATTACCTCTGAAATGATGTGAACAGGAAAGAAAAAACAAAACTTCCCTTATTTAATTTTCATTTAATATTTATAATCAAATAAGCTCAGCAGTAATTACGGTATTTATGACTGATCACCAATTTTGAAAAATATTGTGCGTTTTAAAGAAGAATAACTGAAACTCACCCTACAAGTCCCTTAGGGATCTTAGACAATAGACATATGGAAAGGTCCCTCTCACATAGACATTTTTGTAAAAATGTAGTTGGTAGGCAAGCACATGTAGACCTGAGAGAGCTGCTGAAAAGCTTCAGAAATGTGAATTCTAGCCCAAACCCCAGACTTTAATATGTCATATTATTAACCTCAATACCAGTCTTATTAAATTAATCTTTGCTGTTCAGTTATGTCCAATTCTTCACGACCTCATTTGGGCTTTTCTTGGCGGACATACTGGAGTAATTTGCCATTTCCTTCTCCAATGCATTTTATAGATGAGGAAACTGAGGCAAATGGGGTTTAAGTGACTTCCCAAGAGTCATACGTCTAGTAAGTGTCTGAGGCCAGATTTGAACTCAGGAAGATGAGTCTTCCTGACGCTAGGCAGGGCACTCTATCCACAGGGCCACCTGGCAGCCTATTGTATAAATTATATTAATTAATAATTAGTAATATATTAATGTATTCTTTAAAAATTATTAATTCCTAAGATATATTCCATCTTAGCGTTTAATTAAAGCAGAATATTTTAAAAAATAAAGCTCCAAAATGGAGGTTGGGAGTTAACAAACGAGGGATAGTCTACAATCTGGGTTTGTTCTTTAACTTCCTCCTTCTTCCTCCAGACTCTGTCCTTCTAAACCTCAAGTTCTCTTTCTAGTACACTATGCTGTCTCTCATGCTTGATAATAATGAGCTGGTATAATACTGATATGCTGAAATCCATAAATAAACTCAATCCCTTATTTTTAGACAATAGTTTTAAAACTTATCCTCCCTTAAGAACAAAAAACCTTTTGACAGAATGAGTCAAACAATCACACACTCTCCTCCTCCTTTCATGTCTCTTATCCACCCATGAGTAATGAAGGCAGGGCCAGAGAAAAGAGAGATCCTAGCATCATCGATTTACAGCTAGAAGGGTTGCCTAATCCAACTCCTTCACTTTTCAGATGAGGAAATAGGGAAAATGTGATTTGCCATAGATCACATTGATAGAAAATACAAGAGGCACTATTTGAACACAGGACCTGTGACTCTAGGGCCAGGGCTCTTTTCATGGTATCATATAGCCTCCTGCACGCAAAGAACCTGGTTAGTCAATATGCTGAACGAGCCTCAAATAAATAAAAATTGGCCATAATATTTAGAATTTGAATCTGTAACTGACAGATCTAAAACTTATTTCATTAAAGATGGGTTTTTTTAACCTTGTATAAACTTCAACAAACATATGCATAAGTTCATCTTTTTTGAAAACTGACATACTCTTGGTGTCAAATATCCATGAGGCACACTGCATATTTATATAGTGTGACAACCCATAGATCACGTGTCATTTGTTCAACACTGCAAGTTATCCTTAGATCCAAAGAAAAGTCCCCAATCAACACAATTTGAGGGGAAATACAAATTAAACACGTGGATCATTTCACAGACTCACACTCTTGGGTCAGCAAGGCTTTAGAGATCATCTGTTCTAACCCATTCCTCAACAAGAATCCCTACTCTAACGTATCCTATTGATGTTCAAAGACCCCAGCAAGGGGGAACTCATTACCTCCTGAGGCAGCCGCTTCTACTTTTGGAGATAGAATTGTTAGTCATTTTTTGCTTAAATCAAGCCTAAATATTCCCCTCTTGAAACTACTGTTCCTAGGTCTGCCCACTGGGGTCCAGAGTCCAATCTCTCTGCCATTTGAGGGTCTTCACATACTTGAAGTCCACTGTCACGTTTTGTCCAATAGCTTATTTTGTCTGGGCTTAACATCTCTAGTTCCTCCAACCAATCCTCATATCAGTGGCATGAGCTTAAGGCCCTTCATGCTCAGTTGCCATCTTCTAGGCATTCTCCCAATATATCAATGTACTTTAAAAGATGTGTTATGCCCAAATGAAGAAAAACATTGCAGATGTGCTGTGATGAGGGCAAAAGGCAGGACAAATATTCCCTTCTCTAGTCTGAACTCTAGTTCTCTCTAATGTTGCCTTAAATTGCATTTACTTTCCAACATATTCTTGAGCTTCTGGTCTGTATTATATTTTGTTTTTTCCTTCAGAACTGCTGTTTAGCCATATTTCCTTTATCTTGTACTTGTGAAATTGATTTTTTTTAACCCAAGTATAAAGCTTTATATTTATCCCCATTTCACTGATTCTTGCTTTGTTTTTGTCTTTGTATTGCCAGCACTTGGCACGGTGCCTGGCACAAAGCTGCTGCTGCATAAATGTCTGTTAATGGATCCTTAGTAAATTTAATTTCCTCTCCTCTGCCCCTGCCACAAACCTGGTACAGGCCCTCATCATCTGATGACTGTTCTTTTTCACTGACTTGATGGTGGATCTGCCTTCCTCAAGTCTTTCCCCACTCCAGTCCATTTGCCAGTCAGCTGCCCAAGAGATCTTCCTAAAGAAAAATAGGTCTGTCCATGTCACTCCCATAGCCAAACTTCACTGCTTCCTTCTCACATACAGGATCAAATACAAAATCCTGTTTGGATTCAAAGCTTTCATAACCCTAGCCCCCTCATGTACTCTTTGATCCAGTGACATTGGCCTCTTTCCTGTTCCACAAACAAGACACTCCACCTCTTAGCTCCAGGCACTTTCTCTGGATGTCCCCCCATGCATGGAATGCCTTCCACCTCTCTACCTCCTCATTTCCTTCAAGTCCCAATTAAAATCCTACCATCTACAAGAAGAGTTTCACAATCCTTCATAATTCTAGTGCATTTCCTCTGTTATTTTCTATTTTTCCTGTACATAGCTTCCTTATACATGTTTACTAGTTGACTGTTCCCATTAGATTGTGAGCTACTTGAGGGCAGGGAATGTCTTTTGCCTTTCTTTGTATCCCCAGAGCTTACCACAGTGCCCAGCACACAGAAAGTGCTCAACAAATTATTACTGACTGACTAATCATATGAGATTCAGATGAACATTAACAGTTCCTGCAAACTATTTGTAGTACTCCTGTCACTAGGTTATTTTAAAGATCAAATGAGATAATACGTGGGCTTTAAAGTATTGAATGTCAGTTATTATCCTTATCAATATTGCCCTTGATTTACCAGCCTACAAGCTCTATCAAAAAAGCAATCAATCATTTTAGCCTGGTGTGACTCAAAAGAAGCTATTCTAATTCTTTGTGATGACTGCTTATTTTTTGAAAAATTTATTAACTATTCCTTTAATACTGCATTCTAGAATTTTGCCAGCAATTTAAATCAGGTTCACTGGCTAATAATGTACAAACTTTGTTCTCCTGCCTTTTTTGAATTATCTGGTCATTTTCTTATCTCTATTCCTACTTTGGGCAGCAAGGCAGCCTAGTGGATAGAGTGCCAGGCCTGGGGTCAGGAAGACCTGAGCAAGTATAAATCCAATTTTAGATACTTACTAGCTGTGTGACCCTGTGGCAAGACACTTAACCCTGTTTGCCTCAGTTTTCTCATCTATAAAATGAGATGGAGAAGGAAATGGCAAACCACTCCCAGTATCTTTGCCATGAAAACTCCAAATGAGGTCACAACCAGTTGGACACAACTGAAAACGACTGTACAACAACATTCCTGCTTTATCTTTCCTGTTCTCCAACATCTTTCAGAGATCACTGACAGTGGTTTAGTAATCACAGTTGGTAGTTCTTTCCCTAAGTGAAAGTGGCGTTTATCTGTGCCTAGTGACTTTAGCTCTCCAAGGGAAGCTAAGGGCTCTCTTACTATTGCCCTTCTCCTATTAGTTAACAATTCACTATGAGCCATTTTGTTCTGCTGATTCTAGTCCATCATCATTTCCTCCTCCTCCTCCTCCCTGTTGCCATCATCACTACTCCCACCAGCACTACATTTATATAGCCCTTTAAAGGTTTACAGATTTTTGCATGTTATCTCATTTGATCCATATTTTACAGATGAGGAAACTGAGGCACAGAAAGATTATGTGATTTGTCCAAAGCCACCCAGTCAGTTGTGTCTGAAGAACAGGTCTTCCTGACTCCATGTCCATCATTCCAAGCACTGTGCCACTTAATCGCCATTTCAAAAGCTGCTAAAATCCTCCCAGTACAACTGAACAGAGGGGCTTCTAGGCATGACGACTAATGGAAATTTTCTGTCATCCGTCACATACTTGTATTGTTACTGACAAACATGCAACAACACTTTACACTGATATAGCTCTTGAAAGTTTAGTTAAGATAGAAGAATTGAAAAATAGGAAGAGTACTGTTTTTCAGATGAAAATTTCTAGAAGAAAATCAGTTGTCAAAACCAGGAGCAGTTTTTGAGGTTTTCTTACCTTGATCCAATGACGTCAAAGAGATGTTGCCAGCGATCATTAATTTTGCTGAGCTTATCATCTATTTCAGCAACTCTGCTCTTATTGCTGGCTTTGATCAACTGATCGCCCATTTGCTTCAAATGGAGTTTATTTTCACTAAACAGGTTGATTTCTTCCATACAGTCCTGACAAAGACACCAAAGTAGCCCCTTGTATTAATATTGCAAAGTTATTTCCTTTCTCTTGAAGATAATAAAGGTGAAATAAAAGCTCCCCCCTTCACTTGATATGAGATCACAATCACTGATTCAATCATTTCATTTTTTTCTACCAAAGTATTTTGCATTGAAAAGCTGTACACAAATCTAATATTTAGACAAAATGGCAATATACACTGGTACGTTGTTTTAATTCATTAGGCTTCAGAGAGTTTGAAATTAAAGTAAAGGAGCATGAAATTTTGCTATTGCTATAATCAAATTTTGGGATTAGAAAACATAAGCCAAATTTTTGGACAGGATATTAACTCTTTGAGGGAAGCTCCTGCATCAGAAATGATCAGTGGAAATAAGACTCGACAGGATTCATTTCCATCTGCTTTACCACTATACCCTAAAGACCACGTCAGCCTTTCTATCAGACTTACTGCTAAAAACTCCCATATAGTCTGTCTCTCCCTGCTACAGGCGTTCTTAACCTGGGATCCATGGGTAGATTTCAGGGGTGTCTATGAATTTGGACAGGAAAAGCAATCTTTTTCTTTTCTTGATATTTAATTTTCACCAATCCTGAACTGAAATTTAGCATTTCTTTCTATTAGGAATGTAGGCCACAAAGTACTTTATTCATTAGCAGTATCTACAATTTTGTCACCAATAGAAATCAGATATATTCATATCACATTAAATTGTTGTATATCATAATATTCATGCTCATTACTGTTGATATTAGACCTTTATTTTAAATATATCTTGTTATTTGATGTGTTAACAAAGCACATACATTACTTGCTTTTTTAAGTGTTATCTGTATTCTAATATAATTGGTTTGCATTGTAATTATATTTTATGAATTAATCCTAATTAATATTAACTCTTAATTAATATCAAATATTAACAATCAATATTGAGTATTAATGATTAATAATTATATTAAATGATTAATATTAAAGATATTCTTGAAAGGGGTCCATAAATTGACAAAGGGGCCCATGACATAAAATACTTAAGAATGTACTAGAATGTGAGCTCCTTGATAAGGGTACTTGCCTTACTTTTCTCTTTATATCCTTAGATGTTAGCAAGGTGCTTTGTATCAAGTCAGTGCTTAATAAATTCTTTTTCATCCATTAATTCTTTCTTTACTTTTGTCTTTAAATCCCTAGTAGCTAGAAAAGTGCCTTGCTCATGGAAGGCACTTATTAAAGGCTTACTGAATTGACTACCAGATACAACCAAATCAAAATGTACATTTTAGCTAAATCAACTCAAAACCAACATCAGATATGATTGAAGGCTTTGACTGGGTGGCATTAAGCAGGAACGTAAACTCATCATTCCCAAGTTCAGGTGGTCTTTCACTTCTAATTCTAACCTTCCAGAACTGCACAAATGGCTCAAAACCATTTTATTAACTTGAATAATGCAATGCAATGCAATGAAAGGGCACTGAAATTGGAGATTCCAGCTTGAGCACTGGCTCTGCCTCTTACATATTTGTAACTGTATATATGTCACCTAACTTTCCTGGGCCTCGGCTTCCACATCTGCAAAAAGAGAGGAGTGCACTAGATGGCCTCTAAGGTCCTTTCCAACTTTAGATCTATGATCTTCAAATCCCAAGGGACTATTTTATCTCACGGATTCCTTGGCTTCAGACCATCTGCTACCAATTCAGACAAAGCTGACATGCCCCTGTAAATATGGCCCCTCTGGCCAAAATAAATAGATGATGCTAGTCTTTCCCAGTGAAATTATCTTCACCCAACCTAGCCGTCTCTCTAAAATTAAGGAAAATTTATTTCCCAGTTTTTGTTTAATCTACTGCCATCTAATTGAAAATGTATCTCTAGACTACAGCTTTATCTCTAGAAAACATTTCTGTTTAGCCTCCCAATTCAAAAGATGAAATGTTTTCTGATTCCTTTTGTCTTACCTTTCCATATTCCCTGTAATCTCCCCCAACCCTACCCCACAATGCTAGCGCCTTCTCTCCGAAACTGTCCCACATTTATACTGTCTGTCTCTTGTTTGTAAAAAGTTATTTGCATGTTCTTTCCCCCATTAGACATAGTGGCCTTAGCATAGTACCTGGTATATAGTAGGCACTTAATAAATGCTTGATTTTGCCTGGCCTTCAGAGATATTCTCCAAAAAGTTAAAATCCCATCACCCAAATTTGCTTCCTGGTTTACCTTCTGTAGTCTTTCAATCATTTCTTCAATACTAATGTCTGCCGTCTGTAGAACTTTGTTTTCCATCTGAACCAGCCATGCACATAAGTCTTTATTCTTTTCATTGAACACAATCCAGGAATTGAGTCTTTCCTCGATCTCTTGTTTACGCAATGAAACCTGAAGATGAAAACACGTTGTTGAGCAGCAAGTTCCTCGAAAGGAAACCAGATAACCAGCAACATTCAAAGAGAAGTTACTACCAAGAAAAGAAAGATGTCTACTTCTTGAAAAGATAGTTAGGCTAATATTCACTCAATGGTTTGTAAGACTTCCAGAGGATGAGATAACCATAAACACGTGAGCAACACCTACCACCAAAAAAAAATTATCACCGGAGACCTAAGACTCCGCATTTTCCCTTTCAAAACACCAGAAAATTAGGTTAATGATCTTTTTGAAAAATTTGGTGAAAGGCAATCCCTTAGAAATTGTTTGCAAATGAAACATAATTGACAAAGCATTCAGCTCAGTAAACAATTTGTATTTTCTTATTGTAAATTCAGTGGGGAAAGGGGGCAGCTACATGGGACAGTGGACACAGCACCTGGCCTGGAAGTCAGGAGGATCTGAGTTCAAATCCAGTTTCAGACACTTAATAGCTGTGTGCATTTGGACTAGTCACTTATCCCTGATGGCCTCCAAAACAAACAAATGAATGAATAAATACAGTCCCAGCAGATACTGAAAAGCTAATACTGTATATTAGGTATTAGCCAAATTCCCTTCCTTTTGTTGTCTTTTACACCTGCAACCTAAATAGGGACCCTCCTCTTTAGGTTATAAAGCCCATGCACCTACATGCCAATGGCCAGAGCTATTTGGTACTTTAACATCCAATCCAGATTTGTTATACAAAGATATCAGAAAAAGAGTAGATCAAATGATATACTGCACGTGTCCTCCTCACCTCAAATTCAATGAGACTAAAACTGAACTCCATCCCCTCCCCACCTAAACCTGCCCTCTCCCCTTTACATTGCTATTTGTTATCGAAACCTTTTGACCCCTCTTCTCCTTCACCTCCCGCATCTTTTATATCTTTTCCATCTTTCTCCTTCCAGTGGTCTTAAGAGTCTAGAGGTTTTAAGGTCCTTGAGGTCTTATTTCTCAAGCAATTATGCTAATGTTTACTTTAAGGTGTTCCCTCCTTAAAAAAAAAGAATCAGATGTTTTATTAAAAACTTAACACAGAATATCAATACAATTAATTCAGCTCAGTAACTATTTGCATTTAATTTCAACACAAAGCATTTGCTTCTTGTAGGGTCAAATTATATACTCCTAGTTCTTCTCTTTCCATTTGAATTGTTCCATAAAGATTTTTTTTTCCAGAATTTTTTTTGTCTTTCTTTAGACTTTTATTTTGAAAGGCTGTAATTTAGAGGAGGATTAGACTTCTTCTGTTTGGCACCAGAAATCAGAACCAAGGAGTTTCAAAGAGGCAAATCTAGGCTTGATGTGTGGAAAAACTTCCTAACAAATTTTTGTTGTTATACAGTGTCCGACTTCTTCATGACCCCATTTGGGGTTTTCTTGGCAAAGATCCTGGAGTGTTCTGCCATTTCCTTCTCCAGCTCATTTTACAGATGAGGAAACTGAGGCCAACAGGGTTAAGTGACTTGCCCATTCACACAGCTAGTAAGTGTCTGAGGCCAGATTTGAACTCAGGAAGACTGACTTCAGGCCCAACACTTTATCTACTGTTCCACTTAGCTGCCCCTTTGGTACTATGGGGTCCATGAAAAAACAAGACAATTCTTCTAAACTCAGAAAAGAAACAGAGAGCATAGTCCAAGAGGCTAAATTTTCAAATGAGTCTGTCATGTGCAGGAACTTAGTATTCAATTCAGTAAATATTTCAAAGGCCTAAGGAAGCTATAAAATAACTATTTACTCATTCATTAATCAATCGAAAACATTCACTAAACTCTTTTATGAGCTATGGTAGAGATATAAAGAAAGTGGGGGGGGGGGAGAAACAGTCCCAGCCTTCAGAAGCTCACTTAATATATATTTGTAATTCTGTAAGCTTATAGAATAGATAGAAGGTAGTGTCAGAGGGGAAGGAACTCGCAGCCAGGGAGACCAAGAAAGGATAGTATTTGAGCTGAGACTTGAAGGAATTTGGGGAAACCAAGAGGTGAGGAGGTGAAGCATGACAGTCAGTTCAAAGGTACAGAAAGAGTATACAGGAGATGGAGTGTCCTAAGTGAAGAACAGAAAGTAGGTCAGTGTTGCTGAATTATAGATGCACCAAGGGTAGCCAAGTGTAGGGAGACTGGAAACGTAGGAAGGGGCCTGGTTATAAAGAGCATGAATGCCAAACAGAGAACTTTTTATTCAATCCTATAATAGGGAATGGTAAGTTTATTCAGAGTGTGTGTGTGAGAGTGTGTGTGTGTGTGTGTATGTGTGTGTGTGGTGACATAATCAGAGCTGCACTTCAGAGGAACATCCCTTTGACAGTTGAGAGGAAGATGGATTGGAGAGATATTTGAGGCAGGACAGACCAATGAGGAGTCTATTGCAACCATAAGGGTGATATGGACCTAAACTGGAGCGGTGGGGGTGTGAGTGAAGAGTAGGGTTTTTATAATACCATGAAAGTAGAAAGGACAAGATCTGGCAGCAGATTTAGAGAGTGAAGCATCTAGGATTGCCCCAGGATTGTGAGTGGTGGGTATTGCCTTTGATAATAATGGGCAAGTTGAGAAGACAGAAGAGAATAGGGGGAAAGATAGTAAGTTCTGCTTTGGACATGTTGAGTGTGAGTTGTTCTAAGCAAATAAAGGCAGTTATAGTAACTTCTTAGGAATGTTAGTCTGAACAGAAAATTAAGGGGATGAAAAGCCACTTTCTAATCAGGGTAGTACTATGACACCAGAAGAATGGAAATTCCATTTCTATAAAACTAAAATAGTTATGCTTTCTAGATCCAAACTTAAAGAGATCAAATAAACCAATGTATTTATGATCAAAGAATGACAAAATGATCTTTGTGTGACACAGCTTTTGAGCTGAGCAGCCTAGCACACACATTATCTGATGCATAGGCATTCAGTTCAACAGGAATTTACTAAATGCCTACAACTCCGATGACAAAAATAGTCTAAAATGCAATCTTCCCTTGGAGGCTGGGAAGAGAGAGGTGAGAAAATGTGCACAAGAGACAGGATGGAGATGGCAGTTGATGGAATGTTTTGTTCTGGATAAAGCAAATAGATCGGTCTGACTGTAACCTTGGGGTCAGTGAAGGAGAGTAATAGGAAATCAGTCTAAACAAGTTGGAGTAAGATTAGCAAGGGCTTTAAAGGCTTTAAGTTTAAGTACTGGAAAACAATGGTGATTTAAAATAATGACGCACAAGACACTCGACAAAGTCCTACTCTGCTGCCTTATTAGTGGAGGTAAGCTTAGACGTGAAACAAAATCATAAAAGGCCTGCTAGAAATTTCATTCCTAAAAGACATGGCTTTTATTCCAGAATACTGAGTGCATGAATTTGCCAATGACTTTTTGGCTAGAAATCTTTGTATTTTGCACAGGATGAATCAGGAAAACATTCACTGAACACATCTGTTCAATTATGGCGTATTGATTCCATTAACTTTACCATTAGCAGCATTAGGTCACCTAGTTTCCAGATTTCCACTTCCCTACAAAGGGCAACCATTTTTCAAATGACCTTTACAGATTTTTAAAATATTTTCTCTTTAAAAACAAACAAAACTGAATTCCAATGAAATGTCCAGATCCTAAATCAGTCTCCATTATTGAGATCAGTTTTCAAAGCAAAACAAGGAACTGAAAGTATTTTACGATTTTAGTCTTTGAAGGTCTTCTCAAGTTAAAATACATTTTTTTCTTCCATTACAGAAATTCAGACAAAAGAATTTTTACTATTTGCCTAATCCACAGAACATGCAAAAGAAGAGGTTTTTATTACATTAATATACTTACAACTGTGCATAATTCTTCTATTAAAACCTTTAAGTATATTTGGTTCCTTTAATTCCTTCCAAATCTGACTTAATGACAAACATGCAATATGCTAATAACCTCAGGAATCTCATTAGTAAGTAGAGATTAGGCACTGAGATGTATTAAAGACAGCTTTTGACATTTCTTCTTAAAAGAAATTTATTTAAATTTACATCATAGGATCACAAATGAATTCAAAACTTTCCAAGTGGCTTCACAGCCCTGAGTTACACTCATTTTCTCTGTTCTATGGAATCAGCCTGGACTCTCCAGCAAAACTGAATTGGAGAAAAAGGCCCCCTTCTTCTCTTATTACACCCATTATAAATTTTCCACATTTTTCCTTTTTATCTCCTCAAGATAGAGCAATCAACTACCCATGGCTTCCCACTGGTGGATTTTCTCCAAGCGATTTTCTTTCGATCATTAAGAGTGAGCAAAGCTACAGCCTGAAGCCTTCTAAACAAAGGGTCAACTTTACCAAACTGTGTAGCTCCCCTCTTAAGAAAGAACAGCCTGCCTATTCTTTTCCTGAAACAGCCTCCAGATTCAAAGAAATCAAGCTTCTTTCGACTGGGTCTGGCTTTAGGAGACATTTCAATAACCCCCTGAACAGGCATGCCCCAGAGTGAAGTGACTTACTCTTAAACAGAGCTCCTCCCATTGTCTGTGCAAATGGTCTATCTGCTCCTTCAAAACCATCACATCTTCCACAAGAATGTACCGGGTTATGTCGGCCTTCATGATATTAAGTTCCTTCAAGTTCTGAGCCCAGTTTGCCAAGGAGTTCTCCAGTTCCTGCATTTAAACACAAGAGAGGAAGAAGGGGAGGAAGAGGGAGGAGAAGGGAGGGGAAAAAAGCCTTCAGCCCAAAGTACTGTTGTTTCCAAACCTGTAGGCTAATCCTTTGATTGGATTTGGGGGAGGGGAAACCAGGAAAGGGGGAGGGAGCTTAAGGCTAAGGAATTTGGTCCTGGCTGGAGCCTTGATTTCCGGTTGCCCAGCCTTTTTTATACCTTCTCTGTTGAAATTTCTCTTTCTCTGAATTTTTAATCCTTCTGGAATAGATGAAGGGCCGTTGGGGCTTTTATACTGCCTCTAATGTGACATAAAAGCCAAGCACTGGTTTAGTATTATTACAGGAAATAACATCTCTAAAGTTCTGTATGATTGAAACATTGTTTTTTTGACCTTTGTCACATTGCAGGAATTTCATTAGAAAGTGTGGCTTTCTATTCTTCAAAATTCCAGAGATGTACTGTTGCCACTGGTTACTATAGCAGAAGAAAGAGGTTACTAGGTCCCCTTATTTTCAGAGGGGATCTGTTGGTTTTGATTAATTTTGGAAACAAATGGTATCAACGTTCATAACAGAAAAGAAAACCAGTTATTCAAGATTTGCCCCTAATTGGTCTGGAGAAAAATAGGGATCGAATAAGGCATTTATATAGGTATTAAGGTGCAAAGCCATTTACAAATAGTATCTCTTTGGCACTCAAAACCACCCTGGGAGATAGGCGCTATTATTATCCCCATTTTTATAGATGAGGAAACAGACTGAGAAAGATTCAATGACTTGCCCAGGGTCACACAGCTAATAAGGTAGTATTTGAACTCAGCCTTTAAATGACTCCATGTCTAGTGTTCTACCCACTGTGCTATAGTTAACAATGCGGTGTTTGTTGAGGAAACTTTTTTGTTTTTCTATGAAATAATCAAGACAAATTCTTCCACAACAAGGAAATTGAAATTAGGCAAACTGTTTTTCACATTTTATAGAGCTGGATTGACATCCACCAACAGAAATCTTAAAGAAAACAGAGCAATAAAGCTTTATTATATCCTTGAAGAGAAAGCTGTTGGTATGCAAAAGCAAAAGCAAAAGAGCTGTTTCAGCCAATATTCATTTATATCTAACCAAGAAGAATTTGCATTTAAGGGAAAGTAGCCTGGCTTAATTAATAGAAGTAGTCTTCAATAGGAAGACCTACGTTCAAACCCTGCCTCAGACACATACTAGCTGTCTGACCTGGCCAGTCCCTCAATTTTTCAGTGGCTCAGGCAGCTACCTAGGATTACAAGAATGGTTTAGAGAGTTTCCTTATGGGAGTTCCCTATTAGATGAAAAGAAATCACAGGTCTGAACAACAGCAGCAGAAGACTGGCAGTTTAGAAAGCTTCTAGATAGCCTGGAGATAATTTAATTACATCTTTCAATGAGGAGTAGAACCGGGAAAAACTCTTTTTATCTTTTTATCTAACAGCTCGTATTTCCTGAATACTTTAATGGATGATCTCATTTTTTCAACCCTTGAGAAGAAGATGGGGACAAGGCCTGGGCTGACTACTAAAGTAGCAACATCATTTCCTAGGGAGGGCAAAAGAGTAACTAAAAAGACAGTTCAAATTCTGTGCAGGAGATAGGGGTGTTCACATCCTGTTCAGAGAGACGTCTTAAGATATCATCTAGGTCAGTTCACCAGGTTGTTTGCACGTAGTCTCCCCCATTGCCGGCAGCTAGGTGATGCCATAGTGCACAGAGTGCCAGGGCCCAGTGTCAGGAAGACTAATCTTCCTGAGATCAAATCTGGCCTTAGATACTTACTAGCTGTGTGACCCTGAGCAAGTCATTTAACCTGGTTGCCTCAGTTTCCTCATCTGTAAAATGATCTGGAGAAGGAAATAGCCAACCCCTCCAGTATCTCCCTAGAAAACCCCAAACGGGGTCGTGAAGAATAGGACACTACTCAGCAGCGACAACTTCTCCATTAGATTGTAAATCCCTTGAAGGCAGGGACTGTCTTTTGCCCAGTATCCCCACAGCTTAGCACAGTGCCTGGCACATAGGAGGTGCTTAATAAATGTTTATTGATTGGTTTGGTGAATAATTTTAAAAAATCAGAAAACATCTAAGAGTTTTTACTCCATTATCCACGATAATGAAAAGGATGGATTGATGGCTTGAATAATTCAAAGAACCAGGACATTTTTTTTGTAACGAATTGAATGCTTTTTGGGCAACATTTATAATCAGCTAAACTATATTCTGTGAACATTCCACATATTTGGTGAACACTATTAGGGGAAAAAGGATTGGTATTTAGCAAAAATTGTTTTGGATCATATATGTGGATTCTTGAATTTACTGAATTTATCCTCATGGCAGGGAGAAAGGCTGTAAATTTCAAATTACCCAGGACCCTAACAGTATAAAGCTCTGAGTAAAATTCAAGTCCTCTATTCAATTCTTTCCATTTCCAGGTCTGCTGCCTCATCTATCTCAGTAGCACAGGAAGCTGTGGAATTTTGGGACTGTGAAATTAGAAGTAAAAACTTCACATTCCAAGTTAAATTGCTCTAACTGCCTTCCAATTTTCTCTTACTGAGGTCTAAATTCAACGAGAAAGATCCAAAGTATGACAGATGTTCCTATTTTCTTGTCAGCGTTTGCTCTGGGGCTATTCACAGAGTTTCCTAACCCTTTCAATCTGGTCTCGCAACACAGCAGAGAAACTGGATAGAAGGAATGTTTTTAATTATTCTCAGTGTCTACTGCATATCAAATGACTGATAGGGAACCCCATTCTAATTGGTCTATTTTTCTACCCACATGATTTGCCTTCTCCACCTCCATATCAAAAAAACCGTCTGTCCTAGAATTTTTGTCACTGAGATACCAAGTCAGGTGAATCCAGTCTGGTTGGTTTTGTGAAAGTGCTTTGTACAATAGAAAGAAAATTCTGGCCTCTAGGAGAAAAAGAAAATCATTAAAAAAAATGTCTTTGTGATAAATAAACAACTTTCAGAGTAAGCCAAGGACTCCTTTTGCTTTGGGGATTAGTTGGACAAAATGCCCAAATCCTCAGAGTTAGTAAAAGTTGGTTTCTGTTCTTTTAAAAAAAATGTCATTTGCATACATTAATCTCCCAAAGCATTAAGATTTCAATTTGTACAGAGATCAGAATGTCATGTCAGACAGAAGGCAGTATTTCTCAATAGAACAAGGAAAGTCAGCTGGACTGGAGAAAACAGAGGGGCAGAATCAAGCATCTCTAAGACTTAGAGAACATCTCAGAAATTATTCTGTAAAATGCCTCTTATTTCAATACCTTAATCAGTTCCTTTTCTTTATAGAGCTCTTCATATGGTTCTGGGAGAGGATCTTTAATTTTTGCCTTTAAAGTCTGCAGTCGGTTTTCCAGCTCCTTGATTTGCTTTTCACATCGGTCCCAGGTCTGTTTGAAAAACATTTTAAAGCGAGATCATGAATAGCCTAGTTAATGAGGGAATTCATTCTGTGCTTTTTTGGTATTAAATGTGTTTAACAAAACATGCAGAAAACCAATTCTTGATCTTAAAGAAAGGAACCAAGACCATTTGTAAATTATATACATTGGGTTCTACGGTACCAGCCCATGGTAACTGGTGCTTAATAAATGCTGATTGATTGATTTACTAATTATCTCAAAGATGATCTTCAATATTAGTATATTCAACACGAATTGAAGCCTTTTCTTTGCAAAAGAAGGTGTTAGGCAAGGTGTTAGCAAGAGGATATAATTAATAATATAGCTAGCATTTATAAGGAAAATAATATAATAAATAATAATGATGATAACAGCTAGCATTTAAATATTGCTTTAAGGTTTGCAAAGCAATTTTTTTTTTGCTTTTTGGTGAGACAATTGGGGTTAAGTGACTTGCCCAGGGTCACATAACTAGTAAGTGTCAAGTGTCTGAGGCCAGATTAAGCACTTTCAATATATAATCTCATTTGACTCTCACAGCAACCCTGTGAGGTAGGTGCTATTATTATCCCCATTTGTCAGATGAGGAAGCTGAGGCTGACAGAGGTTAAGTTACTTGTCCAGGGTCACACAGCTAGCCAATGTCCAAGGCAAGATTTGAAACTAGATCTTTCTGACTACAACTCCAGAACTCTATCCACTGTGCTACCTAGATCCAAAGGAAGTTATGACATAGAGTTTACAATATAAAATAGATTTATAATAAAATGATATAATATAAATATAATATATAATAATAATAAATATATATAAATAATAAATATAATATAAAGTAAAATAAGGGAAGATAATGTATGATACAAGAGAGAATGTAATAATTATAAGGGGAAGGGAGGTCCAGGTTGTGTTATAAGAAATTTGAGAAGGGACAGACAGGTTACTTTAGCTGGGGGAGACAGACAGTCTTAGGGAAGATTTAGTGAACAAGGAACCAGAGTTGGGCCATAAACATTGGTTGATGGTAGAATTTCAACAGATAGCTGAGAAAAATAATATTTTTCTCTTCCTGAATCTCCTGACATGTAAAAATATAACATGCTCAATGTAACAATGTATAATGCTGATACATTTTGGGTGGACTATCTGGTCAAATAAAAACATTTTTATCTAGAATTTAGAAAGCTAGAAATTTAAATATCAGAAACATAGAAGAGACCCAAAAGGTAAACAAAAAAAGACTCTAAACAGTAAAACAAAACAAACCAAAACAAATAAACCAGTGTGATAGATTCATAGAGCTAGAGCTCTGTGGAATCTTTGATCCTAACTTACTCATTTTACAGCTGGGGAAACTGAGGCCAGGGGGGTTAAGTGACTATGTTTAAGTTAAGAGCAACAGAATAACAGAGGTGAGATTTGAATTTAGGCCTTTTGACTCTAGAGGTGCATCTAGGTAGTGCAATGGATAGAGCACACATCCTAGGGTCAGGAGTCCTGTTCTTGGGGCAGCTAGGTGGCACAGTGGATAGCACCCTGGCCCTGGAGTCAGGAGGACCTGAGTTCAAATGTGACCTCAGACACATGATACTCACTAGCTGTGAGACCTAGGGGCAAGTCACTTAACCCTGATTGCCTCACGAAAGAAAGAAAGAAAGAAAGAAAGAAAGAAAGAAAGAAAGAAAGAAAGAAAGAAAGAAAGAAAGAAAGAAAGAAGGAAAGAAGGAAAGAAGGAAAGAAGAAAGAAGGAAGAAGGAAAGAAGGAAAGAAAGAAGGAAAGAAGGAAAGAAGAAAGAAAGAAAGAAAGAAAGAAAGAAAGAAAGAAAGAAAGAAAGAAAGAAAGAAAGAAAGAAAGAAAGAAAGAAAGAAAAAGAAAGTAAGGAGTCTTCTTCTAAAGTTCAAATTTGTTCTCAGACACTTACTAGCTGTGTGATCTGGGCAAATCACTTAACCCTCTTTGCCTCAGTTTCTTCATAATAAACTGGAGAAGGAAATGGCAAACTACTCCAGTATCTTGCCAAGAAAACCCCAAATGGGGCTGTGAAGAGTCGGACATGACTGAAAAATCTACTGAACAACCACAAAACTTCTGACTCCAGAATCGGGGTTCTTTCCCCCTTACCACTTGTACTGTGATCATAGGAGACCCCACTCATGCCCTTTACTCAGAGCCTCTTTAACTATTTTTATACAATTCTATGAAAGTCAGTCATCTAGTTTCCAAATACACAGCAAATTAGAAAAGGGAATAAGACTGTGCTGTAACAGGTACACTGAGAGCTCTGAAAGGTGACAGCTGGCAACTTGACACCCAGGAATCAGATTTAGGGCTGGAAAGGACCTTCAGGGCTATTGAATCGAAGAGAAAAGATGTAGAAACTATAATAGACATAAGAACTCAAAAAACATGGCAGTCTTCAGATGGCAGCAAGAAGGAAGGAATTGTGATATAGGGCAGGCATTCCAAATGGTTTTTTATGTCATGAACTCATTGGCAGATTAGTGAAGCTCATGGACCCTTACTCAGAATAATGTAAATGCATAATATATGTATTGTTGCTGGTGAGTCATTTTTCCAGACGTGTCCAACTCTTTGTGACCCCATTTGGGGTTTTCTTGGCAAAAATGTAAAAATATAGTGTGTGTGTGTGTGTGTGTGTGTGTGTGTGTGTGTGTGTGTGTGTACATATGTTGTTACAAATTAAGCTAATGATTTGGAAATATAGTTACCAAAGTATTTTTTTTTAAATACAAATCACAGATCCTCAGTAAAGAAATCTTGCTGGAAGGGAAAGAGTTTTAGATTTAGGACCACAGATTTTGAGATGAAAACCACCTTAGGGGTCATCAAATCTAACACTTTCATTTTACAGATGACAAAATGGGTGCAGAGAGGGAAAGTAGTTTTGCCTTAGGTCAAACAGGAAATAAGTACCAGAGCCCAGATTTGAACTTATGTCCTCTAACTCTAGATCAATTTTTTTTTAACTGAATGCTACTTTCCTATTCCCATACCAGTCAGAGCACCTGATTTCCAACCTTTACTTAAGTAATTCTGGTTAAGATGGTGGTGATACAAAAGGTCCTATAGAAGCCCAGCTCTCCCAAAAATCCCCAAAGTTCTAAAAATACACCAGGAAGAGAAAAATGATACAGAAAACTAAAGAGAAAGAGTATTAAATTCTTCTATTCAGTCCAGGACTGCTTAAGAAGACTAAATTGTCTTGCAAGAAAGAAAGAAGTGTATGGGTGTTCTGAGTTGAGAAAAGTTGTGTGCTGCTTCTGTGGCCTAAAGGCAGCCTCTACTCTAGGACCTGGCTTGTCAAAGCAGCAGGGGACAGAACCCCCTACACTCCCGCCGCTCAGGTGACAAAATAAAGTGATAAATCTCAGCTGGGGCCTTCTAAGAGACCTGAAGCCAGTGCCTGGCAGTCACTGCAGAGCCATAGAATGAGAGAAAGCTAGCATTGCATCTGTACAGGCATTGCTAGAGCAATAACAGAAGGTAGGGAGAGGGACCATAGTAGGACACAGAGCCAGCATCGCCCTACTTCTCTGAAGTCCCACCATAGGAAGGCCCTCCAAAAGACCATCACTTCTGTTGGAGCCACAAGCAACAGACAGGGTCAACAGAGAGCCTGGAGGTTCTTAGCACCAATGACCTAGGTGGAGGCCATGGCAGGGGCAAGAGCCAATTCCTGGTTGGTAATTGTAGAAGAAAGGCCAAAACCTTACTCGGGCCACCAAGACCAAAGAGGAATTCATCCCACAGAACAAAAAAGCAGACCTTTAATAAGTCTGACTTTGAAATTCTAATTTAAATTTTAATTTTAATAGGAGACTTCATTCCTAATGAAAAAGTCAGAGCTTATTAGAAATTTTGTAGTGTAAACACAAGAATCAAGAAGAAACTAGAAAGGTAAATAATTTGACCAATTTGAAGGTACTAAACAATGATGAAGAATTTCTTTACATTCTAACAGGAGGAGAAGCCACAATTGTCCTTTCAGAATCTTAATGACTTCAGTGATCATAGAAGACAGAAGATTTTATTCTATTTTATTGGTTTTGACAGAAGAAGTAAAAGGGAGAGAAAAATAAATATACTACAAAAAAATTGAGAAGGAAGGAGGAGAAACTCACTATTTTGCAAAAATGGCTGCTCAAGAAGTCTACAGCCATGGGGTTAGGATGAGAGAAGCAGACGTCTGTTTTATCTTATTAGAAAGGAAAAAGTAGGAATAGCAATCGGGATCTTTGGCAAAGTAATAGTAAAAATTGTTGTTTAGTTATTTCAATCATTTCTGACTCTCTGTGACCCCATTTGGTGTTTTCTTGGCAGAGGTAGAGAAGTGATTTGCCATTTCTTTCTCCAGCTCATTTTACAGAAGAGGAAACTGAGGCAAACAGGGTAAGTGACTTGCCCAGGGTCACACAGTCAGTAAGTGTTTGAGGCCAGATTTGAACTCGGGTCTTCCTGACTCTAGGCTGAGTGTTCTATCCAGTGGGCCACCTAGCTGTCCCAATAGTAAAAACAGACATAGGTAAAAGACAGAAACTAGTTATGACTACTGTAAAAGGGCAAACTAGCATAACCAGGGAAACTAGTTATTCTTCGGCAACACAGATACTTAATATACACACACCTAATGCCGTAAGTATAAGTGCTTGTAAGTACATAAAGGAAAATTAAATATAGGTCATTTCTCAAGGCTCTGTTCTGGGTACTCTTCTCTCTCTCAATACATCTTCCTGGCCATCTCATTAGCTCCCATAGATTCAATTATCATCTCCATGCAGATGATTCTCACATCTATTTATCCAGCCCTCTTAATCTCTAAAAATGTTTGTAAGAATGATATAGAGTATCCTTGATGAAAATGAGACAAAAACAGAGGCTTTTGATGGTATTTTTCTGGAACATACCACTTTTCTAGTTATACAACTGACTAAAGTAGAGAGGTTATAAGATCCATTTTGCTAATTAATTTCAAGAAAGAATTTCTTTTGGTAGAGTATAAAATACAGCTGTAAAATCAGACAAGATGTCTCTCATACATGCATCAAGATCATATAAAACTCCATCATGGACACAACTAAAGAAATAACTTTGTTAAATGAATCTCAATCTGCTGAGTCCTGAAATCAAGCAAGGTGCTACACAGAGCGATAATTATTCACAAAGGGTATTTTTGTTAGAAAGTATCCCTCCCAGCATTAGGAGATATCCCATATAAGGACCAAATAAGACGCAAACTGTCCTACTAACACTGAAGTTCTCCCACTGTTCCTATTCACCAATGACATTGGCCTGATGGCATCAAACTTTAGAACACTACAAAACCTCCTCAGTAAAATCCACAATAATATCAAATGAGATAATATTTATAAAGTACTTTGCAAATTTTAAAACATTATATAAAGGCTACCTATTATTGTCATTAGTAAGACTTTTCTAACCATTCACACTGGAAAAACAAGTTGGATTAAAAATACTTATTTGAACATATAATGACATACAGCTATCAAAATCTGAATAGGCAGCCCTTTCTTTAAATTAATCTTGGGGGGCAGCTAGGTGGTGCAGTGGATAGAGTGCCGGCCCTGCAGTCAGGAGGACCTGAGTTCAAATCCGGCCTCAGACCAAACACTTGACACTTACTAGCTGTGTGACCCTGGGCAAGTCGCTTAACCCCACTTGCCTAAAACCAAAAAACAAACAAACAAAAAAATAAATTAATCTGGGATAAACAGGTGGTATGTTTATCTTAGATGAACATGGTATGCCCAAAATTGAGATTAGAATGGACTGAAAGCACTGATAAGTTCCCCAAATGGCCCACAGCTATATCATAGAACATCACGATCTTGGAAAAATTAAAGTGACAAATATACCAAAGAGCTCTGTAAAATGGGCATAAACAAGCTGCAGCACTGTACCAAAAATGATTGATGAAGTTGTTACAAAAGACATTTCTGAGAGCTGTATGACTGGGGGAAAAAGGATGGGCCAGTCACATAGCAATACTCAGACGCAATAGACAGATAAATAAAAAGGCATCTTAAGAAACAAAAGAAACAAGAGGAAGGCCTCAAGTGCATTGAGGGAGGTCCTTTGTATAAGCTCTGTAGAAAAAAGGCACACAGAATGAGAGAGGGGTGAGAATCTGAACTTGTAGGGAGAAAAACCACACCTAGGAAGTCATTGATCCAAAGTGCAAATCTCCTAAGATATCACAGAGCAAAAAGAAAATAAAATACACTTGAATAGCGTAGATTAAAAAAATAATAATAATTGGATTGTTTACCTCTGTAGCGCTTTGGAATTCTTTAGTCATCTCGGCTACTTGAAGTTGGCAATTACTCCAGGTATCCTGCAATTTTCTGATTTCTCTGTCAATGGAATCCTTGGTCTCTGGATCAGCTATTGTCAGTAACTTTCTCCCTGCTTCTAAGGTGAGTGCACAGGTAGTTTGCTGCCTTTGAAGAAGTACTTCTTTGTTCTAAAAAGCAAGAAAAATGATTTGCTAAGATCAGTGGTTCTCCAAGTGTGGTCCTTAGATCTCTTGGGGTCTTTGAGTTTAAGAGGTCTATGAGATCAAAACCATTTTCACGATAATACTAAGATGGTATTTTCCTATTGAAATATTTCTTCATTTTTTCAATTACATATCTGTGAGAAAATGATTTCTTCATGTGCTTCAACCAAAACAATCTATTATAACAGATTAAATGCAGAATCAGACAGAATACTTTTATCAAGACAGACATTAAATAGATTTAAAAAAAATATGTAAAACAATGAAACTCTTCTCACTAAATTTTTGTTTTGGAAAATACAGTTATTTTTTATAAAAATGTTATTTTAACATGTAATTGATCTATTATTACTATTTTAAATGAATAAATATTTTAACAGCCCATCAGGCTTTATTTCTAATATGACAAATGTCAATTGGTACAACCCACATAAACAGAAGCTGTTAGTGTGTTTGATAATTTCTAAAAATGCAGAGGAATTCCTCAATAGTTTTTAAGAGTTCTAAGTTCGGTCCTGAGACCAAAAAGCTTGAGGACCTCTCCATTTAGATATATGCCATGCCCAGAATTTGTATGTTTGTTTAACTGTTCTTATTTTTAACAGCACAAACATATAGGCGATGGGGAGAGCAAAAGACTCAAGTGTGTGTGAATATTACACATCCTCATCACATTAATCATTTAACATATGTGCCCAAATAGGGAGCAAACTCCCAAGTATATACCCCTTAAAGAAATTCTTTTCATTTCAATATAAGATTTGACCAGGCAGATTAGGTAGGCAGGCAACAAACATTATTAAATGCTATGTGCCAGGCATTATGGTAAGCCCTGGAGTTGTAAAAGAAGGCAAAAAGAAAGTCCCTGCCCTCAAGGAGCTTACAAAAAAGAAAATCCCAATTGCAGTCTGAAAAAATCCAGAGAAATTAAAAATAGCCTTCAGAGGATAAGGAATTAGAAGGCCACTCAGTTCAGGGATTATTAGAAATTCATGGAATTAGTGCCATAGGCATAGATCAGAGGTGTCAACGATCTCTGATTATTCTAGTCTAAATGGTAGCCAGATCCTAACCCAGAAAGTTAGGGTAGGTAAATTTTGTCTAACAACTTAGGATAATTTACCTGAAATAGAGGAGAAGAAAAAGAAAATACCCAAAAGGCTACGTTGGGGAGTAGAAGCGTATAGGTTAAATACAGCATTACAAGTCTAAAAATATGTCCACATATTCAAGTTCTGGAATTGTTTGGGGTTAAGATGGTTTTCTGCTTTTCTTTATATTCCCAGCACTTAACAAATGCTTATGGACTTGCTTATTAGTTTCTATGCAACTGCCAAATTAGTCAAGAATCTTTTTGTTTAATTAATAAAAGCCCTTATTTAGCTTTTTATAGTCCAAATACTGGGTTGACTTTTAAAAGATTCTATTACTTTAACAAATATTTGGTTCAATTTTAAAAAATAAATCCATTTTCTTATCATTTAAGCATAGTTTACTTTGTTCCTTGGGGATATTTGAAAATGGAAAGAAACAATTAAAAAAAAAACCCTAAGTGAAAACCCAAACCTGTCAATGGCCCTAAAACATATTCTATCAGCAATACCTTTAGATCGTGAATAAGACTTCTGATTTGGCAAAGACCATAAGAATCTTGGCTCTTAACTGCAGACAGGAAATGGTCAGTATCGGTGAGGAAGTGGGTCACATTCTGTAGAGAAGCACTGAAGCGTCGCCATTCTTTCACTAGCTCATTGATGGTGATCCTCCTCTGCTGAGCCCTCCGGGCAGCATCTTGCCACCGCTCTTTCAACATTGTGAGTTTCACAACAAATTCCATTCTTAGGAAAGACAATATTCATTGGGTATTATCACAAACTATTTTGACTTGACTTGATTTCCCCAATTGAAAGGCAACTAATAACAGTGTGATAACTCAAGCTTGGGTTTGTTATTTATATAGGCAAAAATCTCAACAAGTCTGACGGTCTACATAAGCCCTAAGAAGCTGCTGGAGCCCCAAGCTAACACATAGTTAAATGATTTGCTACAAGGTCAAAGGTGAGATTAGAAACCAGGTCTTCCTCACTCTAAGCCAAACACTCTATCCACTGCAGCACACTGCCTCTCATTTATTTACATAAATCTAAAAAATCTTAGTATCAACATAATTCTAAAAAAACGAGCAGGAGGGGATGTTTGGGTTTATCTTGGTATTGTGCCAACATAGTGACAAACATTCCCTAAAACAGAAGCCGCTTTAAAACCCAGTATGCCAGACCATAAATGATTATCACAATTATAAATGAGCTGAATGGAATACTGATGAACAGGTAGGCATCCTGTAACGCGGTTGATTACTTGAGAGGGTCAGGCATTGTACAAAAACACCAAGAGTGTGCTCCCTGCAGTTCTACTATTTCAACTTCTTTGAAACAACATATTCCATGATGGAAGATGACTTTTCTTTATCATAGAAAAGAATATATCTTGGCTTATCCTCCTGATCAGATAAAAAAAGTTAATGCTGGTACAAAGTTGAATTTACTTGCTGAAGTAGAAAGGAATGTGATTTACTACAAAAATTTAGCAATTTCTCTTGGATAGGGTTCAGAGAGAACTACAAAGATATTCACAGGAGGGAAAAACAAGCAAATCAGAAATGAAAAGGAATGAGATTTAGCCAACAGAAGAAAATGCTCACAGGTGACAATAATAAGTAATTGTGTGCTTCCTTCCCCACAGAAGATAGCACAAGAAGAAATGGGCTTTAGCTTCAATGTGAGGAATTAACATAAAGAACCTGATAGGCTTCAACACTAGAATGCATTCCCAAGGAGATCAATGGAATCATCATTAAGGGCCTTTTAAAATAACAGAGATTGTTAACTGCCAAGGTGATTTAAATATAAAGCTTAATCACGACAAGAGTATTGGCAATTTGACCTGTAAAGGAGTCTTCAGTCCTATAATTCTAAATATATGTACACTGGGGGAGGGGGGAAGCAGAGGAGCCCTCATGATTTGTTGTCTAGAATATATCCCATGAAGCATACATGGAGCTGAGCTGCCCAGGCCACTTCCAGGGAGACACAAATACATGTCTGTGTGTGTGTGTGTGTGTGTGTGTGTGTGTGTGTGTGTGTGTGTGTGTGTGTGTGTGTGTGTGTGTGTGTGTCTATATCTATATTCAATACTGAAGGACTTTAGGTCAATACAGTAATTCCTTTGTCCCTCTGATGGCAGTAGTAGTAGTAATAGTAGTAGTAGTAGTAGTAGTAGTAGTAGGGGGCGGTGACTGCATCAAAGAAGACTGTCCATAGAGCCAGAAAGAACTGCCCCCTTAGGAGACAGGTATGACTTGGCCCTCTCCTGCCTTCTCTCTTCCCGTCTGCTAAGCACGTCAGAACTTCAAAAGTCTCTCTGACTTCTGATGGGGAGATGGGGTGGGATTTCTTCTCCTCTTGCATCCTGGTAGTAATGGCAACAGACCACACATGGTGATGGCTACACACCTGGATCTCAGGAATCTAACCGACTCTTGGGCTTTGTGTTTCTTTCCCAGATCACAGGTGACTAAATAATAATTCTGAGATGGATACTTTCAGCCTCGGCAGCTACCTCATGGACTTGAGACGTCTTGAGTCATTGGAGGTCCAGTAGGACCAATCACCCCCCATTAAAATCCAAAGGAGAGTCTCAAACATTCTCCATGTGCTCAGAAGATGGGAAGAGAGAAGAAAAAGAGACTGCAGGTTATCACTTTAAAATCTACTGAACAAGTGGATCTTCTTTAACTCAGTGGCTGATTTTCTGATGTAACTTCCCCAACCTGTGTCATCCTGAAGTCCTTCAGCAATAGCAACATACATATCTACAAATGCTGAGAGAGTTCTTCTTCATGCATGCTCTAATCAGGATAAATTAGGGTGATCTCCATTATAGATGGCCCTGAACGACTCGTTCTGTTTTTTATTAGTTACTCTGGGGGGGAAGCCTCAGAATACGAGGAGATTTTTGATAGGTAAAACCCAACTTCCATAGAACTGACTATTTCTTATAAAGACACTTCCACATACTCCTGTGAAAAGTGTATAGAAACTTTAACAACTACAAGTGAATAAGGAGAACCTAGTCTTGCATATAGAACTATGGTATCCACTCCCACAGAGTCCTTCCTAACATGTTTAGACCCTGACTTCATTAAGATCCACTTAGGTGGAAGTCCTTTACCTGCTGAATTACCATCACTACTTCTCATTACATAATAAGAAGCACCTTACCTCTTCTCTATTTCTGGTGTATCCAGAAGTTGGAGTGACTGGCTGACAAAATAATCAGCAATTGGCTGATTTACAGAAATCTCCGCTTGCAACATCTGCAAATATTTCCAGAAATGAAATGAGTCTACATTAATTCATGTTATTAATTTGGACCTATATTTTATTTAATAATTTGAAAATATTAGTTATTAATCTGACATTTGAAATAAATACACAGATAATATCAAACTAACCCAAATAAAGCCATGAATTCTGAACAATTTATATTTTTATTTAGACTAGATGAAAAATATCTGTAAGGAATATAGAATAGAGGAAAAAATCACTATAAGAAAACTAGAATAATTGATTTGTTTAGTGTCTCCTAATTTCCTTTCTGCCTATGTATCTGTTTTGTTGCTAATGTTTTTAATGATAGTCAGTCAATGTGTGTGCTTGTCTAATTTAGCTATCCTTGTTACATCACATCTTTCCATGTTTTTTTATAATCTTCATTTTTGTCTTTTTTTTTTTAACTGCACAAGTGTTCTGTCCCATTGATATATCATAATTTATTTGGCTAGTTTTTAACTGTTACCCATTATGCTTGTTACCAGTATGTTTTCAATTGTCCCCAGGGCTTATCCTCTGGAGAGGGTTACATAAAATAAAGCATCTGTAAATATTTTCATCCAGATAAGTTCTTTCTTTCCTTTTAATAATGTCCTTAAAATACAGTTCCCAGCGGCAGGGTCACTGGGCAATAGTTAGTGTGTGATTGGTTATATAATTCTTATTATATATTTCCAGATTGCTCTTCTAAAAATTTTACACAAATTTATACTCTCACCAATAATCTAACAGTAGTGATAGTTTGTGCTTATAAATTATTTATAATTTCTAGAGTTTTGAGATTTGCAAAATATTTTACATACATTATCTCATTTAAGATACTTTGTGCATATTATATACATTGACCTATCTATGCTTTTGTCATGTTCCCCAGTAGAACATAAGGATTGAGAGTAGGAACTATTTTGGTATCCCCAACATCTAGCACACACTTTGGACACAATATGTACTTATACAACATTTGTTAATTGTTATAGAATTTGATCTTTGTAAAAACCCTGTGCAGTAGGTATTACAGGCATTAGCATCTCCATTTTACAGATAAAGAAGCAGATTGGGAGTGGTTGTGTAACTTGCCCATGGTCAGCCGGCTAGTAAATTAGAGATGGGATTAGAACCCAAGTCTTTCATTAGTCTACATCCACAGCCCACAGTGATTGCTCTTGGCAGCTTGGGATGAATGCCTATTTTCCTGCATTCCTGTCAACATGGAATTGTATTGTCTTCAGCCATTTTTGCCAATCTGACGGGTATAAGGTAATACTATAAATAATATTTTCCTTCTTTAAAACAAAGCCTATTCATTTCCTTAAACTTCTCCATTGAGATGGTGTTTTAATTACTTTTAATCATTTGTATCCTTATAGACTCTGTTTGGCATCTTTTTTTTTTTTATCAGTTCTATTTACCACAAAGATTTTCCCCCCTATGTTGCGGGCTCAGCTCTAAAGTCTGTATCTTCTTAGTTAAGGTTTGATGTTGGGATGAAATGAAGTACTCACAAGTCACTAAACATTTAACAAAGGAAGAGGTTTATTTTGCCCTAACACAGCAAGGATTTGCAAGAAGCATGCAGTGGCACCAAGATTCTCTGGACATGCTCCAGCTTGTCTTTATCTGGAAATGTGTCTGGTCAATCAGTCATCAGGGTATATAGCAAGACGTATAATCTTGGGCACCCACCAAATCTGACAGGCAGCAATTACAAGAGGTTGGGACCTTTTATGTTCCTAGATCAGGAAGCTGCATCAGGGAAGCTGGGGCCGATCAAGTTACACGGAGGAAGGAAGCTGTATCAGGAAATCTCTGACTTTTTCTTTTCATTTAATAATAACAGCTAATAAAAATGATATTTTTTTTGATCAACTAGCTGTATCTGACTCTTCATGACTCCATTTGGGATTTCCTTTGCAAAGATACTGGAGTGGTTTGCAATTTCCTTCTCCAGCTCATTTTACAGGTGAGCAAACTGAGGCAAACAGGGTTAAGTGACTTGTCCAGGGTCACACAGCTAGTAAGTATCTGAGGCAGTATTTGAATTCAAATCTTCCTAACTCCAAGTCTATGTTATTTAGCTACCTTTTTTGGGAATGTCTGTTCAAGAACTCTCTTAAAAAGAATATAAACAAAAATATGAATTTTTATGTCAATGATTTCTTTTATTTGTTGATGCATCTGTATTTTGCATTAAAATCGGCTTACTGGGCAGAAGAGCATTATAAAATAATTCTGCTTTAAAGATGCTTGGTAAATTTAACTGGAAAAAAAATCTAACCATCACACAAAACAGTATAATTTTTCAATACAAAATCACCTGAAACATCAGCATACAATTGAGATTTCGAATTCTGATCTGAAGATCTTCTTAATGTAAGAGTTCAGAATGTTTAAACTAATTTTTAACTTAAAATAATGCTACCAAGCATGAATCATACTTTTTGCACTGATAAATACAGGATCCACAAATCCTATATTTCTGAATGTGGTTTAATTTCAGGCCAAGAGTTTGAGGGGATGATGTCCTGAAACTCCTAGCAAGGAAATACAGGTCAGATTCCTCAATATTTCAATGGATGTTTGTCACTGGACAAATGCAAATGATTTCACCTCTGCCATAGTTAAGTCCAAGGTGCTGAAGGCTGAATTCCCTTAAGTACTATTCAAACTTTGCAAAAATGGCACATTTACTGTGTTTGCAAAAGCGTTGCGGTCACATTTGCAGAAGACGCAGAATGAGTTTCAACATTTAAACAACTAAGCAGAAGAATATAGCTTTCAGAGCTTCTTCAAGGTAAAGTCATTTTCCACATGTCTAACATGGATTTGGAGCAGTTCGATGACTCAGTGGATAAAGTGCCAGGCATGGAGTCAGGAAGATCTGAGTTCAAATCCAGCCTCAGACATTGACTAGCTGTCTGACCCCAGCAAGTTCCTTAACCCTGTTTGGCCCAGTTTGCTCATCTGTAAAATGAGCTGGAGAAGGATGTGGCAAACTAATCCTGTGACTCTGCCAAGAAAACCCCAAATGGAGTCACTAAGAACCAGACATGATTGAAATGAATGAACGACAACAATGTGGATTTGATCGCAAGAGAAACATACAATAGTGAAAGAATGAAACACCTTACCTAATTTTGAGATATTTTGCTTCTAAAAATTATCCTTTTTTTTTTTGTAAAGCATGAAAAGTAAAGAGGTTTGCTGACATTACCTCAAATGTTTTCTGCTGCTCTAGAAGATCCTCAAGTTGGCCAGCCGAGTTCATTTTCAGACATTCTTCTATCTTCTCCAAAAACTGTATCCACTTTTCACATTTATGAAGGAATTTTTCACTGAATCCAGTTCCCTGAAGTTCACTACGAGTTAAACAGGGTCATGCAAAAAGGATGTTACAAAGTGTGGCCCTTTAATTTTTCCTTAATGGACATAATATGGTATTGATGTGGTTTTTCTAACCTGCACTTCTCCAGAGCAGTGGCAGTTGCCTGACTCCACTTTCGATTCAGATTTTGTAATGTCTTTATATCTATGTCACTAAGTGGCAGCTTGAAACTCACTTCATTCAAATGTTCCATGTCAGGGGACAGTGCTGTTAATTCTAACATGTGATTCTGTTTGAAGTGGGGGAGGGGAACAAAACAAAACCACAATTAAATTCTAAAAATTTTTTTTCTTCTTCAGACATTTAAATGTTGTACAATTTTAAAGCCAAAAGGAACTTTAGCCATTATCTGATGATGTCAAAATTAAACAGAAACACTAAACCATGCATATGGATTCTTGAGGGCTGCATACTGACTTAGAAAACCATGTATTAACATTAATTCTATTCTATTCTATTTTGTTAAATATTTCCCAGTTACATTTTGGACCCTGTGTGTCAGGCCATGTATTTGACACCTGCGATCTAGACAAACTGCTGGCATTTTGTAAGTGAGAAAACAGAGGCCCAGAGAGTTCCAGTCACTTTCCAGTGTCAAAATTACTTGGCAGAATCAGAATTAGAAACCCAAGTCTCTTGACTCTTAAGCCATTAATTATGAAACAATATTTAGCGACACATTCACGTGTTCTAAGAGTGAAACAAGCATTGTTACCAACTACATACTTTGGCTGTGAGCTACAGAAAGTCACATGTAAGGCCCCGCACAGTCGATGCTATAACCGTCCTCAAGTGGCCTGGACAGCTTGCTCAGAATACACAGGATGAAGCAAATGTTGAAAAGATAATAACTATGTGATGGCATATGCCCATTATCCCATTATTGGGGAGGTTGAGGCTGGGGGATGGAGTTGAGCTTGGGAGTCCTGAGCTGCAATAGGGATAAAGCTGATTCAGTGTCTACGATAAGTCTTTCACCAATATGGTGAACCCCTGGGATTGGAAGGCCACCAGGCTGCTTAAGAAGGGGTGAAAGGGCCCAGGTCAGAACCAGAGCAGGTCAAAACTACTACGCTGGTGAGCAGTGAAATTGTCCCCATGAGCAGCTGCTGCATTTCTAACCTAGGAGACCCAGTCGAGTTGGGATGGGGGGGAGGGAGGAGGGAGGAAGGGAATGAGAAAGAAGGGGAAAAGGAAAAGATAACATACTGTATGACTGGTTGAGTGAAGCATTTTATAAATGACTTCAAGCTCCAAAGATACAAAATTATTATGTCCTTGACCTTGGCAGGAATGGTATTATTTTGCTTTGTCTCATAAGCATGGCTAATGACCTTTAATGTCTCTTATAACTCTTTATATTCCTATTATCTTTCTAGTATAACAGCATACACATATTGAGAGGACAAAATGAAATGCTCTTCACTGCTGTTCTCAGCCTTGTCAACAGTTTACCTTCAACATTTGACCTTCAATATGGAATTAGAAAGCATATCTTTTAGGTTAGCCATGAACCATATAAAATGACCTTTTAAAAACCTATAGAAAATTATGAAGATTAATATAGTAAAATTTGGATGAAGCAAAATCTAAATAACAATCTCAGTTAATTGAAAATTAATTTAACAGTCAATTTTAAAAATTAATTTTGAAATATTTTAAAAAATGAATATTTTTGAAGTATCCATTTTTGAAATAATTTGATAATTACTTTCTTAATGTACCCCAACTTGGATTGAAAGAAGCATTTCACCAGGAAATAAAAGCATAAAGAATGTTTTATATATATATATATATATATATATATATAATATATATATATATATATATATATATATATATATATATATTATATTTACATATACACATATATGTATATATTTATACACACACACACATACGTATTATGTTCTTTTTTATTTATTTCATTTTTTTTTAAATTTTTTGAGAGGCAATGAGGTTAAGTGACTTGCCTAGAGTCACACAGATAGTATGTGTTATGTGTCTGAAGTAGGATTTGAACTCATGTCCTCCTGACTCCAGGGGTGGTGCTCTATCCACTGCGCCACCTAGCTGCCCCCTATATTCTTTATATATACATGCATATATACACATACAGATCTTAATCCAGAATACATATATATGTAAACACACAAACATATATATATCTATATATATCTATGTTCAGGTACAATGGAAAAGAACAGTGAGTTTGGAGTCACATGTCCTGGGTTCAAATCCTGGACAAAACACTCAATCTCTTGGGGTGTTGATTTCCCCAAGTGGATTCAATGACTGTCAAGTTCTCTTCCGGCTCTAAATCTATGATCTCAATTCCAATTCCTTTACTTTCAACATAGGTTCAGAGATTTAGATGCGGAAAGGATGCTTAAGATTACCCAGCAGAACCAGAATGCAAACACAGATCCTCTAACTCCCAATGCAGGACTCTTTCCACTATGCCATTTACTCCCTCCATTCTACAGTCCTCTGCAAAGAGAACCCAGGTTTAAAATCATGATCCAGAAGCTGAATTCAGGAGGCTAAAGCCTCGCACAAAATTTCAATTGTGTTTGTTAACAGAGAAACGATCAAAGTAAGGAAACGGATCGACACATTTTAGAATGATTTTCAACAAAGTTTGCTTCCAAAAAAATAATTTGGGGAGGCAGAATCTTAGGAGTTGATGAAAATTCAGGAACTTATCAGTCCCTGGAAGTTCATGGTGAAAGCAATATAGAATTAAGTAAGCCAGGCCAGCAAAATAACATACACAATGATTATAAGGATATAAACAGAAAGAACAAAAGCAAAATAAATCTGAACATTGTACAATTCTAATGACCAAGGATGGACTGGTGAAAGAGCTGAGACAGTGTGCCTTCCTCATAGTCTGTGTGGAAGGGGACTGTGAGTGAAGTGCATGTACCTTTTGCCACATTTAATTATTGTACTGGGTCTAGCCCAGTGGAAATATACAGTTTGAATTCAAATAATGTGACCACATTAGAGGACCTCAACGTATCATAAGAAATAACTTAGCAATAATATTCCTTAGTACTTTTCACTAGCGTTCCCATTCAGTTAGCTGGAATGCTCTGACAGTGGAGCGTTCTAGTTAACTGGATTTGTGGAATGATTGATGAGTAATTACAAACCACTCTTTTCTTAAGCTTTATTGAATATCATTCTAAAATATGTCAGTTTATTTCCCTAATTTGGTAAAATTGGTTCCAGTTTGGAATGAATGAGCATATTTTATATATTGTAACTTTGAATAGTGTAAATTTGAATACATGCGACCACCTCAGGGCATCATTATTTGTACTAATGGGGACCAGGCTAAATCATATTTTCAGTTTTATGATTTTAAGGCAGATCAATGGCTTGTGATTCAAGAAGACTTGAGTTTTAACCCCAATTTGGGCTTTAGAGAAAACTGTCTGAGAACGTATAAATGACTATGCTCAAAAGTTATCATTCTGATTGTATACCAGCCCTACAAAGCAACACAAACTAGCCCTCTCCTTATTCTTCTGATGTTCCAAGCCCTTAGAAAGATGCCAGATTTGACTATACCAGGAGGAATTCCGGATCTTCTTCTCTTCCCTTTAGGTCCAAACTCTCTACTGGATGCTTGATACTGTCTTCCAAAGACGCTAGTTGGTCCCTGAAATCCTTCAGCTGGGAAAGAATATGCTAAAACAAGATATATTTTCATTAGAAACATTAGATACATATCTAATGAGAAGAGAAAAATAAAGTATTAAATATAATCTTTGGTTATTTATGTAATTGACAGCCATATCTACTATACATGCTTCTAAAAATTATATCTATATCTACATGTAATATGGTGATATATATCAATATATACATATATTGATATATAAAAAAAAATATCAATATAAATTAAACATGTTTTAAAAGCTGATGGTGACTTTGGATACTTGACGCTTTATCTTTTGTCTTTGGCAGTTATCCCTGGCTTATGGTGAAGAGAAAGGACCAAGGGAAGGGCTAATTAATCTGCTCCCTCTGGTGTGAGTGTTAGGAGCTACGGGTCCTAGTATACATGCTTTTGGTACAATTATCACTAACGGCCCAGCAACAAGTGAGTAAAAAAAACATCAGGTCACTTATACACAATTCAATGAATATATTTTTAAAATAACAGCAAACCTGGAAAAAATTATTCAGGATAATGTGCTGTCTTATAAACAGTTACGTATAACGAAATGTACAAACTTTCCATAAAACATGCTACCATTACATAGGAGGAAATTAATTTGGTTCAGCTTATGAAGCCGAATTCAGTTGAAGCCAAGTCCAGAGACAGAAGGATCCCCTGACTGTGCCTGAGATCACAAGATCAAAACCGAGCTGAACATTAATTTGAGCTGTACCTCAAACTCATTGGACTTCATAAGCAGCATTTTTTGCAGGTAAGAAATCCTCTGAAGTGAAGAAGATTGATTAGAAAGAACATCTTGCTTAACAGGACCTGCTTGCTCTAGGTTTGGCTCAATGACTGCTGAATTCTGAAGAAAGGTTTCTTTTATGTTCTCTAGGCCATGCTGCAAGTTCTGAAAAGAAGAAATGTTGAAAAACAACAATTTTTCCCCTACTACCAAGTAACATTTTACACAGAAGTTTGTCTTCTTAAAAAAATGCAAGCCGTGGTAACCCACGCAGCTAAGCTTCGCTCACTGTGTGGCTTGGCAGGCTGCTCACTTGAGAGACTGTTGTGAAATCAGCTATTCCAAGTCAAACAATAACTAAACGTTAAACTGCTGAATCAATGAATTCTTCTATATTTTATATTCCTAGCATTTTTAACACTGCTTTTAACATTACTTCAATGGTCAGTATAACCCCCCCCCCCCCGAGGTATTCTGATATAAACTGAAGTGTATGGAGGGCCTGCATAGTCCCAACTAGTTAGAATGACAAGCTGGTTCAGGAGCTCTTGGGTCAGTACTCTATGTTCAAAACTTCTGGTAAGTGCCTTACAATACAGAGTGTAGGACTTAATCAGAAGGAAAAAAAGGATCAAATCCATTTCCTTTAATTAGACAAAAATTTGGGCCAAAACTCAACTAGATAATAGGATAATAGTTTGTTTTCCATTTGAACAGCACCTATGAGTTTGGAGATAATGAAATTTGTGAGGCTTAATAACAATTCAAGTGAATTTGAAATACATTTACTATCCGTGCATTCTTTACTAATAATTACAAAATTATAGAGCAAGTTACACAAGAAAATATAATGCTCTGAGCAGTGTGCAAAGTCACAATGTTCTCAGAACTAGAGGCTACATTAACATAGGCACAAACCCACATTAACTCTCAAAAACAAGGATTTAACACTTCACTGATTCCTCTAGCTAGTCTCATACAGTCTAGACACAGTACTTTAAGACAGAGATGCTGAAAAGGAGTTGATCCTTTCTCATGGTGATGTCAACAGTTCATGACCACTTCTAACTTCTGGAATTTTACATTCAGTGTTAAGTGTTATCACAGCACTTTGTGGGGTGCTTTGAACTTACTTCATAATGAACTTGAAGGATTTGTCATTCTAATGATATGGGTATTTCCTTCACTGACTCTACAATGTAGGTAGTTAAGTATTGCGGTGGCCAGAAAAAAAATCACTTTGAGGTCAACCAATTGATGAGCCTACCATCAGTTTGGTCCTTGGACAAAGAACAAATTGTCCATCACCGGCCCAGACTCTGAACTCTGATAGTGTCAGTAGTACTTGGTGAGAATCTGTGCTCTGCTGGCAAAAGCAGACTCATCCATATGACAGGGCATGGGATTAAGACTGTAGTGAAGGACCTTTCACATAGTAGGGCTTTTAAAAAAAATCTTTGTTATATTTCTCTCTTTTTGGCAGAGAGGAAAGGATCACAGGGGAAGAATGCTGCATATACCATTGGATAAGGTCACTGCATTGGTTGTTTTTACTTAACTATTTTTCCATCTAATAAGGGAGAGTTCAACAACAGAGTAGAGGAGGTTCTGGAAATGACCATAATGTAAAAATAAAATGTATCAATAAAATGGAAATTTTTTTAACACGGAAACAAAAATGGGAAAAAATGTTTATTGACCCGATGTTGGGAAAACAAAATCTGGTTCTTTTGACTTCTACTAAACCCCAAAACACGTCAACTGCCCCAGTGCAGACCACTCTTTTCATCTATAAGCTTTTTCAATGTGTGCTCTCCCCCCCCACACACATACACACATACACACTTCCTGTGTCTTCATCAATTTTTGCTACTCTTTTAAATTTGACTGCTACCTCATCATTTAGTTCCAATCTTACATTTTCCCAAACCAGGGTCTTTCACTTAAAATCTGTGTGACCTTGAGCTCATTACTTAACTTCTCTGGCCTCTGTTTCCTCAGGGCTTATGAGCATTTACAGTATAGTGTGGTATTTCTATTACAAAACTTCTGAACATTTAGAGTAGTGCTGTGAGGCTTCCAGAGAATCAAAGGACTTTGTGGGTCTTCCCACCTTCCAGTTATACACAGATAGCCTCATTGAAGAGTTCAGTGTGTGAAGCTGAGGACAAGTCAGCAAGTATCTCTTCAGTCTTACTATGTGCCAAGTACTGTGCTAAGTACTGGGAATACAAAGAATAATAATAATAATAATAATAATGGCAGTGAGGTAACAATAACTAGCATTTGTATAGCACCTACTTCTGCTAGGGGTTGTGCTGAGCACTAACAAATATTCTCCTTTGATCCTCACAACAACCCTTTGAGGCATTGTTGTTCAGTTGTGTGTCTGACTTTTCCTGATCCCATTTTGGGGTTTTCTTGGCAAAGATACTGGAGTGGTTTGCAATTTCCTTCTCCAGCTAATATTACAGATGAAGGAAACTGAGGCAAAGAGGGTTAAGTGACTTGCCCAGGGTCACACAGCTAGTAAGTGTCTGAGGCCAGATTTGCACTTAGGAAGATCAGTCTTCCTGGCTTCAGGTCTGGCACTCTGTCCACTGTGCCACCCAGCTGCCCCACCCTTAGAAGTAGATGCTATTTTTATCCTTATTTTACATTTGAGGAAACTGAGGTATACAAGGTTAAGTGGCTTGCCCAGGGTCACAGAGATAGTATCTTAGGCTGAATTTGAAGTCAGGTCTTCCTGACTCTAGGTCCAACACTCTTCTCCACTGTGTCACCAAGCTGTCTCTAGGCCATACAAAATTTAAATTTTACATTAAAAGCCATCTTTAGCTCAAGGACTATACAAGCAAGATACTACAAAAGCAGGAGGCCTACAATGATGACCTCCAAAACAGATGGTCTCCAAGTTCCTTCCCAAGCTCTAGATCTATGAGACTCTGTGATATTCCTGTTTTATTGAGCTTCTGTCATACTCATTACGTATGATGTTGTTCAGTCATTTTTCAGGCATGTCTGACTCTTTGTGACCCCCATTTGGGGTGTTCTTGACAAAGATACTGGAGCAGTTTGCCATTTTCTTCTCCAGCTCATTTTACAGATGAGGAAAATGGGGCTAAATAAATGACTTGCCCATGGTCACATAGCTAGTAAGCATCTGAGGTCAGATTTAAACTTGGGAAGATGAGTCTTCCTGACTCCAGGCCCAGCACTCTACCACTGTACCACCTAGCTGCCTTATGAAAAAAATATAAGCAGTTCATTATAAACATTATAAGCTATCTTAAATCATTCTTGATCTTTGGCACTTTCCCTTCCTTCTAATCCCCAGTGTCCTTTCCACTCTCTTTTGTGTGAGATCTTCCCCTATTAGAATGGAAGCTCCTTGAGGTACTTTTTGCATTTAGCATATACTAGGCACTTTATAAATGCTCGTTGACTTGTTCTCAGTATCTCAAATGTTAGTCTTCCACCTTCAACTGGACTCTCTGTAACTTGAGGGTGGGAAGAACTATTCCCCATGATTTTCTTGAAGCTTCATAGGCACTTAGTATTGTAAGTGTTCAAAAGGTTTTGGGGTTTGTTTTTTTTTTCTGACTGATTCTCTTGTTTACTCTCAAGTCTGTTTGATTTCAGAAAAGAATGGTGAAGCTTTCTAAGATCTCTGAACAAAATTCCTTTAACACTCAGCATGATGATGCAGCATAGTTCCCAATTAGACACTCTCAAATCATACACAGATTCATTCCAATTATTCCTGGTCTCCATTTCTAAAACAGCTCCTTGATAGGACATTAATGAAACAAAATTTTCATCAAAAGATGCCAAGTACCCACAGGGAATATGGGATTGTTATTAGGCTCTAAGGTGCTTTAAGTATCTGCGTGGGCATGGGTCAACTTAAGACTTTTGAAACTAAAAATCAATAGAAATGATTTTTGAAATTAGAAATCAGTATAAATGATTTTTGAAATTGAATTTTTTAAATTAAAAATCAGCAGAATTGATATCAATGAGCTTTGGTTCAACTTTGGTTTCTAAACAAAGGCATTCAAAAAGCAGACTCTAGTTACTAAGTACTAGCATGATGAATAAAAAGAGACTGGGCTCTGGAGGTGTGCATAAAAGAAATATGAAACTTTCACACTGTATTTGCTATTGTTGTCCTGTCCAAACAAATTTAGCCAGCACACTGAATACCAGAGAAAATGATGTCATGGCTGCGTAGGCCTAGACAGATGATGATGATGATGACGACGACGACGACGACGACGACGATGACGGTGGTGGTGGTGGTGATGGTAATGATGACAGAGATAGGTTTGCAAAGTGCTTCACATATACTATCTTATTTGATTCTCACAACAGCCCCATGAGGTAGACTTATTATCCTCATTTTACAGTAGACAGAGGTTGAGTAACTTGCCCTAAGTCACTCAACTAGTAAGTATTGGAGGTGGGAGTAATGAGCTCAGGCCTTCTCAACTCCAAGTCCACTGCTCTACTCAATTTACACAAACAGCCTGAGATAACTGTTGGTATAAGAGCAAATGGTCTGCTTCCTGTGAAAGAAGTACTCAATTATGTGTTGTTGGGTGTTTTCTCCCACTCCCCCAACATATAGTTGATCTGCTTGAAATTAGCCTTTCTGGTTCTACCTGCCTATGTCTGTGTGGCCATGAATCTGCACTGAAACACGTTTGTTGCTTTCAAAATATCAGGTCTTGTATCAACTGCCATTCTTTCATCCTGTTGCTTGATAGTGGAAGTAGCATACCTGAACTATTATTGTCATCTTTCCTATCTGGCAGTTTCTTTTCTCCTCGAAGCTCTTTCTCCACCCCATGGTGATCTGTTTCTAATCACACTTGTATTTGTTGTATATAGCAATAGCTTAGGCACAAACTAGTAAAATTGCCTTGTATTAGTATTTGCAGCTTCTTGTATGTGTGTATCTATCTTTCTATCTAATATCACTTTGTCGAGGACTAGAGGAGGATAGTCCCTTATACTTTTAAATCCTCCACACAATAAGGCTTAGTAGTGACTGAATTAAATCTCTATCCTGGATCTAATCCCTTTCCTGGGTTTTTGTGCCTTCATAGGTACAGGTGCGAATGTTTTATGGTGAGGGCAGTCAGCTCTCTGTTTAAAAATACCTCACTTCATTTAATGAACTCTTACCGATGGGTGTACAACACGAGGCACGTTAACAAACAAAACACAGTCCTTTCACCCAAGGGTACTTTAAGATTATCCAGTCTAGCCTCTTCCAATAAAGAAATGGCAATCCACACAGACACCATTACAGGTTAGTCAAAGGAAAAATACGAACTAGAACCCAGGTCTCCTGATCAGAGTACAGTGTTCTTCTCCTGCTCATGGTTAAGCAAGAAGAAGGGAAGGGTCTTTGTACCTACCTTTGCATCCTCTAGTGCCCGGGTTAGGATCTCACTCAGGTTGTCTCCAGACATATTAATGCTCAAAATGTGTTTGGACTTCTCTTCAAGCTGTTTCAGCCTTGCTGTTGCTTCAGCATGAGCAACAGTGTAAGACTCCCAAAGCTGTAACATACTTTGGGCTGATTGTAACTGATCTGCAATTTCATGATTCACTCGAGTCCACCTGTCAACAAACAAATAAATGAAAAATCCTATTTATTCCATTTTCCATAATCTGGGCTCTCCAACTGAAAGTAGAAAGTAGAATGATAATTGTTATTTCCAATAATGGCTTAACTAAAAATCAAACAGAACAAAGGATTCTTTAATTTAAAACACAAATGTGTCGCTGAAAGACACATGGAGAAGACCAACTGTGGGTAAGCTTCTCCAATAAGGATGTGATATTTAAAAGAACTGATTCAAATATATACAAACAAGAGCCATTCCTCAAAAGAATAAATATGAACTGGCAGTTTTCAAAGAAAGAAATCTAGGCCTATCAATCATCAAATTTAAAAAATGCTCCAAATCACTAATTAAAATAATTAGAAAATTATTTATCTCTGAATAACTAGGGAAATTAAAATTAACTCTGAGGTTCTACCTCACACCTATCAGATTTGCAAGGATGAGGATAAAGGAAAAAGAAAAATCTTAGACACACTAATTTACTCTTGGTAGAGAAGTGAATTGGTCCAATTATTCTGGAAAGCTATTGGAACTACATCTACAAAGTCACTAAATGTGCCAACCTTTTGGCCCAGCAATACCATTAGTAGCCCTATATTTCAGAGAGAGAGATCAAAGACCCGTATGTATAAGAATATTTATAGCAATAATTTTAGTTAAAGCAAAGAATTGGAAAATAGGGGGGTGGTGAGGTACTCATCAAGTGGGGAGTGGCTGAATAACTTTTGATATATAAATATAATGGAAGAGTATTGTGCTGTAAGAAATGATGAAAAGGACCATTTCTGAGAAACCTGGGAAGACTTGTATGAGCTGATGCAGAGTGAAGTGAATGTAGATCAGAGAAAAATTTATACAACAACATGGTAAAGAAAAACAACTTTAAAGACTTAAGAATTGTATTCAATTCAATGACCAACCTCAATTCCAGAGAACCAATGATTAAGTATGCTACCCACCTCCTGACAGAGGTGATGGACTCAAGGTGAAGAATGAGAAATACGTATTTAGACATGAGCAATGAGAGAATCTGTTTTGCTTGACTGTGCATATTTGTTACAAAGATTTTTTTTTTCAATTGAGGGGTGGGAGATGGTAGGGAGAGTGGAGCTAGTCATAAGGCTGATAAGGAGAAAAAGAGAAACAAAAGAAGATCATTGAACTATCTAGAGAAATTCACAGAAGGCAACAGAAGGAAAGCCAGGAGGAAACACAGTCAAGCATGACAGCTTTGAAAGTTATATGTTGAATTTATTAAAGAGAAAAGGAAAAAAACAAAACATGTAATAGAGATGTGTGGTTTCATACACAATCCACTATTCTATTCTGTATATGGAAATGCTTGTTGTATTAGGGCTTAGATTTTAAAAAAAAAATTAAAATTAAAAATAAAATTGCTATAGCATCTGTTTTCTTTCCTCATTCTGGCTGTGATCAGAGAAATTTCTATTTTATCTGACTACCAGGAGATAGATTATATCCTCTAATGATGTTATATCTTTTTTAGAGGGAAAGCTTCCTGAGAGCAAAAGAGATCAAGAAGACTGAAAATCAGTCACCTCAGAAAATGATAAAATGTGATGGCCATAAAGCATTTTTCTATTGTCCATATAAGCTCATGGACAAGCTGGTAAATTTGAGAGACACCCTCTGTACTTATCTTAAATGTACCTTGTATGTGCTTCTTGACACTTCTGTTCAATTATCTCAGTGACCGAAGGACAATAGTCTTTGAGTTTACGAATAGCATCCTGGAGTTTGCTCCAATTTCCTTCCCTGCTCTCTGCTTCATCTTGAAGAAGCTAAGAAAATGTGTAAATAGGAATTAAGCATCATTTGATCTACTATCCAAAAGGGAAATTTGCCAGTATAACTAGATTCCAATAGTAGTAAAACACATTCAAAGACTAAAAGTAGTAAACAATTAGAAAAACCTAGTTTATAGTTTTACAAAACTTAAAGAATCACATAATTTAAGAGTCGGAAGGCATGTCAGAGGTCACTTAGTCTAACCTGTGCCTGAACAGGAATTCCTGACAATTCCATCCATTGATGGGAAACTGATACTTCTTGAAACATCCCGTTCCACTTTTGGACTGCACTCATTGTAAAGAAATTTCCCCTTACAATTGAATTATTTTGTGATTCATTGTGGTAAAGAAATTCTCTCCACTTATACTGATTTACAACTCATCTATAACTGCTACCTGTAGCACAGATTGGTTAAATAACTTAGCCTTGGTCACACAGTACATATTAAAGGAAGACCAAAACCCAGGTTCTTCTGACTCCAATTTTTAATCTCTAGCCTACCTGCTATTTCTAACCAGTCCCAGGTCACCAGACCACGTGTCAAAAACCAGCATCCCATCCATCCAGGCCATCTTGCCATCTCCCCTACTATCTCTCTTTGCCACTCGTGTTCTGGGCAGAATAATCAAATCAATACTACCTCTTCCACGTTGCCTTTTTAAATTTAAATAATTAATAAGTTAATTAACTCAAATGATTATTAACTTAAATTTAAATAATTATGTGTGTAGATATTTAAATTTTGATGGCAACAATTTCATCCAATTACTCACATAGAATGTTAACTAGACATTTCTACAAAGCTGTTCAGCGCAGTATTTTCCATGTAACAACCCAAAAGGGACTTCTATCCAATACTCTGTGTCCGATACTTTTTTGTTCCTCCTAAGTTTTCTTTCTCTGACCTGCTGTGAATATTTACCTGAAGGTTCTTTACTTGACATCTCAAAGCTTCGAGAGATAACACATCAGGCTTGCTGTGCTCCACACAGTACCAGAATCGGATTGTCATCATGTTCACTTCCTCAAAGAGTTTATCATAACTCTTTCCCTGCTGTAACACTGACTGCATGGAGGTCTTGAGTTGGTTGACCTATGGAAAAGGGATGAACAGGCTGATCTAAAAAAGAGGTTTACATTCTTCAATTACTTGGTTTTTTCTTTCAGATTTGTACTTTTACTACTAATATCAACTTTGGGATGTCCCTTTGGATGAATTGCTTATGTTTAGATAACATGACAGGATAAGTACCGTTAAGAAGTGAGATCAAGAATAACCAAGTGAGAATAGTGAGGACAGTATCTAGGGTGTTGTAGACAGGTTGACCATTAGGAGATGAAATTGGGATTGATAATTATAGTAGCAATTAAACTGTTCACATTTATGTAGTACTTCAGGGTTACAAAATCTGGCAAGTATAAAATTTTAAGTAAAAAATTTATTTAAAATATCATCCTACTACAATGCCTTACCATGATGACCCTGACTTATTGAAAGTTGTGCCAACCCAGTGCAACTTGTGACACATGACAGCAAACTAGAACATCTTTAGAGTATGGGCTGGGAGATAGACTATTATTATAGGACCAGTCTAAAAGGCTGGCCACCTGGAACACCCAGAACAATCTCCTAAAGCAAGGAGGGGTTTTGATCTGCACAGTTTGAGGGTAATCACACCAATGAATTACAGATCTTTGTGAGCTAATCTACTCAGCCTTTGAACTCTACCCTGGGGCTGAGCTGTCTAAATTGGCAAATTTACCCAGCCCATTAAGTATACTTGCTTTTAAAAAATGTTTATTGATGTAAACAAAATGTTTTTACATTACAAACATTTACAAATTGCCTCTTCTTCATAAGAAGTTTCTGGTAAAAACAGGACTTCATCTGAAAGTATATGCAACATACCACATCTGTAGCACCAACCTCACTATTTTTAATTGTTTTTTTTAAATGAACAGAAATATGTTTTCTCTCCCTGCCACTCCCTACCCAACTGGAAAAAAAAAAAAGGAAAAGAACATGCACGTGTGTGAATATATGTGTATGTATGCATAGCTACATACATCTCACTCTACACCCTAAATCTGTCATCTCTGTGTTAGGAGGTAGATAGTATGTTTCGTAATCAGTCCTTTGGAATTTGGGATGGCCACCATATTGATCATCACTTTCACATCTTTCAAAGTTGTTCGTATTTACAATGTTGATGCTATTGTGTAAGCTGTTATTCTAGTTCTGCTTATTTCACTTTTCATCAGTTCATCAGTTTGCATCAAAATCCATGATGCTTTAAAATCACCTATTTCATCATTGTTTACAGCACAATATAGCTTTATCACATTCATATACCACCCCCTATTCATCCATTATATCTAACTGTTCCCAGTCTACCAAACCATGCTTTACATTCCAACATCCCAACCTAGTCATCAATCCATGACCTCTTGGTCATCTGTCCTACTATCCTGCTTTATTTCTAGTTCATAAGTATTGCCACTACATTTAGTCAATGTTAATTGATTACTCTGTGGCTCAATTTACTATCTTCCCTGACTTCCCAGATCAAAACTCCCTTCCCTAGTCACCATTCCCTACATATAACTGTCTCAGTTTATTAGACTGTAAGCTACTTGAGGGCAGGGAATTTTTGTGTTTATATCTTCAGTACTTAGCACAGTGCCTGACATATAGTAAGCACTTAATGAAGCTTTTTCATTTATTCACTCTTTTAAATTATTTGAAGATCTTAACACATAAGTGGTTATCATATAGGGTCTGCTACGGCAACTGTAACCAATCATTATCAAATTGTATAATAATAAAAATTTTGGAAAGGTGTACATTATATAGGGCATTCCAAAAGTCTTAGTGTAGTTTTATCAGTTTTTGGAATGTGACTACTTAAGTTACAGTTTTTAGATTCAATCATACAGCCTTGTAGTCAGAATCCTGAAAACAGAATTTAAAATGAGGTTCTAAATATTTCCACAATAATGGCTTACTCGATTTCCTCCCAAAGTTGAGTGAAAACAAAATGGCAAGTTCAAGTGTGAATTCTACATTTACATTAATATGCATCAAACATCCCTGATCCTCAGATTCCTTATCTGTATAATAAGGGGGTTGGCCTAGATGGCCTGTGAGGTCATTTCCAGCTATGGATCTATGACTGTACGGCCACATCCGAGTTTTATTGCCTTATGGGCAATAAATATGGGCTCAGAAACATACATAGTCACAGCTCAGATGGAAAGAATGGAGTGGGAATTTCCAGCAGATGAGAAAGCAAAGATTAATATGACACCAAAAATATTCTTTGAGACTAGTTTCATCACTATACTTCTGCTCATGGTATTGCTGGAGAATGCTTCTATTTGATGTAATCAGGTAGAACAATGTTCCGACACCTCTGAAGCATCTACCCTGATGAAGGAGCTCCACATTCTCTTCCATAGAAACCATTGCCTCTCTCGCATATCTCTTCAATGATGGAGATAATGAGTCATGCTTAGCCAGAAAATGCTGCTACAAGTCAAACTCAAACAGGGGTATTATTAGGGACAACATGTATGTTAGCCTTGCCCAATACAAACATTGAGCTTGATGTAATATCTAGGGCTTTTGCCTCTACAACACAACAAGTCTTTAGCAACACATCCTTCTGCTCCTGAAAAGTGTATGGCATGGAACATTTCTCCACTAGTGAATGGAAAACTGTAAAGAAAGAATAAATGGAAAAAGATATATTTCAAATATATTCCACTACCTGATTGACAATGTTGTTCCTCATTTGATATAAACCATCAATTCCAGAAATAGTGTCCGTGACACTGGCAATTGGACCACTTTCCAAAGCCGTATAATTCTCTTTTAGCTCATCCAGTGTTCTGGATTTAGTTGCCAAGTGATTTTCTAAGTCCTAGAAAAGAAAGAAATATATAGCTCTTAGCTGCATAGAATTCCAAAGTGTTCATGAATGGTACTAAGGACAAAGGATTCCCCTTTGTAAGTCTGTTCAAGAGAGCCATAGTGAACCTCTGGTAAATATTCCATTCATAAAAAAAATCATGCATTTTGCACAAGGATATAATTTATAATATAGCATAAACTACATTGCACAAGATAGTCTAACTGAACCTCTCTGCCTCTAGATTTCAGAAGAATTCAAACCAGTTACATTAGATTGTTTATAAAAATCTAATATCTACTATCAGGCCAGTTAGGTGGTACACAGTGGATACAGTGCCTGGCCTGCAGTCAGGAAGACTCATCTTCCTGAGTTCAAATCTGGCCTCAGACACTCACTAGCTGTGTGACCCTGGGCAAGTCTTAAATTTAACCCTATTTGCCTCATTTCTTCATCTGTAAAATGAGCTGAAGAAGGAAATGGCAAAACATTCCATTATCTTTGCCAAGAAAATCCTAAATAGGGTCATACAGAGTCAGACATGACTGAAATGACTGAGCAACTGCAACAAAAAATCTATTATCAAAAGCCAATTTAATGGAAAAATGATCATAGCAAGCATTTGTACAGTGCTGTAAGATTTGTGAGGAGCTTTACAAATATAATCTTACTTCATCCTCATAACAACTCTATGGGTAGATGCTATCATTATCCCCATTTTACAAATGAGGAAACTGAGGGATACAAAGGTAGAGGGACTTGCCCAGAGACAGTGACCAGGGCAGAATTTGAATTCAGGACTTCTAGAGTTTACGTCCAATACGCTATCCAATGAGCTACCAAGTTGCCTCACCATCCCTTGGCAACAAAATTAGATCCCTTCGCACCTTTTTAGAGTCATTTGTTTATAACATAATTGATTCTTATTAATTCATCCAAGTGAAAGAAAGAAGTCTTCAGTCCTCGAAAGAGCAGTCTTTGAAAGCAAGAATGACAATACCCATCTGGTGGGCTGCAAAACTTCATAGAAGTTTATATATATGTATATATATTGCTCATTTGCTTAGCAGCAACAACTAAGGCCTTGTTTCTGCAGCTTAGTTTATCGGCACCTTGACCATCTAAATTACTCTGCTGAAAACTTGATGAAAGAAGCCAATTGCTACTACCCCGTACTTGTGGCACACAGGCTCTTAAAACACTCTTTCTTAATGCAATCCTCTAAAAACACTATCATTCATCTCAAAATATGTTTTTATGATTTTAAGCTTAACCGTATTTCCTATCATCAACTTGGAATTTCAAACAACTTGATTCTTTCTATATGTTACAGGGTAAAAGCTTGGAGTATGTAAATCAAAATAATTCTTGACTTTCCTCTTGCTTTGAAATGATAAAAACGAGTTCCTCCCTTCCCCCAAAGACCCAGCTGTTTAGAAATCTTTGAAACACTTATTTACTAACAAGTTGGCATGTTTTCCCCATACTTCAGGAAAACTGTTAAGAGGAGAGCTCCTCAATGAAGACGAACTGTTATTAGCAGAAAACAGCAGGGAATAAACAACACAAGACAGCTGAAGAAGTGACATAAGGCTTCTCTTCTGTCACCATGGTAATGAAAGTACACGAACATTTTAAAAGGAAAAATAAAGGTAAAATTAATCTTAAGGAATCATGAAAAACAGTTTTCACAAGAACATGGTGTTAGCATTGTAGTCTGAGAATTTGCTAAAGTTGTGGTGAAACATCATTGTAGTTTTCATATTTCCCTATCTCCCCCTTCTCTTTCCTTTGAAAATCCATCCATTTCTCTTTTATGTCTTCATCCTCTTTAAGTCTGATTTTCTGTATATTATATGGCTTTAATTTGTAGAGTGAAAAAGTTCTAAGGTATACAGAGTTTATCAGGTATGCTTTACCACCCCAATCTGTTGCTGTTTTTGAGAAAAGTCATGCTGAATCAATTTAAAGAAGTTTTCCTTCACATGAAATAAGAAAACACTACACACAATGTCTATGATAACATATATGAAAACAACATTCAAATGCATTGAAATGACCAACCTTGGTCTCAAAGAAAAGGGGTTGAAACAAATTTCTTTCCTTTTGCTAGAGATGTCTCAAACTATGGGTGTGGGATGCTGAACATACTATCAAGCACAGCTGCTTTGTCAGTTAGACTTTGATAAAAATTTTCTTTGTTACATGGAAGAATTTAATGGGTGAGAGGATATGTTGGAAAATGGTCCTGATGTTTTAAAAAGGGTACAAATAAAAAGGTATTAATCAAGAAAAAGGGCAAAGTCATGTTCTGTGATATTTTAAAAATATCAAATTTCTCTGCAACTATCATGATGAATTATCTACAGGGTGTCTCAAAAATCTTAGTGTAGTTTATGGTCTAAAATTACAGATTTTAGGGACGCTGCATAACAGGAAATTAAGATGTTAGGGACACTGCATAACAGGTTATAATAGCTTATAGCCTAAAACTACACATAATGCTGCAGGGAGAGTCAGAGGGCAGAAACTCCATGCCATCTTATCCAGTTTTCCTCAGTAAAATTATTTTAAGCTTGGTCATTTTCTAGTCATTTAGGACTTTTACTAAACTTGAAAGTATAATTAGTAGTCTTGAGTTTGCATAACTTCCTTCTGAATTCTCCAGGGGAAGAGGGAATGCAATAAGTTTAGCTGATATGGAAATACCAGGCTTGAATAATTAGTGAGACTGGTGAATCTCCATGTTAACTTCCTTATCCATGGATGCATAGGAGGAAGGCAAAATAGCCTTTGTAGAAAAGAAAGACAACACAACAACAGACTTGTCACATACCTAGTTAATGATGCACAAATTATTCACTAACAATAGAAGTTAGTGTTAATGGAATTTCCATTTTACTAACACATAATTATCATTAAGAGCTCAAAGGTATTGCCCATCATTATTCACAGCATTATCATAATTTGCAGATTGCCAATAGTGGATGCAATGCATAAGAAAAGGAATACATCAAATTCCCTCAGGATTAATGCTAAGTTGGATTTCTGTTCTAAACATGACAGGAACTCAGTGGAAAACATTTATTTTTCATCACAATACTTATCAGCTGGAAGAAAATTCTCTCTCTCTGAAGAGGGTCAGAATGAAAGAACTAAAAAATAATTTTGCAGCAATTTTGTAATTAGAAGACTGGTCAAAAGAGAAATAAGTCAAATTAACTGGTAGCTGACTACACTTACCTTTGCTAATTTTTTTGCTGAAAAAAAAAAAGCCCCAATACCCTCAAAAGCTTCCAGTGACAAAAAAAACTAACCCTACAAACTGTTCTCCCCAAATCTTCTCAAATGAAGGTTAACATGTATGTAAAATAAACTCTGTCTCATAAACATGGATGATCACCTAATTATAAAAGCAACAGAATGCAGTGGAAGGAACACTAGATTTGGAGTTAAGAAACTTTAGTTTGACTCCCTGCCTCCAACAGGGTAGCAAATATATAAAACCATGGACAAGTAACTTAACCTCTCTGAGACTCAGTGTCGTCATTTGTGAAATAAGGAGAATAAAACCTGCAAAGCCCACCTGTAGGATTGTTGCAAGGCTCAAATGAGACACTTTATATAAAACTCTTTGGAAACCCAAAAGCACCATAGCAATACTAGCTATTATTATTATATGTACAAAAATGTAGGAGCAGCTAGGTGGCACAGCGCTGGGCCTAAAGTCAGGAAAACTCATCTTCCTGAGTTCAAATCTGGCCTTAGACACTTACTAGCTATGTGACCTTAGGCAAGACCTGTTTGCGTCAAGTTTCTTCATCTGTAAAATGAGCTGGAGAAGGAAATAGCAAACCATTCCAGTATCTTTGCCAAGAAAACCCCAAATGGGGTCATGAAGAATTGAATATGATTGAAACAACTGAACAACAAAATACAGGAATGTATATACAAGTGTAGCTTCATTTGAACTTTCCCTACCTCCAAGAATGAAAAAAGCCTATGAAGTTAAAAAAAAAAAACAAACCCCACATATTTGTGACATACTTAAATCAAGTATCTTATAAATGCTAGGTTGTTTTTACCTGACAGTCCAACAGAGTCTTCCTCACCGATATTACACTTCCAGGTTTTTGTAATGTTTTTAGTCTCTCTCCTTGGGCTTCCATCCAACTCCTCAAAGTCTGTATTTTGTTTTCACTCTCAGTGATAGACTCTAGAAGTTGTTCTAAATGTTGAATCTGCAAAATGTATGCCTTCAATCAAATGCACTACATATGTGAACGAATTACATTGCTTCAACAGTTTTCAGAGGACTTTTTTCTCTTACGTTTCTTTCTTTAAAATAATATTTTATTTCCCCCCAATCATATGTAAAAACAATTTTTAGTATTTGTTCTTTTTTTTAAGTTCTGAGTTCCAAAATTTATTCCTCCCTCCCTGAGACAGTAAGCAATCTCATATAGGTTATATATGTACAATCATGTAAAATATTTTCATATTGGTCATTTCTCTTATATTTCAAATATTTAAACCTATGCTTTCCTAGCAATTCCTATCAAAATATATTAATTAAAAAAAAAAAGGAAAACCTATCAAGTCTCATTAAAGACCAATATTTAAAATAAAAACTAAACTACTGACTATGTAGGTTGGCAGTTATTATTGAAGCTATATGATAATTGTGAGAAACATACTCAATGTTTTTACTCTTCTTTAGTAATTGTATAGAATGAGAAAACATGAAGAAGTTACCACCTGATTAAGTTCCAAAAGAGCACCCAGACTGATGAAATCACATATCCACAAGAGGCTATTTTTTTTACTCTCTTTCTAAAGTGTACACAAATCTAAAAATTTCTTTCTCCAGAATTTTCCTACTATGAGTATGCCTTTATCAATCCCCTCCAGATGACCAGGGTGATATTTCATTAACAATGTATCTTTGGACAGGGCAGAGGAGAGGGCAGTTATACTCACATTGTGAAAGTTTATATAGAATTATATCTAGTTCCACAGGGAATGCCAATAACCATACAGTTGTCCATACAGTACATTTCACCATCTTGAATAGATTTTTCCTGTTCTTTCACTTAGTTGGAATTTTTTTCTTATTCGTTACCAGGGATAGGGAAAGGTACTGCACCTTTCATTGATACAGGGAACCCCACAATGCAAAAAATACCCATTTTGGCACCTCCTGTGTGGCTTAAGTCTCAGTCTAGAGCCCTGAGAGGATAAGTAACTTGCTCAGAGTCACACAACTAGGATACAGCAGAGGCTGGAATTGAACCTGGGTCAGACTGGCTCCTAGGCCAGCTCTTTAACCAGCAATCCATACTGTCTTCACTCACTCTCTCATTGCTTACTAATGAGACTCAAAAAATGAAACCCAATAATTTTCATAGGATATTAGGGTGACCTTGGAAAGTCAACTTAACTGTGCTGGGCCTCAGTTTCTGCATCTGTAAAATGAAAGGATGAGGCCTGGGAGATCTCTTCTAGCCATAAGTCCAAGGTGCTATGCATACTTTTCCAGGAAAACTGAAGGGTTTTTACTTCAGGGAATAAACATATGATAATGTAGCTATTTGAATGTCTTCTTTTTTAAGAACTCTAAATACACTTTACTTAAAATATTATACTTAACTATATATGATTATATAATATATAATTATATTACTTGTAACATATGGAATACATACTTCAAAGAATGACTGAGATTAAAGACACATTTATCTGTAAATTTGAATAAAATATTCTATAAACTCTAGATTCTTTTTATCTGACTATCCAGTAAAGTCTTCCAAACTTATATCACAGATCCAGGTTTCTAAATGTGTTCAGTCAATTTCCACTATATGCATGATGTCCCCAAAGACTTGCGGCAGTTTTAAGTTTTAATACCTTAAAATTGCTTAATAGCTTAAAATTAATACACTCTAACATGCCTCACTTTGTGTAATATAAATTTATATAGGGTGTCCTCAAAGTCTTATTGCAGTTAAAACTTAAAACTTCAGTACAACTTTGAGGGCACCATAAGTATGCGTATACAAAGTGAGACATATTACAGTTTAATACTATATACATGTGCTATGTATAATACATACACAATATGTAACATGTTTCTATATGTATTATATTTAGTACCTATATTATAAACAGCAGCACATATATTTATGTTATAGATCTGATATATTGAGAATGAGGGATGATTGATGGAAAGCCCACATGCTCTACTGATATCCTCTCAATGTGAAGAAAATGTGAAGGAACTCCCAACCTTCTTCAATGGATGGACCTCTTGTGGTAAAACTAATGAGGGAAACATAGATTCATCATCATATCCTGGAGGATACAAGCAAATGTCACACAGGATGGGCTGACATGGATGGGTTGCATGATATCCTGGATGCATCTGTATTACTGGAGAGAACTTCAAAATGAACGAGATCTCAGATCCATTTGTATATTTTGAGACTATGCATATATATATATATATATATATATATATATATATATATATTCAATGTATATATATATCAGCATATCCATGCCTGCTCTTCCTATGTGGTTCTTATCCATTTTCTCTTAAAAGTTTATCATGGGGGTTCACTCAATGTGCTGGAGACCTCCCATATATGTACAAATGTGGGTTTTAAACTGTTAAAACTTAGTAGTACATGAAGATTTCTCTCTCTCTGTGTATATATGTATATATAATGTATATACATACACACATATACATATACATACATACATACATACATATATGATTTAGCCCAAGCTAAAAATAGAAAACTGGAAAACAATTAGGAGCAAACCTTTCTGTTTAGTGTCCCATGTAACTTATGCCACTGACGATTCATTTCTCCAAGGCGCTCTGCAAATTCAGTTCTTTCATAACGCTTACTTTCTACATCGCTGGTGCTTAGCTGTAGCAGTGACTGATTGACAAAATCAATGATCCACTGTTTGTAATTCATTTCCATCCTAGATTCCTAAAAAAAAACAAAAACAGAAACAAAACCATGAACAGTAGATAACTTTCTAAAGTGTTTATGGAGTGGGGGTGAGGGGAACAGGAGAGAGACACTTAAATAAATTTGAAGGAAGGTCATCAAGATGGATTTTCACTTCAGTGTCCTCCAGGGGAGGAGTCTTTATTAATGTGCTCTCTAACTAAAAGCCAACTTAGCATTCTGTCCCGGGACTTCTGGCCAATTCTGAAGCCTCCTAAGCTCTTAGTGAGATGACTGAAGTGCTATATATAGCTGAGGCAGATTCAGAAAACCTGTTTCTTTCTGGAAATGCCTGGAAAAATCCTCTTCAGGGATGGTTAATTTCAATTTATAGAGAGCCCTTGGAATGGTGATTCACTGGGAGGAGGTGGGGAGCATAGCACTTTGCTTTTATGCAGACGTATAACTGGAAAATCATTTATTAAGTTCTGACTATGTACACTGTGCTTGGGATATAAATACAAAACAAAGAAATTATTTTTATCAAGTAGTTTATAGTCTAGGGGAGAAAAAAATAAATACAGGGGAAGGATGTTTTGGTTTGGGAAGCCAACACCCTCTCACTAAATGATTGAATATTTAAAGAGAGTTACCTTGCCATTGGCAGATAAATCTTTCCTCTACCCACCAGGCCAGCAAAGGCCTAGAGTGCACACCTCACGAAATATGGCTCAGAGAACAGAAACTTCAGCAAACTATGCCTCCTAGAAGTCATCTTTGCTTTTTAGAATCTCTAGCATCCTTCAAGGCTCAGGTCAAATGCCACCCCTCAACAGGAAGCCCACCTTGATCTTTCCTGGAGATAGCTAGTGCCTTGGAGATGGAAACTACTTTGTATGTGTATATCTATCTGTCTATCTATGTATGTCTATATCCATATCTATATCTATATTTAATTTTCTACATACATATTGTTTCCTTCCCACAGAATGTAAGTTTGGTGAGGGCAAGGAAGCTGTTGTATTTATCCTTGTATCCTCAGTACCCAGCCCTGTGCCTTCTCCCTCCTCGCACAGTAGTAGTTCTCAGAGAGGATGTTCTGAGTTTTACTAATCGTGCTAAGAAGCCCTTCCCCTGTGGCACAGAACGTTAGGTGGAGGAGATACAGAGACAATTCAATCGCAGGTATGTATTGATGCTTTCTGCTCAGCCGAATTGAGAGGGCGCCACTTTGTGGTCACGGGGCTTTAACTTGTTATGCCGCGGTTAACTCTGCATTGAGCTGTGCTGGCACTGAACTTATCAGTTGCCAGATTAAAATGAAGAAGTTAGTCTTAGTCTATATCCAGTGGATATAGCACTCATCTTGGAATCAGGAAGACTTGAGTTCAAATTTAGTCCCAGACCCTTACATGTTGTGTGACCCTGGGCAAGTCACTTAACCAAAGCCTGCCTCAGTTTTCTCAACTATAACATGGGGATAAGAATAGCATCTATCGCACGCATTGTTGTGGGGATCAGATGAAAGAACAGTTTTTAAGTACTTATCAGAATGCCTGGCACATAGTAGGCACTTAATAAATGCTTGTGCCCTTCCCTTTTCTCACCTCCCATTCAGACTGACCACGAGTATGCCCAAAAAGTATGACCTGAGTTTTACTGAATGTGCTGAGACCCTTCCCCCATGCTCCCAGCCTTTCACATCTCCCAGCCCCCACCCCCAGATGCAGTTTGCTACTGTTCGTCTGGGTTTGGTGTCTAGGAGGTCACAATAGCATCTGCCTCTCTCCACTGCTACGATGCCACCTCCTTGATTGGAAATTCCATGGGAACTTCCAATATGAGGAGGGAGAGAGATATGAATCCCAAGGCCTGAGTAATGGGTCTGGAGGCCCACTTTTCTAGGAGTCTTCCTTTGTTGCCAGTACTGTACTAGGTGCCCCCATCACCACCACCACCAAAAAAAAAAAAAAAGGAAAAGAAAAGAAAAGCAAAAGTACTAGAACCACTGCCCTGGAGATTCACATCTGGAAATCTTTTTAACTACCAGCAAATGAACACCATGGGACAATATAGGGAAACTACATATAAACTCTGTGCCATCATTATTTTGTTAACTGTAAATCTAAAGATCAATCAATAAATCAATATTCTTCAAGCATCTACGATGTACTAGGCATAAAGTGCTAGGTGGAAAGGACACAGAGGCAGAAATAAAAAACAGTTCTTGCCTGCAAGGAGTCCTATTAGGGGAAATGGCATGTATGAAGAAAATTAAAGGTCTTTCTGCTTCCAGGAGCCAAGATGGCAGAGTAAAAAGATGGTCACTCTCATTCTCCCCTATCAACCTCTGAAAACCCAGAAAAAAACCCTGGAACATCTGAAAGACAGGGAACAGCAGTGCAGCAGCCCAGCAAATGGGTCTCCCAGTGCCTCAGCAAAAATAAGGGAAGCAGCAATACAAAAGGCCCCAGGCGGATGAGTAACCTGCAGCATTCATCTGAAAAGAGCTGAAGAAAGCCACCTAAAGTCTACCTAAAGTCAGAGCCTTGCTGATTCCAGCCCAACACGAGGTAAGCTGCCAGAACCCTACAGCCTCCAATTGCCAACATAAGAGGCCCCAGCCCACAAAGCCAGTGACCAAGACCTAGGCTCCCAACACAAGAAGCTTGGGTCAGTGCCCTCTGTTCCCCAGCAGGAGAGCTCAATCTCTTTAAAGGCCAGGGGATAAAGAAACCATGAGTAGAAAGAAATGTACCATAGATTCATATTATGAGAAGAGTGAAGATCAAGACAGAAATTCTGAAGAGGACAACACTGTCAACAAACCCACATCTGCAACATCAAAAGGGAATATGAACTGGTCTGAAGCCCAAAAAGCCTTCTTAGAAGAACTCAAGAAGGATTTTAAAAGTCTAATAAAAGAGGTAGAAGAATCCTTAAAAAATACAATTGGCCAATTGGAAAAAAAGTACACTGAAGAAAACAAGTCCCTAAAAACAAAATTGGCAAACTGGAAAAAAAAGTACACTGAAGAAAACAAATCCTTTAAAAATACAATTGGCCAATTGAAGAAGGAAGTACAAAAACTAACAGAAGAAAGCAATCTGTTAAAAACTAGAATTAGACAAATGGAAACTAATGACTCTCTGAGAGAGCAAGAATCAGTCAAACAGAAACAAAAAAATGAAAACATAAAATACCTCATCGGTAAAACAACCGACCTGGAAAATCGATTCAGGAGAGACAATTTAAAAATCATTGGACTACCTGAAAATCATGATGAGAAAAAGAGCCTGGACAGTATCTTTCAGGAAATCATAAAGGAAAACTGCCCAGAAGTCCTAGAACCAGAAGGGAAAATAACCATAGAAAGAATCAGCTCACCACCTGAAAGAGATCCAAATTGACAAACCAAGGAATATAACAGCAAAATTCCAAAATTACCATATGAAAGAGAAGGTGCTGCAGGCATCCAGAAAGAAAAAATTTAAATATCACGGAACCACAGTCAGGATTACACAGGACCTTGCAGCTTCTACATTAAAAGACCGCAGGGCGAGGAACATGATATTCCGTAAGGCAAAGGAGCTTGGATTGCAGCCAAGGATCAACTACCCTGCAAAAATGAGCTTGATTTTTCAAGGGAGGAGATGGATATTCAATGAAATAGGGGACTTCCAAACTTTCTGATAAAAAGACCAGAGCTCAACAAAAAATTTGATCTTCAAGTACAAGATTCAAGAAAGACATAAAAAGGTAAATGGGACAGAAAGATACAAAATGTTGTTAATAAGAGCAGACTGTTTACATCCCTACAAGGGAAGATGACACTTGCAACTCTTGAGAACTGTATTGTTATTACACCACGTTAAAGAAGTATACATAAAGGAGGTGGATATTAATTGACTTTGATGTAATGATAAAAAAAAATCTAATCAAGTGGGTTAAATAGATCCAAGTAAGTGGATTAGTCTGATCTTAGAAAATGTACTGAGAAAGGAGGAGGCAGACAAGGGTAAATTACATTACAGGAAAAGACAGAAAATCCTGTTACAGCAGAGGGAAAGAAGGAGGGGGTGAACATTGTTTGAACCTTACTCTCATCAGATTTGGCTCAAGAAGGGAATAACATAATCAGTTAGGTATGGAAATCTAACTTGCCCTATGGGCAGTAGGAAGGAAAAGGGGAAAGAAAAGGGAGGGGGGATGGAAGGGAGGGAAGAAGCAGTGGGCGAAGGGGAAGAGGGGGAGGGGGATAATAGAAGAGAGAAGAGACTGAAGGAGGCGGTGGTCAAAAGCAAAATACTGGTGGGGGGGAAGGGAGAGAGGAGAAAGAAAAACATAAACGGGGGAAAAAGGATGGAGAAAAAGACACAGTAATCATAACTGTGAAAGATGAATTACTATCTTTTTTTTTCTCTTCTGTTGAGTTTTGTTTCCTCTTTCTGATGGTTCCTCCTATTGGTTTTAATTTTTAATTACAACTTCACTAATGTGAAAATATGTTTAATAGGAATGTAAATGTATTGCCTATATCACATTGTGTACCATCCTGGGGAGGGTGGTGGGGAGGAAGGGGGAGAAAAATTTTAAACTCAAAAGCATATGGAAATGATTGTTGATAAATCAAAATAAATTAATAAAATATATAAAAAAAAGAAAAGAAAAGAAAAAAGAAAATTAGATACAAGAAATAGAGAAATTAATTTCCAGGGAGAAGTCACAAGCAACGGGTAGGGGAGAGGGAATCAGAGAATAAATAAATACCAATATATACAAAGACCAATAAGAAGACTATTTTCACATTTAGCTCTAAGAATATTTATGTTTTCTTAATAGGATGAGGGAAAGAATTTGTTGCATTTTTATATTTTTACTCACTTTTTCTTGGTCTATATTCAGTTTAATTTATTTTCTCTATCACACAGCTTTAGTGTTTCCCTAAGGCCTGATTTAATTTGAGTTTGTTTGTTTTTTTGCTTTTGTTCTGAGATTTCTGGTCCCTTCTTAATAGTTTTACCTTGTACTTCTGAAGAAGACTTTTCACTTGAGTTACAGAACTTGGTGAATCTACAGTGGCCTCATCTGCTATCTGCTTTTCTATGCTGTCCATCCAGTTAATCATTTCAGTGATTGCCTTACGGGATGGCAATTTCTCCATTTGAAGCTGCAAGGACAAAATGATTTCCATTTAATTACTTCCAGTTAACAGCATGAATCAGGGCAACGTCAAAGATATCTGATTTGTAAAAAGGTCTCACTCCATAATTATGAAGGTTACTCACAAAAACAAACTCAGCACTCCAGCTCAAAAATAAGCAATGCAAAAAACAATGGAGATGACCTTCTGTATAAAGTATGAGAGAGGCATAAGTAAACTGGGAAATAGAGTAATTAAAGCCCCAATTCTCTCCTAAGAATGATCCCAATGGAGGAGTGTCTGGTAATTAAGACCTGTATTCAGCAGCGCTATTAGAGAAAAGCAGACAACAATAATGCCAATCACTGAATCAGAGAATTGACTTTAAAGACATTATAAGCTAAGAATTGAAAGTTTTGGGATTTATGCTGGGTTCTTTGATATTTATTTACCTGATGGAGTTTTTCTTGGATATCTGGAAGCTGAGTGATCAGAGTTGCCCATTTTTGCTCGAATTGCGCTAAAGAAGATCTCAGTGTAGCGGTATCGGCTTCTTTCAAGTGAAGAAGCTGGTTTCCTGTGCTAATCACAGAAGTCTTCAAGGAAGATTTTTCATCCACTTCCTTTGAAAATTCCTAATGGATACAAACTTTACAACTGAGTAATCCCCTGGAGATCTAACTTTCACTAAATTGGCTGATATGCAAACTAAGATTGAAAAAATACTTGTTGATCATCTCAAAAAATATTTTTGAAGTGAAATTCATTGTCTCAAACCATTCAAATCACTTTTCATGCTTTACAAAGAAATTCTTTTTTTAAAAAAATATTTTATCCCCCCCAATTTCATGTAAAAACAATTTCAAAGAAACTCTTCATACAACACAAGGTTCTGCACGAGCAAAAGAAAATTTTTGAGAGTTGCTTAAAACCAATAAAGCACAAGCAGTCAATTTGCATTTATTAAGTTCCTACTACATGCCAGCCACTGTGCTAAATGGTGCGGACACAGATACCACAATTATTTTCCATTCATTAATATTTATTTTGCATTGAAAGACAATAACAATTGGATTAGACATGATGACTAATACTGGAACAGATCTGTTTCCTGTCAGAAGGGACAAACTGGCTCATGGATAAGAAATGCTATATATTCAACTGAGGTCAATACAGTGGACAATTTTGTTTTACTTTTCTTAGGTAAGGGAAGGTATAATAAAGACACTATTGGAAAACGATTGTGGCAAAAAAATTAAAGCTGCATCAATAAAATATTTTAAATCTTTAAATTTTAAACTTTTTTTTGAAAAATTACATTTTTAATGTCCATATTAATAGTTATAACTCAAAATTCTGAGAGAGTGCTCTCTTTCTACAATGGAAATATTATGGAATACATCAGAAAATCAGGATCAACAAAGCACAGTTCTCCGATGCAAATATAATAACTGGAAATTGCTACAAAAGTAGAATTTTACTTCTTTACAAATAATTCCAGCATGAGTCTGATAGTTTTCATAGGAATATTGAAGTGCTTCTCAAATAGATTGATCCAATGTTGTCAAATTAATCAACTAATCTTTAATTCATTAACATTGCTTTATCCCTTGTATTTAATGTATGCCCACAATCTGGCTGGTTTTTATATCATTTACTTAGACATATCCACATTACTGTGTCTGCTTGGACTGTGTGTCTGCTCTATTTAAAAAAAAAACAGAAAATAAATACAGAAAAAAATTCTAAACTGGAGAGACAGTTACTATTAACCAATTTTCATTGAGGCAACTAGGTGGCTAAGTGATAGAGTGCTAGACCTGGAGTCAGGAAGATCTGAGTTCAAACTCAGCCTCAGACACTTACTACCTGTGTGACCCTGGGTAAATCACTTCACCTCTGTTAACCTTAATCCACTGGAGAGATATGGCAAAGCACTCTTGCATCTTTGCCAAGAAAACCCAATAGACAGTATGGTCCACAGGGTCCTAAAGAGTTGGACATGACTGAACAACAACGATTTTTAGGAAGTTTTCATGGAAGCAATGAACACAAGCTTGGGTAGACTTTGGGAGACAGTGGAAGAAAGAAAGGCCTGGTATGCCATAGTCCACAGGGTCACAAAGAATTAGACATGACTGAACAACACATTTTCATTTTCTGTAGATTCAGGTGCATATTTACACTAAAATGTCAATGTAACTTTTCTTTAACAAATTAGTTTTTTGTTTTCATTAGTGATTTCATGCATTCAGGGAATTTCCAGTGAGGAAAAGTATGTAGATCAGCAAGTTGTTGTATAGTTGTTTGAGTTGTGTCTGATCCTTTGTGACCCCATTTGGAGTTTTCCTGGAAAACTCATTTTACTGATGAGGAAACTGGTTAAACAGGGTTAAGTGACTTGTCCAGGATCACACAGCTAGTAAGTGTCTGAGGCTGGATTTGAACTCATCTTCCTGACTCCAGGCCTGGCACTTTATCCACTGTGCCACTTAGATACCCCAAGGAAAAATATGTAGATCAGCAAATGTAACATAATTTAGAGAGCTGCCTGTGAACTAAGGGTTTGGGCAATTCGCTCAACTCAGCCAGAATGAGTCAAAGGTGGAACTTCAGCCTTCTTGACCCAGAGTTCTGCTCTCTAAATTGCCTCTCAAATAAATATCAAAGCATATTCTTGTATAACTTACAAAGAAATCGTTTATGTTGCTCCGAATTGTATCCAAGTCTTGAGATACATTAAGAGATTGTTCCTTCCAGTAATTCAGAGTTTGCTGTGCAGATTCTAACCACTTGGTTAATTCATCCGAGTCCTTGTTATAACTATAAAAATACCAAAAGGGGAGAAAAAGAAACCAGAACATGGTCCACTATTATAACAAATCACAAGTACAGTTTCCTCTATTTCTACTATATGCCATAATATTCATCTCTGTTAGAAAATGAAATGATCTTCATGGAGCATAACTTTATTTCCTATCTTTGCCCCTTTATAGGCAATTTTTCTCTTAGTCTGGTGAATTATATAAAGTGTATGGCTCATGGTCCAAATTTGGATGGGACTGAGGTGCATTATATAACTACTTACTATAGCCTATCTCGGTTATGAGGACTAAGAAAGGGAAAAAAAGGAGATGAAACAAGAAACATTCTTTTTAGAAAGAGCATGCACTGAAATGCATAGTGATTGGCGATCCTATATCACTAGACATCCATTTTCCTAACAATAAATGTGTAGATATTACAATTAGAACCAAAAGGTAAAGTTTTTAGAGGGGGTCTAGATCTGCGATTTCAGAATTAGGGAAAATATAGATTGGTAACTCATCTGTAACTGAAAATTCATATGTAATTTAACTGAGAAGTTAAAGGATTTGCCTGTTTTGTTATAAAAATACATCTGAGCTGGGCATGATAGAGCATGGAGGATGGCTTGAGCTGGAAGGCAGGCTCACCAAGCTGACTTGCCCAAGAATATACAGCAAGTAAGCGTCTGATGTTGGATTTGAACTCAGGTCTTCCGGACTCCAGGCCCAGTGCTCTATCCACTGCACCACCTAGGTGGCATTTAAAGCTCTTCGCAGCCTGATCCCTTCCTACTTTTCCAGTCTTACTACAATTCACTCCTGTCTTCACTCTGCAATCTAACCATAATGGCTTACCATCTCTCATCTCCATGCCTTTGCATTGACTGTTCCCCTGGCTCTCCCTCACCTTAGCCTCTTAGGATCCCTTGCTTCCTTCAAGATTCAGCAAAAAATACGACCTGGGCATGGAGGTGGGAATGTGGATAAAGTGTCAGGCCCAAAGTCAGAAAGACCCGTCTTCCCAAGTTCAAATCTGTCCTCAGACACTTATTAGCTGTGTGACTCTGGGCCAGTCACTTCACCCTGTTTGCCTCAGTTTCCTCATCTGTAAAATGAGCTGGAGAAGGAAACAGCAAACTTCTCCAGTATCTTTGTCAAGAAAATCCTGACTGGGGTCAAAAAGAGCTGGACAGGACTGAAATGACTGAGCAACAAGGAGATTTTCCCCAGGTCTTCTATCTGTGAAAGCCTTCCTCTCTGAGGTTACCTTCTATCTGCTCCATATGTACTCTGTATATGTTTCTTTATTTATATGTTCTCTCCCTCATTAAAATGCAAGTTCCATGAGGGCAGGGATAATTTTACCTTTCTTTGTATCCCCAGAACTAGCAGTTCTATGAATAATAACAAACACTTCATAAAGGCTTATTGATTGATTAGAGGGGTATAATGAATGTGTTATTTAATACTATTTAAAATAATTTGTGGTTAATTTAGTTTTTTGGATGGGAGAGGTTGTAGTCTTATTGATTGGGGTATCTTGGGTCAAATTCTACACAGAATTTAGAAAGTACTAGATAGGATAAGTCCCAGTAACACTCCATACAAGGCTGGTTTTACAGGCCAGATTCTGGCAGGATAGTCTTAACACTTCTGCAATAAAAATCTTGGTCATTGAATGATTACATGTATATTCCATTGTTATCTTTTGAACAGCTGGCTAAAAGGCTGGCTAAACATGCTTGGGTAAATATAGGCAGGGAGTGGACAGAGGGAGCTAAAATGGACCAATGCCCTAGATTATTTCCCTTCTTCATCTATGCAAACTTATGTTATATCAGTCAGCCAAATGAACCAATAGCCATTTTGCAAGGCACTTATAATGAGAGGGATATAGAAATAGTTCCTATCTAAGGTAAGTGTTACGAGAATTTTGAGTAAGGGTCCTTGTAGCTGAAATATGTGAATGTTTACAAGATGAGGCAGGTGGGAAAGAGAAGAGAGAGCACTTAACATAATCCTGCCATGAGAAATATGAGAAAGCACATATTTGTTTCTCTTATGTAATGATTCTGTTACAATACAGGTGGTTTTTTTAAAGGCTTATGTGCAATGAATATTTGCTGAATGAACGTACGCAAGTGCCTTACAGCCCCTTTACTTTTTTTTTTCACTCAGGATTGTATGTCTGAGAGAAGTAAAGTGACCTGATTTCATACAGAAAATATTCTATGCCACCATGGATGCATAGGATCAAATCCGTTGTGTGTGTGTGTGTGTGTGTGTGTGTGTATTTATAGCGATGGATGGAAAAAAGTTTGGCGAAGAAGGATTTCCATAATTGAAGATAAAGGCTACTACACATCTCCATTCGAGCCTTACAAGCCTCAGGATTTAGTCTGCTGCTTTAAAGGAAATGGGGTAATGGATGAACTCATGACCAAACAAGGGATAGAGAGGGTCACAGAAGGTAAAATGAACAATTTTGATTACATAAAGTTTAAAAGAAGATTTAGTACAAACAAAACCAATGTAGCTAAAACTATAAGGGAAAAAGATAACTGAGAAAAAAACCTGTGCTGCACATTTCTGTGATAAGGGTCTCTTTTACAGTATATAGAAGAAACTCAGTTCAAATTTATAAAAATAAAAGCTATTCCCCAATAGTCAAAGGATATGAACAGGTAGTTATCTAAGGAAGAAATCTAGGTTATCAATAGCTATATAAAAATGCCCCAAATCAGTAACAGAGAAATACAGATTAAAGCACCTTTGAGGTTCCATAGCACACCCAACAGAATGGCAAAACTGATAAAAGATTAAGATGACAAATGTCAGAGGGGCTGTGAGGAAACAGGCCCATTAATGCACTGATGGTGGAAGTCTGAATTGGTTCAATCCTTCTGAAAAGCTATTTGAAACTATGTTCTAAAAGTTACTCACTTGTCTACATACCTTTTACCTCAGTGATATTACTACTGGACCTACCAAAGAAAGGAAATGTACCTAAATGGACACAATTATTTATACTTTTTGTGGCAGCAGAGAGCTGGAAACTAAACAGATGGCTATCAACTGAGGCACTGAGGAACAAATTACAGTATATTGTGATAGGCCCAGGGTTCCCCAGTTTCCCTTCAATTGGGATGTTTTCCCTAAAAGATGACAAAGTTCTTCCCAGGAACTGATGCAGCTTCCTCTTCATGAAAGGACATAAAAAATCCCACCAACATGGAGTTGGGGCCCCTCTGGCTTGGGGAAACCACATGAATCACCATACCCTCCCTCCTGAGCAGACTTCTTTCCATATGAAATGAGAGGGGCTGCCATCTAGAGAAACTAAGCATAGCTGTATCCTTCCTGCATAGCCTCACTGTGTTAAGGCAAAGTAAACTTTTTTTTTGTTGAGTATTCAATGCCTTTTGAGTGCTTCATTTCATCCCAATATCAAACCTGAACTAACAGGATACTGGCATTAAGCTAATTGTGAACATAAATAAATTTAATGAACACTATTGTGCTATAAAAAATAACAAAGGAAATGATTTCAAAGAAATCTGGGAAGACTCTATCAACTGATACAGAGTGAAATGAGCAGAACCAGGAGAACAATTTGTATAATAACAACAATGTAAAGGCAAATAATTTTGAAAGAATTAAAAACTCTAATCAATTCAATGACCAACCGCAATTCCAGAGGAATTCTATCCCAGAGAGGTGACAGACTCAGAGTGCAGATGGAGATATTTTTTTTGGATGTAGCTAATTTGGAAATTTGTTTTTTTGTTTGTTTGCTGCATCTATGTTACAAAGGTTTTGTTTTTATTTTACTTTCCATTGGGGGAAGTGGGAATGGGAGGGGGAGAAAACTGATTTCTGTCAATTGAAAAAAGCAAAATCAAATAAAAAAATTAAAAAATGGAATAGAGTCTGAGTTATCAAGGATGGGATCTAGTTTACAAAGAATGGTTAAGTACTACAGACAAGAACAATTTAGTTAGGGATCAGGTATCCCTTGAATTAGAGGAAACTACGTTTCCCTCAGAGGACCACCTTGGGTTATTCCCAAGCCCCGTGGAAACCATGTGTCTACTGAGTAACAGGACTTCATAGAAAACAATTAACCTGACCAGTCTATACAGAAAGCTCATGAGGCCTTATCTCAAGATTCTATTCTCATTCTGAGCCAAAGGCAAAAAGGGGGGGCTAGGGACATTACATTTGGGACCCACCCTCACCAACTTTATCTCAACAGAGATTAAGCATAAAAGGATAGTCTTCAAAGGTAATATTTCATAGCATATACATACAGTATAACGCGAGATCAAAAGTACTCTTGATGTCTAGAAAATAACAGTCTCCTAGATCTTGGTTTAACCCTATGACTCACAGCTATGAGAGGTACATGATAGCTTTATTTTTTTCCCCTTCTCATAATGCTTCTTTGTTGATTAGATTCCTCATATTCCCAGGAAATTAGAGAACTTTCTTACAATTAAAGTTACTAATACCTTCATACAAGTAGCAAAAAAAAATGATAATGAACTTTTGAGAATACAGTCTCTTTTACATGATAGCTTTATGATGCTAAAGAAAATATACAAAAAATTAGGACAGAAAGAGAAATTTTGGGACAGCAGAACTTCTGGGACACCCTTATCCCAGATAGTTTTGGAAACAATGAAGCTTTAAGAAAGCATACCTGACCAGATGCTTGAGAAGGGTTTGAAGTCTGTGTAGTTCATGGTCCACTTTTTTGTTTAAAGCCAACCATTGTTCTTCTAGCTTTGCAATCTGGCTTTCCAGCTCAGGACAACTCACAGCGGTCGCTAGGTGTTTGCCTTCGTTCATAGTCTGGTAAAGTTTGGTATGCTTTTCATCTATTCCTTTTGATTTGCTAAGAAAAGTAAGGTTACAGGATCAATAAACCAATTTGTGACCATTTAGTGAGCAGCTCCTAAGTTCTCAGCACTGTGTGGGATACAGAAGAATAAAATCTCTTCCTTCTCTTCAAAGTGCTAAGAGCAAGAGATTATAGTAACATACAGGAAATAACAGACAAAGCAAGATGCTGTACTATTCGTGGCTGTTTTGTGCAATGCTCCATTTGAGTGATGCAGTAATTCAGTGAAAAGAGTGTGATCAGTAAAGTCTGCAGGAATTGGGAAAGCTTCATGGAAGAGACAATGTGCTAGACCTTGGAAAGAGAGAAAGGATTTGGATAGGTAAGGAAAGAAAAAAAGAAAAACCACTTTTTCTTGATGGGAAAATATGATTGAGAACACATACTTTGAAAATTCGCAACTACAATATGATTTTCTTTCTTTGACATAAGTAAAAAGGAGACACAAAGTGATATAGAGAGCTGGCCAGGGAATCAAGAAGACCTCAGTTCAATTCCTGCTTGACACATACGGGAGGTTTGACTCCTCTAGGCAATTCTCTAAATAAGTTGCTAAGAGGATACTAACCTTCACTGATTAAGGGAGCTTCCTTATCTGGGAGATCCCTACATCTATACCAATGAAATCAGCACTTCAGCTTCCATACCTATTATAAATAATAACATTTACAGTACTGTGCTGAAGCCAGACTACATACGGCTGAGAAGTGATTAAGAGGAGAGGAAGTAGAGGCAATGGGTATAGTCTCTGTTTCCTAAGAGTATGGCTTTGAAAAGGAGGAGATATAGGAAAATAGCTTGAGGAGACAGTAGGGTCAAGTGAGGGTTGGTTTTGGTTTGTTTGTGTTTAAAGATAGAGGAGATTTGGATATGTCTATAGGTAGCAAGGAAGGGAGCAGTAGACAGGTTAGAGAGAGAGAGGGGATGATTGTGGGGGAAATATATAAGAGAAGATGCAAGTGGTTGGGATAAAGAGTGTCTGGAGAGGTCTTAGGAAGTAGACTAGAGAATCAGCAGAGACTAGAGAAAAGAAGGAGGGAACCAAGGATAACATGAAGGAGGTCTGAGATGTAGAGAAAGGGAAAAGAGGGAGTTAAGTCTACAAATGTAGATTAGGTAAAAGTAGAAACAAAAATAATAAGCACACTTCTCTGTCATGAGAAAAGAAAGTGGTGGTGAATGTGTTACATTTTACAGTAGGTTCGACAACAAGCTGTTGGACACTTTTAACCTTTGCTCACTTTGCATATGTGAGTGAGAGAGAGAGAGAGAGAATGTGTGTCTGTCCCTGGAGCTAATCTGCTACACCTCCTTCTCTTGTCTTCCTGCTATAGGAAGTGCTCTGTCCCTCAGTTCTGCCTCTTAAGTCTCTCTGGTTTCCTTCAAGACTAAGTTCAAGTCTTACCTTCTGTGAGAGACCTTTTCTCGTACTCTCAGTTCCTAAGGCCTTTCCCTGAGATTATCTTCAGCTACTCTGTATCAATCAATCAACATTTACTAAGCACCTACGTGTTAGGCAGCTAGGTGGCCCACGAATAGAGTGCCAGGCCTAGAGTCAAGAAGACTCACCTTCCCTAGTTCAAGTCTGATCTTAGACACTTCCTAGCCGTATGACTTTGCAAGTCACTTAACCCTGTTTGTCTTGGTTTCCTCATTTGTAAAATAAACTGGAGAAGGAAATGACAAACCATCCCAGTATTTCTGCCAAGAAAATCCCAAATGGGGGCACAAAGAATCAGACGAGACTGGAAAAAAAACCAAACCAATGTGCCAGGCACTGTGCTAAGCATTTGGGATACAAAGAGAAGCAAAAGACTGTCCCTGTCCTCAAGGAGCTTACAATCCAACATCGGTATATACCTTGTATGTACCTAGATATTTACATATTGTTTTAATCATTAGAATGTGAGCTTCCTGAGGGCGGGATCTGCTTTTTTGCCTTCTTAGTTTTTGTATCCCCAGCAATTATCACAATGTTTGGCACATGTTTAATAAATCCTGGTTAACTCACTGAGTGGTTTTTCAGTCTACAGAGGACGCTACATCCACTGTTTCACCTTATCTAGATGTCATAACAATCCTCTAAGATGGGGAGTGCAAATGTGATTGTTACTTCTATTTTGCACGTGGGGAAAATGAAGCTCCATAGATTAAATGACTTGTGCAAAGTCACACAGCTAGGAAATGGTACAGCAAAGGTGTGAGCCTCTAGCTTCTGAATGTAAATCTAATTCTCTGTTTCATTGAATCACAGCAGCCTAGAATTGGAGGGGACTGCAGAAGTCATCTGCTGTGATTTTCACTTGAAGCACAAATCCTCTCTGCCATATTCTTCAGAAATAACTTTCACTGGGAAACCAGAACCAGTGCCAGAGCTGTCTACAAATGGAACAGGTCACCCACTGATAAGATGAGCGCCCATGCGGCACTTTGTTTCAACTTTCTGACTTCATCTTCTATCTTGGATCATATTTATTTGTGTACATGTCTTAGCTTCTTTTAGACTAAATTCTTAAAGCTAGAGACAATTCTTTTTTTTAATCTTTGGATCTCTACCAAAGTCTATACATATCAGGCATTATACTTTTTCTTTATTTATACTTTTTTATATATATTTATTATATTTTATATATAAATGTATTATATATATATATGTACTTTATCTATACTTTTTCTTTAGTCATTTCAGTCATGTCCGACTCTATATGACCTCTTTTGGGGTACTGGAGTAGTTTGCCATTTCCTTCTCCAGCTCCTTTTATAAGTGAGGAAACTGAGGGAAACAGAGTTAAGTGACTTACCCAGGGTCACATGACTAGTACATGTCTGAGGTTGCATCTGAATTCAGGTCTTCCTGATTCCAGGCCTAGGCTCTATCCACTGCAACCCCTAGCTTCCCTTTGAGTATTTAATTTGATACCACAAACATTTGTTAAATAAACTTCTGCTTAATAAATCTTTGCTGTATAATTCACTGACATCAGTGGGATAGGGTAAGGGGACTAGGTTGCTTCTTTTATTGGCATAGAGAATTCCCAGATGAGGAGATTCCTTCTACCAATGCAAGTCAACATCTTTGCAATCTATGACCTGGGAGAGTTGTCTGAAGCACTGGGAGAAATTAAATGATTTGCCCAAGGTTACATGCCGATATGTGTCAGAAGTGGAATGATCACTTGTCAAGTATGTTAAGGTGGAGACTCCTCTCGTGCATGGGTTGGGCCAAATGGCCATCAAGATTTCTTGTAACTCTCAAATTCTGTATTTCAGTAACTGGATTTGAACTCAGGTTTTCCTGGCTCCATGGCCCACTCTCAGTCCCCTACGCAGTGCAACATACTTCACTGCTTCTCTGATGATAATGATAACAACAACAATAGCCAGCATTAAGTTTGCAAAGTGCTTCACCAATATTATCTCCTCACAACCTTGGGAGGTAGGTGCTATCATTATCCCCATGACACAGATGAAGAAACCGGAGTGGATAGAAGTTTTAGGGATTTGCTCAATGTCAAACAACCGCTTAAGCAGAGAGTCAATTATTTCCTAATTTTCTTGGACAAATACAAACTAAACGAGAAGATAGTGTTTTAAGGGATAGATCACCTGGGAAATAATCATGATAAGTCTACTGAAAATTAATTTTTTTTTTGTTTCAATGTACCTTAAAATGCTCTCTGTTACCAAACTGTAGTTCTTATTTATATGATAATTTTGTTGTGTATTTAAAAGAAATAGCAAGTTGTGTATAGTAGACTTACAGTTTCATGTGCAATCATCTTTTCTTTTCTTTTTTTTTTTTTACTGTACTATGTTATGGAAATGCTTGTCCATGAATTAAAAATAAAAAGTTGTAATTCTTGTAGTCCACAGAATGGTACCTCCCCAGACCCTTGAGTTAATTGATATAGCTCAAAAGATCAAGTTCCTCGAAAATCATTGACAATGTAACAAAATTGAAAATGTAAGAGACCCCAACTGCTAGATTCCTAGGCCATCTAAGCCTCATAAAATGTGGTGCTGTCCTTTCACAAATGTTCCTTCTAGAACTGTGCATCTTCAGCAGAGACTAGCTAAATACGTCTGACTTTCATTTACTAATCTGTGAAGGCAGCAAATCTCCTTTTAGCTTAAACAAGGGGTATTTGCTAATCACCCTCAAGTACCACTGCTTAGGAACAAATGAACATTCTAAGGTAAACAGAAATCAAAATTTCCAAAGCTTGTGTGCTTTCAAGTAAATTGTCATTTGAGTAAATTTACCTGATTAAAATTTTTGTCATACTGCTAGCAGCAAGATGCCCAAAGATATATTTATATAAAGTTTAGTCTTTCATTCTTTCCCTAGACAATGTAATTTAAATATAGAGAATGACTCAATAGCAGCTGACTAAAAATTAAAAATAGTGTTTGATACCTTCTTGTGATGATATTAAGTGACAAGGCACAAGCAGCTACCTATTCCTAGGCAAATTTTTAAAAGGATTTTACTTTAAGATGAGATTTAGAAGTGGAAGAGTTTTTAAGAGATAATCTACACCAACCTCCTCATTTTGTTTATCAGGACAGTGAGGTTGGGACAATGGATAGATATACGTTCTGAGTGCATGAGGTGACTTACAATTCAGTAGATCTAAATCTCAGTACTAATGATCCATGTTATAAAAAGTGTCCTACTAAATTCAAAACAATCTTTAAAATGAAGCCACTCTGCAAAAAATGAGAGGATAACCTTGCTTTCTGAAAATGTAAGCAGACTTTTTTTTCTTCTGTTGAGTTTTGTTTCCTCTTTCTGGTGGTTCCTCCTATTGGTTTTAATTCTTACTTACAACATCACTAATGTGAAAATATGTCTAATAGGGATGTGTATGTATAGCCTTTATCAGATTGTGTGCCATTTGGGGAGGGTGGTGGGGAGGAAGGAGGAGAAAAATCTTAAACTCAAAAGCATATGGAAGTGATTGTTAATAAATCAAAAGAAATTAGTTTAAAAAAGAAAAAAAAACTTAAAAAAAAGAAAATGTAAGCAGAAAAAAAAATACCTGATAAAATGAAATCCTTTCTATTAATCTTTCCTCTGTCTCTTCCACTAAACTCATGGAAGGCAGAGAAGATCCAAGAATTTCCAGGTCTTTTTCAAGGAATTCATAGTTTTCATCAAATTCTTTCCATTCCTAGAGAATCAAAGAAAGTCAAAAATCAGTAACAGTCCTTTTCTCAGAATGTTATCAGACTAACAAGAAAATCAATTTCAGAATAAAAATTTAAAAAGACCAAACAAGTCAACATCAGCTTTTGTCGGTGTAAAGAATACACTGAATCCCTGTAAATGCTTTATTTTTAATGGAAGACAATTGAATTGCTCCTGAGGCCGAGTTGTTTAAAAAAAAAAAGCAGCAAGTCTAAATGCCAGGTTGGTTATACTCGCTTTATTGTGCAGAGAGTAATATTTCCAAAGTTAAGTCATGCCGTTAGAATCCACCCTTGCATTAAGATATGAAGAAACTTTGGAACTCACTTTAGAGATATGCACATTTAAGCTCATCATATTTAGCAGAAGAGATGGACAGCTTTTAACAGCTGATGCTTTCAACTACTCAGTGAGGTATGCTGTTATGCTTTTTTTATTGCTTCCCAATTAAACTTTGATTGTGGCCCACCAGGTAACATGCACGCTATTGTTTTCCTCTCCTGGATCCTTTCCTCAAAATAGGGTTGAGGAGCGGAATGACAAGTTGCTTCATAAGCACAGCTAGAGAGGTCCAGTGAACAGGGTCTCCATAGGTGTAAGGAGTTACAGAAGGCTGCATTGCAACTGACATGGCACAAACTCAATATAAGAAAAGGCCAATTCTAGTAGTACAAGATCATTAATTCTCTCATTTGATAGCTCTTTCTCTCACTTTATTGAGTGGTAAGGGATCCACATTAATGGGGGGAATTGAAGTGCTTAGAGAATGAGATATTCTGCTTAGCACAGTGTTCTAAGTGCTATCACCTTACTTTTCTATTTCTACTCAGGTCTTGTTAAAGAGAATCCTTCTAAAATACGTTCTTTCAGTATTCTGATTAGTATATCCAGTTTATGGAATATAATTTAATATTTCTTTGGTTACCAAGGATCTTATAATGCTACAGGAGACAATTCTTAATATAAATTCTCATTGTAGAACACAGGAGACACAGATGGAATAGGAGTCTGAAATGAATTTTTGCAAGGACTGTGACATATCCTGGAAGAAAGTTTGTGGGTATTGATTTTTGAAACCCTAATATAAATGTTTTCTTTAATTTCTTATATCTATCCCCTTTTTCTACTCACATAGCTACCATCCTAGACCAGGCTGTTATCATCTCTTTCATGTATTATTGCAATCACCTCCACCTGGGCTCCCCAACTCAAGTCTGTCCCTTCCCTAACCTATCTTCTATGCGGCTGCTAACATAAGAGTTTTAAACACAGGTCAAACCACGTTATTTCCCTACTCAAAAAGCTCCAGTGGCGACCTCGGACTTGGAGGATGCAATGTAAATTCTTTGTTCATGATAGTTCCCCAAGAGAATTCATGCTTCTTGAGGGCAGGTGCTATTTCTAGTTCGTGTTTGGGTCCCCGCTTCCTACCCCAATTCCTGGAACACAGGAGGTATTATGCTTATTGATTTCGCCAAAGATGTCTCCTTATAGCATGCAGGTGGCCCTACTATTTTAAAGACAATTGAAGGAGGAGGCAAGATTTGGCTGGTTCAATAAAATGGGAAGGCCTTCTAGTATGCAAAAGACCAGCCTAGATAAGTGAGGAGGTTTGTAAACAGCAAGTTAGTTACTAATTGATGAATTCTCTGATCATAGCAACCCATGAAATGGAAAATTACAAAGGGATCTTTAGTCTTATGTGGTAGCCTTCAAACTCCATACAGATGATGGTAGAATAGTAAAAGGAGAGGGAAGAAGGTACTAAGAATTATACAAATTTTAGATTATCTGTAAGCATAAATTTAACTGTTGGTATTCTAAGTGTTAAATCTTTGTCCTATGACCAACAAGTTGACAAAGTTATAAATGAAACCAGAAAGCCTATGAAAGTTGCAGCTAAATGTCTTACAGGTTTGTCTGAATGTGTGCTGAAATAAAAGAAGTTGATGGAATTGCTTCATCACCTGCCCCAAACAATAAGAAACATTTTAAGGTATATTTAGTCATCTTGCCTTGCAATAATCATAGTGAACATAAGCAAAAAAAAAAAAACGAGCAAGAAGACTACTGGAAAGATCACTGTAGCTTTTGTGCTAACATTACTCATGGAGGATAAAGTAGTAAAATTCAATGAGGCATTTGACAAGGTTCTGCAAGGTAAGTCAACATATACCATCGCAAAGGTAGTCTATGAGAAGACTGGGGAAATAAATTAAAAAATATGGCTCACTATTGAGACATGTAAAAGAAACCTTACTCAGAAACTTTATGCCTATATATCACTAATGCTAACTTCCAGGAGAGAGTCAGAAGGCTCTGAACACGGTGAACGACTTCTCAAAAAATGAAACTGATTGTACTTTAATAGTCACGTCACTGACATGCACATTGTATACTGAGATGATTCGAGTTCAATTGGTAGTTATAATCACTTAGAAATGAGAAAAATAACGTAAGAATTTAAAAGGAGACATAAATTAAATTAAACGTGACATACAACGGGGAGACTATACTCAAAAAAGGAGTGTGCCAGAATCACAAAGGATAGTCCAAATAAAAGAAGCAGAATGATTGCCAGACTTAGAATTGGGAAGTTGTTATCGCTCAGTCATTTCAGTCACATCCGACTCTTTGTGATGCCATTTGGGGTTTTCTTGGTAAAAATACCAGAGTGGTTTGCCATTTCCTTCTGCAGCTCATTTTACAGATGAGGAAACTGAGGCAAACAGGGCTAAGTGACTTGCCCAGGGTCACACAGAGAGTAAATTTCTGAGGCCAGATTTGAATTCAGGTCTTCCTCACTGCAGGGCAGGTGCTGTATCCACTGCACCACTGCCTACAGAATTAGGAAGATCTAGATTCAAATCCTGCCCCTGACACTAGCTGGGTGAACGTTAGGGAGTCATTTCATGTCTCTGAGCCTCAAGCAATTTTCTTTGTTTTGTTTGGGTTTTGCTAGGCAATGGGGTTAAGTGACTCACCCAGGGTCACACAGCTAGTAAGTGTCTGAGGCTAGTTTTGAACTCAGGTCCTCCTGACAATAGGCCTGGTGCTCTATCCACTGTGCCACCTAGCTGCCTCCTTAAGCAACTTTCTAAGACATACCTATCAAGTTGCAGATAGGCAATGATCTGCGTTAAGTTCTGACACAAACAAAAATCACAGACCCTTGACAGTAACTTTATATATAGCACTGTATGAATATGTACTATATTAGTATATAGTAGTACATACTAGTAACTACTTTGCATTTAAAACTTCTTTCCTTAAGATTCAGAAAACTGACATATGATTTGGCATAGGCACAATGACTGTTTTCTTGAAGAATGACCCCCTCCAAAAAAAAAGAATGACCCAATATCATTGAAAGACTTCATCTTGTTTATTGAAGCACAAACTCTGAAGACAGTAAGATGGCTTATCTAATTCCCAATTTGTAGATGAAAAAAAAAACATAAAACAACCCAGCAACTGAGGAACAGTGAAAATGTGAACAAGATATCTCCATAGAATAGGTAGCACTCATAGCAGGAACAAGATTCCAGATTATGAGTCTTTATTCTTTTCTAATTTTTAATTGTTGTCTATTGATAAATTAGTTTGTTTTTCCTCGTGGCTAGGAATCAGTGATATAAAATTGGTCATTCCAGGCTCAGTATTGGGAAATTAATAAATAGAGCAATTTTTCATTTTTCCATAGGTATAGGCACTGGGCCTATGATTTCACTGGTAGATAGAACTCTGATGAGTAAACTCCTTCTACCAATGCAGACCACATATAACCTGAAAGAGCTACTTAGAGTTCTGACTCTAAATATTGTTAAGTGAATTGCCCAGGTGACACAGCCAAGTGTGTGTCAGAACAGGATTTGGACCGAGGTTTTCATGGCTCCAAGGCCCACTGCCTCATTTTCCCATAAATTTTACCTATACTTTGCTATGGAATGCTGTCATTACCATGCTTTAATGTATGGTACTCAGTTACCGCAACAGAAAATTTGCAATATTATTAATGGTTTTGAAAGTATTTTGGAGACAAACTCAAATTAGCCTTATTTATTTATTCATCCTTATTTAACATCATACCTGCAACAAACTCTCCAGTTTTGTGCCATATTGATAAGCTTGTTGCTCCAGCAATTTTACTTCTTTTATCTTCTCCGCCCAAAACTTCTCTTTATTTTGTAATAAAGAAGGCAGCGCTTTTTTAGAGTATTCTTGGATCAGAAAGACATCAGCAACAAGCTTCTGGAAAAAAATCTGTGAAAAGCAAAGTGTTTTGTTTTTTAATATTTAAAGTTTGCACTTCTACTATATATAGCTACAGTTTCCATGTTCATGAAAAGGGCCTAGAGTTTCTAACTCCATCTCCCATCCGAAAGCAACCTCTGTCTCTTCAAATTTTTAATCGCACTTTGAACCTCTCCTTTGCACTTACCTCCCTCTCTCTTATATCACTGTCACCTGTGTGGATGTCTTTCCTCCCAATTAGATTATAAGGTCCTTGTGAACAGCGTCTATGTCATGGCTATCTTTGTATTCCCAAGACTTGGTAGCACAGTGCCTTCCACACAATATTTACTTAATAGTCTGTTGAACTGAATTCTTGAGCATTGTCAACAACGTAAAAACAAAAATGAAATCCGACTACAGGACTCTAAATCTCTCAACTCCAATTGTATTTGCTGTCCCAGATGGCACGTTCCAATGGAACACCACATTTCTGCAGGGCAGCTCTCTTCTGAATGTCCACAGTACTGATCTCAGTTAGAAAGATATTAGTGATAGTGGAGGTGATAATGGCCCTGGTTATTTTCAAGATAAATTGGCCCAAATTCATGTGAAGACTGTTGAAGAGAACTGCCTTAATCTTGGTTCAGTAAGTCCAACATGAGCTCCTGCACCAACAAAATGGCTCTGTGTGTATGTGTGTATGTGTGTGTGTGTGTGTGTGTGTGCGCGCGCATGTGCTATGTACTATGGCAAAATCTACATTTCAAGTGTCTTCTTTATAAACAGGAAAACTGATGCTCTGTGTACAGATTCAGACCAAAAAAAAATGAGCTTTCAATTTTTTTTAACCTTTATTCAGTTGATGCATGAGAAAGGAATCTGGTTAGAATTACTTTCACAGTCTCACCTTGTGGTTTTGCAGCTGAGCCTGTAGAGAAGCTTTACTTCTGGCTTGTTGCTGTGGGTTCTGACCAAGCTTTTCTTTTCCAATATTCACTAGTTCTGCCAGTCCTCGAAGCAATGCTTCTTGTTGGTTTTCACTGATGAAAGGGCTGCTGAGCTCAGCATGCTTGGCTCTTAGAAGTCCCCACATGTCATCAAGGACATCCTAAAAAGAGAAATCAAATGTTTTCAACCTTTTTAATTGAATTATTTTAAAAGCACAACACAATAAAACCACTAAGAACCAAGTCAAGAGCCTTTAACTACAAATTCTTATTCAATTCAATAAATATTTATTAAATATCTGTTATGTGCATGGTATGCTGCTTAGGTGCTAGAGATATAAGGATGAAAACTGATAGTGTCTGCCCTCAAAAAAAAAATTAAAATCTAACGGAGGTAGGGTTTGTGTGGATAACATCCAAGCATGAATAAGTAACGTACAGGGTAAAATGTGATAGGAGCAAAGGAGAGATCCAGACAAAATGTCATTCAAAATTTGAGGAGGGAGAGATCATTTTTAGCTGGGAGGATCAGGTAATGGTTAATGGAGGAGGCAACACTTGAACTAGACCTTAAAGGAAGATAAGGATTTTAATACTCAGTCAAACAACATTTATTAAGCACTTTCTGTATGCTAGGCACTGGCAGAGATGTGGAGGTAGAATGTGCTAAGCATGGAAAATAGTCACAGAGCTAATAGAGGCTGGAATGTAGAATGTGGTTAAGAGAATAATGGGTGATCCACTAGTATTGATTATTAACAGCAATTAACAAGCCCAGAAAGACAGAATATGGGAAGAAATCATGGTTCAAACTATTATCCAAAAGAATAAACAGAACATGCTTTTCTGGGGTCAAGCTAAATGAGGAGCTCTCATTAATCTTTTTTGTGTGTGTCATGGAACCGTTGGGAAGACAGGTAAAAATGATGGGCCCTTTATCAAAATATTTTTAAATGCATGAAATAAAAGACATAGGATTAAAAAGGAAGCCAATCATACTGAAATACTGTTATCAAAATATTTTTAACATACAAGTTCACCGACCATAGGTTAAGAATCTCCTCTGTGAAAGCTGGCTGTGGAACCCAAGGACGTGGTTTAAAGTGGGATAAAGATTTATGAAATCTCAGCTTTAGAGCTGAAAGGAAGTTTAGTGTCTAACTGGTCCAATCCTCTCAATTAAAGATGAGGAAACTGAGGCCCAGAGAGAGGTTAAATGACCTGCTCAAAGTTGGCAAGCAGCAAGAGAACAGTACAGGTATCGCATTAAGGCATCAATGAATGGTGTTTGTCTCATGCAAAGGATCTGCCTGAAGGATCTGCTAGCCACACTCAAACTCTGTCTGCTGCTGTGAGACTGGAGAAATAAAATAAAATGATGGTGGAAAGGTAGGCTGGTACAAGGCCAAGAAAGAGTGTAAATGCCAGGCTAAAGAGTTTGTATTTCATTCTAGAAGCAATGGAGAGTCACTAAACATTTGCTTTTAAGAATATTTTTGTCCCAACAGTTTTAAGAACAACGTTGAACAAATAAGTCATTTTGACTTTTATAAGTACCCAAATTAACTAAAAAGGACATATGAAAGAAGATGCTACCTGCATGCAGAGAAAGAACTGATAAATAGAAGTGTGTATAGAATGATCTTACACACACATACAATAAAGTATTTATGTACATATATATGCACACACATACATATTTGTGTCTAATGATAGCCATCTCTAGGGGCAGGAAGATGAAAGAAAAAAGGGAAAAATGAAATTTATGTGATAACTTTATTATATATTTAGGAGGAATAGTAAATTGTACCTAATAGATTTGCAGTTTCCACTTATCTTTCTTTATTATACTATGTTATGGAAATACTTGTTTTATTCCATAAATTAAAAATAAAATAAGTAAAATGTTAAAATAACATTTTCTTACAATTATATGTAAAGTGATTTTTAGCATTTTTTTTTGTCACTAAAGACTTTTGAGCAGAATGATAAACTTTGACTTTAAGAGTATTAAGAAAATTAATTTGGTAACTGGATCAGTGAGATCAGGGGCTATTTGGGAGGAAGGGAGACCAATTAGGAAACTATTACAATAGCATATGAACAAGTAGTAATAAAAATTCAAACAAGAGTGGAGGCAGTGCAAATGAAGAGGAGGGGATGGATATGAGATATCATGCATTGACAGCACCTGGCAATAGATTGGTAAGGAAGAGAGAAGAGTCAGAGATATCTCCAAAATTTTAAGACTGGCTGAATGGGATGGTGGAGGCACCATGAATAGAAATAGATAAGTTGGAAAGAAGGGGAGGTTTTAGAAGAAAGAGATGATTTCTGTTCTGGACACAATGAGTTTGAGATGCTAGGAAAACAGCCGCATGGAGATGTGGCCAAACAGGAGCTGAAAATATAGGACTGACACTTGGGGAGGAGGGAAGAGAGAAGGTTGCAATTAAATATATGGATATAATAAGAGATGTAGTAATCCTCTTCATAGGAACGATTATCGAATTCATGGGAGTGTATGAGATTTTCAAGGAAGATGAAATATAAGACAGAATAAAAGAAATGTAAGGACAGAATCTTTGTAAACATCTACACCTAGGATGAGCATGACTTAGCAAAGGAGAGGTCAGATAGGTTGGAGGGGAACCAGAAAATGGTAGGTGTCCCAAAGGTCAAAGGAAGACAGGTTTCCTGCAAGGGAAAAGGTAGATTAGTAGTATTAAATAGTGCAGAAAGATCAAAGAGGATGAGGAATGAAGAAAGACTACTCTTTCTTTTTTCGGGGGGGAGGCATGAAAACTTTAAAGACAAGGCATTGGTGAACTCAGAGAGTAATTCCAGTAAAGTGACAGGGAGGGAAGCCAAATTCTAGGAGGCAGAAGATTGGAGCTAAAGAAGTAGACACAGCAAGGATAGCTCAACTATTTCTAGAACTTGAATAATGAAAGGAAGGAGAAAAAATAAAGGCTGATAGAGATTGAAAGCTTGGTGGGAACAAGGGGGAGAAATCCATGTTATAGAGAAGAGTGGGAGGGGTAGAGGAAATAGGGTTGATAAATGTAGAGTTGAATTATTTGCTGTTGTATTGAAAATGAGAGGGGGGTGTGCAGGAAAGGAAAGGAAATAGAGGGAAGAAGGAGAAATCAGGGACTTGAGAAAGGAGAAAGTTTGGAATGGATGATGAGAAAAGTGGAATACGGCATTAGAGATAAAGTAAAAGTTTGCCATTTGAGGCTAGGGGCCCAGTTGAGGTTTATACAGCATGAATTAGTAGTGGGGTGTGTGTGTGTGTGTGTGTGTGTGTGTGTGTGTGTGTGCGAGCGCACGCACGTGTGCGTTTTTCCCTTAGAATACTTACCTCCAATTTGTACACATCTTGGATTAAAATATAAGGTAAGTAAAGTCTTTCACCTTCATCTCTCAATTTCGCTACCTGGAGTTCACAGTCTTGAAGTTTTACAGCATACAAATCTATTTTCTAATGGAAAGATAACATAACTTTTTTAGTTTAAATCAAATATTTTATTTTTCGCCAATTATTCATAAAAACAATTTTTAACATTCTTGTTTTTCAGATTTTAAGTTCTAAACTCTCTCCCTCCCTCTCCCTTCCCCATTGCGAAGGCAAGCAATTTGACATAGGTTATACTCTTGCAGTCATGCAAAACTCGTTCCTATGATAACATATAATATTGAAGCATTTTTTCTGAGAGTTGAATTTAAATGAATTTGGGTCCAGGGACTAAGACATAGGTACAGGGTTAGGGTAGCTTGATCATACTCTGATTTAGTTACCTGGAGTTGTTCAACAACACTTTGACTACTAATTTCATTCAAGGAGTGCTGTATTGAGGATTTTTTTTCAATTAGTTGGTCATACAGCTGCCTTACTTGACTCTGCAGGAAAAGAAGGCATTTGTGGGAAATAATAAGAGAATTTTATGGGTAATAGTGATATTAGTACAATATATATTAAATTACAGAATTGTTGAGATGGAACAAAACTGAGCTAATTCGTTTCACCAAACTTCTGTCCCTGTCAAACACTATTTCACTTAAATCTATTTTCAAGACCTTCATAGAAGGAAATTGTTATAGTCTTCCTTGGTAACTCCACACCCATTAAACAAGTGTAACATGGAAAAGGTCATTAGCTCAGATTCAAGTGGGATATGATGTGATTTAAAACACCCATTGCCAAACTGAAATCATCTCCTCTTTTGTATTTCCTATTGCTCCCCTCCACACACTTTAAGCTCCCAACGTTGTTCTTTATTTTCCCACCTCTGTGCCTTTGCTTACACTGTTCCTAATATCTAGAATGCCCTTCATCCTGCTTCTTGCTTGCTAAATGCCTATCTGTCCTTTAAAGCCCCAATGCCACTCAAAAGCCACTTTCCTTTCTTGATCTTTCTGTTGGTAACAACCTTCCTCCTTGAACCTCACACAACATTATTTTGTGTCTTGCTTGCACTTAACATGGCATATTTAGATTATAGTTGTGCTTTTACCTTATCCTCCTATGAGCTATACTACATGAGATCGGAAACCCTTAATAAAATGTTCATTAAATGAATGAATGAATGAATGAATGAATAGTACCTGATAATCACTATTATGGTCTATCCCAGATTTCATGGATTGACTTCTAGAAGCAGTTGCAGTCTGAGTTTGCTCAAGTTGTGTTTGCAGGTTTTCAAAGCACTCAAAGAATACATTGGAGTTTTTTCCAGGGTGACTTATCAGTTTCAAAAGACCATCCTTTCTGTTAGTTACGGCCGAGTGAAGTTTTTGCAGTTCTAGAGCCAGGGTCTACGAGGTGAAGAGGAAAGAAGGACAATGAAGGGCCCCAAATACACCACGCCGGGCAGAGCTGAATGATGACAACCACACAGGGTATAGAGAAATGACTAACCTCGTAGTGGGCCTGCTGTGCAGCAGTGTCCTCCCTAGAGAGGTGGGAGGTCTGGAGCATTTCTCCCACAATGCTCAGACACTGACTGATACTCAGAAGGAGATCAAATATTTTTTTATCTAGATTTAGGGAGGATTCACTTGTCAGGTTTTCCTGAATCAAAAGAAGGAGAAAAGAAAGAAAAAAAATTGTTATGTTTTACATCTGAGGAAAATTTAAGGAAATAAATAAACATTAGATAGCGGTTGAGTGGGACAGCTAGGTGGCGCAGTGGATAGAGTGCTGGGCCTGGAATCAGGAAGACCTAACTTCAAATTCAACCTCAGACATTTGCTGGCTGTGTGACCTTGGGCAAGTCACTTAATCCCATTTGCCTCAGTTTCCTCAAGTGTAAAATGAGCTGGAGAAGGAAATGGCAAACTACTCTGATATCTTTGCCAAGAAAATCCCAAATGGAGTCATGAAGAGTCAGACATGACTGAAAATGATTAAACAACAATGATATAGTGACTAACAAATTAGTTACGGACCTGTGATATCAATGATATGGGGATGAAAAAACTCCCTCTGCCAATAAAAATTGGCATCTTTTTTGTAATTTACAGTTTTAGAGAGTTGCTAGGGCATTGAAAGGTTAGGTGACTTGACCTCAGTCAACACAGCCAGCATATGTCAGAGCTAGAACTTGAACCCAGAGTCTTCTGGGCTCTTAGTGATGCTATAGCATCACTAAGCAGCTAATGGAAATAATATTAATAATAACAACAATAATATCTAGCATTTACCTTGTACCTACTATGTGGCTAAGCATCTTATGAATGTAATCTCATTTGACAACCCCGGGGCGGGGGGTAGGTGTTAATATTATCCTCATTTTACATATGGAGAAACTGAGGCACAGAGCTTAAGTGATTTGCCCAGGGTCACAGTAACTATTGCATGAGACCAGATTTGAACTCAAGTCTTCCTGACTCCAGGCCTGGCGCTCTAATCCATTGTGCCACCTAGCTGCCTCAAGTTAAATCTGAAAGTTAATGAAACTCCTTAAAAATTGGTGTAAGGCCTAATATAAATTAACCATGTATTTTCCTAACCACATGAACACATTTTTACATAGGTGAGATCAAGTTAAAACCTTGATCAGCAAAGGGATTCATAAAAGGATAACTTGTAGGGCGTCTGCATGTCTGTGATGAGCAGACAATCCACATTGTCCTGTTGATACTGAAAAGGAGCAGTCTTTTATCTACTGATCGTATGTAGGTATACAAATGCCTCAGATTATCTTTTATCATCAGTCGTTGGAGTTTCCAGTCACTTTTCCCCCTTTCCCACCCCAATGCCTTGCCATCCTGTCCAGCAACCAAAAGCTTGCTTTTCAACCCATGTGAAATAAACAATATTCATTCAGTAGTCATAACATTTGGTCTCGTGTCTAATTTTGTGAATATGTTTTGGTGTTGTTTAGTCATTTTCTGACTTTTCGTGATCCCTTTTGGAGTTTTCTTGGCAAAGATACAGGAGTGGTTTGCCATTTCCTTCTCCAGTTCATTTTATAGATGAGGAAACTGAGGCAAAGAAGGTTAAGTGATTTGCCCAGAGTCATACAGCTAGCTATGGGTCTGAGGCCAGATATGAAATCAGGTCTCTTCCTGACACCAGGCCCGGTGTTCTCTCCACTGTGCTACCTACCCCCCACCCCATACATTATGAATGTATATCATGCCGCTTTTCACCTGAGTGAGAAGAACATTTGCTTCTTGGCTTAAGTCCTCAAGTTGAGAAGTGTAAGTTTTCAATTCTTCAACTGTTGGTGAGCTAACATTATGCATAAGCACCATTGGGAGAAAATTCACATTTGCAGCAATCTGTAAAGAAACATGGCATACATAACACACACATGCATATATACCTAGATAGTTAGAGGCAATACAGCACGATGACTATACTGTTTCTTGTTTCTTGTATAATAACCATTTAAAAATTAAGTGTAAAATCTTAATTTTTAACAAAGGGTTGTTTCTATCCAATCCTGCAACTAGATAAGAACACTGTGGATTTAAGGACACTTCCCATACGCATTTTAGAACATGCCTAAGTAGATATGAATAGACTTTATTCAGTGTTTCTAGGCCTCTTTAAGATATTAACTTGGTGATAAGTTTTGCTAAGGGAAAGTAAATAAATCACTTCTGTAGACAGATGCCTGACTGAATTCAAATATACAAACATTTAATAAGCACTTAGGATGTACAAGGCATTCAGGGGTGGGGAACCTGCCGCCTCAAGGCGCCTGGGACTAAAAATTAACAAAAATGAAATTGCTTCTGTCCTCAGAATTGACCCTTTTTTTGTAGGGGGAGAGGGTGCAGAGGAGGCTGCTGGTCTTGTTCTGTGATTTTATCAGTCTAAGGAGCATCCAGGGAAGGGGACTTCCTATACCAATGCAGACAGGCACCTGCTCACATACATGGCATGTGTCAGAGGTAAATCTCTCTGACTGAGGGCAGCTTTCAATCTACAATGATGCCTCTTTATGCTCCTAAAGTCTCCATATTTTACTATCTAGTGTAAAAATAAAAAGTTCAGATGGCACCATAAGTTGTACAGGGAGAATTGTTTGATGTATTTCCAGCGTTAACCGTTCCTCAAATAGGGGAACACGCATGTCCTCATAAACAGAACCAGAATCTAAACACGGAGATATCTGACTCTGGAAAAGTGAAACACGCATAATGGGACTTGTAACATGGAATGACTAAACCTCGATTCTGAACTGGCTCAGGCCATAGACCTATCAGTTTGGATAGGAACTCGACAGAGGCTGTCACAGAAAGCCAGGATGAATGGAACTTACAATGGCCATAGCAAACTGTGTTGTTCCTGTTTAGTCATTTTTCAGGTGTGTTGGACTTTTACGACCCCATTTGGGGTTTTTCTGGCAAAGATAACTTGAGTGATTTGCCATTTTCTTCTCCAGCTCACTTTACAGATGAGGAAACCAAGGAAAAGGGGTTAAGTGACTTGCCCAGGGTCACAGGGTTAGTAGTACCAGAGGCTGGAAGATGCATCTCAGTTCCTGACTCCTGGCCCAGCATTCTATCTACTGCTCCATCTAGCTTCTTTCTAACACTTCTGGCTCAACAGAGTTTCTGTGTGTAAGGAAGTGTTTCATTCCCAGTTAATGCAACTTGTGTAAGGTTGGGAGAAGCTTTAAATGTATGAACATGATGGTTCACACCCTGTGATTTCTTTATAAGGTGTGAACTTCTTTGGTTCAAGAAAGGAATGATTGCTTTGGCTGACCAGTGGACTGGTCACACACCTCTGGGAGCTTTGAAGAGCTAGAGGCCTGCAGAAGTTAGTGAAGCAGGCTGTGGCCATCCAGTTTGGCCAATCGGCTATTCCTTTCTTTATCTAAAGAAGCTACATTTTGTAAAGAAATCACAGGGCACAAGAACCATACTGTTTGGACATTTAAAACTTCATCAGGACCTTACACTCCCCATGACATTAACTGAAACAGGAGTGAATCACACCTCCAGTTACTTAAGTCAAAACTAGATACAGATGGGAGTCAGTTCTTCCAGGTCAGGACTAAATCCCCTGCAAAGATTTTCATTTATACTGGATGGTTATGAAGTGCTCCCATTCAGCTATACACAATTCTCTAACTTTTCTTTCAAGAAATAACTTGCTTTGGAAAGAGGGCTCCCAGATCTTGACAAGGGCTGCAATCGTGCTAAGGTTCATACTGACCTGATCATCTACAGGCTGAGGTGGAGGCAGCTTCTCCTTTGACAGCTCCTGAAGCAAATATTGCCACTTATCTTCACTTTGCTCCTGAGATGGTAGAAATGATTCTGGGGACTCACTTCTAGTGTGCGACACTCCAGGGCTTTGGAAAAAAGGCAGAAAGTAGGAAAACAATTGGCATGTAAAGTTTTATGCTACAGGGCACATTCTTTTAGAAGTCATTTTGCTCAGAGGAATATTCAAAGAATACCCAAGGTACTTTGTCAACACAAACTATCCCGATCAAAACACAGCTTACGGTTCAACAATTTTATTTTATCTATTTTGTGCTTCATCTACATTACCTTAGAATAAGTCTATGCATATTTTTAATTAAAAAATATTCACTAGCTACCTACTAGCTGCCAGCATTGTTATAAATGCTGCAATGATAACTGATACATCACTTCAGATTCGCAAAACATGTTCCTCACATCGACTCTGTGAGATAAGGAATGCAGTTATTATTTCCATTGTAGCAGTACATTTGCACAAGGCATTATTGTTCTGTTCATCTTTTTAAATACTATGTACCCCACAAATCAAGGACATATAGACATATTTTAATCAGTGCATTGCTGATGGAAGGTTCGATAATCACTACTATAACATCTTCAGATTCTTATAATACTTTCAAATATGAAATTGTTAGATTGTATGGTACAAAGACAAAAATGAGGCTTTGTCTTCCAATTTACCTCATTTGCTATTTAAATCATGAACCCTATCTAAAACCTGCTCAGCCTCTTCTTAAACATTTCTAGTAGCAGGGAGTTCACTGCTCCCTAGGATAATTCATCCTATTTTTGAATAGCCCTAATTATTAGCAGATTAAAAAATTTTTTTACCCTTCTTTTGAGTGGAGATCTGTTACCTTGGCCTGTTATTGTGGAAAGAGGGCTAGACTTTGAGTCAGAGGGTCTAAGTTCTATTTTTCTATATGTTTATTTAACATTTTATTTTTCCAATTACATTAGGAAATATAAAATAAAAGGATAATTTTTAACATTCTTTTTTTAAATTTTGAGTTCCAAACTCTCTCCCTCCTTCTCCTTCTCCCCACCCCCACTGATGAGGCAAACAATTAGATATAGATCATACACGTACAGTCAAACAAAACATATTTCCATATGTCATGTTGTAAAAGAAAACACAAGTCCAAAACCAAAAGTATATTTAAATCTGCATTCAGACTATATCAGCTCTTTTTCTGGAAATGGATAACATTTTTCATCATAAGGCCTTAAAAATTGTCTTGGATGCTTGTATTGCTGAGAAGAGTTAAGTCTAACAAAGTTGATCATCGCACAATGTTCTCCTGATTCTGCTTACTTCACTCAGCATCAGTTTATGTAAGTCTTTCCAAGTCTGCTCATCATTTCTTATAGTTCAATAGTATTCCGTTACATTCATATACCACAACTTGAGCAACCATTCCCCAACTGATGGGCATCCCCTCAATTTCCAATTCTCTGTCACCACAAAAAGAGCTGCTATAAATATTTTTGTACATAAAGGTTCCCCCCCCATCCCCACTCCCTTTTAAAAATCTCTGGGATAGAGACCTAGCAGTGGTATTGCTGGATCAAATGATATGCATGGTTTTATAACCCTTGGGAGCAGTTCAAAATTGCTCTCCAGAATGACTGGATCAGTTCACAACTCCACCAACAATGCATTAGTGTCTCAATTTTCCCACATCCCCTCTAACACTTGTCATTTTTCTTAGAGGGTCTGAACTTCAAACCTAGCTGGGCAATGTAATAGCCTGGGCCTTGTACTAGTAGGACCTTGGCCAACTCATCTAATCTCTCTAGATCTTAGAACGCTTGTCTATCGAATGAAAGGGTCAGACTAAAGTCCTGAGCTCTCTAGCTCTGACCCTATGCTTTTACCTACTGCTTGAAATTCTGCCCTATGGGAAAAGCAGAGCAAGCTTAATCTCTATTGCACAGGATAATCCTTCAAATATTCTGAGGCTGCTAACATCAATTCCCTAAGTATCTTTTACTGTAAAGATTAAATGTTCCCTTTTATTTCAAATTAACCTTACACGGGAATGGGTTAAGTCACCCAGGTACACACTACAGCTTGTCATTTTTTGTTTTACATAATTATAGTCTGTATCTGCTCTTCTTTTCATAGCTTTATATAGATTTTTCATTGTTGAGGGAGGGGGTTTATTTTGTTCCTATTGATGAAGGGAACTGCCTTTCTCCACCAATGTTTATCAGCAACTCCTCTATAACTTTATTGCAGGGACTTGCCTGGGGCCACTGAGAGGGTAAGTGACTTGCCCATTGTCACAGGCACAGCATGTATCATCTGTAGGACTAAGAGTCCAGGTGTTCCAGACTCTTAAGGCCAGTCCTTTATCCACTATCTATTTTTTCACAAGTCTATATATTCTTCCACATTTTGTATGCTGTGCACATAGCATATACTTAACAAATATTTGTTGACTGAACTGAATTCTTATTATTCATTCTTCATTAGGATGGAGTTCTCCATTATGTTGGTATTGATAGAGATTACTTCCTTCAACCATTTCATTTTATAAATAAGAATTTATTTTGCAGATAAAATCCAGAGTCAGTAGGTCAATAAACATTTATTAAGGGGCTACTACTTTTTGGAATAGTAGTACTACTACTGGCCAAGCCAACATGACAAAACAAAAAGTCATTATTTGACAAAAACTGCTGGGAAAACTGGAAAACAGTATGGCAGAAACTAGGTATAGACCAACATCTCATACTGTATACCAAGATATGGTCAAAATGGGTACATGATTTACACATAAAGGGTGATACCATAAGCAAATTAAGAGAACATGTCAGATTTACGGTTAAGGGAAGAATTTAGAACCAAAGAAGATACAGAGAGAATTACAAAATGTTAAATAGATCATTTTAATTACATAAAATTTAAAAGGTTTTGCACAAACAAAACCAATACACAACCAAAGTTATAAGGAAAGTAGAAAACTGGGGGGAAATTCTGCCACAAGTATATCTTACAGAGGCCTCATTTCTCAAATAGAGAACTGAGCCAAATTTGTAAGAATGCAAGTCATTCCCCAATGGTCAAAGGATATGAACAGGCAGTTTTCAAAGAAATAAAAGATATCTACAGTCGTATGAAAAAATGCTCTAAATCACTATTGATTAAAGAAATACAAATAAACACAACTCTGAGGTACCTCATCACATCTATCAGATTGGCTAACATGACAAAAGAGGAAAATGATAAATGTCGGAGTGGATGTGGGAAAACTGGGACACTAATGCACTGCTGGAGTCGTGAAGAGATCCAACCATTCTGGAGAGCAATTTGGAACCATGCCAAAAACTATCGAATTACGCATACGCTCTGATCCAGCAATACTACTGGTAAGTCTATGTCCCAAAGACATCAAAAAAGGGGCAAAGGACCTAGTTGCACAAAAATATTTGTAGCAGCTCTTTCTGTGGTAGCTAAGAACTGGAAATCAAAGGGATGCCCATCAATTGGGGAATGACTGAACAAGCTGTGGTATATGATCGTAATGGAATATTATTGTGCTATAAGAAATGATAAGCAAGATGATTTCAGAAAAACCTGGACTTACATGAAATGATGCATAGTAAAGTGAACAGAACCAGGAGAATGCGGTGTACACTATAACAGCAATATTGTTCTGTGAAGAACTTGGCTATTCTCAGCAATACAATGATGCAAGATAATCCCAAAGGACTAATGATGAAGCATACTATCTGCCTCCAGGAAAAATGGATATTGTATGAATACAGACTGAAACATGATTATTTTTCACTTTTTTTTTCTTTTATTCAAGTCTTCTTGTACAAAGTGACTAATATGGAAACATTACACATAATTGCACATGTATAACCTATATCTGATTGCTTATCATCTCAGGTACGGGGGAGGAAGAGAGGGATAGAATTTGAACTCCAAACTTTAAATAAAAATATTTTTAAAAGCTTCAAATCTAACCCTTCATTTTATAGATAAGGAAACTGAGGCACAGAGAAGTTAAGCCGTTTGCCTACTGTCGTACAAATATCAAGTCTCTGAGGCAGGATTTGAACTTAGATCTTCCCGATTAGAAATCTAGCATCTTATCCACTACACCACTTTTTTTAAAACTTTCTTTTTTATTAATTTATTTTGAATTATCAACAATCACTTCCATAAGCTTTTGAGTTTTAAATTTTTCTCCCCTTCTCTCCCCAAGATGGCATACAATCTGATATAGGCTATACATATACATTCCTGTTAAACATATTTTCACATTAGTGATGTTGAGAGTAAGACTCAGAACCAATAGGAGAAACCACCAGAAAAAGGAAACAAAACTCAACAGAAGGAAAAAAATAGCAAATAGTAGGCTTCAATCTGCATTCAAACTCCATAGTCCTGTCTTTGAATGTAGATAGCATTTTCCATCATGAGGCCTTTGGAGATGCCTTAGATCCTTGAATTGCTGAGAAGGGTTCAGTTTACCACTATGTCTTACCAGCCTTGAAGCCAGGAAGACCTGAATTCAAGTCTTGCTTCTTATACCTACTAACTTGGGCCAGTGACTTAACTTCTCATTGCCCAAGGCAACACTTTAAGGCGATGATGGATGTAGAAATTGCTGATATTCATCAGTGCAGAAAAGGAGTCTCCACGCAGGGAATCCCCCCACACTGACGAAATTACAGATCCAGAGCAACAAGGGGAAAAGAAAAATGAAGCCAAAAGGTATGGCTAATTTCATGGCTCGTTACATGTCACCAGCTTCTTTTCTAGGAAGACTGTATCAACTTAAATGGTAACCAACAACAAACAAATGTCCGTGTGTGCCCAAAGTCCCACCAAGCATGGGCTTTTACCATATTTAATCATTTTCGTTAGTTTGTTTATGCCCAACTATTTAAAAGTTTATACCTTAGAAGTGATTCCTGGGTTTTACCATCATCCCTTTGGTCCTGCTGAGGCCACATTTTCTCAGCATGGATTTCAATGAACCTGAAGAGATCCTTCTGTTCACCTGGTTTTAATTCTGAGGCCTATGAATGAACAAGGAAGAAAACATTTACATCAGTCATAAAGGTCATGTATCTACAGGGTGCCCCTTCCCTTTATGTATTCTGTCGGTGTTGCTAGGACAGTAAAATTCTGAACCAATTCTGAGTTTTCAGTTCCATAGCTTATAAGTTATGAGTTACTCATAAGTTACTTATGAGTTAGCTCATAAGTAGCTCATAATCTACGATGGTTTCCCCCACCATAAGCCCCTCCAAGATCCATCTGAAACACACATGTGCATTATGATGTCAATCACATTTTTGAAATAGCATATATATGAATATTCATTTATTCATTTTAATGAATATTAACGAATTTTAACTCATTTTAACCAATACAATACTGATGGGGGAAAGGCAATAAAATAGCCACATTACAAAGTTCCCACTGGAGATTTTGGCTCAGCTTCCATTCAGCAGCACAGTAACCAAAGAACAAAGAAATAGTATCACTAAGAGTAACACATTCCATCAAAATGCAGCAGAAGTTATTGGTAATGAGATGGAATAAAAATTAAAAATAGCATTCATATTTAGTGCTTTAAGGTTCCTGAAGATCTTTACAAATATTATTCAATTCTCACAATAACCTGGGGGGGCGGGGCAGGCAGTGCTATTACTATTCCCACTTTAAAAATGAGGAAACTGAGGTAAAGAGATTAGGTGACACACAACCAGTACATTGTCCGCAGTTAGATATTGAACTCATGTCTTTCTGACTTCAGGACCAGGGCTGGTTCTGTTCTGCCATCTAATTAGCTGCACAACCCTGGGCACACACGCAGATAGATCCACTCTCCCCGCCAAGTCACAGAAGCAAACCCACCAATACCAGCTTCACATTTTAAGAATGAAGGACCATTCCACATGAAAAAGATTATTTTTGTGCTTCATTATTTTGTGCAAGGGCTAAAATTACCTGTTGTTGGAAACCTTTTCGTCGGCCGAAGAGTGGGCTTTCAAATGAAATAGATTCAAACACAGGTGACCTGTCTGACTGGAGGACTTTTTGATCCTCTGAAGGTTTCTTTAGAGTGCTACTTCGCTGTTTAAAAAAAAATAAATATATATATATATACATATATACATATATGTATATAATATATGTAATGACAAATTATTCACTTACACAGAATGAACCACTTCAATTTAACTATATAATAATGAAACCATTTAATGTAGGAAATTAAAAAAAAACTTTATCTGAGGTAAACTATTGCATTTTTATTACCTTAATTTAATTTAATGTGCTTATTTCATAGCATTAAAAAAAAATCATCCCATTAAGTCAAATGGCCATTTTTTTCTCTCTTCTACCCACTACATCTGAATGAATTTACTGGGAACAACAAGTTTCTTGTCTTTTTTTCTTTTAAATAAATAAAAAAAAAGACAAGCAAAAAGGAGGAAAGGGAAAAAGAAAAAAAATCACTGATAGAACATTGAGTCTATGAATTTAAATTTACCACAAAGGCAAACCAGAAAACAATGAAGTTCAAGAAAACAAAGAAGCTTAGAAGATAAACCATAAATCCAATTAGCTTCTAGGCTCCTTTAAATAGACTTTGAGCTCTTTGAAGGCAGGTGTTAAGAGTCTAGGGTTGATGGCAGGGAAGGTACAGCTGTGTATCTGTAATTACAGGGACACAAAGCGGTCCTCCATGGTCAGGTATGTCTTAGGCCTATTTAGGAAACACTGGCGGGTACCTTCATGTCTGGTAGTAAGAGTTTGCTGGTAGAAATGGGCCCTATTAGATTGTATGTGTGTAAGGGGCTGTGAGGATACTAGTAAGAAGCGCTAATATTTACATCACGCTTTAAACACCTGCAAAGTGCCTTATGCATGTGAACTTCACGCAACCCCGAAAAGGTAAGTGCTGTTATTATCTTCACTTTGGGTAAAGTGACTTGTTCAGGGCCACACTATGGAAAGAGTGAGTTAAAAAGAATGAGTTTATGTAAGAGAGACTGTATGAGCTGAGATGTGAAGGACAGGGAGCTTCCAGTCATGTGAGTGCATGCAGGAGGGACCAGCTTGGGGTTCTAGTGCCCCTCCTCTACACAGCAGAACAAGTACTAGGAGGCATCTAGGTGGCTCAGTGGATAAAGTACTGGGCCTGGAGTCCGAAAGACACGAGTGCACATCCAGCCTCAGACACTTACTAGCTGTGTGACTCTGGTGAGTCACTTAACTCATGTTTGCCTCAGTTTCCCCATCTGTAAAATGAGCTGAGAAGGAAATGGCAAACAACTCCAGTATCTTTGCCAAGAAAACCCCAAGTGGGGTTATGAAGAGTCAAACGTGGCTAACTGACTAAAGAACAAAAACACAGACAGCTTTGAGGGCTCTTTGCCTCTTTTCCTTTCCCTAGTGCTTAGCACAGTACGTGGCACATAGCAGGTGCTTAATCGATGTTTATTGACTGTTTGAAATACAGGTCTAACATATACTAGCTCTCTGAGCCTGGGTGAGTCCTTTCATCTCTCAGCGACCCTTCTGAGATTATTAGTTGCAGAGATGATGACCTGCACTGGGTAAAGGGAATTCCCTCATTGAAGGAGCTCTCCATACCATTGAAATCACAGTTGTAGTCTCTAATCTTACACCCCACATGTGGCACAGTGCCTTATAATAAATACTAAAAAGATATTCTGTGAATTGAATTTTGTTGAAATGAATTTAAAAGGCACAGAAGTATTGTTTTGGACTGTGTAAGCCTAGTCGTATTTTTTAATGTTAATATCCCAAAGGTATTCGGTGCGTGTGCATATGTAGAAGTAGAGCCAGCTGATTTATCACAAGTATACTTTGCGTTGATAACATTTAAAAGCAAATTATAAAAAATACTGGAGAAAACAGAAGAGGCAGATTTGTTGAAACTTCAACAAATTCAACATTGCTTTATTGCCAACGCTGTTATAACTGGGTTCACTTGAAGAACAGCCTTCGTTTAAGACAAACTTTGCTATGAAGTCTGAAGACATTGTAAAGTTAACCCAATAGGTCAATATTCTGATTTACTTATCACTTTAACAATATTTTCACACTGAGTTGACACAACAGCGGAAGTCAAAGGTTTTTGTTTTTTTCTGATTGGCTTATCAATTATGGATATCAATACATTCACGTCTATTTTACCTGCCCTTCGCTGTATTTGTCCTGAAGCATCACCTGGACTTTTTCCAAATTACACTTCACAGCTTTTAGTTTCAAGGAAAGTACTTCTGCCTCTTGATGGGTGCTTCCACTATTTCCCAGACCCTGATCTTTGCAATTCTCCAGTAAGGAAGACACCTTGTGCTCAATCTCTGTTAACATGGCCTAGGAAGGAAAAAAAAAAATGTTGATTATTTATCTATTCTTTCCTCATAAAGTTCCATCTCCACTCTTCTCAGATTCATTGACTATTTGATTACATTTTAAAGCGGACAAATACAAAAAGGGCCTGGAGCAATGCTTCATTTGTTCCTCTGCTTCTGAACGAGATTTCATTAAAATCAGCCCCAAAAGGAAACTTTCTTTTCCTTAAACTTCAAAGCAAAATTCCTCAAATACCATTGATAACTAGTAGCTCTCAAAAATCAGTTTTATACAGACTAGAACCAGAAGGGACTTCAGAGATAATCTCAACCAACCCTCTAATTTTACAGATGAGGTAACTGAGGCTGTGACAGGTTAAAGTGACTCATCTAGACTAATACAGAAAATTAGTGCAGCTAGGTAGATCAACCCGCTAATTTTGCAGATGAGGAAACTGAGGCTGTGAGAGGCTAAAATGACTCTTCCAGCCTAATATAGATAATTAGCGTAGCTAGGTAATAGTGCAGTAGGGTAACTAGGTGGCACAGTGGATAGAGCATTGGACCTGGAGTCGGGAAGATCTGAGTTCAAATGTGACCTCAGACACCTCCTAGCTGTGTGACCCTGGATAAGTCACTTAACCCTGTTTGCCTCAGTTTCCTCATCTATAAAATGAGCTGGAGAAGGAAATGGCAAACCTCTCCAGTATCTTGGCCAAGAAATCCCCAAATGGGGTCACAAAGAACTGGATATGACTGAAATAACTAAGCAACAAGAAATGTACACACATATATCATTCCCACTGCAAAGTGGGGATAATAGTAATACTAACAATCTCACCAGGTTGTTGTGAGGATTAAACGAGATAATAATTGTACAGCGTTTAGCACAGTGTCTGGCATATAGAAGTTAAAATACAAATGCTAATTATCATCATGATTATTATTACTAGTATATGGTGCTTTTTTCCAAACCTGCCTTTCCTAACATCTAATCTAAATCCCTCCTGCTGCAATTAACGCACTTGGAAACAAGGCTAAGGATCAGCTGTTTCCCATACAACATCCTTCAAAGCTGTTAGGAAGGTCTTTCTCATTATCATCAGCCTTTTCTTTTTCAAACAAAACAAGTATTCAAAACAACAGACTCTAGGAAAAAAGAAAGATCTGAAAACTGATGTACTTTTCTGATGACATAAGGGACTGACTACAGAGGCCTAAAAGTAACCCAGCTTGGTTAGTGTCCTAGTGAGCTATCGTCATTGTATTTCTACTCGACAGATCAGAACTGTAACCTCTTGGGGCCTAGGAAACCAAGCAGCCATGCCAACCAGCTATGCTCCAGGGTATATACCAGCAGCAGTGACTTGAGGGCAGAACACAGCTCTGAGGCTGTTTTACAAATTCCGCTAGTTTTCATTTGTGCCCAAAAATGCAACACAGAAGTTCAATTATGGCGCCTAGCAGGTTACAGTGTGTAGCCGAGCATAGGGAACCTGCAGGCCTCAAGGCTAGCGGTGCCCCACTCCTGGTAGACCAACACAGTATAACAGACGCCTAATAAGTGCTTATTGTATTTAATTTATTAGTTTTTTTTTAATAGACTTCTTTTTGAGTGCTTCATGTAAAGGTAGTTGCAATGTATGATATAACTCTTTTGCAGGAATATTAATGGTCAAATATATGTTTGCCACAGTGGCACCAAAGACATCCCCTCAATATTTACGGCTCCCAAAAGAATGAATGAAAATTAAGTGTTTACTATGTTTGAAGCACTGAGGACCAAATAAAAAAGCAAGATGGTCTCTCTCTCAAGGAGCTCACATTGTTATGGAGGAGACAACACATAACAGGAGGTTTCACCTGCAAGTCAGATCAAGTCCTTAGAGTACAGTGGCAAAGCAGATGGGACTGATAAAATCCTACGAGCTTCCGATTTTGAACGACATGACAGTACCAAGGACTTGTCAATGGCTCACATCAATGAGTTTTGTTCTTTCCTTCAGTAAACTCGTTTTTAAAGTTCTTGATTTGGAGTCCAAGGTTCACACGGTCCTGCTACTTGCTACCTGTGTGACTTTGTACAGGTCATTTAATCTCTTTGTGCCTCAGTCTGTTTTTAATCTGCTAAATGAGGGGGTTGGATTAGTTGACCTCAGAGGTCCCTTCCAACCTTAAATCTTAGTCAAGTGGCTATGTGGTCATAGTTAAAATGGATCCCATACAGACCAGAGTTCACTGTGGTCTGCCCTGTTTTGATGATATAGAAAACTATTTATGGTTAGCACAGTGCCTGGCACATAGTAGACACTTAATAATTACTTGGTGACTTGACTTGCTTCATTTTGAGTGACATTGGTAAAGATAATTATAAAGTAGAGTGTATCCAAAGGAAGGCACGGAGATGGTGAGATCTCTGAGGACCACACCATTTGAGGATAGTCTGAGGAAAGCAGGATTTTTAGCCTTGAGAGGAGAAGTCATGGGGACAGGGTGCATCTGATTGCCGTCTTCAAGTATTAGAGGGGGTATTCTAACTTGGCAGACCTATTAGACTTAAAACCCAGTGGGCAGTGAGCAATAGATAATCTTTACAGCCGAGCAGTATAGTGGAGAGAGTGCTGGATGTGGAGTCAGGAAGACCCCTTCAAATTCTGCCCCATCTGTATGACCTTGGGCAAGTCACTTATCCTATCACAGCCCCATTTTGCTTATCTATAAACCGGGAATAATAATAACACCAACCTCACTGGGTTGTAGTGAGGATCAAATGAGACAGCATTTGTAAAGTGCTTTGTGCAAACCTTAAAGTATTATATAAATGACAGCTATTATTGTTATTATCCTCGTCATTCCCACATCTTCACATCTCTGCGATAAACTTCGCCAGTTCCTTAGACTTACCCTTAGCTAACGTGGTTTTGAAGCTCCTCACCATCCTGGCCATATTTGTCTGAACACACATTTCACCTCTTCTAGAATATGACGTACAGGATGGAACACAATGCTCGAGGTGTCTTTGTCGATCTATTTGGGTAGCACATAATGGACCTATCATCTCCCTCTTCTGGACTCAATCTCTCAATGTAGCACAAGAGCAAGGTAGTTTTTTGCCTTTGATATCAACTTGTTGACTCCTATGGAGTCTATTCTAGATTTCTTTCTTAGTAAATTTACCCACGCCTTCCTATCCTGAATTATGTACTTGATTTATTTTTTAATCTATGTGTGAGAATTTAGCCTATTTAATCTTTTTAGATTTGGTCCATCAGTCAAGCCTTTTGAGATCCTTACTGCAAGGCAACACATTTGCTATCCCTCCCAACTTCAAGTCACCTAAAAATTTGAATGTCTTTATCCAGTGGAGAGGAAGTTCTCCATTATATTCCAGGCCAGCACACATTCTTGTGGGGACAACTGGACCATCCACTAAAATGGCCCCACAGGTTGCTCCAGACCCACCTCCAGGGAATCTATTTTATAGGCCCCATGTTATGCTGAAGAATCAAGAGAAGGATGCCTTGACTGTCTGTCTACATGTTGTTGTTGTTGAACTGTTCCACTCACGTTTGAGTCTTTGTGACCCCATTTGGAGTTTTCTTGGCAAAAATATTGGAGTGGTTTGCCATTTCCTTCTCCAGCTCATTTTATAGATGAAGAAACTGAAGCACACAGGGTTAAGAGACTTGCCCAGGGTCACACAGCTAGTAAATGTCTGAGGCTGGATTTAAACTCGGGTCTTCCTGACTTCAGGCCTGGCATTCTATCCGCTGTACCCCTTAGCTACCTGTCTACGCCTAACTTTGCACTAAAATCTTATGAAGGAACCAGTTCTAAATGTTCAGTAAGATAACTCCTACTATTTTAGACTAAAATAAAATACTCTTTTATTCACAAGACACATTTGTTTTGGCATGAAGACAAGTCTTTGTTTTGCTTGTATGTTGGTTGCAATTTATAACAACTATACAGATGTGAGAGGAAGTTCCTCCATATATCAATAAAGCAATCATTTTTTTCTTTGCACATGGACAGTAAAAACTTCTCAGCCCTCAATTCTGGTTTCCGTTGTTGTTTCACCTTGGGCAAGTCATTTAAGTACTTTGTGCTCAGTTTCCTCATCTGTAAAAATGAGTTGATCTCTAAGGTCCCTTCCATCTCTGAATTTTGTGACCTTTATCATCTCTTGGTTCACTCTGCCCATTCTACTCCATAGTGTTTATTGTGCTTAGCTTTCATGTTCCTTATGAACCAACTTTATTCCACAAATTCATTATCTGCCAAGTTACTTTCCATCTCTCATAATGGAAGTATAGTATGAAGTACCATGATACTCCCAAGTGTACACTGTTTTCATATCCATCCTCAAGCCAGTTAGAAAAGACGAAAAGTGGAAAAAGCAATTTCTGTTTGTCCATTTTATTTTTATCAGGATGTAAACAGGACAGTGACTGTGTTCTCTGTTCCTTTTATCTTATACTGAAACAGGCTTCTCTGGGACTGAATGTATACTCAAGAACCAGACATACAAATAATGGCTATTATTCTGTAACAACAACACAAATAGATAACTTTATGCTTTAAAGTTTGAAAGTTAAAAGTGTCCAAAACTGAGCTCATTCTCTTTCCCCAAAACCCTTCCTCTTCCTAATAATTTGTAATTCCTAATAATAATTCCTAATTCCTACTCACCCATGTTCACAATCTAGGTGTCATTCTCTACTCCTTCTTAACCATTCCCCTCTCCTACCCCATATCCAATCTATTGTCAAGTCCTATCTTTGCAACATCTTTAAATACAACTCCCATCTCCTCTTGCCTCCTTGCTATTCTTCATACAAGAAATTTAATCCCCTGATAATGTGTTTTCATTGGCGGTTTCCAATGTCCAGAATTCTTGCTCCTTGTCTCTGTCTCCTGCCTTTTTTCAAGATGAAGCTATAATCCTTCCTTCTGCAAGGCTTTCTCAATCCCCTTTAATGCTAATGCTTTCCCTCTCACATCTCCAGTTTATCCTGCATATAGCTTGTTTATACACAGTTGTTTGTTTTAGATTGTGAACTTCTTGAGGGCAGAAGCTGTTTTTGCCTTTTTTTGGTGGTTGTTGCATTCCTGAGCCCCACTGCATACCATGTAGCACATAGCCTGACCCCTGGCACATAAATAAGTAATAAATATGTGCTTGATAAATGCTTATTGACTTGACTACACATTATCACATTTCATCCTCAGAACAACCTGTAAAGTAGGTGCTGTTATCATCCTCATTTTGCCAATTATTAACTAGTCAGTCAACCAGAATTTATTAAGCACCTACTATATGTCAGTCACTGTGCTAAATGCTGGAACACAGTTTAGGAAACAGAACCTGAGAGGGATTAAAATGACTCGTCTTGGGTCCCAGAGCTAGGAAGTGTCTGAGGCAGGTGTTGGCTCTGTTCTTGCTTCAAGACCAGTAATTTTGGATGTCAGTACAAAGGAATCAAAGTTGTTGAAAGGCTAGCATTTGAAAAGTTGGCTTGAAGGTTAAGATAATGTTCATCAACCCCTTAATTTTCTACTGTATAAAATGAATATCAAAATCTTTTTTAATTATATACTGCTAATATTTCTCTTATTTATCTGCACTATTACACACACGTACGCTAATGCACTGTCCCATTTCTCTCTCTCTCTCTCTCTCTCTCTCTCTCTCTCTCTCTCTCTCTCTCTCTCTCTCACACACACACACACACACACACACACACACACACACACACACACACACACAAATTTTGTTAGGCCCTCCAACAAGGAATGAGGTTCAGAATATTCTAAATGGAAGATAAACAGTTGGGTTTCCATTAAAATTTGCCTGTGAAAAGCACTGGTTTTGCAGACAGGAGTTAAGAATAAGGGGCAGGCAGCTAGGTGATACGGTGGATAGAGTGCCAGTCCTGGAGTCAGGAAGAGTCAATGTCTGGCCTCAGACGCTGACTAGATGTGTGAGCCTGGACAAGTCACTTAACCCTGTTTGCCTCAGTAGCTCATCTATAAAGGAGCCAGAGAAGGAAACGGCAAACCACGCCAGTATCTTTGCCAAGAAAACCTCAAATGGAGTCACAAAGAGTCAGATATGACTGAAATGATTCAACAGCAGAAATTAACAATAATCCCTTATATGTATATAGAATTTGGTTGCCCTCACCAATGTAATTTAATAATAGCTTTATTAGTTCTTTAAAGTTTGCAAAGCTTTATATATGTCATTATCTCCAGTGATTCTCAAAGCAGGCTTTTGAGGTAGGTACTATTACTATCACCTTTTTATTGATAAGGCTATGAAGACCTCCATTTACAAATGAGGAAAGTGAGGCTTAAAGAGGTTAACTGAGTTGTCCAGGGTCACACAGCTAGTAAGTGTGTGAGACAGGATTTCAACTTGGATTTTCTTGAGTTCAAGATTTGTACTATGCCATATGATTAATTCACTAGGCAGCAAGGTGATGCAGTGGATACAGCACTGGCCCTAGATTCCAGAAGACTTGATTTCAAATCTAGCCTTTGCCACTTACTCGCTGTGTGATCCTGGACAAGTCACTTAACCTCTATTTGCCCCAGTTTATCTATAAAATGAACTGGAGAAGGAAACGGCAAATCACTCCAATATCTTTTCCAAGAAAACCCCAAATAGGGTCATGAAGAGTCTGATGGGACTGAACAACAACAAAAGTGATTTTTTTTTTGCCCTCCAAAGACTCCAGTAATTTATCGCCATTCATAATCAATCACATTTTAACTAATTCCTTTGGCAATATTGCACCTATTTGAATTAAAGATTTTGAAGGTGCCTCGCTGATTTCCACATTTGACAGTTGAGAAAACAGAGTTGAAGCTATCTGCTGAAGGATTCACTAGCTCTTTATCCCTAGTAAAATTGGTTTTCTACTACATATGATTGCATTGTATTTTATACAATTTCTGTGTCTCAAAATTGGTGATTCTCCTAGGATGACTCAATCAGAAAGTGCTAATTGCATGACAGATTATACTATATAGCACAAATTATAACACGTCCTACATGAATAAACACCAACATAGAATATGCACATTCTATATTTTCCCTTTCCAATCCTGGACAAAGTTGCATTTTAGATGACTAAATATTTAAATAATTAACAGGAAATTTTCAGAAGAAATAAGTCATTCTCAAAACTAAAACATTATTATTAATTGAACTCTACACAAGGTGAAGAGAGGAAAGAATAGTCATAAACGTACACTGTTGCTTTAAGAGAAAAACTCATCCGACACAGTAAGGTGATTGGCGTATAGGTAAACTCTGACCATTCCGCCTTACCTGACAACCAGCTAGCTCCTGTTCCACCATCTGCTGCATTTCTGGGGTTAGTGTTTCATCACTGAATGAGAGGTGAGCTCTGTTAAGCCACAGCTCCAGCTCAGCACCTGTTTCTGGCAGACATGGAGGATCTCCACAGACTCTGGCCTGGAACTCGCCACGGTTTCCTCCAAAGATCCTTGTTGTGCAGAGCTCTGAGCAGGGGCTCCAGTGAAAGCCGAATCGCCCTGTAGTAAATCCAAAGGATATGTAAGCAAGAGAAAGCTAGGAATCTAGAGTTCAGAAAATTTAAACCGCAAGGTGCACAAATCCTTCCGTGTTTCTCAAACACAACAACAAAATAATACTCCAAATGCAGAAAAACAAAACCTTCACAAACAGACACACAGACACAGACACACACCAAAAAAACACGTGATCTAGCAACAGGTTTCCAACCAGCCAATTTGCATCTGCACAGGTATAGTATTCCTGTGTACCAAGGAAGTAAACTGGCTCACAGTTCATTAAACATCGAATCCCAAGAGAAAGGTTCTGTGTGTGTGTGTGTGTGTGTGTGTGTGTGTGTGTGTGTGTGTGTGTGTGTGTGTGTGTGTTTGTCTCATTTCAAAGTACTGGCCAGTTTAAAGTTTTATGATGCGATTAAGCAATATTTACATGGCCATCGTGTACTTTTTTTATATAGGACACTTGTTCTTTGCTATAACTGAATTCTACCTGATGAAAATATACATTCCGAAACCTGGGAAATTTTTCTCATATTTTCATATAGTTTATATGTGGTTCAGCTGTCAAATGGTAAAGATAATCTAAAAATCTACATTTGAAGTATCTTGAATATAACCTTTTATCCCAATATGGAGAGCCTGAAATTCTATCTGCTGTCTTCTTTCCTCAGTCAAATTGATAGCTGTATTAAAGAGAGGACATGTAACATGTTTCTACACAGAAATAACTGCATAAGTAACCCATGGGAAAAAGTTCTCCCAGTTACCAAAGTGAAGTGCTTCAATAATTATATTAGATCTTTGCTTTAAAATGATAAAATTATCTAAGACACACATGCTTCTTTTCTGCTGTAAATACTTATTATCACTTGTCTTAATTGTGAGGGACTCTATATTCTTTTAGATCAGGGTCTGGATCTTGTTTCTTTTTAGCATTTTGATATCTACTCCAATATAATGTATTTTATGCATTTATAAGCATTATTCTGAGAAGGAGTATATAGAGGAGTATATAGATTGGTCTATAAAGAAGCCTTTTGCAAACTTCACCCCACCCCAGGCTGTAGCCCACTACAACATGACCCTTGAACTAAGAACAGTTTTTACCTTTTAAAATAAAGTTTTATTGTTTTTAAAAATGTAAAAGCTGTTATCGGCCCACAGGCTACACAAAAACAGCTGTCTTGCAAGGTTTGCCCCTCGGGGCCATAGTTTGTTAAACTCTGATCTGCAGCCTACATCAGTTGCCAAAGGAATGCACATTACAAAAAAGATTAAGAAAACTTTATTTTAAAATGTAAAACATGTTTCACTCAGCTTTCCCAGAGACAGTAGATACCGTTCCTATACCTTTACAAGCCAAACAGAATGTTGGGGAGTAGGCAGTTTGAGTTGGCAGTAGGAGAATTACAGTTGAAAAAGTATCATGTGACAAAATGTTTCTTACTATAGAGTAGGGAGAGAGTTTGTGGGGTTTTTCAGTATTTTTTGTTTTTAAATTTTTTGACCTATGAAGACTGATATAGAAGAGACTGTTTTCTTGTCATATAGAGAGAACATAAAGAAGAAAGAATGGATAAGGAGAGGTCTTTTCTGATGAAATTGCTGTCACCTTTATTTTGCAAACAGGATTTTTGAGAAGATTCTTTACTAAAACAATTAAAGTGCGGTTTCCCCACTGAGCCAGGTAGTTGGGGTTGGCCACACGCACCTGTAGGTCACTCCTCAATCTTCCACTTGACTTGTTCCTAAAATATTTAATTTTGTCATACTGAGTTGCAGAGTGTTCCAAGGATATACTTTCTTTTTCATGCATAACAATGCATCCTCAATCTCATTAGTTAATTAGGTCAAGAGTCCACCAAATTCATTAAATATAAATTAAGAACTGGAGAAAACCCCTTTCCTAATAGTAATTATTAATATACAATTTATTAATAAAATGTGATAACATAAATATAGCTTATTAGTTACAATATCTACGCTATGAAGAAGATCAGAGAGTGACCTCAAACTCTCACATTAACAGTAAATGACTTTTCATTTGTGAAAACAGCCCCCCCACTTTACCAATTCTAGCCCCTTTACTTGTCACACTTTTCTGTAGCAGTCAGACATTTGTCCCCTTAATCTTTTCCTCTCTCATTTCCAATTTCTCCATATCTATTAACTCTTTGTCTGCTGCCTATAAACATGTTGAGGTCTTCTCCAACCTTAAAATAACTTCACTTGATATTATTATTCTTTGTCTTTTTTTTTACCTTTCTCTGCCAAAATCCTAGAAAGAACTGTTTGTACTTGTTGCCACCATTTGCTTTTTTTCTTTTAAAAAATTATTTTTATTGATACCTTTAATTTTTACATCATCTTCATTTCTGGATAGCTTTCTCCCCTATGCATCAATCCAACCCTTATAACAAAGGTTAAATATGGAAAAAGAAGTGCCTTAGGAAAAAAAATACCAACACATCAACCGTATCTGACAGTATATACAATATTTCATACTGCTTGTCTCCCACCTCTGCAAAGACTGGAGGGGAGGTCTGCTCCCCACCCACCTCCCAACTTCTCTGGTATTTCCTCTCACTGATTTTTTTAATCCTTACAATGCAGCTTCTGACCTTGCCACTCTACTGAAGCCATTCCCTCAAAACTCACTAAGTCTCTTAACTGCTAAGTCTGATGGATGGCCTTTTTTCAGACCTCATCCTATTAGACATCTCTATGGCCTGCAAAACCATTAACCACTTTCTTCTGGATACTGTTTCTTCCTTGGGTATCTATGAAACTGCTCACTTCTGGTAGTCTCACTATTATGTCTTGGATCAATATTCATCTCTTGCTCAATAAAGCACAGGTATCTTCCTCTTCTTTCTGTAATCCTGCCCTTTACGATTTCATCTGCTTCCATCAGTTCAATTGTCTCATATATATGATTCCCAACTATGTTCTCCCACCCCTAATCTATCTTGAATTCCAGGCCCATGTTACCCAAGTGCCTGTTAGTAATCTCTACCTGAACCATCCACTACAACCACCACCACCACCACCATCATCATCAAATTCAAAATCCTCAAAACAGAATTAACTATCTTTTTCTCCAAAAAAGCCCATCTCTCCTCTAAAATTCCCTATTTCTTTTGAGGGACCACCATCCTTTTAGTTCCCAAGATTCATAATTTTGTAGTTATCCTTAAGTCATTGAAGGTATCTAGGTGTGACAGTGGGTGTGTATTTATATATGGAGAGAGAGTAGAGTGCTAGGCCTGGAGTCAGGAAGACCTGAGTTCAAATTCAGTCTTAGATACGTATTAGCTGTGTGATCCTGGGCAAGTTATGGCCTCAGATTCCTTAATGGCAAAAATGAAATTAATGACAGTACCTACCTCCCAGGATTGAGGATCAAATGAGATATTTGTAAAGTGCTTAACACAGTGCCCAGCACATAGTAGGTGTTTAATAAATGTTTGTTCCTTTCCCTTCCCCTTTCTCTTTTTCATCCCTCAAAGTCAATAAATTGGCAAATTTTCTCCATTCTCGCTCCCTAACATTTTGTATCTATCCCCTTTTCTCTTCATTCCTATGCCCTGACCTCATCATTAGCTACCTCTACTATAATAATATTTTCCAGTCTCTCTTCTCTCTCTAGTGAAACCCTTTCTCTCAGGCAGACTGGGCTCTCGTTCATGTGGGCTTTCAAACTATCAAGCCTTGTCTTCTCTACTCTTGTCACTGTTCTCCCATAAAATACTGGAGGCCTTCGTCACTTTCTCTTGACCTTGCACAGATACCAGGGGAGCATGTGTGTTGCTCGTCAGTTATTTCTTACTCTTCTCACACGGCCCTTTCAGCCTCTGTTGCTCCTACATTCCTTTGATGATATCCTTTTCAGTGCTTCTGTGACATAATTCAGTTTGCAATGTGTTGCAGTTTGCCCACGTCAATCATGTGCCTCTCCGTTCCCCCTTTAAGTAATCCTCAACTTTGATCCCCACAGTTGCCCAATTAATATTCCTAAAACACCAGTTGGACAATATTGTTCCTCTGTTCAAAAAAGGAAATGGCTCTCTGGTGCCACTAGGAAAAAATACACACTCCCGAAGGCTGGGGTTCAAAGTCCTCCACGATCTGGTTCCTACATACCTTTCCAGACTTATCTGTGGTTATTTCTATTCTGCACTCTTCATTGTAGTCAAGCCTTCTAGCTGGCCTTTCTACCTTTGATCAGAACTCCCCAGCCCAAAGGCTCTCTACCTTTGTCTCACAGTACCCCTGGATTCCTTCAAAGCTCACTTGGATGTCACCTCATATCCAAAGACTTCCTGATCTTCCAATAGCTGTTAATTCTCTATTCTTCCACAAATTATATGGTATTTACTCCATCAGGAAAACCTATTCTCCTCGAGGGCAGGGACTGTTTTGTTTTTACTTTAACACATGTAGCACTTGGCCCAATGCCTTGTACATGGTAGGAAATGAAAGTGCACATTCAACAAACATTGAATATAACTTTAATCTTGATGCCACATCCATACGTTCTCATTTAGGAATCCTTTAAATTAACTTATTAATATTTTGCAATCAGAGCCACAACATATTTGTCTATCTGTCCTATAATACCAGCAATGTGCATAGCAAAACATGATTCTATACATGTATGTAATGAAGTAATATCCACTGTCTTATCCCCCCTATATATTAATAACATAATAGTTATTATTATATAGTCACATTGTGACCTAATCAGACCATATCTGGAGTTTTAAATACAGTTCTGATGGCCACATTTTAAGAAGGATATTAACAAGCTGAGAATGAATATAGAAAACCATGATGTAAAAAGCGCCGAGACCATGTCATGAAAGGATCAGGTACTGGAGATACTTAACCTAGAGATACTTTGGAGGGGAAGGGGGGAAACACAGTATGATAGCTCTCCAAGTATATGAAGGGCTGTCATGAAGAAGAGAGAGTACTCTACCACTTGGCCATAGAGAGGAGACTTAGGAATAATCAGTTAAAGTTACAGAGACAAAGATTTAGCATGAGTGTAATGATAAACTTATTATTTGAAATACCCTAAAGTGGAAGGATTTCCTGAGTAGTTCATGGGATCCCCTTTATTAGAAGATTTCAAGCAAAGGCTGGATGGATGATCACACCTCAGACACGTTGTAGAGGGGATTCCCTTATCACTATGGTCTGAACTCTATAGATCGGTAAGCTCTCTACCTCTGAAATTCTGTGATTTTGAAGTGTAATATAGTTGTAACATTACAGTATACTCACAGAATCAGAGTGGGGAATTTCATTAATTTTTTGGTCTTCACATTCCAAATAGTATTATAGACTCATTTTCAATAGTGATGTGGATCATGGAAATCCATAGAAAACAAGGAAAATATCATTTTAATCAATAGTCAATCCCCTAGCCAAAACTTTTTTTTCCTGCAGTCATATAAAACATATTTCCATATTAGTCATGTTGCAAAAGAAAACATAGAACAAAAAAAAAACACCAAGAAAAATCAAGTAAAAAAAAAGTATGCTTCCATCTGCATTCAGACTCCATCATTCTTTCTCTGGAGGTGGATAGCATTTTTATCATAAGTCCTTGGGAATCATCTTGAATCACTGAGATCCACGCTATTGAGAAATAGCTGAGTTATTCAGAGTTGATCATAGCACAATGTGGCTGTTATTGTGTACAATGATCTACTGGCTTTGCTCACTTCACCTTGCATCAGTTCATGTAAGTTTTCCCAGGTCTTTTTTTTTTTAAACATCCTGCTCATCATTTCTTAAAGCTCAATAGTATTCCATCACAATTACAAACCACATACCATAACTTGTTCAGCCAGTCCCCAATTGAGAGATATCCCCTCAATTTCCAATTCTTTGCCACCACAAAAAGAGCTGCGATAAATATTTTGTACATATAGGTCCTTTTCCTTTTCCTTTGATTTCTTTGGGATACAGACCTAGTAGTGATATTGCTGGGTCAAAGAGTATGCGCAGTTTTTTTAGCTATTTGGGAGATTTTCCACACTGCTTTCCAGAATGGTCTGATCAGTTCACAATTCCACCAACAGTGCATTTTCCCAATTTTTCCATAGCCCCTCCAACATTTGTCATTTTCCTTTTCTATCATATTGGCCAATCTGATAGGTAAAAGGTGGTACCTCAGAGTTATTTTAATCTGCATTTCTCTACTGATGATTTTTTCATATGACTATAGATAGCTTTGATTTCTTCTTCTGAAAACTGCCCGAGTTAATGGGGAGACTGAATATTTTGGATGAGACATCAATGAGGTTATATCTATTTTTTTATTAAACATTATAAGTAACTTATTTATTCACACAAGAAAGAAAAGTACAGACCTAAGGTTAATAACTAAGGAAGGGTGGAGCCCCACTGGAGGCAATAAACAATGCCCACAGGGCCTCTGGCTGACCTAAAGCAAAGGCAGTGGAGCAGGGAAAAAGGAGAAGAAGGAAAGGCTCAAATAAAAAAATGCAACACATGAGAGACAAGGAGGTGGAGAAGGAGGAAGAGAAAAAGTTACGAGCAAGTGGAACATATAATCGTGAAATTCTTCTAAAACTTGCTTCAGATGCTACTTAGTAAGATCTGTGCCATTGATTAAATACTCTTGATATATACTGTTGTATCAATCAACAGATTCATGTGGAGCTTCGTGGATCATGACAAATGAGTCTAGCCTCACCTCAGTCTTCCTTCTGGATAGCTCATGGTATTGTATAGCATTGTAAAGTTATATGCTTTATCTCATCCAGGTATCCACCAGGACACTAGGGCCTAGCCAGTACAGACACGTTGACCTTCCTTCTCTCAACTTTTTACCTTGATCTCAAGCGGCAATAAACTGAATCATTATTAGCATTTTTCTATGAAGGGTGAGACAATCTACCACCCTATTGCTCCACTGACAATTGTTATTACTGCCTAGAACAAAGCTTCCTTCCTAAAGCAACACAGGGGGTGGGGAGCTGGAGGGGGTTATCTCCAGTCCTCCTGAACTATATCTTGCCACTAGACCCAGAAGGTTCTGGAGGAGAAAGCGAGGCTGGTGACTTTGCACAGCCCTCCACTTAATTCTGACTCACTTGCAAGTCCTGGCATCACCTTCCTGATGTCATGGTCCTTTTTGAGAATGAAGCCCAAACAACAATCACAACATGCCAATAGGGGGGTTCACCCCTGGTAGAGTGTAAGTTCCTTGAGGCCAAGGACTGTTGTATTTTTGTCTCTGTAATCTTAGAAGCTAGGTGATGCAGTGGATAGAGTGCTGGGCCTGGAGTCAGGAAGACTCATCTTCCTGAGTTCAAATCTGGCCTCAAGACAATTACTAACTGTATGACTCCTCATCTGTAAAAATGAGCTGAAGAAGGAAATGGCAAACCCATCCAGTGTCTCTGTCGAGAAAACCCAAACGTGCCCCAGTTGGACCCAACTGAGAACGACTCGACAACAACAAATCCTAGCACTTAGCGCAGTGCCTGTGGTATGAGGCACTGAATGAATGAACATATGAATGAATGAATACTTGTTTGACTGAGCCTGTCAAATCCATTTTGGTTGGGTCTACTGTTCTTGTCTGATAATTAATAAGGATTTACGGCATGCCTACAGTATGCTCAGTATTCTATGGGAAGCTCTCTGGGGATACAAAAGAAATAGAGGACCCGGTCCCTATCTTTAAATACCTAGCAGTTTAGCTAGAGAAGCAGAAAAATAACCTACGTGACATAATGAGAGGGCAATCCATAAACAGAGAACCATTTTGGAACACACTTTTGAGTATCCCGGATGTGGAAGATTATACACATGTTTCTAGTTAACCTAGACTTGAAAGGTAACATTTGGTGGAAAGAACAATGGCATCTCTGGACTATTGGCAGCATCATGGGTAAATTAGTTAACTTCTCTGTATTTCAATGACTCCATTTGTAAAGCTGTCATGATAAAAATCTCCCAGTCTTGCATGTGTATGGCAAAGATTACTATGTAAAAGTTCAAAAGGTTCTCAGATTGTACAGATTATCCCAGAGCACCTGGGTACTTAATGCCTTATGTTAATGTTATTAAATCATTACAAAAAACAACTCACCACTGTGCGCTGGATATGGCTTGGAGAGGAGTCTAGATCTTGCTCATTTTTCAATGGATTTGGAGCAACTGTTTGAGTATTGCATCCATCATATGTGCTAATTCGCCCATCTGCCTCCTGTAATAAGAGCAATAGCAATATAAAAATTCCCATGGTGCCATCACCATATATTTCCTGCGTCTGCGTGTTTTACAATCGAGGTGGGTGAAGCGATGTTTAGGAACACTACATACATTTGGAAAGAATGGCTATTCAAGAAAAATAATATTCAGTGACCTCAATAAGCTTAACTTATTCGAAGGAGTTCAAAGCCTTTTCTGTTTTTATTTGGGGACATAGTAAAAGTCTCGGGAGACTAGGTAGCACAGTGCATAGAGCACTGGGCTTAGAATCAGGAAAACTCATCTTTAAATTCAAATCCAGTCTCAGATACTATGTGACCCTGGGCAAGTCACTTAACCCTGTTTCCCTCAGTTTCCTCATCTGTAAAATGAGCTGGAGAAGGAAGTGACAAACCACTCTAGTATCTTTATCAAGAAAATCTCAAATGAGGTCACAAAGAGTGGAACATGACTGAAAAATGACTGAATAACAGCAAAAACGGTCTTGCAGGGGAGTGAAAAGCTTTGCTTTAGAAAGCTTTGCTCATTGCCAGTTCTAATTGAGTTAGTAGCTTTATGTTTCTGTTAGTTGGTTTTGCAACCTTCATAATCATGGAATTTTAGAATTAGAAAAGGTTTTAAAGATGATCCAATCCAACCCTTCATTTTCCAAATAAGAAAATTAAGATCCAAAGATCAATTGACTTGCCTCTCTCATTTCTCCTTTTCTACACCTCAAAACCCGTCTATGTCATCACCCAACCTCTTAAACTTTTGCTCCAGATTCAAGAGCAGAGATAACCCTTTTCATGCCCAACTTAGCTGTTTTATTCACTTTATATCATCCCCTCTTGTATTCTTTAAAAGACCGCCCCTCTAATTATACCCTTTTTCTCATCTTCAACTTCCCCTGATCTCTTGGCCCCTTCCTGCTTCCTTACTTTTCACAAACATGCTCGAGTCTCTATCCTTAAAAGCCAACAAGCAAATAAAACTTCTTCACCGGACTCCTCCAATCCTGTATCTTTTCTCCCTTTTAGTTCGAAACTCCTAGAAAGAATTACATGCATTACCTCTCTTTCCTCAAAACCTACTCACTTCTCAACACCTTGCAATCTGGTGTCTAACCCAACCAGTCTACTGAAATTTAACAAAAGTTAGCAGTGTTCTCTTAACTGTTAAGTCAATACATATCCTAACTGAGCTCCCCGCTGCTTCTGACATTCTTGACTACTCCTTCTTCTATTGTAGTTTTCCTTTGGATTCCATGACACAGCTTTCTTTTGGTACTTTCCCCTAGCACTTAGGGTAAGACTTAACACTCATTCTCAATCTCCTTTATGGGTAATTAGCTTTCTCCTTTGCACTAAAGGCCCTCTTCTTGGACATCATTCCTTCTCTACTTTCTCTTCCTTAGTTTTCCCACTTGTTCCCATGAGTTCAATAACCCTCTCTATGTAGATGACTGCTAGGGCCATCCATCTATCCCTAATCTCTCTCATGAGCTCCAGTCTCCCATAGCCAACTACTTGCTAAATATCTCTAACTGGATATCCTATTGACATTTCAAACTCAACATGGCCAAAGAAGAACTCGTCCTTACCTCTTCCCCACCCCGAACTGCTCCTTTTCCAAACTTCTCAGTTTCTCCCTAGGGACCGCCATCCTTCACTTCACGTTGAAGTCCCTCATCTTTGCCTTCACAACATCTCTGGTATGTGTCCCTTTTCATTCACTCATACAGCCACATCCCTAGGTTAGCCCTTCACTACCTCTCACCTAGGCTATTACAGTAACATTCAAACCAGTGTCCCTCCTTCAAGCCTCTCTCCATTCCAATCCATTCTCCACTCAGCTGCCAAGGCAAATTTCTGAAAGCCTAGCTCTAATCATATCTTTCTGATCAATGAGTTCCACTGGCTCCTTATCTAGGATCAAACACAAACTTCCTTCTTTGACATTTAAAGCTCTTCTGACCTTTCCTGATTTATACTTTATTCCTCTCCGTGTCCTATATAATCTAGCTAACCTGCTCTATTTGTAAGCTCTCAAACATGACTCTCCAGTTTCCATCCCTGTTTCTTTGCAATGGCTCCTGGAATGTTCTGCCTCTTGGTTTTCCTGGCTTCCTTCAAGACTCAGCTCAATTCCCCCCTCCTGCTGGAGGCCTTTCCCAGTTCCCCCACCTCTATTGCCTTTCCCTCATAGATTACCTTCTATCTACTCTGTATGTATCTTGTATTTACCTGGTCATTTACATTTTGTCCCTCCCTTTTAACTGTAAGCTCTTTGAAGACAGTGGCTACATTAACTTTTCTTTAGCACAGGGCCTGGAATATAGTAAGGACCAAATAAATGCTTGTTAATAAATGCTTATTGATTGACTGGTTCCTTGAGTCCTCTTCTCTCCCTCATCCCCTGTGTCTAACCAGCTGCCAACTCTTGGTTTCATCTCCCTAGCCCTTCTTGCACTCGTTCCCTCTCTTACTATCCAGATGGCCACCATCTTAGCACAGGACCTCATCACCCCTCATCTGGACCATTCTACCTTCTCTCTCACACAGCTGCCAAAGTAATCTTCTTTAATCATGTTGTTATTCAGTCGTGTCTCGCTCTTTCTGACCCCATTTGGGATGTTCTTGGCAAAGACATTGGAGTACTTTGCCACTTCCTTCTCTCGCTCATTTTACAGATGAGCAAACTGAGGTAGACAGGTTAAGTGACTTGCTCAGGGTCATGCAGCTAGTAAGTGTCTGAGGTCAAATTTGAACTTGGAAAGATGAGTTCTCCTGATTCCAGTGCTGGCATTCTATCTACTGTACCACCTAACTGCCTCTCTATAATCATAAGTCTGACCATAACACTCCTCTACTCAGAATTCTTCAACGTGTCCCTATATTCTCTATGATGAAATGTATACTCCTATGCCAGGGCATTTGAAGCCCTTCAAATTTTCCCTCTCCCTCACCACCTTCCTCCCTGGGACAGTAAGCAATTTTATATAAGTTATACATGTTCAATCATGCAAAACATAAGATAGGTATGATTTTGATAAGAAAAGATGGGAGGGCATTTCAGACTGAAGAAATGACACGAAAAAGGGTAAAAAGGTAGGAAGGCATGGATATTTTTTTTTTGCAGGGGAGTCTAATTTTGGCATTGCAGGGGTTGAGAGAAGAATGGGAAAATAGTTTGAGATAGGACTGGGGCCAAATTGTGGAGTACCTTAATTGCCAAGTTATGGAGATTGGGCTTTTATCTGATAAGACAAGGGAGAGCTACTCAAAGTTTTTAAGAAAAGGAATTCAATGATCGGATCTCTGCTTTAGGAGGTGTCAGAGGGTAGAATGGTGAGAACGGGCAGTGGGGAATTATGGAGATCAGTTAGGCCATGCAAATAGTAAGGAGGGCCTGGGCTGGGGTGATGGCAGCAGGAGGTGACATAGAAAGATCTTACACAGGTAAAATTGGTAAGACTGACAGACTAGATAGAACTTAGAAGATGGAAGAATAAAGAATGATTCCCAGATTTTTAAGCTTGGATGACTGCGATCACAGTGATGCTATTAACAGCAATTAGAAAATCAAGAAGAGCTGGTTTTGGCGAGAATCTGATAAGTGCAGTTTTGTTTTTGTTAAACTTGAGGTAGGGCTATCTAGGGCAAGGAGAGGTCAGAACATTTTCTCTAGAAATAGATACATATATGTACCCACATGTGTGTGTGTGTGTGTGTGTGTGTGTATGTGTGTGTGTATACACAGACATACAAACAAACATTCATACACAAAGATCTGATCATAATAACAGCTACCATTTACACAGAACAGCAGTTCTAAAACTATGGTCTGGGGATTCCTGGTGGCCTTTAAGACCCTTTCAGGGGCTATGAAGCAAAAACCATTTTTGCAGTAATAAGAACATATTATTGGCCTATAAAAATATTCTTCCCTTTTCCAATAGCATATCTATGTGACGCTGGATATATCTTCCTCACATACTTCAACCCAAACAACATATTGTTACAGGTTGAATGCAGAATACTATAGTCATTGATTACTGCGTCTTCCATACCGAACATACCCCACTGACCCACCACTCTATTTCTTAGTCAGTACCAAGTAGTTCTGATGATGGCTGCTTTATAATACAATTTAAGATCTGGTACAGCTAAGCCACCTTCCCCTGCATTTCTTTTCATTAATTCCCTTGCTATTCTGGACCTTTGTCCTTCCAGATGAATCTTGTTATTATTTTTTTCTAGCTCTATAAAATAAGTTTTTGGTAATTTGATATGGCACTGAATAAGTAAATTAATTTAGGTAGAATTGTCATTTTTATTATATTAGCTTGGCCTACCCATGAGCAACTGATGTTTTTCCAGTTATTTAGATCTGACTTTATTTGTGTGAAAAGTGTTTTGTAATTGTGTTTATATAGTTCCTGGATTTGTTTTGGCAAGTAGACTCATAAATATTTTATAATGTCTACAATAACTTGAAATGAGATTTCTCTTTCTATCTCTTGCTGTTGAGCTTTGTTAGTAATATGTAGAAATGCCAATGATATATGTGGGAACAGATTGAATGTAGAAGCAGATAGGAGAATCCAGATGTCTTCAATTAAGCCAGTCGTTAAAAAGACTTGCAAAAATACGTAAAACAATGCCACTCTTCTAAGTTTTTTTTTTGTTTTGGAAAATTGTTATTTTCATAAAAATATATTATTTATGTTAACATGTGTTGGGTTTATTAGTATTAATTTTAAATGAACTAATAAATAAGAATTTTATTTATCTATTTTAATTATTTTATTATCCATTTATTATTTTTGTTAATTATTTTATTATCCATTTTAATTAATTTATATGGTAAATATCAATAAATATAAACAAACACTTTTGGCAGTCCTCAATAATCTTTAAGAGCATAAAAGAATCCTGAGACCAAAAAGTTTGAGAACTGCTTGATAAGCAGCTTTAAGTTTTGAAAAGTGCTTTAGAACAACCCTGGCAGGTAAGTTATCTTTGTTTTAGAGATGGGGAAACCGAGGCTGAGAGAGGTTCATTGACTTGCCCAGGGTCACTTGGTTAATAAATGTCTGATACGTGATTTAAACTCAGGTCTTCCTGGCAGCACATACAACACCCTATTTTATTTTCTTTTTGGCTAGGCAATAAGGTTAAGTGACTTGCCCAGGGTCACACAGCTAGTAAGTGTCAAGTGTCTGAGGCTGGATTTGAACCCAGGCCGGTGCCTATCCGCTGCGCCACCTAGCTGCCCCTAAAGGGGAGCAACACCCTATCTATTGTACGACCTCATTGCTACGGTGGTACAGTTGAAGTCATGAGCAGATGACACATGAAGTTATCAAGGACATAACAAACAGAAGACAGTATTGACAAAAGCTTTGGAGGAATGCTTATATCCAGAGAGCAAAAAGAGGAAGAGAAGCCAGTGAGAGGAAAAAGAAAAGCAGAAATTTTAAAATTGTAATTAGGAAGAAAACAGAGGGTACAATTCCCCTTTTCTCTTCTTTCTCCTCCCCCTTCCCCTGCCTTTTTTTAAAATAGAGAATGCTTTCATGAATTTGCTTGTCATCCTTGCACAGGGGCCATGCCCATCATCTCTGTATCATTCCAATTTTAGTATAAATATTACCAAAGCAAGTACAAGAGGGCAGAATTTCATGGAAATCAAGGGACCCAAGAGGGAAGGGAATGTAAAATGCTGGAGGGAGATCGAGGAAGATGAGGACCGAGGAAAAGGGCACTGGGTTTGCTGATTAGGTCACATGTGACTTGACAGAGTAGTTTTAGTAGAGTAGGGCTTTGTACATTTGAATTTGCTTAAATCTTCTAAAAGCTAAGCACGTTTTAATCATCCAAATCGCTCCTTTATGTCCAAATTTTAAAATGTGAAATGATAGTTATGGTCTTTGTATTTATGCAGAGACGATGAAACGCAAGTGCTAAAATGTTAAGGCTCAGTTGATGTCCTTTCACTATATTTCCTAGGATTAAAAAGCATGCACCCACCTGAGGTTTCTTATTTTTGCTTCCTCGCTGGATTGAGGTAGATATCTTAAATGTAGAGTAGTTGTTGAGAGAAAAACAGGAAAAAATGGAAAGGTAAAAAATTCCTAAGCTAACACAGAAATCTGGGGAGGGAGATGGAAATTAGTAATGGGTACCTGTATGAGTGTTCCAGAGGAAGAGGAGGCTCCGTCGTCTTCTTTGTTTCTCTCATGTCCCCAGTGTAACGAGCAAGGACTAGAAGCTGACTCTGCTCCCTCATCTCCATTCTAAAAAAGAATTTATTGAATTGACATTAACAAAGAGAAGAGATCTTTTCATTATAGCCCTCATCACCTTCCCTCAAACGAGACTTCTTTAAATTATCAGGCTGTCTCTTTTTGGCATTTTTTTTTCTTATCCAACAGTTTTTTCCTTTCTTTTTTCACACAAAAAGAAGGTTTAGTTTGAGAGGTTGGACATCAATTAAAATCTCATCTTTAGGATAAATATTGGAGAAATCTGGAAAATTTTAGCCCTAAACTACATCTTTAAAAAAATCAGATGGGAAGTATTCCAAAGATGATTTTTTTTTTTGCCTCAGTTATCTTGTCCACAAATGCACAAACTCACATCCCTCCTTCCCACAAAGCAGTAAGGATTTTGTTTTCTGGTGGAAAGAGTATGAAACTTTTGGGTTCCTTATTCTTTTCACACAGATCCCCTTTCTGCTTAGGGCTCTCACTAACTTCCCAGGGAAGCTAGAGATAAGCTGAAGAATTAGATTCATTTTGAATGACCCTGGATCAGTTTGACAATCTATAAAATGAGCATTAAACCTCTTAGCAGAAGTGTAAGAGATATGCAAACTATTAGTTATTGCAATTTTCTTCTCTTTTTTAGAGGACTCATTGTAATCCTCATTTTTTTTATAAGAATGAAATTGAAATTGATTTCATAAAAAAACATAGGTAAATGTCTTATTCAAAGAACTATAATGGAAACAGTAAGAGTTAGTAGCGTTACTTTTTAACACTGCTGTTCTGGTCCCAGGTGGCATTGCTTTAGTCTAAAGATGAATTCAAATATGGTAAAGTACAGTCTCAAAAATTAAACTTGGAGCAACAAATACCATGTTCTTAAAACTTCACGATATTTCAAGGAAGGTTTTTTTTTTAAGCCTCCCACAAAACCTTGTTTACATTAAATCTCAGATACTTTGGGGTAGATTTAATTATACTTCAGGTAAAGACAAGACTAGAGTATAATTGCTTCAAACCTTCTAACATAGCAAAATTAATTTTAAAAAAATTCTCCATGTTTATATTCATTTTCATATATTTTCACTTAATTTTCTTTTCCTTTTCTTTTTTTAGAATTTCAGATGAATAAATCTTAGCATTAAAAAAACAGTCTTTTCCTTACTTCGCTTTTCTGTGAACTTTCTTCTGTCTCTTCAATGATTGATGGTGGGAGAAACATGGATCCTTTCCTTTTCGGCTGAAAGGTGAAGTACAAAAACAGAGCTAATCAGGTTCCCCTACAACATCACACCCGACCACTCCTTTCCACATTTTTGTGATGCTATTTTTGAAACTTACTTTTTATCCCAGTTGCCGATCTAAGTCCTTTGCCACCCACACTGGTCTCCACACCTATGGCTTTAGGCCCTGCATGCACAGAATAGCTTGTTTGGGTTTGTCCGACTAAATTACTAGGGGGTTGTTGGGGACCAAACCTAGATATGCTTCAGCTGTATTGACTCCTCTGTTTCTCTGCCTCACCACCCTAGGAACATCAGGGTCAGGAAGGTACTTTACCACACTTCCCACTGACTGAAAATGGGGCTGTCCTTTCAAGAGGAGGTGGAGACTTCAAAGGGTGGCTGCTGCCTAGCTAGTGAAGGAATTTCACAAGCACCTCATTAACAAACTATGTGGAACAGTACTGGGTCACATCCAGAACAAACACACCTAGAGTTTTTTTTTTAATGTTTATGAACAATCTCCGGCTTAGATATTCCTTTTAGAAAAAAACATCATTGTGGCACACTGACAAAAATAAAGAACCTCAGGTGGGTTGAAACAAAGAAATATGATGGCCTTTCTTATCCCTCATCTTCTTACCACCTTGCACTTTTAACCTTTGTGAAAATACAGGCCAAAAATTGTTTCTTTAAAAAAAAAATACAGTGTCCCTAAAGTGTTAGTAAGGATTTAAACTCTAGTGTAATTTAAACTTTAATACTTAAAACTACTTGTATTGTTATTCGGTTGTTTCACCCCATTTGGGACTTCCTTAGCAAAGATACTGGGATGGTTTGCCATTTCCTTCTCTAGCTCATTTTACAATTGAAGAAATTGAGGCAAACAGGGTCAAGTGACGTTGCCCGGGGTCACATAGCTGGTAAGTGTCTGGTGTTAGAGTTGAACTCAGGAAGATGTGTCTTCCAGACTCCAGGGCTGGTGCTCTATCCACTGCTCTACCTAGCTGCCATAAAACTATGTTAGGTTGTCTTAAAAAAAAAAACAACAACTATTTAAAGCCATTAAAGTCTAAAACTGCACTAACACTTTTAGGACACCCTGTATGTAATTTATATCAATGGACTCGTCATAGTTTCCCTACTGTACTGGAAGTTCTCTGAAGGCTGGCATCCTGTCTTACATTTTAGTCATCTTTATATTTTTATCAGGACCTACAAAAGGGAGGGAAACAAGCATTTATTAAGTGCCTATTACGTGTCAGGCACCATGCTAAATGCTTTACAAATGATCTCATTTGAGGGGCTATTATGATCCCCATTCTACAGTTGACGAAACTGAGGCAGACACAATTACTCAGGGTCACACAGTCAGACGTGCTTGAGGTCACCTTTGAACGTAGGTCTTCCTGGACTCCAGGCCCAACGTTCTCTCCATGGTGACACAGGATTTTGCTGCAGCAGACGCTTAAATGTCTGCTGTTGCTACTATGGTCATACTTACTTTCCATTCAGAAACGTCCCCCTCAGCCACTCCAGATTCCTCTGTTCCTTTTCTAATTCTTGTTTTTCTTGCTGCAAATGCTGATGGAGAGCCAGGACTGTTGTCTTCAAGCCCATCAACAAGTCTTCTTTTTTCTGATTCAAGCCCAGGATCTGTTCTTTTATACAGTCTACTTCTCTCTGTGTGGGGAAGAATGATTACTTTATTTATCAAGAGTGGAAACTCTAAGGGACAGATTTCACTGTTATTTGATTAGTAATAAAGTAGCAGGATTAAAGATTTTGAACCAGAAAAGGATTGATCTAGTTCAAGTCTTTCATTTTATAAAAGGAAACTGAAATTTACTTGCCCAAGGCCACAGAGGCAAGAGAGCCAGGATCAGAAACCATATTCTCTGGCTCCCAAGGCAGCTTCCTATGACACAAAGCTACCTCACTATCTTGGTGCCCAAGGGAGGAAGCTACAAATATCTTACAGATTTATTACTGTCCCTAAACTCTGCTATGACACAAGGAGAACACAGAGTGCTTAAGTTTTAAGCTATTTACGCTTTAAATTGAACAAAGACTTTTGGAAGCCATATATATACCTCCTCTTTGTGTAAAGCCTAATGTATTTCTTTAATTTTGATATATAATATTTTGTTTTTCCCCAATTACATGTTAAAACCATTTTTAACATTTTGTTTTTTTCAAGTTTTGAGTTCCAAATTCTATCCTTCCCTTCCCTCCCTCCCTGAAAAGAAATTAACTCACGCTCGTCTGAGAAATACAAAATGACTTTTCTTATTTTTAAACTACTAAATTTCACTAACACTCAAAGGAAATGGATTTTCAATTCAATTCAGTGTAACAAAAACTCATTTACCGCAATGGAAAGAGAACTGGACTCTGGGTAAGAGGACCAGAGTTCAAATCTCACCTTTGACACTTGTGACCTTCAATAAGTCACTTAACCTCTGTGGACCTTGTTTTCCTCATCTGTAAAATGAAAAGCTGCACTAGATGACCTCTGAAGCTCTTTCTAGATCTCTAAATCTATAGAGAAACACGACATCTGCCTTCCAAACACTTACGTAAATAAGTGGGGGAACCAAAGTGGATACAGACAGGTACATACAAAACACAGAGTTACTGCACACTAATTTGGAGTTGGCAAAAGAGGAGAAGAAGGATGGCTAGAAAGTCGCACATTAGATGTGTTTTGAAGGAAGCTAGAGAATGTATTACGTATAAGTGAGGAAGGCAGAGCCAAGATGGCAGACTAGAAGGAAATAATACAACTGAGTTCCCATCCATAACTCCATCAAACAGATTTATAAAATGCACTAGACTGAATCGTGATGGAGAAATACAGAAGAATTCATAGTGAGTCCTTTGTCTGGCCCAGCTCAGCACTGGCAGATAGACAGAGGTCTGCAGACACTAAGGACAGAGTCGAGACAAGGGCTAAGTAGAACACTCCAACATCCAGGGAGAGGCTGTGCAACCAGCATAAATGTGGTCCCAGCCCCATAGTGGGCCCCCCCCAAACCCATACCAGGGAACCGCAACAGGGATAGGTGCCAATTGGCTGATAGGGGTGGAGTACACAGACCCAAAACTGGATCAGGAACTTATGAGCTCAGACCAGAGAGTGGGGGAAGCAATCAGACTTTCCCCTGGATCAGATCCTCCCACTTTGGGAGCTCTGGAAGCCTGTAAGTCCTCAGCCTGTCCCTGAGATCGTGGAATAACATAACATTCAGTAACCCAAAGAAACAGCAACAGGACCAGGCCAGGCCTTCCCTCTAAAAGTATGGCGGAACCCAGCCCTCCTACCAAGTCCAAAATCAGAAAGTTGCAGGAAGACTGCAAAAAAGACAAAACCAAAACAACCCTACCATAGTGAGCTATCATGGTGGCAAGGACACTTGAGATGCAAGCATAGAAGAGAATGATTCTAAAACATCTACAAGCAATGGCTCAGAGAAAAACACAGCTTGGACACAAACCAAACTAGAATTACTAGAAGAGATGAAGCAAGAGCTTAAAAAAAAAAGTTAAAAAATACTTTTTACAAATGGAATCAGAGTGCTTGAGGAAAAACAAGGAAAGAAATATGTAAAAAAGAATTAGAAAGGGAATCAACAGCAAACAAAGTAAAAAGCCTGAAAAACTGGAAGAAAGTGTAAATAATCTCACAGCAAAACAACTGAACTAGAAAACAGGTAAAGTGAAAAACAATTGAGAACTATTGAACTTTCTGAATACTATTACAAAAAAAAAAGAGTGTAGACATCCTATTTCAACAGATCTTGAAAAGAAAACTGCCCAGATTTCAAAGTGGAAATAGAAAGAATCCTCCAGTTTCTTCTGAAAGAAACCCCAAAATGAAACCTCCCGGGAATGTCATAGCCAAAACCCAGGGCTTCCAGGTCAGAGAAAAATAAACTATAAGCAGCCAGAAAGAAAAAATTCAAGTACCAAGAATCCATAGTCAGGATCCCACATCCTTTAACAATCGCTGGTAAAAAGCAGCAGAGAACTTGGAATACAATATTCCAGCAGGCAAGAATGCATTCTTTAGTACCCGAGGATTCTAAGCACCATATAACACATACTCCATTTCCTGCCTTTGCACAGTTTGTCACCTATCTCCTAGAACCTCAGTTTCCTTCTAGGATCAAACTTGGTGCTACCTTCTGCAAAGCCTTTATCCAGCCCTCTTTGTGCTTAGCACTTCCTTCCTCCCCAAAGGATCTTACAGTTACTTGTCTGGGTAAGTGGCATATTCTCCCAGTAGAAGACAAGCTTCTTGAAGTAAGAAATAATTTTAGTCTCGTCTTTGTAACCCAGGACCTAGTATAGTATCTTGCATATTCTAGGAGCTTAACAAATGGTTGTTGAATGAATAAACACTAAATCTTAGAATCACAGGCTTTAGAACTGGAAGACACAGAATTCAACCCCTTTGCCTTACAAATAAAGAAAATAAGGCACTGAGAAGTGAGATAACTCTCATAGTCACATGGTTAACAAGCATCAGAGCCAAGATTCAGACCTGGGCCTATGCTTCTGAAGATTTCCAATCTTTCCACTAGACCATGCTGTCTGAGCTGTCCAGGAAAAATCTCTTTAAACAGATGTCATATGATATTCAAATTGCTTTGATGTGTCAGAATTTTGTTAAAATAAATCTATTATTAAGAAACCCATTTGTGGTCTGAGGAAGGCAGAGGTTAAATGACTTGCCTAGAGTCACACAGTTAATAAGTTTCTGAGGCCAGACTTGAACTCTGGTCTTCCTGATTCTAGGCCCAGTTCTGTCCACTGTGCCACCTAGCTGCCCTAAAAATGGCCCTCACCTTGGGCAACTCATTTACCCACTCTGGGGCTTTTTTTTTTTCACTTGTGAAATGAGCAGCTTGCATGGCATGGTAGCTGAGATCCCTTTCACTTCTAAAATAATATTATTCAATGTTTATTATTATTGTATTATTGCTACTACTATCACTGCTAACTGCGAATTGATAACAGAGCAAAAGCAGTATTAACAGTAAGGGCTTAATTCTCACAAACAATGAACACAGCACGTGATCAAATTCTTTTACTGGATGGAATAAGTTTTACATGAATAAGGAACAGATGAAGTACTTTCATAAAATCATTTAGCAAAAATCATTAAGCATGGCCAGGTTGACCAAAGCATTGTTTTCCGGGCCACCTACTTTCACGTGTGAATAGCTTTGTGATTCAGACCCTTTTATCAGAAAAAAACATATTCATTATAATGAGAATTTTCTTCTAAAATTTAGTCCCCTAGGAATCTAACATGAGATAAAGTCCTCAGCTGCCATACTTTGGGCCCAGTCCCACATGTGTAGGCCTGGATCTGACCTCTTGAAGGTTACAGCAGCCTTAGACCTAACTCAAAGTCTGTTCCTGTCCTACTAGAAGGAATGAAGTGAGGCTAACTTGGGGACATCCCAAAGCAGATCAGGGCTGACATAGATAGTGCAATCCAATACGTTGGTATTGTGGCCTTTTGCTACAGCACATTCCCTGCTTCCTCATACCAAGAGCTTTGTGAGCTATAATTCTGTTTTTGTTTTAGGATTTGAGTAAGACTGGGAAATAAGAAATACAGGAGATGGGGTACAGAAGTCTATCCTGCCCTACAGGAAAATAGAAGGGGAAGAGGATAAGAGAAGGGGGGAGAGATAGAAGAGAGGAGAGACGAGGGGAAGGAATATTCAGAATGCATGCCATCTTGGGGTGGGGGGAGGGGTGAGATGGAGTGAAAACTTGGAACTCAAAAACTTGTGGAAGTGAATGTTGAAAGCTAAAAATAAATTTATATTAAAAATAATTTTTAAAAAAAGGATTTGAGTAAGGAGGATGTTGCTTAGTTTAAGTAGTTCTAATGAACCACTTTAGAAAATGGGAATAGGTAGGAAATACGTAGAGCAAATATGCTATGGTCAGAAGGAATAATTACAAAGGAAATAAAACAGCACCTTACACAGTATCACACATAGTAGGTGCCCAACAAATACTGAATGAATAAATGAAACTCACCTCTACCTGTGGCAAGGTGGTGGCTTGGTCAGCAGACAGGTTTTCAGAGGAAAATTCAGTTGAATAATTCTTTAATTGATGCTTCAAATTTTCTATTTCTTGGTCACATTCACTAGTCTGTTTCATGACAAGCTATAGAAGGAAAAACATCACTTGATTTAGAAATCTGCATTTGGAATTCTTCTATTGCTTTACCAAAGCAGAACATCTGACAAAGGAACTTCACTTCTTGACTCCATGGAGCCTGGCTGCTGGTACCCAATACTGTTTGTCTGCACATTGCTGTTAGAAGTCCTGTGAGGCAGTTAGATGGCACAGTAGATAGAATCAGGAGGACTGGAGTTCAAATCTTGCCTCAGACACTTACTAGCTATGTAACCTTAGTGAAGTCACTTAACTCTGATTGCCTCAAAAAAACAAAACAAAACTAGAAGTCCTGTGAAAATTGCTGCATATAGACGTTTTCACTTATTTGATGGAGAGTGGTCACAAGTAAACTACTACTACTACTACTGCTGCTGCTGCTACTACTACTACTACTACTACTACTACTACTACACCACACATATACATACACACTTGCTATCTGATCCTTGTGGACCTAATTTACTTAACTTTGGTTTATCATGGTGAATAGAGCAGTCTATAAGGAATTTTTGCATAAACATTTCAGGATTAGGTTACTTAACTTGTAGGTCAAATTTATAATCTTGACCATAATTCCCTCACCATTATAAGATGTACACAATTTGTTACCAGTAGTATTATATTCCCGATGGAGGGTAAGGAATGGACAAAGTTAAGAGTACATATTGTGGCCATAGAACTGGCAAAGCTAACTTGTATAGAGATATGACCATGAGAAAACAAAGAAAAAAATCTTCAAAAGGAACTATAGATACATCCCACAAGAAGCTTTGGGTGTAGCTTCTGAAACATGGGGTTGATAAGGAAGTAATTACCAACCTATGAGAGTGCTAATAAAATTATACCATGATATCCAGTACTGGGAAAGTAAGAGCCCTTCAGCTGCTCCCAAACTTAAAGCATCCTTAAAGCCTCCACCCTGTTTGAAAAAGAGGTAGCTAGACAGTGGTAGCCAAATTACCATAATAACATTCAAAGGCAGAGCCTAGATGGAGGAGAAAAGCCAGGAAAATTGCCTGAGCTCTCCCCAGTTTCCCTGGAAACAACATTACTGTTTCTCCCCAAATGCGTCCACTGAAGTGCCCCAGTTTCAATCAGGATTTTAGAAGGCAGAACAGTGAAGAAAGAGGCATCATGAGCTTTTGGGAGCTGGTACCTACATGGAAGCTCATGGGAACCTCCATGCAGGCTATTGAGGACATGGCCAAATGGAAACCCTTGGAGTTGTCTCAGGCATCAATATCAAGTCCAAGAAGGGGCCAAAGCTATTTCCTCCTTTTGACAGAGATTAAAGAGGCTGGGGCTCTTCACTCCACTAGCTCCTCTTACAGAACTGGCAAGGAAGGCAGATGGCACCTGGCATCTTATAGTCCACTACTGAACTGAACAAATTTGTCCTGCCAATTACTAAGGCTCAGTGAATGGTATGGTGTTACCAATCTCAAATGCCATACAGCGTTGACATTAATTATTCCGTAAATGTTTGGTAGAATTCACTTATCTGGTCATAGGGATTTTTTCTCAGGGAGCTCATTTATGATTTTTTCAATGGGAATTTTCATTTTGAGATCCCTTTCAAGTGGTAATTGGTGAATTCTTTTGATTTCTATTTTATTCTCTAGGATATCTAGGTGGTTTCCTTTGATAATTTCTTGAAATTGTTTCCTCATTGCCTATTTTTATTCCTTCAATTCATTTTTCTTGTCTTATTGCTATAGCTAGCATTTCGAGTACAATACTGAATAATAATGGTAATAATGAACATCATTGAACCCCTGATCCTACTGGGAAGGCTTCAAGTTTATCCCCATTACAGATAATGTTTGCTCTTAGTTTTAGATGGATACAACTTATCTTTTTAAGAAAGTCTTGTTCTCACTCAATCATCGCTGCTTAACGTAAAAACTGCCTCTAACCACGAGAGATCCAGGAATCAGTTGTTCCAAAGAGGGGAAGTGAAGCCTGAAATTTCTGTTCTTTGTTTTCCTCCACATTCAGCTACCCTTTCTTGTTCACATTTATATTCAATCTCCTTCAGAGGACCACTACATTGCCAATTTTTATTTTTCTTTCTTTTTTGTGTATGTTTTTCTTTTACCTACACTGAGCTCTGCCTTTAGTGCTGCTAATGTTGAGTTTCTTTTATATCTGAGGTCAGAGTTGTCTTATTGTTATCCTAAAGCCATAGAAGAGGTGGACGGTCCTTTAGGAGACCTTTAGGACCTTGCCACCAAGGAGTGGTATGTCAGGAACAGCATTTAAGTATCCATGCCGCCACATGGCTTTTCCATAAGAGATAGGGAAGGTATCCTTGAAATGACTCTAGGGCTGAGCTCCTGACATGGCTTCCCAGTCACCTGGGGAGTTAAAAGGTCAGCTCATGGAATTAGTGCCCTTCAAACATTAAGGATGGCCCGCTGCTATGTGAGTTAAAACACTCTTCTGACCAGACATATTTCTAGGTAGAGACAAGGAAGGCTCTCTCAATCTGAAACAGCACTGTATCTCTGCTGAATATTCTTTGCGTGCTATGGCTAAGTAAATGTTAAATGGTAGAGAGTCTATTAGTGTCTCATTTTATTCCAATACAGAACGTGAACCCCTGGACTGGCCTGAGTGAGGCCTGGACCACAACACTAGGCGAAGAATTGTTCTCACCGTGAATATGAAAGATTTTTTCACTTTGTGGTTAACTATAAACCCAGTTTTTATCTGTGCTATTAATATTTGTTTAGCAGCCCTAGTCACAAACCCTCATAATCCAGTTTTATTTAGTGACCGCTACATGCAGATAACTTATTCTTAATTGACATATATACACTATATATATGACACATACAGCACTTTGAAAGATCTTTTAATATAGAAATGGGATATAATCTAATGGTCTTCCTCAACAATGTCATCTGCATAGAAATATACCCAAGGACACTTTATTCCCTCTACTCCAATTAGTTGTGAAATTTTAGCTGTACCGTTTGATAACCGACTTGGAATGAAATATGATTTCCTCTACCTCTCTTCCTCTTTCATCTTGTAAAAAAAACACAGGGCTGCCATTTTTTTTTCTTTCTTTCAGGCAAAGATAGGAAACGTTTGAGGCCAAATTTGAATTCAGGTCTTCCTGATTTTAAGTCCAGCACTCTAATCACTGTACCACTTAGCTATAGGACAACATACTGCAGTCATGAAAGTCTACTCTCCACTGTCAAAAATGAAAATATCAACATTCTTGGTATGACATTTCCACCCACTGAATTTTATATCAGTATAACTCACTCACCTTCAATAGTTCATTTTGTTCATAGGTCACCTTTTCTAACATTTTCACCTCTTGTGAAAGCTGACTTGTCCTTTCAAATACTGGCAAAGATTTCATTCCTTTTTCAGGCAAACTCAGGACCACTTGGTAAGATTCAATCTTGGCAATGGCCTTCTTCATGGGCTTTATGTTTTCAAGTATGACCTAAAATAAAAGATGCCAACATTATATAAATGTGAAAGAAAAAGTAACTGCAAAGCTTAAGTATTGAAAAATGACAAATTCTATTACTTAACATTGAAAATAATGCTTGGGAATTTAAAGCTGTTTTCTCAGGTTGTTACCGCATGACTAACATTTTAGTTTCAAGAGATAGAAGGTGGGTATAATTCTCCATCATCAAATTTTATGTTTCTACTATCATTTGTTGAGATTTTATAACAATTCATTAATTACTCGGAACTACTGTTATGCTCTAAGCATATTGTTTTACCTAAGCTTCATTCATCCTCCAGGAACTAGCTAGCACAATCCTCTATATACAGAAAGTACTTAATATTTGTTATATATTATATTATATTATATTATATTATATTATATTATATTATATTATATTATATTATATTATATTATATTATATTATATTAATTATATTATATTATATTATATTACATTATATTATATTATATTACATTATATTATATTATATTATATCATATCATATCATATTATATCATATTATATCAAGTAACTAGATAAAAGACATCTGAAAATAGAGCTGAGAATTCTATGGAAGAATTGAGTTAACTGCTCCGATTAGGTCCACCTCTGGGCTCTCCTTGCTGTATATATATATATCTATTTTTTTCTATTTTTCTCTTTCATCCACGCTCAAAACTTTGGAATCATCTTTGACTCTTCAATCTCCCTCTCCCTTATGGTGAACATAATCTCATTTGCTAAGTCCTGTTGATTCTACCTACAATCTCTTTCATAGGTTTGCTCCTTTCTATTTTTACTGGCACCAATGTAGTTAAGGCCCTCTTGTCCTGTTACCTACACCAAAGGTTCCCAAACTTATTTAGCCTACCATCCCTGTTTCAAAAAAAATTACTCAGCACCCCCCTAAAAATCTATTTTCTTTAAACCTTTAACAATTTTAAAAATTCGTATCATTTCAAAAAATATACTTTTTAAAAATGATACATCTTAAATTTAATAATTTATTGAAAATTTGTGGGTTTTTTTTCCTGCGTTGAAATTTTGATGACACAATATTGCATCATGTAACCATACAGTATCATATTGTAAACAAGTCATTACACACACATATTCCTGCTGATGCATGCTGGACTTCCAAATAATGCGCAATACATTCACCTGCCAACACTTGCTTGTTAAGACCTATTGGAGGCCTTCACCACTGATTGGTTATAACTTGCATTTTGTGAGTTTACTTGGAAAATAATGTAATCACTACAATTTAACTCTGTTACAGAATAGATGAAACATATATGAACAGGTTTTCAAAATTTTCTTATCTTCTTTCCTTATGCTTCCACCATCTCCTTATTTTTATTCAACATACCTGAATTTCACCTGAGGCTACTACCCCCCCATCCTTCTAGCACCCCCTGGGGGCAGTATTGCCCACTTTGGGAATCTATGCCCTAGGTTATGGTAATAGCTTCCTAACTTATCCTCCTGCCTCCAGTCTCTTATTTCTATTTGTGCCACTTGTAATCTTCCTAATGTACAGATCTGATCACATTAGCCCTTGGCTTAAAAAAAAATCAATGGTTCATTATATATATTTAATGAAACTTAAACTCCTTAGCCTACATCTCCAGTTGCTTCATAATCTGGCTCTAGCATATCTTTTCAGACTCAGTTCATATTAATTTCCTTCTTACACCATTAACTCCTGACAAACTGGACTGATCTCTATTTCTTGATCTCACCCTGCCCTCTCTGCTCCTATGGCTTTGCATATACCACCACTTACTCCTGTCTTTTCCTCCTTCAAGGTCCAGGTCAGGTGTCCCATCCTCCCGAAATCCTTCTTTGGTCTTCCCAAGGATCAAAGAAAGGAACAGGTGGTTTCCTTTTGCCCAACAACCTTGAACATCTCAAGCAATTTTGCTTGACCCCTCCTATGAATTTAATCATCTTCTAATTTTTAGTTATTTGCATACGTCTCACTCTGTCACTAAATTTTAAGTTCTCTGTGGATAAGAACGTGATATTTTTCTCATCTATATATCTCCACAACTTATATATAATAGTATTTGGCTATAATAATATATGTATATAATGTATATATATGTATATATGTATATACATATACATATGTATATACATATGTACATATATATATACACATGGAGAGAGAGAGAGAGTATAAAATACATAATACATAATAGTAAATAGCTATAGAATTTAACTTTTTCAAACCGGAATTTTCATGTTTTCTTCAGTTTGTATATAGTTTCAATCCAAAGATTACTAATAACGGCTGAAACCTTGTTTGTTCTTCTCCACCTAAGTTGCTGTTTCCAACATGAAGCACCTACATATCTAAGAAACATAGCAGAAACACAACATAGAGATTCAGAAAATATTTTAACAATCCATGATCCATGCTCACCTCTCCATGCTTAAGATGTTCCTCAGGAGAAAAATCAAATATTTCTTTGGAAAACAGGATAGCTTTGATTTTTGAAACTTTCTTCTCTATTGATTTTACTTCGGTTTCAATAGCAACCACCTCCTAGAATTTAAGAAGTAATTTTTTTAAAACAGCTGATTTCTGTTCATTGTACGTTAGTCACACATGCAAAGACAGTTTATTGCTAGTGATTGGATTCTCAATGATATGATATGTGCGGTGGTGTCAAAATAAAATAGAAATAGGGGCCACTAAGCCATATATAAGAATCACTATGGGCCACTGACTTAGAAAACCCATACATATTTATATATGTCTTTTTTATTAATATGTCAACACATTAAAAACAATTAGGAATTACATTTTAATTTGGTTCAGGCTATGCTTGGGAGGGTTGTGGGATGCGCTTCATGTTTGACACTTCTGGTGCAATGGTTAGAAAATTGACATTGGAGCCATGAAGATGTGGGTTCAATAATGATGATGATGATGATGATGATGATGATGATGATGATGATGGCTAGGATTTATATAGTGTCTACTATGTGCCAGGCACTGTGCTAAGTGCTTTACAAATATTATTTAATTTTATTTTCACAACAAACCTAGGAAGCAAGTACTATTATTATTCCTGTTTTACAGTTAAGGAAACTGAGAAAAACAGGATTAAGTGACTTTCCCAGGGTCACATAGCTAGTAAGTGTCTGAGGTAGGATTTAAAATCAGGTCTTCTGGACTTAAATCAGTCTTCCTGACTCCTGGCTCTAGGTGTACTCTATCCACTTGCCTTTGGCACATATTGGCTTTGTGACCCTGATGAAGCCACCTAGCAACATCTCAGTGCTCTGCCAACTCTGTGAGACTATAAACTGAAGAGAAGGTACCAGCCTACGTTGGCATAGAGAATTCCCTTATTCAGGTGTTCCATATACCAATGAAATCATAGGTCCAGTTCTTATCCTAATTGTATTTCCACATTAAACCTAGATATTCATTGTTACTCACCCCTGTTCAAAACTGACCAAGCACATCATCAGTTATGCTCATTGCTTTTACAAGTATTCGGTGCTTATAAGAATATAGCCGTGTGGAACGGCAGATAAAGAGCTGCACTCTTTAGTCAAGGAGACCTCAAGTCCCAGTTCTGTCTCACATAGGCCATGAGACTTTGCTGCTCTTGCTCTTCAGATGTTTCAGGCATGTCTGACTCTTATGACCCCATTTGGGGACTTCTTGGCAAAGATCCTGGTATTTTGCATTTCTTTCTCCAGCTCATTTTAAAGATGAGGAAACTGAGGCACACAGGGTTAAGTGACTTGCTCAGGGTCACATAGCTAGGAAGTATCTGAGGCCAGATTTGAATGTAGGAACACTCATCTCGAGTCCAGGCCTAGTGCCCCGGCCACTGCTCCACCTACCTGCCCTGTGTGACTGTAAGCAAGCAATTTAAACTCTTAGTGCCCTCAAGTGACTATTTAAGACTACAAGTTACTGAAGAGTTGCCATAGAACATTGGCAGAAAGGAGCTGCTTACCTGAGAATATCTCACACTGATGCAATCTCAGACCTGGACCAAAAAAGCCTCTATAATTCACTGTAGATTGCACTGTTTATAATATTATAATTATTCTATTACATAATTTTATATTATTGTAATATTGTGTTGTTTATCCCTGTGGGCTTGTTTAGATGGAGAGCTCCTAGAAGGGGAGGGGTCTATCTTCTAGGCATTTAGTAGGCACTTAATTAATGCTTATAGACTAACTCAAAGGCAGGAGTGTCACATAGTCTATATTCTCAATTCTTGCTAATAGAAGTACGGAGTAGTATAAAGATAAGGAAATTAGGGTGTGGGGAGGGGGTGTGCCTTGCATATGATCACCTGGCTGGGAAATATCTGAGACAAGATCTGGACTTAGATCTTCCTGACCCAAGTCTAGAGTTCTAACCATTATTCTAAGTTGTTGCCTCAATCACAAAATAATTAATTTAAACTTTAAAAGACTAATTCAGTAGCTGCTGACAAACTGTTCAGTTCTTCCATCCCGAGACCCTATAAAGAAATTCTTCTCTTCAGTAGAATGTCAACCCTAGAGGGCAGAGACCATAATATTTTTGTCTGTGTATACCCAGTGACCTTATACATAATAGGTATTTAATAAGTTTTTGTTAAACTGAATTGAATTTCTCACTCATTCTACAGTTATGAGTTTGATATAAAGGCACTTACGTGAAAATGAGACTGATGAAAAGCACATCTGTATCTGCACTATTTTACAAATTTTCAATGTCTTTAAGTTAAAAGAGGAGGCAGCTAAGTGGCTCAGTGGATAGAACACTAAGCCTGGAGTCAGGAAGACCTGAGTTCAAATATAGCCTCAGACATTTACTAGCTGTGTGACCCTGGGCAAGTCACTTAACCTTTGTTAAATGACCTTAGCTTTCATTTACTGGAGAAGAAAATGGCAGACCATTCCAGTATCTTTGCCAAGAAAACCCCATAGACAAAAAAAAAAATAGTCCACAGGGTCATAAAGAGTCAGACATGACTGAACGACAACAAAATTATGATAAAAGGGGGTTAATGTTTTGGTCATAAGACCCTGTTCTGGGATGCATAATACATGAGGAAATAAAAACAATCTACACATAGTGAGGATTTTCAATAAGCTATTTGATCATGAATTTATTAAAGCCATCAGTGGATCAGCAGCATTTATTAAGAATTTACTATGTACCAAGGACTGTGCTAGGCACCAGGGAGATAAGCCAAGAGCAAAACAGTCCCTCCTCTCAGGGAGCTTATATTTTTTATGGGAAACATAATGTGTAGACACATGAGTATATGCAGAATAGATACACAATAAATACAAATTCATTTGGAGAGGAAGGATTCATTTTGGGAGACCAGGAAAGGTTTCTTGTAGAATACAATGAGTATTGAAGGATGGAAAGGATTCTAAAAGGCAGGGGCGAGGAAAGACACGGTGGACAGCCAGCAAAAAGCATAGAGATGGAAGATACAGTTTTGTGTGTGAAGAACAGAAAGAAGTTCAGTTTGACTGGATCGAGGAGCGCAGGAAGGGCAGGAAGGTACAGTGAGACTGGAAAGGTAGGTTCATGTAAGGCTGTGAATGACTTTAAAGCCAAAAGAGCATTTTATATTTGATCCTAGAGGCAATAGGGAGCTATTGGAGTTTACTGAGTAGGAGAGTGATACAGTTACACCTGAGTTTAAGGAAAATCCCTTTGACATGTGGAGGATGGATTGAAGGAAAGGAGAAGGGAGGGAATTGCATTTGTATAGTGCCTAGTATGAGCCAGGCACTGTACTAAGCTCTGCCAGTATTTTATTTGATCCTTACAACAACCCTGCAAGGTAGATGCTTATTATCCTCGTTTTACAGTTGAAACAAAGAGTGTAAGAGACTAGATCAGCATCACACAGTTAGCAAGTGTCTGTTTCTGGATTCGAACTCAAGTACTCCTGACTCTGGGCCCATCCAGTGCTCTATCTGCTGCACTAAAGTAAAGAGAAAACCAAGGCAGCCTGGCACAAAACTATAGATTTTATCATCATCATCATCATCATCATCATCATCATCATCATGACCTAAGGTAAGCATCAGTGCCCCCTAGTATCACCCCTTTGAGTAATGTATATATGTTACTGGGGCACCTATGTGGTACAGTGTATAGATCGTCTGGTATGGAGTGATGAAGACTCATCTTCCTAAGTTCAAATGTGGCTTCTGACACTAGCTGTGTGAGCCTGGGCAAGTCACTTAACGCTGTTTGCCTCAGTTTCTTCATCTGTCAAATGATCTGGAGAAGGAAATGACAAACCACCCCAGTATCTTTGTCAAGAAAACCCCCAACAGGGACATGAAGAGTCAGATACAACTGAAAAGTGACAATAACAACAAAAATATATGATACTAAACTGAGTGGAACTGTATATTACTTTCTCACCCTAAATATATACTCTTTCTATTTAGGGAAGGTAAGTATATGTTTTAGTTTAAAAGGTTACCTACTGGGCTACATGATACCAAATGAAAGATAAATAACTAAGAACTATTGGATAATTTAAACAATCTTTACTCTAATTACTTTATCAATGAGATCTTGAAAGCAAAATGTGCTGAAGATTGAAAACTATCACAAAGAAAATTGTCAGTAGATAATCAAGAGATGACTACATCAGTAACAGCATTGTAGTTATTCTTTAGTAAAATAAATGTGAATTAAAATAACAAGGCAATCTTTTTACCACAAGAAAACTTACATCAGCCATGTCCTGGATTTGTGGAAGACTTGCCATTAGCTTTTGCTGTAGAGTTGTGACTCTAGCACTCAGTTGGTTTAACTGAATTGGTGCTAAGTCGTCTGTTTCAAAGATCACTGAAAATTCTTCCAGGTCAGAATAAACTGAATGGAGAAGATTTTGTTTTTGCTCTGCGTCTTCCAAAGCCATCTATGAAATGGATATAAGGAAGAAAAAGATAAATATCAAGAAACAGAAAATGTGAAAATATATTGATTCACCGGTATACATTAGAGAAGATTAGAATTTGCTACATTTTAAACTGCAAGACATATATTTTTAATGGTTATTTTTTAGTTTGACAGTGGAAGCATTGTACAAATAACCTGTATTGTCAGCTATAAAAAATTATAAGGGTAAGGTCAGCAATCTGAACATTTTAGGAGGCTTTTTTTTTTAAAAAAAGAGAAAACAATCCTAACAAATTAGTTAAATAATGAATGAATAATATATTAGACAAAACTTTAAATTCTAATTTTTTTTACTTTTTCTACAAAGTAGCTAAAAACAATTTCAACTTTTTGTTGTTAGACTTTCATTCTCATATACATACTTTTTATTTTTTGTAATTCATAAAATTATAAATTAATGTACAAATTTAAGACTTCAAAATATTCAAAATATCTTTCAGAAATATTTAAGCTATAGATACATTGTTTCCAGAAGTTTATTGAAATGTCAGACCTATAAAAGAATATTCATGAAAATCCATCTAAATATGTTGTAAATTATGCAAATCTGTTTTTCTCCCACAAATCATAACTTTCTTCTATAAAGTCAATTAAATTTCAAAGAATACTATTGTTATCAGCATCTCAGATGCTAATGTCACATAGCCAGCACCAGATGTCTACTCTGATAGCTTCCTTCTCGTGGTCCTACCAGTGGTTCATTGGGCCGCCCAAACAGATGCAACTGTCAAGATCATCTCACAGGGCTGCTGATAGGAAGTTCCTACCTATCAACAGAGCTTAACAGAGAGATGTCAGCCTATTAAATTTAAGCTCTTTGAAAGCTGGATTGGTGTCATATTTATCTTTTAATCACCATCTCCATCATCACCTTTCATATTAGCAATCACTTGCTTAATTGAATCCCCACTATGATAAGCTCTACAAAAACCAACAGACAGGCACTAACATGATCCATCCTTGCAGGGATTTTGTGAGGGAAGCATTTGGAAACCATAAAGTGCTAAAGGTAGCATAGTACAATGAAAAGAATGCTAGATTTGGAGTCAGTCATCCTGAGTTAAAATCATAACTCGGTCATTTAGTGCCTATGCGACCTTGAGCAAGTCATTCAATCTTCCGGGCCTCAATTTCCTTAACTGTAAAATGAGGTGTTTGGATGACATGACCTTGAAGGCACCTTCCATCTCTAAATCTGTGATTGTATGTAAATTAAAATAACATCATAATTATTATTTGGAAAAAAAGATGACAAGATCTAAAATATATCACCCTGCTACTGTGGGCGATATGTTTTGCTTTCCCTTTTGTGAGTATTATATGCCCTGCACTAGGTATCAGGTTTCGATGAATTGATCAGGACAAAGTTATTTTGTCCATGGTCTCCATAATGTGAGGTCCAATTGTAGAGTTGCACTATATATGTATGTATGTAATTTATATGTTTATATGTAATCCTTCAGAAATGGTCCCCATTGACAGATCAGTGGTCTGTGATAAGGTTTGGTTAATAACTACATAGGAATTGGAGGCAGGAAAGGCATGAGTTCAAATCCCACATCTCAAACTTATTAGTTGTGTGACCATTGATAAGTCACTTAACCTCAGAGCCTCAGCTCTCTCATTTGGAAAATGAGGATAATCATATTTCTGATATCTATCTCATATTGTTGTAGTATATATACATTCTAATTTAAATAATTACATATTAAATCTAATTAGTTAAAATCCCTTCCCCCTTTCCTTCCTTCTTTCTCTTCCCCAACAATACAACTTCATTATTTAAGTGGTGCTAAGAGTAATGAAAACAGGTCAAGTAGGTGGTGCAGTAGATAGAGTGATGGACCTGGAGTCAGGAAGACCTGAGTTCAAATCTGACCTGAGACACTTATTAGTTCTGTGACTCCGGGCAGATCACTTAACCCTGTTTGCCTCAGTTCCCTCATCTGAAAAATGAGTCGAAGAAGGAAATAACAAACTTCAATATCTTTGCCAAGAAAACCTCAAATGGGTCATGAAGAGTCAACATAACTGAAAAATGACTGAATAACAACAGTAACAAGAAGAATAATGCAAACCACAGAATGATGGAATTTTAAAGCTAGAAGGGACCACACAGCTCAGACAGTCCAATAGTTAATAAGTCAAAGCACTTAATATTAATACATACTATATTATTCACTTAAAATATATAAAACATTTCTTACAGCCATTCTGTGAGGTGGGTATTACAAATATTATTATTCCTACTCTATACATATATATGTATATATATATATCTATATATCAAAAGATATGTTTATGTGTGTATATACTTTAAAAGACTACATAAATATTGGTTATTAGTCTGAGTTGTTTAAAGCTTTACACAGACTCTATAACATTTTCTATGGCAATGGAGGTTTCTGAACAAGTTTACCTTAATTGCATTCAAAATATTTATATGTCCCACTTTATGTATTTGGAGCCTTCTTTTGCAAATGCAAACAGATGGAAGTTATAGACCAAATTTGAAAAACATATTTTTAAAGATAAGATTTCTTAATTCAATACACAATGATGCAAGAAACTAGCATGATTATTTACATGTTCTCCAAACAAAAACAAAAGTAAAAACTAAAGCAACACAACTACATTTTTTCCCTGTGCAAAATATTCAGTAGTTCAGATGGGGGGGGGGGGAAATGGAGTGATTTCCCAGCAGTAGAATTCTCAAGAATTACTCCATTAGAAAGTCTTTCTGAACTTCAGGTGAATTTCAGGAATCCTGTCTTTTTCTATATCACTTTCTATAGCTCCTTTTTCTCTTTAAGCTTCTCTTTAAACAAGGCCAGAGGATAACTGAGATTCTTTCCTCAGCACAAGTATCTCCTGAATGGTACCAATGGCACTTCCACAGTTGTGTCAGCAGAAGGCAGCACAAAACCAGCAAGCTTTATCCGTTCCATTCTGGACAATGTAATACTGGCCTTTCAGATTTGTAGAACGGGCACCATCTTTGTCTCCTAATTTGGTAAACCCACTTCAGTACTAGCCTATGAACTACCGAGATGACTAGAAAGGAACTGACATTTTTAGAAGGGTCCAGTGGAATGACCATCAACTGGGACAATATGCTGAAAGAAGTTCCAATTGGGAAGAGGAAGATAAATCAAGTTATGAAAAAAATATAATCATGTTTCCATCACAGAATCTAAGCTAATGGAAAGAAGTAATAGTGTGGGTGATCCAGGACATCAGGTAGTCAATCAACCAGCCTCTACTAAACTTCTACTATGTGCCAGGCACTGTACTAGTTGCTATAATAATTTTGTGATAATTCCAAAGTCAAAATTTTGCTTAGAAAGTCACATTTTCTTTGGAAGAAACTAAATTAAATTCTATCAAATAATACTCATATTCAGGCTTCATATTTTTTCTTTGAACAACATAGAAGAAAGGAAATATATTTGCTAGATAGAAGTTAAATGAATTCTCAATGTCTTGGAAGTCTGTTGTGAAAATTCCTTTCTCCCTCCCTCCTTCCTCTCTTTTTTCTCTCCCTCTCTCCTTTCTTTCTTCCCCCTCTCCCTCCCTCCTACACATCTATCCATTCATCCACCTATACTTCCTTCCTTCCTTCCACAATACAAGTTCATAGTTTAGTGGCACTAAGAGTAATGAAAACCACAGAACCATGGAATTTGAAAGGGGGAAGAGACCACAAAGCTCAGATACTACAATGCTGTCATTTGCAGCTGAGGAAACTGAGTTTTTAAAGAGATTTGCCCAAAGTCACAAAGCTAGCGAGTGGCCCAGCTAGCCAGAAGCTAAGTTTATTAATTCTTGGAACCAGTGCATTTTCAACTGCATCCATACTACCTATGTACTGCATAGCTGGAAGAAAAATTGATTTTTAACAAATAAGGAAATAACAAAACAAGTGTGACATAGTGAACAGAAGAGTTTCCTGATAATCAGGAAATACTGGATTCAAATTCTGCCACTGACACTTGCCAGCTAAGTGACCCTGAGCAACCATGATCTAACCTTTCAGTGCTTCCAGATAACTCTCTTAAATCTAGAAGTTACAGATGGTTTTAGATCAACATCAGTAGAAGGGAGTTTCCATACCAATAGTTCCCCAAACCAATGAAATTACAGGTCTCCAGGACTGCCGTCAACCTTACCTTACCCAAAAAGAAGACATCAAGCAGAGTAAGAGTCAGTCAAACTATCAGTTATCATTTGGGTTCAGTGAGCCTCAGAAAAATGAACACCTACCTGAAGGGTATTAGCATGGTGACTCAGGGCCTTTGAAGAACTGTAGTCAGTAGGGTCATCTAGCAAACTGCTAGTATTTTCTATCCAAGTCTCAGTATTCCTTAAGAGGTCATTGTATTCCTCCATCTTAAGCGTGGCCTAGGAAAAGAACATTGTAATAATTTTCAAAATCTGTTTTTGATTTTAAGTAGATTTTAGTAATTTATAAAATGAGGATTAATCACAATCAGATGTATGTATGAACCTGTTTCTCCTATTTTGGTAAATATGGTAACATAAGATGAAAAGTGAATGATTTACTTAAAATCCAAAAATTTTTGGTTTTCTCTAAGACCAGGCTTATTAACCTTTTTTTGTGACACAAACTCCACTGTGGCAGGTCTGGTGAAGCTTATGGACACCTACTTAGAATAATGTTTTTGAATATATATGAAAAAATACATAGGAATACAAAGGAAAGAATTATATTGAAAAAATCAAAAATATTTAAAAAAACAAGTTTGAAGACCAACCCTGCAAAAACCAATCTCTTTTTTGCCACTACATATCATCATCACAGTCTTCTGATGTCTAGGTATCATAGACTCACCTTATTTAATTGTGAAGTTCTTTGCTCTGCCCTCTGTGACACCTGCTGGTACTGTTGAAAGGGAACCATTAAGTTATCCATCCATTCTTGGGCTTGTCCTGGGTCCTGTTCACTATATCCTGGACTTCAGAATCTAGTTCATTTAGTTTGGAATGCCAGAGGTCTAGTTCATCCCACATTTTCTGTAGAAGGAAATCAGAAGTAAGTCAGGGTGTAGACACTACATTCCTAGCCCTCCTCTCTACTAGTGGCTGTACCTTCACCCATACTTCCCAATGCACTCATCCTGAAGAGAGAGACAAGATGCTCCTTGCTCCCACTTGACTTTCAGACTCTTCTTTTACTACCTTTGCTCAGTGACCAAGACATTGCCGCAACCTCCTCTTAGAAATTCATATTCAACATTTTCTAACCAATTCAAATTATAGGGGCTGTTTTAAACCTGGTCCCAGGTCATCTCAAAAAGTTCAACACTTGGGTCACTGTCCTCCTAGAGGACTTCTGCATACCATATTGATGCTCCCTCAAACTTTCTAACCTCTCAATTCTTCAGTCTTCTTAAATCCAATGACCTACTCCTTCACTAGCATTAAGTACCCTACTATGTACCAGGCACCGTGTTAAGTGCTTTGCAAATATTATTTAATCTTTGCAACAACCCTGGGAAGTAAGAGTTATTATTATCCCTATTTAACAGCTGAGGAAACTGAGGCAGAGAGAGTTTAAGGAAGTTGCTCAGGGTCATACAGCTAGTAAGTACTTGAAGCAGAATTTGAATTCATGTCACCCTGACTCCAGGACCATCACTCAATATTGCATCTTTTTTTTTTCTTTGGGCTAGGCAATGAGGTTAAGTTACTTGCTCAGGGTTATACAGCTAGTAAGTGTTATGTGTCTGAGGCCAGATTTGAACTCAGGTCTTCCTGACTCCAGGACCGGTGCTCTATCCACTGTGCCACCTAGCTGCCCCTGACCATCACTCAATACACTGCATCTTCTATCTGCTTCTTTTTGATGAGCTGAAGGAGCTAGGTATAGTTAGTCTGGCGAAGAGATTTAGGCAGAGACATGACAGCCGTCTTCAAGTATCTGAAGAATATGAAAGAGGGATTTGACTGAAAAGGGGCAAATTTCTCTATTGTAAAGGGAAGACAAGAGAATATATAAACTATAGGTCAGTGAGCTTGATTTAGATTTCTTGGAAAATTCTACAAAGGACCATTAAAGAAATTGAAAATCTAGGGGGGGAAGTACAATCAGACTAGTTTTACTTCTTTTGTGTTTTAGGTTACTAAAAAGTAGATTGGGAATACTGTAGAAATTATTTACTGGGAATACTTTAGAAATTAGGAAAGCAGTTGATAAAGTATCTCATACTATTCATTTAGAAAACAGGAAGGAAGAAAGGGAGGGAGGCAAAGAGAACGAGAGATATTAAATGATAATGCAATTAAATTAGAGTTCAGGGTCTGAACACAAAGAGCAGCCATTACTGGTTCAATGTCACCATGGTAGGAGGTCTCATATGGAAAATCAGTGGGATCATTACTTGACCCTGTGCTGTTTAACATTTTTTATCCCAAATGGATTAAAAAACATAAATAGTATGCTTAAAAATTTAAGGGCATACTTATCAAATTTGAAAATGACATAAAGTTAGAGAGATAGTTAATACACTGGATGAAAGGGTCAGGGTCAAAATAATTTTTGCAGCCTAGAGTAATAAATGAATCTAAGAAGAAATTCAATAAATACAAAGTCTTGTACTTGGGCTCAAAATTTTATTTGCGTAAATATAGGATGGCAGAAGAATAATTAACACTTTCAAAAGGACTTAAGGGTCTTAGTGGACCATGTTTCATCAGTGTCATGTGGCAGCTTTCCCTCCCCTCCTCTCCCTTCCCCACTGCCCCAGACCAAAATAAAAATAATAATAATGCCTTCTTGGACTGCATTGGAAGAGACATTGCTTCCAGGCATAAGGAAGGTATAATTCCTCTGAATTCTCCCCAGGTCAGACTACATCTGGAATATTGTAATCCATTCTGTCATTGTGTCATGGTTTAAGAAGGGCATTACTATAGTCATACTTTATATAAGGGTTTTGTTTTCTTTCAATTTGAGTGGGGGGGCAGTTGAAAGGAAAAGGAGGCTAGCAAAAATAATAAAATAAAATAAAAAAATTTTAAATCCATGGAAGAGAACATAAGAAAAGTTAGTAGGAAACACAAACAAGTAGAACAGTTTTGAAAATAACACAATGAATTTTTTTGTATACTTGGAGAGAGAAGCAAGCTGCCCATTGTACAAATTCTTGTCCACACATACAATTTTCTTTTTAGCACTTTTTTTTATATGACAATATTCATCTTGTTTAGTATTTGTGAAATTCAGAATTTTTATAAAAGGATGTTGATGAGCTGGAGAGCGTGGAGACCAGACCAAACCAAGATGGCAACAGTCCTGAATCTATGCTATATGAGGAAAGGTTGGAGAAAGTGATGATGCTTTGCTTGAAAAAGCAAAGACTTGAGGAGGGGAGGCTATCATAGGTATTTTCAAGTATTTTAAGATCTGTCCTGTGGAAGAAGGCTTAGACTTGTCCTATTTGTACCCAGAAAACAAAACTAGGAAGACCGAATGAGTATAGTAAACTGAGACTTAGGTCAAGAGAGCTTCTTTAACTATTCACGCTGTTTCAGAGTAGAATGGGCTGTTCAGTCAGTGAGTCAATCAACAACATGTATGAAGCACTTACTATACGCCAGGCACTGGGCTGCCTTGGGAAGTAGAGGGTAACTTATCCTTAAAGGCCTTCAAACAGAGTGTATTTGGCCACTTGTCAGGTATGTTAATGTAAGGGATTCTTTTAGGGTGTGGAGTGGACTAGATAGTAGCCAACGAAGTTACTTCCAACCCTGAAATTCTGTGATTCTGAGATGGGAATTTGTCCTACTTGGCCCCAGAAAACAAAACTAGTTAGCAATGGCTGAACGTTTTACAGAGGCAGATGTCAGCTTCATAAGAGGAAGAACTTCCTAATTATTGGTTAGTTGGTTGGATTTCTTCTCCAAGAGGGCCAAAATGACACCATCATGTTGGAGTCAAAGTACAGACTGTGGCTGATCAGACCAGTATGAGCTTGGAAGGCTCTGTGTAAAAGTTAATTGGATTACTTCAGCAACAAACGAGTTCTCTGTCACTGTTGGTCTTCAACCAGAGGCTTCAAATGGATGAATTAGGCATGTTATAGTAGGGAAAAGAGATTCCTATTCAGGTACTGGTTGGACTAGAGATCTCTTCTGACTGCATCTGGCCACGTGAAATCTTGAAGGCAAAAATCTTTAATCATTTTGCCTCATATTATCGAAATGTGATAATCTCTAGGAAAACTCTCTGTATGAAAAACTGACTAAATTAGGTTGACCTACATACAAAGACCCTAAGATTTTGTCTGTGGATGAATACGTATAATTCAAATAAAATCCTTTAAATGAAAAAGATTAAAAAACGCTTCTCACATTGGAAATTTAGACATGGAATCTCAAGACTACGCACAATGTTATTCCTAAAATGTGGTACCCCAAAACCAAATGCAATATAATAAAATAATGTCAATAAAACGCAAAATAATGTGAACAAGACAGAGTATAGTCCCGTGATAATTTGTTCAGATCTATCTGGATTATTGTAGTCAGCCCTGGGTCCCTTGTTTCAGGAAGAGCAAGGATAAGCTAGAGGTTTTCCAGAGAGAGGCAGCCAGGATGGAGAGAGTCCTCAAGATCTTGCCAAATGAGAACCAGATGAAGGAGCTAGAAAGGCTGTGCCTGGAGAAGTCTCAGGAAGTCTTCAAGTATGGAAGGGCTGTCCCACAGAAGAGGAATTCGCTTGTTCTTTTTGGTCCCAAAGGGCAGAACTAGGAGGAGTGGCTGGAAACTGCAAAGAAACTCATTTAGGCTCGCTGACATTTAGAGCTATTCAGAAGTAACAGGCCGCCTCAGGAGTAAGTGAGTTCTCCCTCACTCTTCAAGGCAGTGGAGAGCCACCTGCCAGGTATGATACAGAGGGCATCTTTTTTCAGGTTCAGTTTGGACTAGATGTACTCTAAGATGTCTTCTAATGTTGTGATTCTGTGATGGTGAGTTTTAATAAGGATATTATCCACAGGTGCAGCAAGGTTTAAATGAGAAAATGGATTGTACAGCACTTCGCGAACCTTAAATTCCTATGTAAATGCCAGTTATTATTATTATTATTAACCTACAGTCACCGAGCCTCTAGTCTGGTGATAACATCATCCCCCAAGATTCATACTGCACTCCTGCAGAGCTCACAAAATGTTTGTAGAACAAGATAGGAGTGTGCTGGTCTGTATTTAACAATCTGGCTGAGGGGTGGATGGGAATATATGTAGACACACTTCAGTTTCATCTGCATTATTAATACTTTATAAAGTCTAGACAATAAAGAAAACAACAAATCAAGCCTAGGTGACTATTGATTTCTGAGGTATAAATGCTCATAGTGAAAATTTAACAATCGGCTTTTGTAAGCTGGTTAGAACTGGCTTCAGCATACCCCTGATATTATTTCAATTGAAAATGGAATTACATTGGAATCTTTTGACATTCTTTCGTTCTCTTAGGAGTCAGAAGGTAAGTGGTTACTATCTTTTGTAACCTATTGAATCATTCCTTTTGCTGTGGAAAGTTTGCTTTCCTTTTTTTATTCAGGACCTAAAAATTGAGAAGTCAATGACTGGATATTTCTCAGTAGATAGGCTCTAATCCCCACCATAAATATGCTTTTAAAATGTAATCATCATTTCCAAAAGGAATACCTCATTCACCACTAGAAGTTTCTAGTACTGTCATGATTCCAGTAAACGTGTGCCTTGTGAGCTGGGCCCGGTGTGTACATGCCCACACAAGGTACAAGATGCTCAATACTTTATTAGCTGGGAATAGCAGGAAACATAATACACTGGAAACCAAGTAGCTTCTGAATGAATGAAACTGTGGAATACAGATCAAAGCCATCAAAATCCTTGCCCGAGAGAGAATTAGAGGACATTACCTTTTGAATTTCTTGAGCTTCCTCAATATTTTTGCTTTTCTGTTGTAACATCTTTTCAACATTCTGAAGCCCATGATTAATTTCTTCTATTTTTCTACTCATCACATAAAAAGGTGAACTCTTCAAGACTTCATTTCTAATCTGTTATAAAAAGAGAGAAAGTCTAATTCAACATCTAAAGATGATTCAACATCCTATCCATTAATTCCCTGATAAAGGGTAGTCAGGAGGTAGAGAGGAGGCAGCACTCTGTCATGCAAATTCACTCAGAACACTCCCTCAAGAACTGGGGGATTTTTTTTTCCCTAGATGGATGTTTATACTGATGTGGCTTATTTGGTGTTGAATAGCAATTTTTCTCCGCTAAATTGACTATTCACATCCATGCCAAATACTACAGAAGATATGTACTGTTTAGGATATCAGAAACATTACCCACATGGTCAAAGGATACGGCTTGCCTCACAATGTGAACTTCAGAAATAAATTATTTATGACTTGTTATCTTGGCTTCTTGTGCCAAAGAAAATGCAATTTCTACCCTAATATTCATTTGGCTGAAACAATATAGTGTTGAACTAGCTGACACTTGAAAATCTATGCTGCTTAATATTTTTAGTGTTTTTCTTCACAGCAATCAAAGCCTACTCATTGAGCAGCATGATTTTCTACCTGAATTATTCCTTAAAGAAAATAACTTATCTCTAGGAGATTAATAACAAATACGTTGCTTCAAATACCCCATGAAGATTCATTCCTTTCGAAAATTACATTGATAGGAGTGTTGATGTAGCCACTAAAATAAATGATGATGATAATGATGATGATATCTTACTTTTGCCTAGTATTTCTTAACTTTGCAAATTACTTTTGCAATTTTTCATCTGAGCCTCACAACAACCTTTTACAGACTTTTTACAAAAGAGGAAACTGAGGAATAGAGACGATTAATAATTTGTCTAAGGTCATAGATAAGATTAATAGCAGAACCAGGAACTAGAACATTCTGGTCTAATCCCACATCCTTTCCACTAGACCACACTATTAATATCATCTGCCGGTTTCATTAGAAAAAAATTTCTAGTTGAAAAAGAACAGAATTTTGTTGTTCTTGTTGTCTGGGCATGGGAATACTCAATCCACCTACATTAAATACATACCACTTAAATAAACTGCAAAAAGAAAAAAGATCGTGATTTAAGAAACACAAACAGCAATTTGAATTATATGGAGGGTTATAGTTTCTACTGTCAGATGATAACCATTAGCTGTTATCTTTTACATTAATGTTAATACATGTTAATCTACCTGTGGTCTAAATTACAACTGGAATTTTTCAGAGGCCTAGCCATTAAAGACTCTAGATGCTTTCAGTGAGTTTTCTAAGGGATTCCACATGCTGTTAACAATAGAATAACATTTAGTTTGACCTGTAATTAAAAACATGCTATTCTAATGAAAACAATAGTCCCTGATGCTTTAGGAGCTACGCAAAGATCATATATGTCAAAATGATAAGGTTTGCTGCTAAATGCATACTAGTAAGGAAGGGAATTCTAACTTATATAATTAATATCTGAGAATGCTGGTATACACATTCTTGGTGTTGTGGATATAACAGTCATATTTATAATACTTGTTATACATTCATGCTGCCTTAGTATAAATATGCTAAGAAATAGGATACAGAATGCATTGTTATATCAAGATATTACTAACTTATTCCATCAATTATACTTAATTTTTGACACTGAAAACATTTTACTTATCAAGTTAAGATTTTAGGGATATCTGAAATCAATAATAAAATGCTACTATGAGACCTGGACTAAATTAGGGGAGGGAAAAAATAGGAAGGTTAGAAGTTACCTATAAACATTTCATCTTTTGGTTTGGGTTGTCTTTTTTTTTTTTAAATTACAATAAAATGAATTCTCCCTTTTCTTTGTTCTCTTACTGGTAACTTATCTGTCTGCCGTCATGTGTAAGATGTGTTCAAATTTACCCTAAAATTCCTTTTTCAGAACTTGAATTGCTTCAAAAAGTTAAGAGCAAGTATGTTTTAAGACAAAAATTTATAATTCAGGTCTATTGTAAAGGGTAATGAAATTGTACTTCACACTAATTAGGAGCATCCTAAATCAGGAATGAAGCACAAGGAGAAAAATGTACAGATTATTCTGGACTCTAATTTCTGTCACTTGAAACTGCTTTAGAGTTGAGTTTCCAATCACAAAATTTTCACTTAGTTGAGCCATAAAAAAAGCGTATATTCATAAATGAAAAGGCAACTAAAATGAAACTGTGAACCCAATTATATTTTTATTGAAAGGCACATTGCTTCCTCTATTGCATAAATGAGAGATAAACCACAGGAATGAACAACGCTGCCACAAACATCATTACCTTCTCATCTATGTCTTCTAAAGTTTTTTTGCATTCTTCCATCTGGCACTCAATCTCTGCAGGAACTATGGTATACATCTCAGAATACTTGATTCGGAGTTTTTCCATAATATTCTCAAGTGCAAGTTTCTCTTTGTCAATTATTCTCTGAAGAGCCTTAAAACATTAAAGAGGGTTTTCAGTACTAACAAGACACAGGAAAAGTTTAACTCTAAAACTGAAAGCAGTTTCAGAGCACATCCTTATGATTGAAATGAGCAGCTTTTTGCATGACAAAACTCCATTATTCATACGAGCTGATTAAACCTGAGAGATGCTCAGTTTAGTCAGATGATGCCTTTCGATTTGTAAGAATTAAACTTGATATCACTTCATAATGTCAACTCATTGTTGTAAAAAGACATTACAACATCTCTGTGCTTCCAAAGTGCCTCTATGATTTAACTTTATCTCTGTAGCATTCCTGATACAAAAACCTGTTCAGAGCAAAAGTTTTCAGAAGTTTTTATTAACTTGTCACCGTTTATGCTTCTTCCTACATTATCATAACAATGATGCAAGGCCACTAAAAGCTGGAAGCTTGAAGCAAAAGTGTCTGCTTTCATGTAATTATACAGCACAGTGAGCCCAGCTTCTTTCACAACTGAGGGTTCCAGTTCCACAGGAAGAATGTGGGTTTTAAGAGATAAAAGCAACTTGAACAAATAGTCTATTGGTTGTGGCCTAGAAAGAAAATCTGATCCAAGTTCCCCTTGCAGTAATTATAAAAGAAAAACTCATTTGTTTGGGAAACTTTCCCAAAGATCAGGTGGAAAAATACTTTATAACTTTACAGTGGTCTTTTCTGGGAAGAATTAGTTATTAATCTTGCTAATGGACCAAGGCATTGCCTTGAAGAATAATTACAATTTTAAATGATTCTATATGGGGATTTATCATTGAGTTACTTTTTTACTTCTGACTACCAAACCCTCATCTTTTATCTTTAATACCAGCCAGCTCTATACAAGCAAAGTTAAATGGAAAGTTATGTAATTATCATGGTAATTCAGACAAATATAGGGCTTCGGGGTCTGAACTGCTCACATAATTATGTTGCTTATATCCAGTCTAAGAGGGCTGCTCTTCATTTAGAGCTCTACATCGATGCTTTTCCCATAATAATCCCCTCCATAAGTGAAATCAAGTTTCCTCTCTCAATATACTGTAACAAAACAGCTCCAGTTACAAACAGCATGCAACTTTTGAATGCATCTGAAAAACTGATTGAAGACTTACTAGAAAAGAAGACCCACTTCTGACTCAGAGAGAGGTTACCATTGGGTCTGTATTTCCAGTGGTGTAAGAAATTAGTGCTTAAGTGAACTTCACTGTGTGGGCAGCCCCATGTTTGATATAAGATACCGTGTCCTATAGCTGAGAAAAAACTGAGTCTAATCTAATGGATACAAGTAATTTCAATGTCCTAGTATGCTGTTTGCTAATTACCACAAGATAAAGATATAGGTCTGATTCCCCAATGAAACATATGTATGATTTTGTTACATACAAATCCTTATGTTATTTATAGTATACGTAATGCCTTTCATACCTCCTTCCTTCTTTTCTTTCTTCCTTTCTTACCTCTCTCCTCTCTATTCTCTCCCTCTTTCCACATAGGGAATCATATCCTTACCTCTGAGCGCTCTGCCCAAAGGAACGTAAATTTTGATAGCTGAACCCTAGCAAGATATCTTGGGGTTTAGAGGCTAGATTTCTTTTTTAGGGACCATGCCTTAAACCAAAATCACCATGGCTTGCATTCATTGGCCAGCAATAGCCCGAGCCTCACTTGGTCATTGTCTGGATTCTGGTAGCTCAGAATGAGTATAAATAGCAATTGTTTCTGTTTTGGCCAGAAACCCTGAAGGTCTTCCCGTCCCAGATTGATTTTATTTATTTTTTATTTTTGAGTAATTTTTTTAAATTTTAATTTATTAATTTTATTTTTATTATCATTATTTATTTTATCATTTTATTATTATTATTTATTATTAATTTACTAATTCTATTAATTTATTTGAGTATTTATTTTTGCCTCATTTTTACCTAGCCTTAATCACTGAATGAGTGTTGCCTCAGACAAACTGAGACTTGGGAAAGACCTTAACTTATTTAAAAAAGCCAAGGTCACCCACTGCATCATCCCACTGGAGATGGGGTCATCTCCAGTCGTCCTGATCTATATCTTGCCATTGGACCCAGATGGCTCTGGAGGAGATTGTGAGGCTGGTGACTCTGCACAGCTCTCCCTCACTTAAATCCAATTAACTTGCAAGTCATGGCATCTCCTCCCTGATGTCATGGTCTTCTTCAAGAACAAAGGACAGACAACAATGTCTTTACAAACGATATAGTTCAAAATCATCTTCTCTCTTCCCCAATTCAATCATCAAAATTTATCAAGCCTATAACTTGAAAGGTAATCAGGGAGACATAAAGGTAAATGACATAAAACAGGATCTCTTTGCTCATGGAGTTTGATATAGAAGGGGAAATGGAGATGCAAAGGCAAGGGGATTGTTCAGCAAACAAGGAATAGTCAGTTTCAGGGAAAGTGTCATATGTAAGTGAAGGGCAGTAGTAAGAAAGAAAGCTGGAAAGTTAAGTTGGAGCTAAGTTATACTTTCAAAAAACAAGCTGTAAGACTTTATTTGGTTGGCATTATAGATGTTAACAAAAACGCATGCTTCCACAGGGAGTCACTGAAGTCTTCTGAAAAGTACAGATCAGAAGTACGTATTAAGTAGATTAATGTCATGCAACATACAGGAATGGAGTAAGGAAAGACTGGAGGTAGGAAGACCAATGAGGAGGCTACCATGATACTACAGACAAGAGGTAAAGAGGGCCTGAACTACTAGCATGTTGACATCGGGAACTAAAAGGGTAGGATAGATTTGAGTGATGTTGCAAAAGTATATTTGAGAGGGCTTAGCAGCTAGATGCATGTGGGAAAGTGAGGGGAGAAAAAAGTCAATAGTAACAGTGAGGTTTTGCCCCTGGGTAACTAGGTGAATGGCGGTATAATACTTGCCCTGGGATACATTGCCAACTTGTAATTGTACTGGTGGGTTGGGCCCCCTGAGGGCTGCTATTAATGCCACAGGTTCTAAGGTACCCATGGATATGGGCTGTTTGTACTATAGACCATATTTTACTTTTCTAATAAGCTGGAAGACACAATTAGCTCTTAGGTGTTTACTAATAAGGCATAGTGAAAAATAGCAGCTATAAAAAATTCTCCTATCCCCAGTAACCTGGCGTGTACTTCCCCCAAATACACACAGCATGCTGGGAAGAATGGGCTAAAATGTAGAGTAAAATGATAATGAGGCTGGCATATAATGACAACATGGCCAGCTCTGGATATAACTCTGTTATAACTCTGGAACTGTGGGGCCTCCAAATCCTTTCTCTTCTCATGTAGTCCTCTCTGTATCCAACTCTCAATTGCCAGGGCTGGCTTTTTTGAGTCCACTGCCAGATCTTATGGTTATGTTTCTTGCTGCTATTTCTGGTCTCAAGTGAGTACCTCTCTGTATTTGTGTCTGTCTACAGCGGGAACTCTTACCATGGGGTCCATGAACTTTTAAAAATATTTTGATAATAGAATTTCAACATAATTAGTTTCCTTCGTAATCCTATGTATTTCATTTTATGTATTTAAAAAACATGCTGAGAAGGGATAGACAGGATTCAGAAGAGTAGTACTAAACGTGTCCATGACACAAAAAAAAGGTTAAGATATATCTTTTTTAGTGGCAAAGAGCTGGAAGTGGTATAGTGTGTCTCTATTCCCTCATCTGTGTCCCAAACTCTTTTGAAATAACTTGTCAACTGCTGAATGGGTTGTCTCCTTCTGCGTAAGCAGCTCTGAAGCTGGATGACATGGCCAATGGGGGAGGACAGAAAAACCCCAATCTCTCCCCATCAAAAGCTAGGTTCTTCCACAACTGTTGTTTCTCTCACCAATGCCCTCTAGTCTCTAGGATTAAGCTATTTAAAGTCCTTCAATAATGCAACCGGTTTCTTTCTTGTCTAATGACATTACTCCCTTGTGATTCAGAGAGGTATTCATACTTCTTAAAGGGATGAGTTAATTATACATCCAGGACTACGCTGGAGCCAGCTTGAGCTGGGCTGATTGTTAAGTTTTCAGTGTAAGCACTTACAACTTGGAAACCAGCAAACTCGGTGTGTTTTCTTGATTGTTTAGATTTAAGAAAGTGATGGAGAAAATGTTATTAGTGCAAATTAAACTTAAAAGTATATCGTGCATACATTCTTTTTCTGAGTTTGTGGTTAAACATTTACCAGCACACCACTTCATACACCACCATAGTGACAGACTGCCTCACCAGAAAATAGTATTTGCTTCTTGCAAGTGAAATCACATTGAATTGCTCCTTGTGGCCCATGACCTGTCACTAACCTCCAACTGATCTTCCTTTCCTGGGTCTTCTTCTAATGCCATATCATGGAAAGAGGCTATCATTTTTTCAAATGAATTCTTCAAAGTAATTATTTCTTTACTGATATTATTTCTCTCTTCAATTTCAAACTGTACCAACTTTTTATTTGCTTGAGCTTTCCGAGAGAGCCTAAAATGAACAAAAACAGTATGAAAAAATTTAATTTTCTTTATCCTTTTTTTTGCAAACAGCTGTTTTATTTGAAAAATTAACAAAAAACTAACCTCTCACCCAGACTAATCCTTTTTCTGAATTAAGAGATATCACTGATTTTTCAGTCATTTACATATCACATATATATGTGTATGCCATCATTATAGATAGTAATCTAAACAAAATATTTCTCAAAGCTATCTTCTTTTCCAATTTCTATACTCCAACCATATAATTTCTCTTTCATTTTTTTCACCAAGGGTTACATTAGGAGTTCTAGCCAGCCTAGGACATGCTACAAAAGATAGCTTGATGAAGTATACTAAGTCAAATTAGATAAATTATCTTTAGAAAAAAAATCCCCACTATTTTTCATCCCCATTTCCTCTTAAACAGGATGTGCCCACCAGACAAAAATTGCACCCAGAATTCTACCATGTAGAGTATTTCGTCATCAATTGTGGTATTAGACTATCCAATCTTTTTTTTGCCCACTCACTGATGATTCCATTTTAACCACATTACTTAGGGTTGATTCTAATCTATAATTACATCTTTAAGAAAGCCTAAATTTAACTCAAGTCAACATCTAAAATACACAACCAACTTCTCAACCATTGCTACTTCATTTCATCTTATATAACTGAACCTTACTTGGTACATCGATCTTGCATGGAACGAATCTCTTGCAATACTGGAACAGATTCAATTGTCTCTACACTTTCAGGAACACTCAGGATATTTTTTATCCGGTGAAGAAGTAAAGTAAATAGCAATTGTTGCCTCTCCAGGTTCTCTTCGTATTGGCAGAAACATTCTAGAGCGTCAGAAAGTTCCTCATTGGTGGCTGCTTCCTTTGGTTTGGTACTCTCAGGGAATTCTTCTTGGAGATTGTCTAAAATAATTGCTTCCCGTTCAAGCTAGGTCAACAAAGGGAATAAAGGTTAAGATGTGGTTTTTGTCAACCTAAGAAATCTCTTTGATCATAAAAACACAAGCTGTTACTGAGAATTCCTCATTTTGGAAAAGTCACATCAGACATCAAGAATATATGCGATTCTCTGCCGACAGTAATTCTGCTTTTCTGAATTAATAGAAGAAATTTTGATTTAGCTATCTGTCCATGTGAGTTTTCAAAGGCCCCAGAAAATCTTTTAAAGAAATTCACCCATCATATGTGAAATAAATACAGGTCGATTCTAGAAGTCTTAGTGCAGTCTTAAGCTTTAATAGCTTAAAAAATAGCCATTTGAATGACTATTTTTTTAAGCTTTATACTGCATTAAAACTTTTGGGATACCTATATTGCTGTTGGATGAAAAGTAAACTACTGAAATGAATGTTAATGAAGTGAAAGCATAAATTAATTTTCTCCCTTTATATGCTACCTGAGAGATTTTATACATGTATATATTTGAAATTTACTTTCTGATATGATGCAATAATATTATGTTAGAATCATATAGTAAATTTGATCATTGCTTTTTCCTACTACAAAGAGTGCTGCTATGAATATATGACCTACTTGAGGCATATCCCTAATAATCAGAATCTTGAATCAAAAGTATGAAGGGCTTAGTGAATTTTCCCACACAACTCCAAATGACTTACATAAACCAGAATGCCAATTATTAATTTGCAAGATATTGATCAATCACATTGAGTTTTAATATATTACAGGGATAAATAGCATACTTGCCTTCCCACAGTATCTCCAACATTGACTATTTCTATCTTTTGTAATTGGCAATTTGATGAATGTAAGGTGAATTCTCAGAGTTCTTTTAATTTACAGGTTTATCATTGTCATCATCATCATCATTATTATTATTTGTATTTGTATTATTTTAATATGATTTTGATAGTTCAAAATTCTTCTTTTGAAAACTGTATATTCATATCTTCTAATTATTTATCTACTGTAGAACAGTTCTTTGTTTTATATACTTGTCTCCGTTTCTATGTAGCTTAGATACTATCCTTTTATCTAAGATGTATGATATAAAGGTTTTTCCCCCCATTTGACATTTTCTCTTCTTATCTTTATCATACCTTCTATCTCTTGTTTAGTTTAGAATTCCCCTACCATCTCTATCCCCACATAGTTATGGAGGAGACTTCCTTCTGTTCTCTAACTTTTATATGACATAATTGTAATATTTAGATCACACATCCATTTGGACCTTATTGGTGTATGTGGTATAAGATGCTTGCACCAACCCATTTCTAGTACACAAGTCTAAGAAGTCTAACAAGTTGGGTTATCTGGATCCTCAGTAAATTAGAAATGGTGGCAGAGAAAAGAAAGGGATAGGAAAGCTTAACTGCCAGAGAGAATAAGTACGCTGACGTTAGTGAAAAAATGGAAGCCAACAGCTACAAACGCAGTAAGAAACTATAAAAAAGAAAGCCCAGAAGTCTAGAGGCAAGTAGTCATACTTGTCCCTGAAGGTAACTCTGAGTATTAAAACTCAGTGGTCTAATCAAGCAGTACAGTCAGTAGGTATTTTGCAAATGAATGAATAGTTGGCATTATATAAGCCATTTGTGAGCTTGGTAACTGTGAATCAGTCTACCAGAATCTGGTCATCTCTGAGTCAGATAATGAAATCAACTTCTACCTGCAAAGACAATGGAAAAGACCTTTGACTTAAGGTGACCATATCAAGAGACTCTTTACCATCATCTCTTACCTGAAATATGGGTGGTTCTTATTTGGGATTTACAAGTATATAATTAAAAAGTGTGTATGGGAAGCAAATGTATTCCACCTTGGAATCTCTCATTACTTTATTTTAACGTGAAGGCTGTCACTCCTAGGCCAGACCCACATCACTTCTCACCTGGGTCACTGTGATAGACTCCTAAGCAATCCTCTTCCTACAGCTGTTCCCCTTCTAAACATCCTGGCCAAATGTACAACCCTAATTAAATCAGTCAATTGATAAAAATATGGATTTTTCTACTATCTATCTGATAAAGTCAATTTTTCTTGATTTAAGAATATGCACATTATTTCACCAGCCTTAGCTCATATCATTCTCCTTCATATATTCGTCTGTACTCATGCTGGACCACTCTCCAGTCTAGGAACATTCCAAACTCTTCTACCTCTATCATTTGGCTTATGTTATTCCTTAGAATGGTCTCCGTAATTAAATTCCTATTCCTCCTTGAAGAGGAGTTTAAATGTCACTGCCCTTCATGAAGCCACTCTGGATTTACTGTCAGATGTAATTTCTCCCTCTTCTGAAACTACATAGCACTGTTTTCAAATTTTTTAAATTATATTTATCAGTACACACACAGTAAATTCTAAATCATTCTTATATTTCCCTCAGGGCCCAGCATGGTACTTAGCACATAGGAAACATCTAATAAATGCCTTTTAGATATATTTGAAGACTAGTTTGGGAAGTCTGAAATAGGTAGCTGCAGTTTATACAAAAGGATTTGCCTTACAAAAATACACAAGCCTGAAGACATTTGTCCTGCTGTCTGTCTGACTACATCAGGATTACATGATTTGAGTTTGGGGGGGACCAAGAACATGGAAAAAATGCAAATCCATAACATGTGTTTACAATAGAATATTTCAAAGTCACCCTCTATCTAGTTGTATTGGGAAACTCAGCACTATAGGGTAGAAATCTTTGCCATAAATCTAAATACCTAGAGAGAACAGGGTCTAAGTATTCTCAAAGTAGGTTAGCTCAGCTGACATTGCAATCTTGTTACATCCTTGAAAAAAATGGAGGAAACTTTAGGAAAAAAAATAGAAATAATACATTACATAATGAAAGTACAGACTTGATTATTTTTAAAACCCTGGAATTAAAAGAAAATTGGCTAAAAATGAGTTCTAGGGACATATTTTGCAAAACCGTATTAGTTTTTTTACAAATGCATACAGAAACTGACCTCTTGTATACTGATGAAATATGATGATTAAAATGAATAAAAATTCATTTCACATGAAGGATATTTGTTTACAGAGCTCACTAAGTCCAATATGATAGAGGTATAATCATCTAGAAATTAATGAATGTCTAAAGAAACAAAAAATGCTTGTGGTACTTTGAATCCAGGGTTTAAAAAAAATTCTTGCCATTTACTATCTACAATACAAAATTTTAATTACTTGTTCTCATTATGCATCATCATGGTATGGAAGTGATTGCGGATTTTCTACATCTTAATAATTAAAAAGGCTTAGAATACAAGTCTGACAAACCATAGGTCTGGTTTTTGAGGACCAGTCTAGCTAAATGTGGAAAGGCTCAGTGACCAGCAGTTAGTAAATTTATTTAACCACAGCAACACATGAAGATCATCTCCTACAATATATACAAGGGGTGCAATCTGTGTTGGAGAAGACAGTATTCACAGTGACGGAATCACAGACCTTTTGGTGCACCGAAGAAAAGGTCTCATGGTTACTTGATATGTAGAGATAATGATAGGGATTGCACTTGATTTAATTGGTATGGGGAAGCCCTGGGTGAGGATGCCTTCTCTGCAATTCATAGTTGCTGAGAACACCAAAAGATTAAGTGACTTTTACAGGGTCATCAAGTCAGTGTATGTGAGAGGTGGGTCTTGAACCCTGGTTTTTCTGGCTTTGAGGCCAAACCCTTCATTTAAATGGATCCACTTCCACTTTGTCAGGATGTGAGAGCAGAAGTCTGTGACAATTTGGTCAGTGATACTGAGTCATATAGTTATGGCAAACTTACAATATTTATGCAATAGCCTCAATGTTATTGATATGGTTTCTTTCATATCATGGGAATAAAATATTAAAAGAGTTGCCTTCTCTCAGAATAGCTCTCAAAATGTTCTTTCAATTCCACTTTTAACTTTATAATTTCTCATTACATATAATGCTAAATAGTTAAAGAGTTTTGAAAGTACATTAAGATTTTTTGTAAGAGTACTTGAGGTACTGTATATGATATGTCTATGTGTATGATATACTCATATGTAAGCATACATGTTAGGTGGTGCAGTAGATAGAGCACTAGACCTCAAGTCAGAAAAATGAGTTCAAATCTAGCCTCAGACACTTACTAGCTGTGTGACACTGGGCAGGTCACTTAATTGCACTATGCCTCATTTTCTGCATTTGTAAAATGGGGCTAATAATAGTACCTACCTCCCCAGAGTTGTAAGTGAAGATCACATGAGATAATATTTGTAAAATGTTTTACTAACCTTAAACCCCAATATAAGTGCTAGCTTGTGTGTGTGTGTGTGTGTGTGTGTGTGTGTGTGTGTGTGTGTGTGTGTGTGTGATATAAGCAAGGGAACATGGAGGAAGATCAACTTGAAGATGCACTATATAGAAGCAAAATTCAAATAAAGAAACATTTTCAACATATACTTCTAATACCTATATGATTTACAGAAGCACTCACTTCTTCACTGATAAATTTCCACTCTTGTTTCAGCTCTTCACAGTACAATTCCCATTCTTTAGCATTCTCAAGCAAAGTCAGCCATCTCTCCCACAGGGCTGACACAATTTTGAGCAGACATATGCTGTCATTTTCTGTACACATAAGTCTCAAACATCTGAAGTCTTGTCGTAGCTTCATTAGTTCTTCCTGAGTTGAAACAAGATGTGCTACAAAATTCTTTAAAAAAAAAAAGCAGATATTGGTGACATTCCCCCTCTTAAATTTATAAAGTCAATATTGAAAGCAAATTGGAATACAATTAAAAACTTAAATTTTAAACATTTCCTATACATTATAGGATCAATTACATTGTCCTTTTAAAGCTCCATCTTTCAATAAAAATTAAAGAATAATTTCTGAGATAAAGGAAAAGGACTGAGCCCTCAAATTCAATTTTTGTAATTCAGGAGTCTCTATGTCTAATGATGGATGCCTAGTTGAATAGGGCAAGGCACTGGAGTTGGGGATGGAAAGGGATCAAATAGGAATCTAAAGAGCACAAACTCAAAATCCAGGCAAGGTTGTAGTAGAGGCTTTTCCTGAGCAGTGAAGAAAGCCCAGGGATTGAGACAGATATGGGCAGCCAGTTGTAGGAATGAAGATTCAAGTCAGGAACTCAGGACCGTATCAGGAGGCAAGAGGTAGGAAGTGTTGACAGACTAACTCAACCTCTCTCTCCCTGAATCATCAGCTTTTTACTGAGCCTGTATATATTCCTTTCTGCCTCCCTTTCCCCCAATTAATATGTCAGTGTCATGACTTCCTGAAACTTCTGTGCCCCTTTCCTGATGCAGTTACACTATTAAGGCTGTGGACTTTTGCATCTCAAAATATTTAAATTTAAATTTAAAATATTGAAGATGTTATTTAAATAGTATTTATTATGTTATTTGGGGCAAAAGGGGAGAATTAATAAGATATGACAGTTTGTATTAATGATAATTTTCCAAGGAGAAGCTAATCACGTGAGCATATTTTAACAGACTGGTTTGTTTTACATTTTGTGGAGTGGCCAATCTCCATCCTATGTGCTACACTGGTCACTAAGGCTGCATTTGCATTTTTATGACTCTAGAAGAGAAGATTTGGTGTCTTTTCATTTGTATTCTAATACCACCTACATCACCATATTAGGTCTAACTTATGAAAAATTCTACAACTGTTCAGAAAACTAAAAAACATTTTCAATAAAATCCTGAAGAAGACAACATACACATACATATACTATATGCTATATATATGCTATATGTTTACTATACGTATGAATACATTATATATACAGAAAATAATTCAACATGACTAAGAAAAGGATACAAGGATAATTTATAGGAAAATTATAATTAACCATATTAAAAAACCTACATAATTATTTCAATAAAGGAAAAACCTTCAAGAAAATAAAATATTAATGCATGTTAAAAAGCACAGACACAAGAGGACCTGTCTTCAATATTATCAAAACCATATATTTAAAAATAAGTTAGCATTGTTTACAGAGGAAGATTTTCTATTACAAATAGGAGTAAAACAAGAATACTCCTTCTGCTACTATTTGTCATTGTTCTAGAAATGCTACAGTAGTGAAAGCAATAAGAAAAGAGAACAAAATCAAAGGTATAAGTACTGACAAAGAAAAGACAAACTTGTTTCTATTTACAATTGACACTGACATTGAGAAAATTGGGACAATGATTGCAGTAGAATAGCATGATACAAAATAAATACACAAAAATAATCAATATTTCTGTGCAGTACTACCAAAACCCAGGAAAATGATAATAAGAGAAATCACATTTAAAATAATAACAACATGCATAAAGTACAAAGGCACCGACAAGATTCCTATAAATACAGCTGTAAATTACTGTTTGCAGAACTAATGGGAGACAAAAAATTGTAGAGTTGACGACAGGTCATTGTCAGGGTATTCCAATGTAATATTTTTTTTAAAAAAATGATACTACTTAAAAGAAGTTATACATTTAGTACTATGCCAGTTCAATTACCTATAGGACATCATAGAAAAAACAAAACAACAACTAATTGATTTAGAAGAATGAAAGGTCTCTCAAGGTACATCAATTCTAGGGTACAAGTGAAGAAGGGAGAGCCCTGCTAATTCAACACAGGTTTATTAAGCATTACTTTGTGTCAGCCATTGTGCTAAGGCTGGTCTTAAAACAACAAAGTGAAACAGTTCCTACCCTCAAGGAACTTACATTCTATTTGGAAGAAATAACTTGGGTATGAATAAGTGCATAATTTCATAAAAGTTATTTCTGAGGGACCAATATTAAAGGCATTTTGTTAACAATGGACCAGGTATTCTAAAAGGTATTATGTAAGAAAGAAAAGAGTGGAGTAGAGAAATGGCTAATCTACTCAAAATTATATTATAAAGCAATAATCATCACACCTATTTAATACTGGCTAAAATATAGAAAAGTAGATAAATATAATAGACAAATAGTAGTATAACAGTTTATAGTATATAATAGCATAATATAATAAAGTAGATAAATAAAATATAGAAAAGTAGGCTAGGTAAGCAAGAAATAGAGGCAATATAAAATAATAGTCTAGTGTTTTATAAACCCCCAATCATAAATTAGTAGGGGAAGGACTGCCTCTTTTTTTTTTCATAAGAACTGATGGAGAAACTGGAAACCAGTTTGAAAAAATTAGAATTAGACTAACATCTTATATCATATACCACAAATTCAAAATAGTACACAATCTGACTATGAAAAATTTTGTTATTTAAAAAATGAAGCTAATGAGATCAGGTGCCTTTCACAACTATGGGTAGGTGACTTGAATGAATAAGTATTAGATATCATAAAAGAAGAAGTAGATAAATGTGATTATATAAAATTTAAAAAAATTTTTGCATTAACAAAATCAATGGGAAGAATAAGAAAAGAAACTATAGAATATGGAGACTATTTGTATCAAATTTATCTAATTAAGGTCTGATATCCAAGATATGCCATATATTGATAAAAATACATTCACCTAGCCTAGACTCTGATATACAGGCACACTAGATACTTCAGAATCCAACATACCTTGCTCTGTTCCAAGCGTTCCAAAGCTTCTCTGTAAGACGTTGGCTTTTGAGAAATGGATTGCTGAAGTCCCTTTTCCACTTTGTTCAAGTTGGCACAAATTTTTTGTTTGATATTATTGTAGCTTTCAAAGCTCTTTAGGCCCCTAAACATACAGAGTTGTTAAAGAAAATGAATTCATTGGGGAAAAAAAAGAAATTATTTGTGATGTTTAGTCGTCAAAAACTTAACAATTTAAGTCTTCTCTAAGAGTTATGGGACCTGTTCCACAGCCTTCGAGGAAGTATGTTTCCCAATGACAATAATCGTTTTATGTGATAAGAATCCCTTGTTTCCTCACCCCACTCAGTTCTAACAATGAAGTTAAATACTCCGGTATACACAAATTTCAAACACACGTCTTGGTTTGTCACAGATATAGTTGAGCTCTAAGCTCCAGCTCTAAAATTCTATAGTTCTGTGATCCTATTTTTAGCCATACTGAAGCTATGACTTATTATACTTTATTTCTATAATTTTTTGTTTCTCATTATTAAACATATGTGTACATATATATACATACATACATACATACATACATATGCTTACATATATATTTAGTTAGTTCCGGAAACACTGTGTTCATATTGCTATAGAGTAAGCTAACAAACATCAATCATTCTGCCATTTCCAACAAGCATTTATTAAATGTCAATCAAGTATAGAGGATATAAAGGAAAAAGATGAAATAATCCCTGCCTTCAAGAAGCTTGCATTCAATTGGGGGAGGGGAGAACAACATGTACATGGATAAGCGCATTTTTAAGGTTATGTAAAATAAATACAGAATCTTTTCTGGGAGGGCAATAGCTGGGGGGAATTGAGATAGACCTTGATAGTGAACGATACATTAAGCTGAGCCTTGGAGGAATTACGGATTCAGGTAGGGAAGAGCATTCCAGGCATGGCAGATGCTTGTTCAAAGGAACAGAGACAAGAAATGGACTGTCATGTAGGAAGAGCATTAAGTAACCCATCCTGGCTGGAACATATATATGTGAAAGGGAGTAATGTGCTATAGAGGCAGCTAGGTGGCTCAGTAAACAGAACACTGGGCTTGGAAACAGGAAGACTCATCTTCCTAAATCCAAATGCACCCTCAGACACTTAGTAGTTGTGTGACCCTGGGCAAGTCACTTAACCCCATTTTCCTCAGTTCCTCATCTATAAAATGAGCTGGAAAAGGAAATGGCAAACCACTCCAGTATCTTTGCCAAGAGAACCCTAAAATGGGGTCATTAAGAGTGAGACACGACTGAAACGGCTGAACATCAGCAATGTGTCATAAAGCTGGTTCGGTAGGTTGGAGCCGAATTGTGAAGAAATTGGTATATCAAAGAGAAAAGTTATGAAGCCCACTGGGGTTCAAAAGCCCAAAGCTTTTGGATTGGGAAGGATTACATCATCTGAAGGGTACTGGCATATAAATGAGGTGAAAATAAAAGAGATGAAGCATTTTTACATGGTAGAGTGGTTCATAAAAGCTCAATATATTTACATAGTGTTTTCCATATAGAATTAAAGGATTCAGAACTGGAAGACTTTAGATCACATAGTCCGAGGCAGAGGTGATGGCTCATGGGCCGCACGTGGCCCATAACACTTCCCAGTGTAGCCCAAACTAGATTAAAATAGACTAGGGAAATATTTGTCAAGATAAACAAAAATACAATTATAAATAGATAATGTTAATATGTAGTTTTCTAAGTCAATATGTGGCCCACAGGGATCCTTATGTTTGGTTTTGTGGTCTCCATTTCTATTTAGTTTAATATCAGTAGTCTAAGGGTTTTTAATCTTTCTGATGTCATAGCACCCTCTGGTGAAACCTATGGGCCCTTTCTCAGAATAATGTTTAAATTCATAAAATATAATACATAGGATTTGCAAAAGAGGCCAATTATATTTAAATCATTATTGAAAAGTTTTTGAGTTTAAAAAAAAGTTTGAAAAATATATTTTCAGTTTACAGATGCCAAGTTAAGAGCCCCTGATCTAGATAAATCCCATTATTTTGCAAATGTAGAACCTAAGATTCATAAAAGGGAATTTATTTAACAAAGGTCACACAGGTAGCAAGTAGCAGAACCAAGACTGGACCACAGGTCTGCTGACTCCAAATAAATAAATATTTTTGAATTAATAAATTTGTTGCAACAGAAATTTGACTGAAATAATTTTCTTTATTGCACTCAATCCTAAGACTTCTTCCCAACATGACCTCATGAGTTCTCTAATATTAACATTAAGTAGGATCAGTTTTGAGTTATAATAGTATCTCCCATTTTTATAGTACTTTACCACTTCAAAGCACTTTACATACATTCTCTCATTCAAGCTTCACAAAAATCCTGTGAGATAGTACAAGAGGAAACTGAGACTCAAGGAGCTTAGGTAATTTGCTCAAAGTTACAGAACTAGAGGGTGGCACAGTCGAGACGTGAATCCAGATTTTCTGGCTCCAAGCCCAGTGAGCTTTCTACCAGATCATGCTGAGTTGCCAAGAAAGAATGAAAGACTCATAAAAGGTCTGCCAAATGCTATACAGAAATGTGCATGCCATCACATTAAAGTGGCAAAGTTCAAGATATGCAAATAGTGGCAGTAGATACAGTTAGCATCTTAACTGGTAAGTATTTGATGCCAATAAAGTCAATTAGTATTTCTATTTTACTTAAAGGAACAGAAGGAAGTGATCAAGGATAGCATAATATAGTAGAAAAAGAAAGGGACTCAGAGTCACAGGACCTTGGGTCTAATCCTGGTTCTGCCAATTACCACCTATATGTGTCTGGGCAAGGCTTATTTAGGTCTTGCCTTGCTCACTTGGAGGCTTCTATTGCACTGTCAGGGCTTCTCCACCTGAAATATACCATCCTTCTAGTTCCCCAAGTTCCTCTTTATGTGTGGTCCTTCTCCTTTAGAATGTAAGGGCTTTAAAGTCAGAGACTGTCTTGCCAGCTTTTATTTTTAACTTAACATGGTACCTAACACATAATGAGTGCTTATGAAATGTTTTATCTATTAGGTCAAGTTAAGTGACTCAATTTCCACATCTGTAAAATAAAAGTTGGGCTGATGAGCTCTAAGATTCTTTCCAGTTATAAATCGATGATCTTTAAAATGATAAAAAAAAACCAATAATAATTAGTCTCCTTGAGAAAATACCACCTACCTCTCTAAGTCAGCTTTCTTTGTTTCAGTTGATTCCTTGACCAAGGAGTTAGTCTTGATAAGTTCACGCAATACATTCTCAAGCTGCACTCTGGCTTTGGGACTGGTTATGTTCTCCAGCTTTGAGGTAAGATTCTTTAGGTCCACTACCAAGGCCTCAAATTCCTCTTGTTTCCCGTCAGTCAACTGTTGAAATTTCCCTAGATTATCAAGATCTATTTTACGTGAATCAACAGTGGCTTCAAAGGAATTAATGATCCCAACTGCTCTTGTGACTGCTTCATTGTAATGTTTCATGTCCTTCAAGGCTTCATCAAGGATATTCTACAAGGTACAACAAATCATATGATAAAAATAAAAATTATAAAACATCTTAGATCTGAATGGTAAATAGATATTAATGCTAAAAGCAAGACTTACCACAGTATATACAACATACCAAAAATAAGATCTTTCCTTTCTCTGCCAAATCCAACCTGTCACATTACATTGCATTGATAGAGCACTGTATGGCTTATACATTTCTTTTATACCCACTATCTCATTTATTACTCTCCCATTTTTGAAGGTAAGAAAAACAGAGTTCTCAGAGGGTTGTTTGCCCAATATCACAAAGCTAGTACATAGCACAGCTAAGACATTACCCGGTACTAAACATTCTACTATACTTTTCATGACCGTCCCTTAGCTTACAAATTACATGCTGCATTTCTAATAATATGGGCCAGCTAGGTGGTGCAGTGCATAGAGTGCCAGGACTAGAGACAGGAAAATTTATCTTCCTGAGTTCAAAATCTGGCCTTGGACATTTACTAGCTAAACTGATCCTGTGCAAGTCACTTAACCCTGTTTGCCTCAGTTTCCTCATCTGTAAAATGATCTGGAGAAGAAAATGGCAAACCGTTCCAGTATCTCTTTTTATCTTTGCCAAAAAAACTCCAAATAGGATCACAAAGTCAGACATGACTGAAAATAATTGAACAACAATTGAAATTTCTAAAAAAGTTCAGCAAGAATAATATTTTATAGAATTTGTGAAAGTTATTTGTACAATAATGGACAGTTCAAAAAAAATCTCAGTGTTTCTAAAAACAAAATTTCCAGCATAGAATGTGATTTGGTCACCTAACATGTACATTAAAATAATCTGGTGGGTGTTTTTAGTATTTTCCATATTGGATTGAGTAATGGATTTATGAACTTGGGTAAAGTTTCTTCATTTATACATACATCTCTTTTAAAAAAAATAATTCAACTTAAAAATAAAGCAATAATAATAATAAAATATTAAATTTATATTTATATATGATATAATTAATTTTTATTATATATAATTAATTAATCAATATATAATTAATATATTTATATATTACATAAAATAATAAATTTAATAATAAAATATTAAAATTAATCCAATAATTCAACAAATATGTATTTGGCAACTATATAATGCATTTGCCTGGAATGCCCTCTTTACTTTCCTTCCTCTGATAACATCCTTTTTTCCTACGGATGAACACTCTCCAAGACCCACCCCAAATTCAAGCTATCTCATGAAGCCTTCCCCAAATTCCTCAGCTGAAACTGATTTGCCATACCTCTAATCTCATAATATTTTATCTAACCTTTTCTACTTACCATAGTCTAAATGATATGTGTATCTGGATATATGTATTATGATATAGAAGTCAATACACTAGAAAGAGCACTAGATAGATGGTCAGGTGGTGCTCTTTCTGATGCTGGTGGGCATCATCTTTTCTTACTCTACACCCTGATGTTCATGATCCCTATCAGAACAGGTGTAGGACCAATGTAGATTATTTGTTTTGCCAGGATAAAGTTGGAAATCACATTTCTGGATCAACTAGTTGAAGAATTGTAATTAAATTAATATAAAATCCAGCCTAGTGAGGTTTAAATAGGAGGAAGAAGGGGATGTTGTTTTTCAGTTCTGTCTAATTCTTCACGACCCCATGGACCATGCTGTCCATGGGGCTGTCTTGGCAAAGATAATGGAGTGGCTTGCCACTTCCTTCTCTGATGTATTAAGTCAAACAGGTTAAGTGACTTGCCAAGAGTCACAGAGCTAGGAAGTGTCTGAGGCTGGATTTGTACCCAGGTCTTTCCTGACTCCAGGCCCATGCTCATCCACTGAACCACCTAGTTGCCCTAGGGAGGAGGTGGTGGTGGTGGTGGTGGTGGTGGTGATGGCGCTATCCTAACCCAATTTATTGGCCTTCCTTTAGCCATTGTAGCTTTTCTTCATATATAAGGGAGGTCAACCTTCCTAAAAGGCAAAACAAAGAACTATAACCACCAAACTAGACCTAATGAATTGTAAACAGATGCATCAAAATCTTATGGAGAAATATACCTTGCGTAAAGCAATGCCTGCATTAAATTGCTTTTGAAGATCTTCAAATTCATTCAGCTTTGTTTCCAAATCCCTGGTTTCATGAGGGTTATCTTCTTGCCTTGGATATTCTTTGATGGTTATAGCTTTGATATGACAAAGCTCAGCCATAACTCTTTGTTGAAGAACTTCACAATTATCCTTTTCTTCTTGAATATGTTTTATTTCCAACTCCACCTGTAATGGCTGTTGCAACTGAAAATTAGCCTGTGTTAGAATATGCAACGCGTGTTCCAATTGGTCTTTGAAATCCTTTCCACTGACAGATCGGGGTTGGAAATTTTCAACCACATTTCGAAGAGATTTGTGCAGCTTGTCATTTTCTTCTGCAAGGAGTTTTATTTGTGGTATCTTTTGTTTGAAAGATTCCTTAAAGGTTTCATTGGCATTTAAGAGATCTATTGTCTCTTGGCACAAATGTGTAGCTTTTTCAACCCTTTGACTCAAAATCTGGGCACTAAGTAGACTACTTTCTGGAGGAAAATTGGGGTCATTTACTATTTCAGCAGTTTCTTTCTTAATTTGCAAAGTTATCATTTTCAGTTCATTTAGTGAGGTCTGAAGTCTTTCATTTTCTGCAACAACTCTCTCTAATTGTTCGGCCTTTTCCTGAAGTTCTGTTTTTATTTTAAGTAACTCTGCCTGTACTTTGTCAAGTTGTGAACTGTCCCAGTTGAGTCCAAGGCATTCACATATTTCTTTGTGTTTCATTAATTGCAAAACATTGGACTGAAGAAGAGAGGTTCTTTCTTTGAGCTCACAGATTTCTTCTTTAGTTCCCTGATTCACTTCCCCATTCAGTAGAAGTTCATGATTATGTATCTCGTCTAACTCTTGTTGTAACGTATTTGTTTTTTCTAAGAGTTCAGTGTCGACATCTAGTTTTTTTCTGACTTCATGACATTTATTCCGAACTAATCTTTGTATCCTCCTGGCTTTATTCTTAAGGTTTCTTAACTGATCATCAAGAAATACTCGTTCAAATACATTTAAGCACTTAGAGAAGTCTGTGGCCTCCTGGAGATAGGTTGAGATGACCCCCTCGGTCATCTGTAGTTCCTTTTGAGAATCTTTCAAAGTAACAAGCTGATGGTCCAGGTCCTCCTTTGAGAAGGTTGTTTTGGTCTCAGGGGCAATCAATACTTCCTTTCCTTGGAGAGAATGCTGCACTTTTCCCATTTTCTCAAAAAATGCCTTTCTCTCTTCCAGTTTGGACTCTAATTGCTGAGACATTTCAGTGCATTTTGAAACAAGTGCCTGGTTCAAGCTTTGCAATTCCTGTGAAAAAGTATTTAAGTCAGTAGCTTCACATTGGTTCAGATCAGGAATGATAACTTTAGTTTCCTCAACCAAAGACTCTATAATTGGCTGCTTATCCAGAACCACATCGTGCACAGACTTGTGTTTTCTGATCTGTGACACAATATTATCTGGAAGGAGAGCAGCAGTCTGCTCCAGGCCAACTAATAAATTATTAACCCACAGAACAGCTTCTTGAATCTTTTTCATGGTCGGGCAACTTTTCAACTGACTGTCCTTTTCTTCTGTTGATAGCTCCAGTGCTTCTAGCTGCTCTTGTAAATTATTTATTGCATTTTCCAATGTCTTCTTTTCTTTCTTTCCCCAAATTCTTTTCATCTGATGCTCGGCTCTCCCTTTTAAAAGTGAAAAGTTATCCTTAGTGACCTGAAGCTTTGTGGCTAAGGACACTGGGCCTTTATTTTCCCCTTGCTCTGATGGAGAGTTCAACTTTTGCTGCTGCTGCTGCTCTTGCAGTGAATTCTCCATGTCCCGGATCTTCCCCATCAGGCACTGAAGTTCATCCCATTCAGCGCCTTGTTGAGAATATTTCTTTTGAATCCACTGTTCCACCTGTTCCCAACAAAGCTCAAGTTGCTTAACTTGGCTTTCTGCTAACTTCTTGTCCATGTCACTTAGCTGACTCAATAAGTTTGCCTGTTCCTCTTTAAATTTGTTTAAGGAATCTTTTTCTTTATGTACTGACTCCAAGCATTTTTCTAATTTCTTCAGATGTTGTATGCTCTCCAGAGAGGCACTGCCAAAAAAAAAAACACAACAAAATATGATTGGGGTCATTAACAATGATTGTACAACCAAGGAGTATAAGGGGCTACACGAGCATGCAGCTCCTCTCTTCCAGTTGGCTAGCCCCTTAATTCTATTCCCAAAGATTGTCAAATAAAAGGTGGTGGATGTAAATAGTGTAATTCAACACTAACTTGATTTTTATTCAATAAAACTCTTTTTTCAGTTGATTTGTGTGAAGGACATATATACAATGCTGCAAACTCATTGAGTCTTATTTTCCTCATGCCATGTCATTCCCTGAAGTTAAAGGTTAGATGAGTCTCTCTTTCAGAACACCAGGGGAAGCTATTATTACCATGCAAAGGGACTTAAAAGCACAAATTTTGTCTCTCTCTGTTCCTCTCTCCTGCCAATCTGCTTCCAAAGAATAGTGGAGGTCACTTTCCCCACAAAACTTTCAGCAGAAACTACTGTACATACAGAATAACTATTCAAACACAGAAACTTTCCAAAGTACTAAAGGATGGGTTTGTATTAAAAAGGAAACCTATTCTGTGCTCTTGAACTTACACTTTTGTGCTTTCTTTTTCCATTGATAATGCTTTCATTGATGATTTGACAGACAAGAGGTGTTCCTGGAAATCTTTGATAAGACAGTATTGTCTTTCCTTAACCTCCTTCAAGGTAACCAGTGCCTGAAGCAGTCTGTCCAACTGGTCTACTGAATGTTGTACATTTTGGACATCCAGAGTGCTGATTTCTGTGTTACTGGGCAATATGATGGACTCCCGAGATCCAGTGTTGGTTTTCTTTGCTTGCAATTGCCCATACAACACCTAGTTTCAAATCAAGCAAACAAAAGGAAATAAAGACACTCCTCATCGAAACATATGGGCAGACTGGCAAATACACACTCACGTTGTCTGAGAGGCTGCAGATGTTTTCTAGGTGTTATTTCCTTAATTCGTTATTCACACATAGCACAGCTGAGGCACTGGGCAGTTTAAATGGTTTATCTTTTGTGAGAAGAACCTACACTCGATTGCTGGCATAATGTTGAATTTTCAATTCAAGAAGGAAAAATTATTAATTGCCTACTTATGTGCTAGCTACTAGGCTTAGGTGCTTGGCATACAAAGGAGAAACAAAGCAGTTTCTGCCCTCAAGGAAGTCATACTCTGTTATTCTTTTTGCATTCTATTATTATTCTTGCTTGCCAACAGATTGCTTAAACAAGGATCTCTTCTGCTTTTACTAGCCTGAACATAAACTTTCCTGCTTTTTCTCTCATATATATTCACAATTAAGTACGCCTTGTTCAAATGTCAGCATTATTCACTTTCACTTGATTAAATAGTGACAACAACCCAGTAGAGGCTTACACAATACCTTATAGAACTATAAAGAAAGTAAAACAGGGACTAAGAACCTAGTCCTGCTTACAATTAAGTGGCATAAATGGTATTTTTCAAGACCAAAAAAAAAATTACACAGGAAAAAGGAATGATACAGGTCAGTATACCTGAGCTTTGTCATCAAATGAGTCTGTTTTTAGTTTTTTACTGAAAGAAGAAGCCACCTGATATTCATTAGCAGTACCCTTCTTTTAAAAAAAAATGGGCAGATTTACATGACGTTCTGATTTGTGCCTAATTATATATTTACAAAATAGATTATCAGGCAAAGGTTAAATAAGACTTTTCACTTTATGCAAGTATTTTGGATGATTACCATATATTGTATTGTACAAGATAAACGATGCAATCATGTAGTCAGTGTTCTTCATATTTCCATACCTCTATCTCCTTTAATTGTTCATTTGCTGAAATAATATCCAATTCTAAAGGTTGATTTTGCAGCTCATTGACTCTCTGCTCATCTTCAATGTTTTTCATGCTTTCTTGAGCTTCAGGAAAAAGTTGTTTTGACAAAAGCACTTCTATACCTGAATTCTGAAAACATAAAAAAGATAAATCATTCAGTGTTCTACATCTAAAATGCAACACTGATTTTTATTAAAATATTCAACTATGCTTATTTTATTATTTGAATGGTAACAACAGAATAAAGAAAACTGGGTGTTTAAGTAGTTAGTGCAGATTACTCCCTGAGCCACATTTATTACAGCATTCTCTACCCCAGTGTTCACCAAAGAACTGCTGATTGACATTCTAGAAAATATACCAATTCTTTCTGATAAGACTGTATAGGGTATAGCAGGCAGGGATCATATCTTTTTATCTATTTCTCCTGGTATCGACCTATCACAAGTGCTTTGTACATAGGTGTTTAAATGCTTTGAGAATTGATTAGTTTAACAATATACTAGGAAGAAACACTTTTAAGGGAAAACAAGTTTTATAGAAGAGAAAAAAATTAACGATGTACAACTAACATATACTGCAACAGTCCATAGTATTTTGCAAACAGAAGAATTGTAATAAAATGTAATAAGATGTACAAATGAATCAATGTAGCACTTTGACTTTATGTCACAAGGAATGAAAACTTCTGTCATTAACCATTCAGCAGCAAGAATTCAGGGAAGGGTAAGGGAAATGATGCATGGTTCTGAAGCAACAAGTTTTAATTAGATTACATTAAATTTTCATAGAAGTTTTAATTAAGAGGAATTGTTCCTGTATGCTTATTTTATGGTGTAACTTACTCAACTAAGAGACAGTGTACTGTAGTGGATGAAGATCTGGCCTTGGAGTCAGAAGAACTTGGGTACAAGTCCCAGCTCTGACATATATTGATACTCCACTTTGCATCTGCTGCCCTGCCTGGTTTCAACTCCGTGGAATAAGAAGTTCCCCCAGGATAAGCTCATCACTTATAAACTCAAAATCATGGCTAACTCAAGCCTTGATCTTTACCACCTCCTTCAGTCTCCTCTCCCCTCTGATTGGAGGGCTGGAGGGCAGAGTACCAAACTCCTCCCAATGCCTTCCTTTGCAGAGGTTAGAAACTGGATTCAACTCACTCTACTTTATATCTGCTGCCCCGTCTGGTTTCAGGAACAACATGATCTGGCATTGGGTACCCCCTGGCATCACATTCCATCATCACCCTTTTCCTGCCTCCTTTTGTGTGCTATCTCCTCCTTCAGATTATACATTCCTTGAGAGCATATACCTTCTGTCTTCTTATTAGTTGTATCCCCACACTTAGCACAGCGCCTGACACATAGTAGGAGCTTAATAAATGTTTATTGGATTGGATTGTTTGACCCTGGGCAAGTCACTTAAACTCTCTCAGTGCTCTAATCAACTCTTTAAGGTTATAAGTTGCAGAGAATATCTCAACTGGCATTGACAGAGGGAATTTCCTTATTGATCCAGTCGTTATCCCTAAGTTATTTCACTAAAGGATTTAGGTTAGTTTTTATGTCCAAACTACTTCATTAAGTGGGCACCATTACGAAAACACCCAATTTTAAGTTTTGCTTTTACTTTTTTTTTTAAACAAGTACAAAACCTATCAAGGCTCACTCTTATCTTTTCCCAAACCTGAGAATAAAACTTATCTCCAAGAAAGAAGCTAGTTCTTGTGCCACATAATTAGTGCTGGTTAAATAATTATAACAGGCACGGAAATTAGGCTTTATAATATATGTTTCTCTAAAAAAAAAGTGTCATATGGAATTCACAACTAAATGTTTATCAATAGGACCATCCCTGGGAAAAAGCAAATTGTACAGTATGCTGCTTCACCATTCCACTTTTATTTGAGTAACATCAAATTAAGATTACTATCAAGGCCAACCTTCAAGGAATAAATATTATACAAAGCTATGTGGAGAGGGTAGAGAGGGACAGTCCCACTTGGTTTTAACTTGATGATGTTGTGGGAGGTTTAGATATGAGTCTCAGCTCATTTCATTTAGTGCCAGCTAGTATCTGCTTGCTACCTCACAGAGTTATAGCCTAATTGTGACACTTCCCTCATGTTCCCCCTACCTCAATCCCCATAGATCATTGGTAAGTGCCTCAATTTGTCTTAATCTAGAAATGGTTCTTATTGTCCCTCTGATACCTGTTTGAAACAATCCAGTATCTGGTACATATACCAATCTATAATCATCTATTAAGCAACCACTACATGCCAGGCACTATGCCACGCACTATTTGGGAAAAAAAAGAATAAGAGGCAAAAGATAGTCCCTGCCCTCAAGGAGCTCACAACCTGGTGGTGGAGACAACACGCAAACAAATATTTACAAACAAGCTATATATAGGATAAATACATGACCCATATAGCCGTTGTCAGTTATACAGAACACCTTCAAAATTAAGACCAATTATAATTTCTAATCACAGTAAGTCAATTCATTATGCAAGTACATTTTTAGTCACACATATGCACATGTATATATACATACACACACACACACACACACACACACACACACACACATATATCATACTAGCTACAAGATGCAATTTAAAAAAAATTGTCATTAGTTGCCTCCCTTCCAAAAGTTGTATTTCTGATTTTCCAGAAATATCTATCATGTTGTCTCATGAACCTTTAAAATAAAACAACAGTCTTTTGGTTTTGCTCTTTTTGCTTTTGATTGATTGATACATGTGAAATTTCTTTAACTTTCACCACTCTGAAAAGTTTTGACACCTTTGGGGCTGACACAGATATTTTCCCTTGCACTTGTACCTCTCCGCGCCCACAATATTTTGTATAGCAAATATTTTCCAGGCACCTTCCAAAATACATTATTCTCTGAGCTTCCAAACTAACTAAACTGCTTTTTAAAATAAATGATTAACATGCTTGTCAATGCTTTTGTCAGTTTAGAATAATAGGCCCCCATGCTATCCTGACTCTTTTTAAGTTCTTAATAAGTATTTTATTAAAATTACATTTTTTCCTCCTACCAGAAATAAAATATATCCAACAAAAGAAATCAAATGTTCAGAGTTTTCTTTTTTCTTTTTCTCTAGCTATATTATACTGGCATTTTCACCAATTTAGATCCCAACATTAGTCTCCATCTTAAGAGACTCTTAGGAGCTATAGAATTGAAATATATGAAAAAGTCAATAAGCTATTAAAGAATAAGCAAGAAAATAACCCAATCTTGTGGAATGTAAATCACAGTAGGGGAAAAAAAGGAAAACCAGCCAGATGAGTTCTTTCTGTCTTCTTTTCATGGTCAAGTGGGACTTCAAAACCAACATATACTTACTACCTCTATCTCTGTAAATCGATCAAGAAGAGCTAAGAAGCATTTCACAGTAAATAAAATGAAAAATAATTTTGTACTAGAATAAAATCTTTACTGATATTTGGAATGTTTTGACCAATAGTCATCATTTTTCTGGGTAGGAATATCTTCTGTAGGCCCATACAGAAATATTTGATAATAAATATTAGGATTATAAATTGGAAAAGTTTTTAGAGGGGTGGAGAAAGAAATAAAAATTTCTTAAGTACCTGCTACTTAATACATTGTACCTACTGCAGCAGGCATTGTGCTAAGCACTTTATAAATATTATCTTATTTTATTCTTACAACAACCCTGGGAGGTAGGTGCTAGTATGATCCCCATTTTACAGCTGAAGACACTGGGGCAGATAGAGGTTAAGAGTCACATAGCTAGTAAATGTCTGAGGCCAAATAATTTGAACTCAGGTCTTTCTGACTCTAGGCTCATGCTCTATTCTTTATACCATCTAGCTATCTAGAGATAATCTCGTCCAATCCTCTCATTTTACAGGTGAAAAAAACTGAGGTTCAAATTGTCAAAATGGCTTATTCCACAGTACTCCAAATACTCAACTCCAAATCCAATGTTCCTTTCATTAAGTTATGCTGCTCAAAAGTTGGAGTCCTTAGTTTATAACCCAATATTTTAGATCTCTATTTTTTTTAATGTCAAAGTGTCCTGAGATTTTCACTGAAAGGCAATGATCAAATGATTGTGACTCTTACTGTTGTACCACAGCAACTGTTATAAACATAGTGAAATAAATGGCAGAAGAAGATCACCTGACTTTCTGTTAAAGAATTTTCATCAGATAAAACTCTATCATTATGTGTAACAGCTTCAGGCTCGGCTTCAACTAGTTTTTTTTCCCTTACTGAAAGGTCAGCATGCATGCATATTTCTGGCTTCCTGTGGGTTTTGTATGCATGTGTATGTATGTGCCTGTATGTGTGTACACTGTATATGCAAGTGTGTGCAAGTGCTTGAGTATATGCAAGTGTGTGCATGTATGAGTGTGTGTGTGTGTGTGTGTGTGTGTATGTGTGTGTGTGTGTTTTCCTCATAGAAAATTCCTTTCCTTGAAGTTTCTCAAAGAGATTGTAACTGGTTTTGAAATGCAACTACTTTTTTCAAGGCTTAAAACTCCCCTGAGCATTCTATAAATTAGTTTTTAGAAGCATAAAACTGAAAGCATATGCTTTGTACAGTCAAATACCAACCATAAGCTTTAAAAACAAAGAAAGGCAACTTTTACAACTACTTCTCTCATTAACTCTACCAAAGCACAGTTTAATTACATTATCAACTGGTGTTCCTCAGAAATTTTAATTTTCTTTAATGTTTTCACTACAGAATATGATTTAGCCATCTTATAAAAGGGTGGGAAGGGGGTCTCTTTTCCTATCAGCTCAGATTAGGGCCTTGGCTTTGTTTCCTGAAAGTTTCCTGCACACTACACCATTTATTCTGATGAAAGACAACACTTCCAGACTGCACACAGATAATCCAAAATGCAAGAAAATCTGTAATTCGCTATAATAATTGTTTAAGGTAAATTTCTTTCGCGACTTAAACCAATGCCTACTTGATTGAATTAGGATCCTGGTTTCATACTCATGCCTCCCCTTTTCATTTTTTCCCTCTTTACCCTCTCAAAAAGTTTTTAGATTTGGCAGTTACTTCTATGATCTAACAATGTGAAGGTCATTAATTACTTATGAACAGATTATTTGTACACACGAGGCCCAATCCAAGTCTAGTTCCAAGTCTAGGTGTGAATGATCTGTAGGACCCCTTTTTCCAAGGGTACATTGGAGCCAGTTGGCACTGGCTCATAAGAATACATTGTTAAAATTCCAATGTGTGGATCATTTATGCCTTAGAAATAGGCAAACGCTATGAATTGGGACTTGATTTATTGTTCAATTGATTTGTCTAAACTTAAGAAAGTGAGAAAGGAAATATTATTAATGCAGGTTAAACTTAAAAGTGTGTAGGGGATCCAGATGTTAAATATTTCCCAGCACACGCACGTTTCCTTCCTTTCTTTTCAGAAAACAGAGCTTCTCAAGTAGTTATTGGTTGGTATAAAGAACTGAATACTGGAATGGAAGTGAGGGAATCCAAGTTCAAGTCTCAGATCTGTGACTCAACATCTCTGGGCTTGTTTCCTAATCTAAAATTTATACTGGATTAAATAATTTCTAAGTTTCTTATGAACCCTAAAATGCTATGCCTTCATTATTTTAAGAACCTGGGGCAAAAATAAAAACTGCACCTATACCAACACTGTGTCAATGAATTAATACTATGCCATGACTTAGGTTTCTCAACTAAACTGCTTGCATCATTCATTTTGTACTTCACATCCTTTAACACAACACATAACTTTAGATGGGGAGGGGGGGAAGACATAAGTAAAGAGTCAGGAAGAAGAACAAAATGCAAATGTTTGAGCTACATGGCTGGGATTATGACCCAACTATTTCTTTTACCATCAAATGTATTTATAGAATTGCCAGTGCAGATGAAAGTACACTAGAAACACTTTTAGTTTACCTCAAAAATCGAAAGTGTTTTTCCAGTAACTGGTTCTCCTTGTTCTTCTAGCATAAAGCCCAGGAGTTGTTCCTTGCTACTCAACCACAGTTGGAAGTCTTGTATAATTCTCCTGTAGGTCTGATCATTTATGTCCATGGATTTTTCCAAGGATGCCACCTTAAACATCACAATTACAAATGTTCATAAAATTTGTTCAAAAGAATAAAAAAAGATTCAGACATTCTGACTGATAATTATACCCTATGACAAGGAAATTAAAGATGTAATTACACATAAAAGGCAAAAAAGCAATTATGCCATGTAAGTTGACATATGGGAAGGATAGGTCAAGAAAAATCACTCAAGAGATGCCAACTATAATTTTGCTCTATAATTTTTTTTTAAATAGTGGACCAGAAATGGAATATCTTGCCTCTATTTCCAACCTCTAATTCCTTTAAACTACCCTGCAGTGACAGAAAACAAGCAGTCCATGCTTTTCACTGCTTCACATTTTGAAGGTCTTTCATAGTGAGGAGGGAAGGATAGAAGGGCGTAGCTTTGGCAGCTTACTGGTATTAACAATTCCAGAGTTTATAGTTCCATATTCTTAGAAATCAGTCCGTATATACATTCTCAACCAGCAAAGGAATATGGCTGCCGCTTCCCCTTCTCAGACACTGTATTTCAGGATGCCCCTTTGTGATTTCTTTAAAGCTGCCTTTAATGCTTGGAAGGAAAAGGAGCAAAGAACAAGAAAAAAAAAAAGGAAATCTTCCACTGCCACACCCTCACAACTCATATCTTTAGAGTGGTCTTTAAACATGAAATTACTACAATGACTATGTTTCTGTCTTAAAGAGATTCTTAGGAGCTGTACAGTTCTAATGTCTATGGAATAATTTTTTAAATTATTGCTATCTTTTGTTTTTCACACCCATAATCATAATGCACTATCCATTCCATCTCTCCCTGCCACGGAGCTTTCCCTTCAAACAACGAAAAAGTTAAGCAAAATCAAACGTCACAATCACTGCAAGCACATTCCAGGGTGAATGTAAGTCACAAAATAATGACAACTGATAACATGACACAAAGGAAAAGAAACAATTCTAGGCCGTTAACTACTGAAATTATTTATAATAGTAATATAATATTCTAAATATTATGACAGTCAATATATTATGGTACAATACTGTACACACTGATTGGCAATCAAGTGCCAATATAAATGGCCAAGAAATGATGAATTAAATATCAAATTACTGTTTATTGTTGGTACCATATTAGTTTTAGATCTAACATTCTATTATGAGAGCTCTGGAGTGATGGAGTCATTTGTCTGTTATCTAAGAGCTAGTCTAAGTATAGAGTAACTCAGCATCAGAAGGTTAGTCATCAGAGGATTAATTTTTTTAAACACAAATACTTTTGAGAATGTAGATGAAGACTAATGCTTCTTCCTGAAGACTTGAGGGGGTAGGGTATGACAAGGAGTACTGTCCTTTAGCACAGACTTATTTTTTTTTTTGGCTCTGGTTGTCCCAAATAAAAGTGATTCCCATTGATCAATACAATAGCCTTCTTAGGAAAGATAAAATTGATTTGGCTTATCTGCTTGGAATCTATACTTACTGTTTTCCTGTGAGTAGGCATAGAGAAATAATAATTTTTGTCAGTGGAGTCAGTAACCATGGTGAAAAAAGTATGGCTCTATGGAAGTCGTAGTTTCAGATAAGTCAAATTTATGATCATAGTTGGATTACATTTTTAATGTGGTGTTTGCATACTTGACAGGCAATGTCTCATGGTGGATAAAGGGATGGTCATGGTCTTGGAGCCCAGAATACCTGGATTTATGTCCTGCCATTGACATATAATGGCTGTGTGACCTTAGGGAAGTCAAGTTTGCACATCTATAACATGAAGGAGTTGGACAAGATGACCTGCGAGGTTCCTTTTGGCTCAAAGTCCATCAGTTTCTCAGTTCCCTGGGCAATTCCCTAAAGTTATACTATGGACCAGTTACTGATCTGTAGAAGGTATTGAAAAACTAGGGATTCCTCAAATTGGTAGAATCACAGGTAGTCTGAACTGAATAAAATAAAATGTATTATACAGGGTGTCCCCAAAGTCTTAATGCAGTTTTCAGCTTTAATAGCTAGACTATTGTCTGAGGCAAGATTAGAAGCCAGGTCTTCCTAATGCCAATTCTACTGCTCTATTTACTAAGTCATGCTGCTCTTATTTATATTTTGCTATCAAAAGTACTTGGAGGGGTACATATCCTAAAATTTTATAAGCTGCTCAATACTGTCAATTCTAAAAATGTGATTCTGAATCAATGTTTATAAACATGAACACTGCATTATTGTTGTTTAGTTAATTAGACTAGTCCAACTTTTGGTGACCCCATGGACCCCAAGTGTCTATGGGATTTTCTTGTCAAAGATACTGGAGTGATTGCTGTTGTCTTTTATCAGGTAATCAGAGCTTAAGTGACTTGCCCAGGGTCACACAGTTAGGAAGTGTCTTAGGCTGAATTTGAATTCCGGTCATCCTGACTCCTGGCCTAGTGCTCAATCCAGTGAGACACCAGCTGCCTCTGAATACTGTATTACAAACACCTTTTTGGAAAGGTATAAAAATACTCACTTGGTCTTCAGTTTTTAGTGGCTCCTTTGTCTCCAGGTCTTCCAAAGACGCTTGGTCTGTCATTAGTTTTTCTTGGACAACATTTGGAATGATTGAGATTTGATTGTCCATCTGGTCATTCTTCAAATTATCTGCTGCAGATTCTTGCTGACTAAAAATCATGAAAATCAGGAAGGATGTTCATTTTATTACTTAGCCACAATTAAATTTAAGTTATTAAAAATTACAACTTTTTCAATTCTTAGAAAAATACATGCAAGTGGTATTTAGTCATAAGACTATTTAAAACTGTGATACAGAATATGCAAAATAACATTCCTCACAGTGACATATCTTGCTGAAGGCTATACCTTAAACAATCTTAAACTAATGTACAACAGTTATTTCTTTCATGGACACCAACTTTTCCTGGCTTCCAGAAGCTTCTTGGGTTTGACCACTCCTACAACTCCCATTAAATGCAGTCCATGAAAATATTTGAGAACATTTTAAAAAGAAAAACCTAAGGATTTTTTTGCACAAAATGTCAGAGCAAAAAAATTGTGGAGTAGCTAATAACTAATGCCAAGAAGAATAATGAATGAACAAATGAATGAAAAGCTTACTAATTATACAAACCTTAAGCATCTCTCCTTCCTCTGAACTCCTGAAACACTTTGTCTAAATTGGTCATCTGTACATTTATTTACATAGCCTTATCTTACCCCTTAAATCCATCCCCTGCCGCTAAAGTATGGATTTCATGAGAATGCAAAATGTCTACAGTGCCTAGATATAATGTTGAACATAGTAGGCAGTCAACAAATATTTGAGGGAATCCATTAAGGTTCTGTTTGTAAGGTTTATTTTCAAGCCTAAATTGTCATCTGAGCTAGGTGAGTATAGTAGGTAAATGCTGGAAAGACTTCAGTTCAAATCCATCATTAGACACTTACTAGTTGTGTGACTCTGGGCAGGTCATTCTACTTCTCTCAGATTGACTTATCCTCATCTACAAAATGGAGATAATAACAGTACCTACTTCTAAGGGTCGCTGTGAGGATCAAATGAAATCATTGGTGTAAAGTACAATGCAAACCTTAAAGTGCTCTATACATGGTGTGTGTTAGTGTGTGAGTGTGTATATTAGTGGGGGTGGCGCAGTGATTTTTCATTGTCATTAGTTTCTATAGTAACAGATAGACGTGTTTGAATTTTCGCAAGCAGTTCGGTTTAAACCAATCCAAACCAAAACTAATTTAAGCTGCAATAAATAAGGCTGCAAAGCAACACAGCAAGTCATTTAATCTCTCTGAGGCTAAGTTTCCTCATTCACAAAATGAAGAAGGCTGGATGAGATAACCCCTTGAAGGCTTCAAGTTTTAGTCTTATGACAGTCTACCTATAAAGAATAAGAACAATAATTTCTGGAAAGCCATTAAAACATTAGACCCTCATATAACATAGCTAAAATAGTGAGATAAACTGTAGAGCAGCCTGTATCCTTCAAAGCATAACCATATACAGTAAGAGCCTAATAAAATACAGTTAACTATTATGGCAGATGTTACTTCTGTCTCCCAACACCAGCATTATTCATAAATAAACATAAACTTTATAAGAGGGCTTTATAATAGTTCTGATTTTATAAGTACCATTTCCAAAGAACACAAGGCAACATAGATAGAGAGGCAGGCTTCAAATGGGAAAGACCTGGACTGAGGTACCGCCTATGACACACATTTGCTATGGGGTCCCAGGCCCCAGCAATCACTTCTGCTTAGTGTACTAGGCAGGTGTTTGACTCTAAGTCAAAGTGACCTATGTAGACTGATAAGAATTTGCTTAATAGGAATTCCCTACATCAATGAAATCGTAAGTTTTCTGGGGGGGGAAAGTTCCTCAGAAAAACTGTACATCCATTTAACTTAATAAACACTTATTAAGCAAAGTTGTATATTAATCACTCAGCTAGGTGTTAGGGATCTTATTTAGTAAACATGATAGAAATTAAGTACATATGTGGGAGAAAGGGAAGGAATAAGCATTCATATAGCACCTATCCTCACAACAACCCTGGGAGGTAGGTGCTTAGTAGGATCCACATTTTACAGTTGAGGAAACTGAGGCAGACAGAGGTTAGATGATTTGCCTAGGGTCACACAGCTAATAAGTATCTGAGGCCACATTTTAAGTCAGGTTTTCCTGACTCCAGGTCCAGCATTCATATATATATATATATATAAAAAATGGGTATCTTCTCAATGGGTTGTGGGTTGGAATTAAAATAAACATTTTAAATGAATTAATTTGAGTAAAAACACAATATGGAACTCTACCCACAGGGTGTCACTATAGAAACGTTTCCAGCTTTGACTTACCTTTTGTGAGCTACAAGTACCCCAGCAAACTCTTCTCTGATGAGCATTTCTGTGCTCTCAGGCACTGAATTTTTCTCAAAGGTAATAGGTTCAATAGTATGATCTTCAGTGTCCATGGTTTCCACGTGTTCTTGTTCTGATGCCATTTCAGCCTGTAAAATTTTAAAGGGTGACAAGACAGATTATTAATTTGAAGACAGATCAATTTGAAACAAAGCAATAATGGCAGAATAAATGCATGTTGATTCAGCATCAAGACAAATTCAAAATAAGTTGATTTGGCTATTTCAGCACCAAAAAACTACAATGAGGACAAAACAGACACTACTCTGGAAAGATAAACAGAAGTAGATGGAGAATTTAAGTAATGAATGTTCAAAGTGTCTTATGTGTAATTTTTTTGTAAAATGGGGATTTATGAGGTTCTCATATACATGATATTAAATATTAAACTTGTAGAGTCTGTAGGATTTCCCCATTTACAATTCTACCTTAAAAAGCTTTGCTAATTTATGGATTAAGAGTGTGGAAAGCACAAACTGCATTTTCCACGAGAATCAGTGACATTAGGAGGACATTTGTGTGGTCATGGGCATCCTCTCTAAGCCTCAGTATCCTTATTTCCCCAGTGTGGGGTGGAGGACCTGGCCTCTATGGTCTCTTCCGGTTCTGATCCTAAAGACCTCAGTTTTAGACAGACTGAACTTGAGGTGCCAGTGAAATATCTAACTGGACCTGTATCATAGAATTCCTAGTTTCCTTCAAAGTGCAGCTCAGATGCCACGTTTTTCCTCCTCCCACGGTCATGAATGGATTTTCATCTGCATTTTCAGAAGATATGAATGGGTCTAAAATGGAATTTGTTTGTTACACACACACACACACACCCCTCCTTGATTGTGCCTAAAAATTACTACCAAAATAGGATGCCAACTTTTTATAGTATGACTACCAGAAGAGACTTTATGGAAGACAGTTTTATTTTCTTCTTTTGTCCTCAATTGTTTTCAGTCATGTCTGACTCTTTATAACCCCTTTTGGGGTTTTCTTGGCAAGGATACTGGAGTGCTTTGCCATTTCCTTCCCTAGCTCATTTTACAGATGAAGAAACTGAGGCAAACAGGTTTAAACAACTTAGCAAGATCAATTTTAGGTAATTTTTTAAAAAAGATACAAGGGATAATGCTTAAATCTTATAAATGTTAATTTGTAAACTTCTTTATAGCAAAAACGAATAATGTCAAAATTATTCAAGTAATTCATGAACTATTAGAGATGAGAGCTGCACATCCACGGTGATTCCTTGCCTGTAAAATTTTGTTGGGCTTAGTCAGGTTCTCCACACCTGGAGATAATGTTATGATGTTTCTAGGTTTCCATGTGAAAATTCACGTTACTGGAATTTAAAATGCATTCTTTTTTAGAGAAGCAGAAAGTCTCTAGCAATTTATATCCTATCACGAAACCTCTTTTTCACAGATGTTCACTGTCACATAATCTCCGCACAAAGCACTTGAACTATGTCTCATCTTTTTTTCTTAAACTTTTTAGTTCCTCTGACCAGTGGCCCAAGAGCATTTTCCCAACACGTACATCCTAAAGAGGCTTTCCCGGCATAACCTCATTCTCTACAATGTTATTTTTTCATCAATATTTTCTTATGTTTCTGAGATTTAAAGAATTACTATTCATGTGAACTCATCTTTCACTTGACTGGCCAGATACTTCCTGAGGCAGCAAAGTGACACCGTGCATAGAGGAGGGGCGTGGAGTCAGAAAGATCTGAGTTCAAATCCAGCCACAGACACTTAATAGCTGTCTGTCCCTGGGTAAGTCTATCTCCATTTCCCCATTTGTAAAATCTGTAAAGTGCTTGGCACAGTGCTATATAAATGCTCATTCTCTTCCTCTTTGCTTTGTACACGTCTATCATGAAAAATGTAAGGCTTAGTAAATGAACTGATGTTGTAAAAGTGCTCTATAAAATGCTGCTTACTAGTCCTACCTGAACAGTTGGACTTTCTCCATTCTCCCCCTGGGTGGGGGGCTGTGGGAGGCAGTCTGCCAATAACAGGCTATCTTTCATCGGAAGTTTCTTGGGCTGTTGTTTATCTGTGTCCTTTCCATTTAATTCCTTAACCTTTGGGAAAACATTTAGAAAGTCAAAGGAAAATCCCATCCATCTTGCTATAGTGAATTTTTAAAAATAAAATACATTTTCTAATCTTTTCCCTAGGAAAAAATCAATTAACTGAATGTAGAGATTATCATACCTAAACTATGTGGCAAAGATCTTTATGGTTTCTATATGCAGTGAGAGGCAGTGTGGTATAGTAGACAGAGAGCTGACTTCAGAGCCAACAAGACCCAGATTCAAACCTCACTTCTGACGCATACTGATTGTGGGACTGTAAGCATATCATTTAATCTCTCGTTGCCTGAAGCAGTTCTCTAAGACAGAGGTGTCAAACTCACCCATGTGGCCAAAACCCCCTAGTGCCACACAGCAGATTAAAATGTAATTGAGAAATGTTTAACAAAATAAAAATACAACATAACATAGATAATGTAAATAAAATAACAACCAAAAAAATTTAAAAATAACAAAAAAAAATAAAAGTTTTTCTAGATTAATATATGTGGCTCATTGGGATCCCTTTCATCTGAGTTTGACATCGCTGTTTTAAGAGTACAAATTGGAAGAGAAGATGCTATTAGGCATTGGTGAAGTGAGTTTTTTCTGCTAGGAGCACAGTACATGGAATCATAGGTCCAGTTTAAAAAAATTTTGCAATATGAAATTAGCATAGGTAGAAGAAGAAATGGTTGGAAGACTCTTTTGAAATAGTCACCTTTTCCATTATGAAATCAGCAAAAAACTGAACATGGGATTTATTTTATAAGAAAGTGGGTTAACCCCCCTTCTACATTGGGGGAGTAAGTGGGTGTGGCACACCTGTGATCTGGAAAATCTGCATAAAAATTTTTGGCCCTCCCTTCATACCACAGAAGAAGTCTGAATTATTATGGTATTTAAAATATGCTAATATTACACAATGCTATGCACATATTTTATGCATTTCTGAGTTTCTAAAGTTTTTCTGTGTTGTCTGTGGCTTCCACAAAACTCCCCCAAAATTTCCATTTAATTTTTTATGCCAACTTGCAATATATCAAAACCATGATGGGAAAAATTGCAATGTGGAAGGAATAACTGTACTATTTTCTTCTCTATTACCTCTTTTAATTTGCCTTTGTGAATTTGGTCCAAGGAACTACATATAACTGAATATCAAATAGAATAATAAACCTAAATTGATGACTATAAGTTCAACAGACTAATTCTAGCAACAGGAATATTCTGGCATGAGTAGTTTTGAAGGACTTTATCTCAAAGTAGGCTTTGTACATAACAACTATATTAAGTGTTCAATTATGAAACTGCAATATTTTCTTCATGACCCTCTTCTTATAGCCTAGTAGCTCTGTATTCTTACCCTTTTTATTGGGGAAATTGAAATCATGCTTACCTTGCTGACTTCCCATCTTTCCTCCAACTTTTCCACTGTGACAGACCCCTGAATGGAATCTTGAGTACCACAAGAGACCTGCTCCTCTCTTTTTTCCATGGCTATTTTTTCTTTCTTCTTCATTTCAGATCTTGCTTTGAGGATGTTGTTAAAACTGTTCTCAGTCTCCTGCTTAACAGATACAAGTCTATTCTCCAAATCCTTGTGTTTAGATTTAAGTGAATCTGTTTCATCTTTAATAATCTTCTGTCCCACCGAAGAGGAATTCTGCTTGATGGATTCAGCTAAAGCTAAAATCTTTTCTAATGTGTCACCCTTTAGATTAAGGAGGGCTTCTAATTCCTAAGAGTGGGAGGGGAAAAAAAACTTATCATGAAAATATTTCAATTTAATTATCACAAGTGTTAATTGACACTAGTAGTGACAGGGTCCACTACTTGACTGGGAGGAAATATGGAAAACCTGTTAGTCACAAAGTACAAACTTGAAGTGGGGATGGGGTGAGGGGAGGAATCAAATAGCTTTGGAAGAACACCAGACTGAATCTCCAAGGTCATTTTGAACAAAAGTCTAGATTTTTATCACAAGTGTCATCTAAGGTGAGACAAGCTCAAAAAACAACCCAAGTATTTATTAAGCCTACCAGACATAAGGCAGCACAAACAAGGAAGGAATAGAATGACAGGCTGTCCCCACATGACATTCGTGACTTTCAAAAAATATCACATGGAAATGGGTGAATAGATCATTCTGTAGGTCAGTGAAGATTCAAGGTCTGAGGAACTCAGAACCCACAGAGTACTGGGGATACCATTATAGTGACTAAGGGTCCAGTTTAAAGAGATTAAACTTTAAAACTTATCTACACTTATTAATAGGCAAGATCATATACTAGTCTGTATAGCAAAAAGACTTTACATGCATGTGTCTTGCCTCAAATAGATAGTTAGCCCCTTGAGGGGGTGTCATCATAGGGATGCTCTCTTCCCCCAGACCCCCTTCATATGGCTAGTAAACCCAGCACCCACTGAGACTGTTCATACAACTTGGATGGGGTGAGTCACCAGTTGTATTCCTTCTACTGAGAGGAAGGACAGATAGGCTTGTCCACTGTCCTGTTATACTCTCTTAAGGGGATCCAGGCCTTACCTTCTGCCTTGCTTCTCTATCTTCCAGATCCCTAGCACTGTTACCAGACTTACTGATACAACCTAAGAACCCCACAGCCTCGCCATCTGCCCTTCCACTGAACCCTTAGGATTTCAAGGCCTTTTCATTTTTTCTGGAGCTGATCTTTTTGATGTATCATCTCCCCTAATTAGAGTATGAAAAAGTGTGCTTGGAACTGAGTAATCACTTAATGAATGCTTTTTCATTCATTCAATTCCTGTTTATTCAACAAACATCAAACACATGCAACTCCTTTGCATCTCCAACACCAAGGGCTTTGCACATAGTAGGTTCTCAGTGTATATTTTAGATGACAAAGTAGACAATAAATATGTTATGATATTAGCATTGCCTTGCATAAAGTATGTTCTTAATAAATGTTCATTGAGTTCTTGGAGGGTTCAGGAAAAAGAGTTTTACCTATCTCTTCAGCCCCTGTACTAAAGATGAAACAACTCTAAACCTCTTTCATAAGGCCTGTGCCATTGTGGGTCAGATAGGGAATCCTAAAATGCCTTTTATTTATTGTCTCCAGCCTCAAAATGTTGGAGAGGTACCTAATAAAGTGCTACTTTATCTCTTTCCAAAGGCAATAATGATGGAGGCCTCAAGTTTTTTTTTAATGTTAAAACTGCTCATCTCAATTCTTAGAGACCCATTCCATGCATATTCTATATATAGTTCTATGCATACAGCCAATACTTTTTCTTTTAGTCTAAGGATGATGGACTGCTAAAAAATATCCCGAAACATCCTGTCCCAAATCTAAGTAAGAGATGGCGGCAATGAGAAGTGTTCAGAGGTGTTCAATTTAAGTGTGTGCTAGGTGTTGGAAGGTTTAAAAAAATGAGATCCATCTCATGCACTGGAGAAGTTTACAGTTTAGGAGGGTACGATTAGACATTTATGAAATCTAATTTAAGTTTATGGGCTGGTAGTGCAAGTGCTGGGGGAATATATATTTCTTTAATTAAAAAGTAATGGAGGGGCAGCTAGGTGGCACAGTGAATAGAGCACCAGCCATGAAGTCAGGAGGACCTGAGTTCAAATCCAACCTCAGACCAAACATCTGACACTTACTAGCTGTGTGACCCTGGGCAAGTCACTTAACCCCAATTGCCTTTAAAAAAAAAGGATAAAATAAAAATAAAAATAAATAAAAAGGAATGGATATCTAGTGTGCTCTATGAGCATGAATAGCAATCAGATCAAAATAACTTAAGCTCCCCCCAAACACACACACACACACACACACACACACACACACACACACACACACACACATACACACACACACAGAATGAAGCTCACCCCATCCACTGTATAAATTCCTTCACCTCTTTTGGCCTATTTTCCTTATCCATAAAATGAGGAAGATGATCCTTAAGGTTCTTACTAACTCTAAAATGTGATGATTACATAGGATGCCAACTGCTTTGATCGTTCCCTAATTCCTAGAATCATCGTAGAGTATCAGAGACCTCCAGGATCACTTTCTAGAATCATGTGGGGCTTCTGGTTGTTATGGAATAGAGAAGTGACAGAAGGGTTGGCACAATTACCTAAGTACTTACAATATCTACCCACTGCTCAGTGAGTTGCCTATATCATTCAAATTAATTAGCTCCCTGAAGAATAAGAAGACCTATGGTCCATTGGTTCCATGGGACTAGCACTTGGACCTTTGACTTAAACCACTTTTTTTCAAGTTGTAATCAAAGCATTATCTTGGTCTATTTTTTTAATGTTTAACACTGATCATTTTTAAATGCCTACCTTAATTAATTAAGCATTAATTAATGAATAATTTACTAATTAATAATAATAATAATTTGTCAGTTGCCTATTATGAGCATGGCAAAAGGCAGTGAGGCACAATGGACTCAGGACAGCTTTGGAAATGGCAAAACTGGTTTGAAGGCTTGTTTTCAAAACATACTATCTATGTGACCTCAGGCAAGTCAACTTCTCAGTGCCTCAGACAACTCGCTAAGGCTTTAAATCACAGACAAGCTACCTATCTGCATTGGTGGAGGGAGTTTGCACCCTGGGAGCATTACATACTATGTAATCTGTCTCCTCAGCGCTACCCCCTCCCCAAGATATACACACACATACAGACTGACCCCAAATGTGCAAAGTACTGGTAAAAAAAAGAAGACAAATAACATACAATCACTTCCCCTGAGGGATTCCTTCCCTCCTATCTAGAAGAAGTAATTAGACATATTTCTTTTTTAATCTGGCAATTGCATCATACCTGTAATTTTAACACCTTTTGCTCAGCTACCTTTTCATCTACTAGGTCATCAGGAAAACTGAGGAATTGCTGAGAGAAACTTTCCAACGTGGTAGTTAAGTCTGCAACCAAATCCTGATACAGCTGGTGTTCTTGAACGTGACCTTCCAATTTACTCACTGAATCCTAGAAATAAAACCATTTTTAAAGTCAATACACCTTTTCCTTTACTTTCCTACTTAAAATGCCACTTTGTAGTCCATAAACTTAGGAAGTTTCATATAAAAATGAGAATCAATAAGTTACACAACCTCTGTTTATATGAATAAGGCATGATGGATTATCAAGGAGAATTCTACTTGTGAAGCTCTTCAGCTTGGAAATCTCTTTCCCGATTCTTTTCCTCTGAGGAAATGTCAGGTATAAATTAGAGACCTGAGTTTCAGTCCCAACTCTGCTATTAACTAGCTGTGTGACCTAGGGGAAGTTGCTTTCTGGGCTTCAGCTTCCTTATCTGTAATGTTGGGGGCAGGTAGGGTACTGGGGAGGGGGCAGTAAATTAGCTAATCTCTAAAGTCTCCCCTAACCCTCATGTTGTAGGTCACTCTTCTTATTGGATTCATTTATGCTCTCTCCAACCATTTTTCTTCCTTCATTTTATTACTGAAATGAATGTATTTGACAGATGTGTAAGAAAAAAAACAATAGTTACAAATTGTATAATCAACTCAGAGGCATCTGTTTATAGAATTGGACCCTCATTTTATTAAGCAGCTTTACATTTGGCTACAGGAAATATGAAAGATATTACTATTAACTCTTGCTCCAAAATAAGGGAGGCATTATGGTATAGTGGACAGACCTTTGTGTCAGGGGCTCTTAGTTCAAATTCTACTCCTTATGTTTATTACTTGTGTGGCCTTGGATAAATCACTTAACCTCCACTGGCCTCAGTTTCCTTGTCTTAAAAATGAGTGGGTTGGACTAGATGGTCTATGGGGTCCCTTCCAACTTTAGATCTATAATCCTGTAATGGTAGTAATAACCCAAGAGTCTCTTTCACATGGAACAAATTCCCAAACTAGCTTTTAGGAAGGAGTAATCCCAAGTTGAACAGCAACATTAATGAGAATTTATCTAACTACAAGAGTTTAAAAAAAAGTCTACAAATTTTCTGGGAAAAGTGCTTTAATAAGATCTGTGTTCAAGGATCTGCGATTTTACCAGTAGGGGCACTTCTTCACAATCCCTTTATGATTCAGTAGACAGTTTTCTAGAGTTTATGTCCCTGGTGATTTATTCCTAGAGTTTATGGCCCTAGAATTTGTCCCCCTGGTTATGAGTTTCTCTGACTTTAGCTGGGTGGTCCATCAGTCAAAAGACAGTCAAAATTCACTGCAACCATACTTAAGCCTTTCCAGCTTGGTAGAACCTGTCAGAGCTTAGGCCCCACAGGCACAGTGAGGTCTCAGAGAAGGACTCTGTTGGAAGATGGAAAAAATAGCAACTATAAAGCTAATCTCCTTCCAATCTAATTTGTGTCTAACTAAATCCATGACATGGGTAGCTAGGTGATGCAGTGGATAAAGTGTTGGGCCTGGAATCAGGACAACTCATCTTCATGGGATCAAATCTGGCCTCAGACACTTCCTAGCTGGTGTGACCCTGGGCAAGTCACTTAACCCCTGTTTGCTTCAGTTCCTTCATCTGTATAATGAGCTGGAGAAGGAAATGGCAAAGCACTCCAGTATCTTTGCCAAGAAAACCCCAAATGGGGTCATGAAAAGTCAGAGACAACTGAACAAAAAAAAAAATCCATGACTCCCTTCCTCTCGCCATCTGGTGAAACCAGAAGTTTCACCCCATTAATTGGCTATCTCTTTGAACTCTCATCTTTCTATTCATATATGTCATGCACTGTGCCATTCTCTTGAGGGAACGTACTCTTCCCCCACAAAAAGCTGTTTTTCCTTCTGACATCTTCACTGTGCAAAGAATTCCAACTTAGGGAGCAGTTGAGGACACAAAACGGTGTGATGTCAACTACACAGCTATGCAGACACAACTTTGGCATTGTCTCATGCATGAAGTGGCTCAATAAATACCAACTCCTCCTACAGTAAACGATGGTCATGGAAAGACTGTAAAAGGGAATACCACCATTATCCTCGAGCTCAGTAGTTTTGTATACAATGGTTCTTTGAGCAGAAATGAACATGTGAATTGTGTTCTTTATACTCAGTAAGCAGGCACTTGTCTCTAAATAACAGTCAAATAGCTCTTAGCTTAGTCAGTGTCACCAAGAAACAATGACATAAAAAGACCTTGTTCAAAAAGTGACAATGTCCACAAGAAATGCAATTTAATATTTTGACCTGTAATTGGTGAAGGAGGCTTTCATGGAGCTGCTTGACTTCTAGCCATTTTTCTTCGCTGAATTTGGAGTTCTTAGTGCACTCCAGTAGGTAATTTCCTTGAGTTTTTAACTCATTAAGCAAGGATGTCAAGTCTTCCGCTTTCTGAAGAAATTTCTTATATATTTTCAACTGAGCTTTCTTTTCTTGCAAACCATTCTGCAAAGCAAAACTTGATTCTTGTTTCTTCTTTAATTCAGTAAGCATTAGTCTTAAGTCATCTTTGCTTTGTAAATACTTTTCTCCTTCAAGCTGAATCTTTTCCTGATGGCTATATTTTAACAACAGAAAATTATATTCATTAGATGTTTAATAAAATGGAATACTTTGTATTTTCTATATACATACATCAGACTAGAAGACAATAATGTAACTCATTTGTTACCCTCAGAGATATTCCTATTATAATTTGTATACATTTTTCTCAAATGACAGAATTTACGTTAGACTCCAAAAGGAAATGATTTGTAGTATTTTTAATAATAATATTTACATTGTAAAATGGTTAAACCTATGACTATAAACACTCTGCAGTTTAGTTTATAGAGTATATAAGTATATTAAGTTTATTGAATAGGTTTTGCTTATTTTTATGGTATCTGACAAGCATTTGTTTTTAAGTCCTGACAGAAAATAAAAATCTCAGCCTTTCAAAAGAAAAGTGAACTTCATTACTAATGACATCATTTGAAACTAAGAACTTCAGAATCATTAAAAGTAACTTTTCCCTAGAATTCACTTTTCAAAATTTTTATCAAATAATACTTATCAAAATTTATATATGATGTATTTATAGCACTTCCTTCGATATTAACAGAGTCTAGCAGAAAAGTGCTAGAGTTTTTTGGAGAATGGGGAAGGTAAGTTTGTTATCAATAATCAGTAATCCTACAGTCAGTATACCACTTCTATTAAATACTATTGAATCATGGGAAGGATTTCTAATGGCTGATATGGATAAGATTTCACTCTACCCTACTTTCTTGCTGCTGCCCCCAAATTCCTGAACTATTATTCTGCAGGTTATCAATATCAAAAGTCATGGATGATAATTATATTATACTTTTTATAAGTTTGTCATTTGATGCAGAGAGATAATGATGATGACAATGAATGTATGCCTTTTACCTCAGATATGTGTTGGCTAAATGGATAGTGTGGTCCCACTGATTCTTGATATCAGAGAGAGTATCCTGAACCAGAGATGCCTTGCTTTTCTCACCCAAACTCATGATATTTTGTATTTTCACATCCCCTTCAGGTTTAAGTAAAATGATTTCCTAAAATATAAACAAACAAACAGGTAAGTAACAGCACAACAGACAGCTAGGTGGTGCAGGACCTGAAGTCAGGAAGACTCCTCTTCCTGAGTTCAAATCTAGCCTTAGACACTTACTAGCTGTGTGACCCTGGGCAAGTCACTTAACCCTAGTTGCCTCAGTTTCCTCATCTGTAAAATGAACTGGAGAAGGAAATGGCAAACCACTCCAGTATCTTTGCCAAGAAAACCCCAAATGGGGTCACAAAGAGATGGACACAACTGAAATGACCCAACAACAAAAACAACAACAATACAACATAATCTCCTTTACTTTTTGTTTTATGATCAGTGGTTCCCCAACTTTTTATACCAAAGATCCCTTTAGCATTTAACTAAATTAAAAACAAATTTTCATTTTGTATATCTTCAGTTGCCAATTATGTTTTTCACAGATTGGACATGAGTCATTCAAAAAATAGGTTTATTTTCTTTATTTATATTTCTGTCTTCTCCCAGCCTATATTATTCATAAAATTGTTTCCTTCAATTCTTCTACCGACCCCTCCCAAATCTGTATCTTTAAAAAGTACCTAAGGCACCTAGCCTTTTACTACATGACATTTACAGGATAGCAGTCTATATTACAGATATATTGATATACAAACTATATAAAAGTTACTTTATTTTTCAATCTAAAAAATGTATATAACCTTCCAAACCTAATCTGCCTTTGCTCTGACCCATTCCACAATTCATTCTTTCCTTGCTCCCACCTCACTCTGCTAAATCAAGTTTTTTTTCTGCTCTGATGTTTGGAAACTGCTCAAAACTCAACTCTTTCACAAAGTCTTTTCAGACTGGAGTCATCTGCTTCCAGTCACTTCAGGAATTCTCATCAGCTTTCCCTTACTCTTCTTCATCCTATCTTCCTCTGTAATGCTTAGCCAAACTTATCTTTGCATATAACTACAGTTGACTTTTGTGTGTTGCATATATTTTTATTTTTCTCTTCACCAACAGTGAGATCCCTTGAAGTCAAGAGACTTAACTTGCTCCTCACCTTGGTACTCAGTAAATATTAATAGACAAATGACACTAACTCATTTTTATATTGTACTTTCAGATTTATAAAGTACTTTATAAATATTATCTTAGTTCATCGTCACAACAATCCTGGGAGGTGGGTGGTATAATTGTCCTCATTTATAGATGAGAAAACTGAGGCAAACAAAGGTTAAGTGACTTGCTGAGGGTTCATGTAGCTAGTAAGTATCTGAGACAAAATCTGTACTGTGCTCTTCTGAGCTCCAAGTTCACTCTGCAATCTAGTTGTAGAACAAGTACAAATTTCCCTCAACAAGCCCTTCAGTGTCAAGCTTTATCACTATCAAAAATGTCTTTTCCTAAGCAAAGTCCCATATCCTGGAGTTCCAGTTCATTTACAATTATTCTGTTCTTACTGGTCACCACCTCTCTAAGAGAGGGAATTCTATTGTATACGTGAAGATCATTACAAAAGCCACTTCATGGTCTTCTACTCCACAGGCTTAATGATATCAATTTCTTTAACCATTCCTCAAAGACTATTTCACAACCACTTTAATAATTTTTTCAGAGTTCTCCTATAAAACTACTTCAAATGTGAATTCCCTAAGAGTTTTCAAAGCTCTTAGCCAATTGTAGTACCTTTATTTTTTGGATCCTTTCTTCAAGGGGCATTTTGCCTTCAGTTGAATTCAAAACCATGAGTGACTCTTTAATCCCCATTATCCAAGCAAATACATCATGTACAAGATCTTCAAAGCTCTGGTCTTCAGGAGGAGGTGACTGATGATTTCCTACTTCACATACTTGTGTTAAAAATGTCTCATATTCCTCAATCAAATGAGTTGACTCTATCACTATTTCTTCTCTAATAAGTCCAAATTTCTTCAATGAGTTGTTCAACTGAGCAAAAGATTCAAATAGTTGCCTGGAAAATTCCAAACACAAAAAATAAAGTTTATGATATCTTCTATACCACAGAGGAATTTAATTTTTTTCAGGCAAGATATTTGATAAAAAGTTAGGGTTACCTTTTTCTAGTTAATGCTTGGAAGAAAAAATTATGCTTGTTTTCTACTCCAGTCTCTTTCCATTTTTCTTCTTGATTCATTAGCCATTTATTCAAGCTTATATAGTCATCCTGAAGCCTGAAACAAAAAGTACATTGTATCTACAGCGCTAGAATTGCAAATCCAGTGGGATCATCCTTTTAAATGTTGGCACAGTACCAACCTCATGGCTAAGTTATGACTTCCTCTAAGTAGAAGTTAGACTTTAGGGAAGACACTATTTTACTTTGAAGCCTATTAGAACCTGAGTAATGATGAGTCATGTTCTACTGTATTAAAACAATTAGCATTAAATAAATAGATATACCATAAAAGCACAGGAATGAAATTTCAATAACTTCTTTTTAAAACAAGTGAGGGAAAAAGATAACAGGAGGAAAGAGCAACACCTCATTCAATATCATCTTAACAAAAATCAGCATTGACAGCTATGATGGCCATATTTGCCATATATTGACAATATAAGGCAACAATGGAGAGTGCACTGAGTTAACAAATATGAGTCGCTTGGTGAACATGGACAGCTACGAATCTTCAAAAGGTCTGGCCTGATGCCAGCCTCTCAGGATGTGGATTACTTCATTAAAATGGTGAGGGAATTTCCAAATCACCCCAGAATCAACCCCAGGTTAAAAGAAGGATTTTTTTTATCTGTCATGTGGTCTCCATACATCTATTGGCCCTATAGACCAAAATATTGTAAAATAGTATCTATGTGAGAATGATTAAATACTTTATCATCTATGTAATCATAACACATACATGTAGAAATACACTTCTTTTACTACCTAAGTAACTGTTGCAAGCAATCATGAAGTCCGTTGGCTTGTGTCTGACATGTGAACTTCATTTTCTGCAGTTCCAATTCCTGAGTCATGATCCAGTTATTCAGTTGTTCAACACTTGCCTTGGGCAGATGCCTTTTTACATTATTCAGTGCAGTTTCTACTTGTTGTATGTCCTTGCTTCTTCCCTCAAAGGTTAGGAAATCCTTAATAAAGGCAAAAAGTAAGAGAGAGAGAGACAGAGAAACACTACTTAAGCATTTATTCCTTTCACTTTCTTTCTCTTGGCAAGTCCTTATTCCTTATTCCTTGGCTAGTCTATGGATGGGACCAAATATGCTACTATGTTACAATGATAATTCTTGATCTTCTACATAACAGAGTACTGTAGAGATGCTAAGAATCCAAAATGGTGAATGATCAAAATGACACTTCTACTTAGACAGGGAGGTGTTGATATTTCAAAATGGGTATGCATTTCTGTAAAATACCTCATTGTGTAAATCTAAGCAATGCTCTTTTCTATTAAACTTTCCCTAGAGCAGGTATTGTGGTCAAGTGCTTGGATTTCAAGTGTTGAGGTGCAGATGACATGCCATTGCATAAACTAAAAGAGATTACTGCAATAAAATAAGCACACAAGTAAGATTATTACTGAGGCAGATAATTAAGCTGAGGACCTCAAGTGCTCTCAAGAAACATGAAAGCATCATTTGCCAAAGGTGAAAGGCAACACAGCCAATCAACACGAGGAAAACCACAAGTTGACAACGTTGTATGCTTTTATACCTTTATCCTAAGTGTCTAAAATAATTTTTCAACTGCTATTTTTTAAAAAAAGATTAATAAAACTGTCAGGGTAGAAGAATGGCCACGGGCATAGGGATATGACAACAGATTCAGGAGCATCTTCTTTCAAAGGGATAAGAGTAGATTTAGGGCCTATATCATGTACCTTAATTTTTAAATCCTGGAACATCTTAACATACCCAACAAACCAATCAAAACCAAATTGAAATTGTAACTCATGACATTTCATGGAGAGGCTTCAGACATTTATTTGTACCTGTAGGGAGCAAATCAGATACTTCCATGCATCTGTATTTACTTATCTGGGGCAGAGAAGGGGGGACTAGAGTGAAATACCTTTTGTGGAGAAATTGATAGAACCTAATTGTCAAAACATTAGAATATAAGCTAATTGTGCACAAGATTTTTTTAAACTCTTCATACTTCTGTCCCTAGCACCTAGCCCAATGCCTAATACATGACAGGTGCTTAATAAATGCTTGTTTATTGATTGACTAGAAACCAACACCAGCCTACCGTCTTAATACAGACCAGGGAGGTATGGCATAGCAAAGTTCTATACAGGGGAAGGCAGCGATCTTCTTTATCTGCCACTTAAAATGCCAAGGGGCATTCAGTTCTTTTGTCAGGAAGTAGAGGGACCTGCAATCAAGGCACATGGTTCCTGATTCAGCCCTTGCTCTCTATATTCCCTTGTTAATAAACTTGCTAATTAGGTATGTCTACTAAACCACCAATCACAGCCTTGGATGGCAGCTCATGCTTGTCAGAAGAGAACTAGTATGGTAGGAGGTACAGCACTGGGACAAACCCCAAATGTAGTACAAGAAGGGAGCTTTATTGAGGGTGGGGATACTCACACAGTATAAGGGCAATTGGGGAAGATGGACACACACAGGGAAGTCTACTGGGGGTCTGAATAGAGTTTGGTGCCCAATGTAGGGGAGGTGGGGTGGGTTCTTCTAAGATTCTTATGTGGGTCAAACAAGACCAGGTGTTGGACCTAGGGTCAAGGTTCAGGACTAGCGCTAACTCATGCTGGGGAGATGCAAGGAGAAACTAGGAACTAGCTGATATGCAAACCTCCTGGCAGAGGGAAAAGGGACTTTGGACCATTACTGGCTAGTCTTATTCTGATAGGGTGACTGGGGATTTTCTTTAAACATTTTTCTTTAACAGGTTGAGGAAGCTATCATATTCCTTATCCCTATCTGTTTATACCTTAAAAATCAGGCCTCCGTCATTTTCCACCAAAAGAAAAACCCCACAAACAACCAGCAAACAAACCAAAAACAAACAAACAAACAAACAAAGTGAAAACTATTAAAACAGATTCATGCCTTACATTAAGTTTCTGGAGTTTTTCTTCCACACTCTCTTTAGTTTCTGGTGGTTCAAAACACTCCTTAAGGGACAACTGAATATTGTTGAACTCATCGTCAAAATTTTTGCACTGATCTGCAAAAGGGCATTTAAAAATTATATTTACATATATATATATATTAATACAAAAAGAATTAAGGAGTATTACTTGTTAACATGAATGACTCTGAATCATGCTTCCCAGGCTAATGGTGCAAATGGAAATTGACAAAGGATTCTATATACTCATAATGCATTATTACGTTTTATAAGTATCTACATATGTTTTTATCTCCTGTGAGCTACAATAAGCCCAGATTTGAGATTAAAATAGCTGCATGGAAAATTCCAAATACAATGATACTTTACAACATCTTATATAAATTTTGTATCATCCTGAGCAGCGAGCACAATATTTTGCAAGCAGTGGGCACTTTATAAATGTTTCTTAAATCGATTTATTGCCAACTGAGGATAAAGAACATTTGGGGACCCTTGGTGAGGGAGTTTCTTCACTTGGAATTCCTTATACCAATGGATCCACATGTACATATAGTTCCTATCTTGACCTTTCTCTACCAATATCCTTACTGATCCCATCCCCAAAGTGGGATCATAAGACAAGCTATGAGACCCACTGAACACAACTGTATGTACATATGGGCTTCAAACACCATAATCCTAATTTCATTGAATAGGAAGGTCATGTTATATGTCTAACAAGCCAGAGAATTATGGCTGGAAGAATCCTTAGAGGAATTATCTAGCAACTTTTTCATTTTAGAGATGAAGATATAGTGTTGTAGTTTAGTTGTGTTTGATTCTTTGTGACACCCTTTTTAAGTTTTTCTTGGCAAAGATATTGGAGTGGTTTGCCATTTCCTTCTCTAGCTCATTTCATACATGAGGAAACTGAGGCAAGCTGGATTATGTGACTGGCCCAGGGTCACACAACTTGAAAGTGTCTGAGGTCACATCTCAACTCAGGTCTTCCTGACATCAGGTTCCATGCTCTATCCACTGCTCCACCTAGCTGCCTCTGAGGATATAGTAGCTTCATGCGAGTAAGTGATTTGTCTGAGTTCACACTGCTAGTTAAAGATTTAACCAGAACTAAAACCCCAACTACTAAACAATTATTCTCAAACAAATTTTCCCCAAAGACCAAAATGATAAATTCAGACCCAGGCTTCTTAGATGACTCCCTTTTAAAGATGAACCTTGAATTAGACTTTCCATTCAGATTATCAGACATAAATTAAGATATACCAAAGCTGAGTAAGACTTTGTTAAACATCTGGGTAACTGCGTGGTGCAGTTAGAGAGCAGGACTTGGAGTCAAAAATATCTCATTTTTGAATCTGGCCTCAGATATTTCCTATGTGACCTTGGACAAGTCACTTAATGGCCCTTAACCTCAATTTCTTTATTTGTAAAATGTTATTATAAGCATCATATGTGCAGCTAGGGTGGCACAATGAATAGAGCACTGGGCTTAGAATCAGGAAGACTCCTCTTCATGAGTTCAAATTCAGACTCAGACACTTTCTAGCTGTGTGACCCTGGGCAAGTCACTTAACCATATTTGCCTCAGTTTCCTCATCTGTAAAATGAGCTGGAAAAGGAAGTGGTAAATCACTCCAGCATCTTTGCCAAGGAAACCCCAAATAGGGTCATGAAGAGTTGGACACGACCAAACAAGAAAAGCATCAGACAAGGTAATATGTGAATTAGAGGGCTTTGAAAACCTTAAAGCATTACATGTTAGCTCATCATTACTGTTTTGCTTACCATTCAATAGATTGGAAAAGTGATCTTGCCAAGTACGTTTCTTAGTACTAAACAAATCATTGATGCTTTCATACTGCTTCTTCAGTTCAGAGAGTTCAGGAGTCAGACAACCTATCTGAGTCTCAAGAAGTGTCATATTATGCTTTTGCTGGAGAATTTGCTGCTGTATCTCCTAGAAAGATAGATAGAAAACAGACAGATAGATAGGTCTCAGAGTAGGCTTCACATTCCATCTAGCCATCCACGCAGGCTACTTTGCCACGTGTCTTTACCATTTTTCTCAATTCCCAATCCCTACCTGTAACAGCGCCCTTCAGGCTGGACTTCCAGAAACCATATCCTTAGTCCTTGGAAAGTTATTCCCCTTAGTTTTGGAAAATATGCCCTGTGGCTGAGCTGTATGATTGACAAATGAGTAAACGTAAACTGGTCTAGCCCATTGTATCCACCAGGTCCCAGATCAGCTCATGTTTCATATCCTATCCAGACAGCCAAACCCTACGCCATCCTCCTACCTTTCCCCTTGCTCTGAATATAGCAATTAAACCAATACTACCACTGATTCTGGAAAAGCTGTGGTTATGCCTTATGGGTCAATTTGCCATCTATCTAGACCCAAACTCCTTTCTTTTCACAATTTTCTTGTATATTTTGTCTTTCTCTGTTCAAATATGAGCTACTTAAGTGTAAGGATGGTTTCAGTCAACTTACAATTATACCAGGCACTGTACCAAGCACTGGGGGTACGAGGATAGGCATAAGACAGTTCTTACCCTCAAGGAGCTCTAATGAGGGAATCCAACATACAAAAAGAAACTATAAAAGGGATGGGGGGAAGGGTTCACTTTTGTACTTATATCCCCAATACGAAGCATAGCGCCTAGCATATAGCAAGTACTTAAGAAATGCTCTACCATTCATTAATTCACCATTTGTTCATTGATACATCTTAGAAAAAGCTCAATATATGCAAAACAATATAAATTTCAATTGCTTTTAAAAAGAGTTGTTGAATTGCTTTCTTTATGCTGGAAAATATCTAAAAGTGAGGAGATTTAAGATGCAATAATTAGTTAACACCTGTAAAACAATTTGAAGGTGAAAGTACTCCATACACATGAAATATTTTTCTCATCTTTCCAATAACCTTTACTACTTTCCTTCCTTCAATTTTAATTAATCTAAATAGAACAAGACTAACTGTGAAAATGAATCTGAATCACAGGAGAGGTAAAGTTGACAGTACCTCCAATTTTGTAAAGATCTCTAAACTGTCAGAAGGAGACAAGGCTTTTAAGAGAGATTCAGTCATTCCAATCTGCGTCTTGGCCTGGTCAAGGTCCTCTTTTAGCTCAGCTGTACTGCCATTGAGTTTACTCAGGTTGGATTTGTCCATTAAATGCATTTTTATTTTTTCTATTCTGTTCAAAAGAGATGACTTGATGACCTGAAATTAGGAAAAAAAACATCAAGTAATATAAAGTATTTTTTCCAACTAAATTTCCTGACAATGGCATTATTATGGAATGAATTGAGACTGTCATTATGAAGTGATTTAAATGCTTCTTCAAAATTAGATCTTATTACCCCTCCAAGTCTCAAATTTTCTCTGTCACAGATACAGCCACTCAAAATGATATCCTTTAAAAAGAAAAAAAATCAGAAAGTAACATCTTAACCTTTTCTTTTTCTGAGCAGCTAATTTCAATTCTTCTGTGTCTATGAAACATTTACTTAAAGATAGATTTTTATCTAGATACCTGTGATAACCTCATCAATATTCTCAGTTGGACAAAATTAGAATTATAAAGCTTTTTCTTGACAAACTAGAAAACCAAATGGATCAAACTAATTTTTTCTCCAACTAGAAATTCTGTGGAAGTTAGAGAGCAGAGAAAATCCTGGGAGAGCCTTTATACAGGCATCTATGCAAATAGCTGAGAAGCATTGTAGTGTGGAGAAATAACAGTGCAGTTGGAGTTAGGAAGACACCAGCATGATCGTGGATAGATCACTTCTCTTCCAGCCTCATTTTTTGGAATTTGTAATATGTATAATGTTTATAACATTCTAATTATTATTAATAAATTATTAATATATTATTAATTGCCATCTATAAATATTAATGCTGTACATTTAATACAATATAATAATTTATAATATAAAACAAAAATACTTATGCTACCTCGTGGTGTTGTTTTGAGGAAAATGTTTTGTAAACCTCCTGTACGTATTTTATTTTAAATGAAAAAAAAATGATGTAATAATAATAGCTAGCATTTACATAATCCTTTAAAGTTTGCAAAGTGCTTTATAAATATTATCTCATTTGAGATACACAACAAACTCTAGAGGTGGGTACTATTATTATCCTCATTTTACAGATAAGCAACTGAGGCAGGAGGAGGTTAAGTGAGTTGTCCTAGATCACACAGCTATTGCCTGAGGAAGGATTTGTACTCAGATCTTATTGGCTCCAACACTCTATCCATTGCACCACCTAGCAGACTCTGAAAAGAGTAATGAAAAGGGAACTAGATTTGGAGCTTGGAAAGATTTAGGGCAAGTTATCTAAATTATCAAGGGAAATCATAAGATGGAGATATAATAATAATAATAATATCTGTAGTGCCTACCTCATAGGTCTGCTGTGAGAATTAAATTATATAAATGCTGCAAAATTTATATAAGCATTATATAAATGTTAACTATTAATGTTATAAAATTATTATGTCATAATATCAATTCCCTCTCCACAAAAGAGCCATGGGAAAAAAATTCCTGCCTTAAGAATAAAAATGTATAGGGGCAGCCAGGTGGCACAGTGGCTAGACCACTGGCCCTGAAGTCAGGAGGACCTGAGTTGAAAAACGGCCTCAGACCAAACACTTAGGACACTTATTAGCTGTGTGACCTCGGATAAGTCACTTAACCCTAATTGCCTAAAAAGAAAAAAAAAGAATAAAAATGTATAATCACACAAATAATGTATTTGATGATAAAGAACATAATTATTTTAAAACCATTTGCAACATTTTGTGATCACCTAAAAAGGGGCAAATTAAAATAATTCCAATTTATGTTATTTCTTGTATAAGGAGAAAATAGATTATAAGCAAGAGTTTATAAATAGTTATATAGCAGACACATGTATAATACTTCTAACACACATAAATCATCAAGAGATAGAAAGAGAAATTCCATTTAAAGTTATTGTAGAAATTATAAAATATTTGGGAGTCCACCTGCCAAAACAAACCCAGGAACTATATGAACACAATTACAAAACACTTTTCACACAAAGAGTCAGAACTAAATAATTGGAAAAACATCAGTTGCTTGTGGGTAGACTGAACTAATATAATAAAAATTGCAATTCTACCTAAATTAACTTATTTATTCAGTTCCATACCAATCATACTGCCAAAAATTATTTTATAGAGCTAGAAAAAATAATAACAAAATTCATCTGGAAGAACAAAAGGTCCAGAATATTAAAGGAATTAATGAAAATAAATGCAAGGGAAGGTGGCCTAGCCATACCAGATCTTAAATTGCATTATAAAGCAGCAATTATCATAACTACTTGGTACTGGCTAAGAAATACAGTGGTGGATCAGTGGAATAGGTTAGGTATACAAGGCACAGTAGTCAATGATTATAGTGATCAACTGTTTGATAATCCCAAAGACTCCAACTTCAGGGATAAGAATTCACTATTTAGAGGCAGCTAGGTGGCGCAGTGGATAGAACACTGGCCCTGAAGTCAGGAGTACCTGAGTTTAAATCCGGCCTCAGACCAAACACTTGACACTTATTAGCTGTGTGACCCTGGGTAAGTCAACCTCAATTGCCTTTTAAAAAAAACTCACTATTTGACAAAAACTGCTGGGAAAACTAGAAAAGAGTATGGCAGAAACTAGGCATAGACCAGCATCTTACACCCTATACCAAGATAAAGTCAAAATGGGTACATGATTTAGATAAAAAGGCTATACTATAAGCAAACTGGAAGAGCAAGGAATAGTTTACCTGTCAAATTTATGGAGAAGGGAAGAATTTTTGACTAAACAAGAGATAGAGAACATTATGAAATACAAAATGGATAATTTTGATTACATTAAATTGAAAAGTTTTTGCACAAACAAAGCCAACGCAACTAAGATTAGAAGGGAAGCAGAAAACTGGGAAAGAATTTTTACAATCAGTGTCTCTGATAAAGGCTTCATTTCTAAAATATATAGAGAACTGTGTCAAATTTTTAAGAATACAAGTCATTCCCCAACTGATCAATGGTCAAAGGAAGAAATTGAAGCTATCTATATTCAAATAAAAAAAATGCTCTAAATCACTAGTGATTAAAGAAATGCAAATCAAAATGACTCTGAGGTACCACATCACACTATCAGATTAGCTAACATGACAAAACAGGGAAATGATAAATGCTGGAGAAGATGTGGGAAAATTGGAACACTAACACATTGTTGGTGGAGTTGTGAACTGATCCAATTATTCTAGAGAGCAATTTTGAACTATGCACAAAGGCCTGTAACACTGTGCATACCCTTTGACCCAGCAATACCACTTCTAGGGCTGTGTCCCAAAGGGATCATATAAATGAGAAAATGACCCACATGTACAAAAATATTTTGGCAGCTCCTTTTGTGGTGGCAAAGCATTGGAAATTGAGGGGATGCTCATCAGTTGGAGAACGGCTGAGCAAGTTGTGGTATATGAACGTAATGGAATATTCTTGTGCTATAAGAAACGATGAGCGGGCAGACTTCAGAAAAACCTGGAAAGACTTACATGAACTGATGCTGAGTGAAGTGAACAGAACCAGGAGAACACTGTACACAGTAACAACCACACTGTGTGATGACTAACTTTAATAGACTTATCCCTTCTTAGCATTGCAAGGATTGAGGACAACTCCAAAAGACTCATGATGGAAAATGTTGTCCACATTCAGAAAAAGAACTATGAAGTATGAATTCAGATCGAAGCATATTATTTGCTTTCTATCTTTTTTGTTGTTGTTTCTTCTTTCTCATGGCTTCTCCCATTGGTTCTAATTCTTCTTTGCAACATGACTAATGTGAAACTAGGTTTAATATGAATGTATATTGAGCCTATATCAATTTATACACTGCCTTGAGGTGGGGGGAGGGAAGAGATGGGGAGAAAATTTGGAACTCCAAATCTTATGGAAGTGAATGTTGAAAACTAAAAATAAATAAATAAATTGATTTTAAAAATGCTTTCAAACAATAACTCTCTTACCTGTAACTCAAGTGGTGGTTCACTGATTTGAAGAAAATTTTGTATTTCACCTAACCTTACATCAAATTTGGCACTGTTTTGCTCTTGGATTTTTAGCTCTTCCTAAAACACAATTTAAAGAAATAGTGGTATTAACATTTCTTCTTTCAAATTTTATTCATATCTTATCTTCCAAAATGCAATAGCAATTGCCAATAATAATAACGCAATTCATTCATGAGAAAACTAAAGAAGCTAGATGTTAAGGAACTTGCTCAGGATTATATAATAAGTATCTAAGGCCAAATTTGAACTCAGGTCTTCCTGTATCCAGGCCCAGCATTCTATCCATTGTACCACCTAGGTAGGTACCTTTAAAGGAGAGAAGAATTAGATCATGACTTTTAATTTATATAATATCTCAAATCACTTCTCAAAGTATTTGATGACAAAGGAGTGTAGAGTGTGTGTGTGTATGTGTGTGTGTGTGTGAGAATATAATATTTAACTAATCATATATGTAATTTAAACAAGTAAATATATACATATATGAACATATATGCATATATACGTATGTATCAGGGGAAAGTTGACATCCCTACTTTTGAATCATTTATATCCAGATAAAGAAATTGTTTTATTTTTATGATGTATTTTTAAAGCTTCATTATATCTTTAGAAACTTTTGTGCCTAATTCCAAGTTGTATTACAAAAGTTTGATTCCTTGATGCTCTCAGATAACGGATTCTTTTAAAGCCCAAGCTTTAGGCTTCTTAGGTTCTTTTGAGAAAATATTTTATTTATGCCATCAAAAAAACAAACAAACTCCACACCCTACCCATGGGAACTTCTAGATGGGCTATGCAATGATCATGATATTTGTCTTTGATGAGCTCTTTAGGGATTCGACAAAAGGGACTGGCTTTTAGTATCAAATGAAATAACAGTTGTAAAGTACTTAGCACAGGGCCTAGCACACAGTTGGTGCTTCATAAATGCTTCTTTTTCTCTTTATCATCCCCTTTCATTTTAGGATCAATGTAGGGGATCATCAGGGAAATGAAAGACTCTCTAATAGTTTTCCCATCCCACCACAGGGGATGGGAGAGAGAGAGAGAGACAGAGAGAGAGACAGAGAGAGAGAGAGAGAGAGAGAGAGAGAGAGAGAGAGATGGTTGTTACAAGGCACCAGTTTTGACACCTATAGCTCACATATTATATCTTGCTTTAAGTTCATCTTACAAATGGACTTTTCTTATTTCTGTACAGTTACCTGCAACCGTGTTCTTTCTGTGTCATTCAGCTGATGGCCTTCAACTTTTATAAGCACTTTTTGAATCCATTCATCAATTATATTTGTCAAATTAAGAAGTTTTTCCCACAAGGCTAGAGCCCTGACCAGATTATCATAATAGTTTTCTGTCTTTTCATTTATCTGTCACAAATTAAAGACAAAATAATATTCTCAGTAATGAAATAATAGGAAAAATATCATTTTAGACAGAGCAATATTTTAAAATAACACTGCGTGTTTATCTTCACTTGTCAAATAATTTATTTTACTTATGAATAAAATTATCTGCTTGGCCTTTTCTTCACAGTCATGTCTCTGAGAAAAAAACAGTGGCTGATTTGTTGAAATTGACATGAATTGCAATGCAGTTGATCATAATTCCAGAAGCATAAAAAAGATGTTCATTTTAAACTCCACATAAATATATATAAATACATATAAATACTTTCAACTTATATTTCAGTAAATGCCACATATGCAATATGCTATTATTCTACCAGAAGTGATATAGTATCCAATTTATTCTGAATAATATTAGTTTCAAGAAGTATAATTGAAATAATATAGCTAGGTAAAATTAACAGTTATTTATCACATACATCAAGCCATCTGTCCACAATAATATTAGCCTCTTTCTCAAAGGGGGGTTCCGCAAAGGTTATCATTTTGTTTAGCTGGAATTGCAAATTTTTGCAGATCTGATTTATTTTTTCTACATCTTCTGAATGTTTATTAAATTCCTCTCTGACAGTTTCAATCTGTAAAAAAAAAAAAAGATACAGAAGTACATTTTTAAGTCCTTGTATGTAAGATTATAACTTCAATTATACCTTTTAACAGAATTGAGTCTTATTAACAGTATTGACTCTTAAAATAAAGCAACACTGTAAAAGTGTTATTTATACCCTTGAATGCAGTAATAGAATTTCTACTCATTGACTGTTGAATCACCAATTGGTAAGGATTCTACTCATCATTCTAAAACTCTTCAGATAGCTTAAAAAACGGGTATATATTTTGTAATTAACCTAACTTTAACCCAAACTCAAACTACTTTCTGTTCTATCTGGTGAATATTTGTAATTTTTATAAAATTATTTTTCTTGCTTAAATTAAGTAAAATTCAGTAGCATCAAAAATGATTGACATTCCCATCTTCTTGGCACTCTAGATAAGTGTGGTAAGAAATACAAATCCTTTCTGGATATCTCTTAACTTCTGCAAAGTACAAAATAACTTAGGGAGTGAACTACATAACTTTTACCTAAAAGAGGCAATTAAAAGCCTAAAGAACAACACACTGGTAAATTCCATACACTCAAAGTTTATTACTGTATTGAATCCACCAATCTCACAGCATACCAATATGTAAAACTAGAAAATACTGACATCTAGTGCCTATAACCTGACCAAAACAAATAACATTTTCTATAGACAATGGAATCTACTTTTACATAGGCATGGCCAATTCCTGTGAGACAATGATGGGTAAGATAGCGAACTTTTAAAGAGAGACAGGAACTGTGGGGTTTTTTTGTTTTGTTTTGTTTCACAATGAATGAGAGTTTTATATAATGGCAAAAAAAAATCTTGTTCTGACATTTCCTAAGGTTGGCTAATCCTCTGGCTCTCTATCTTTCTAGTATTTCTTTTACTCTTCTGTCTCTCAATGAGGTTGGGAACTTGGCATTATGCACCAGACAGACACTCATCTTTCTAAAGTTCTAAAGAAGGAAGTTCACAGTGTTATCAAGTTTCAATCACATTGGTGAAAACCAGCATAATGATCTAGTTATTTTCTGGGTTTATATTGAAAACAGTGTAGCTATCTTAGTATTAAGTGAAAAGTTTTTCAAGAATCTTAAGAAAACTTAGAAAAAAAGTTTTGGTTTTTTTCCTGAGGGGGGGAAAAACAGTATTCAATAGATGTGGATATCCAAATCGCCTACAAAAGTTAATAATCATTTTATTGACTTGCTGTGGAGAGTTAGAAATATCAACAATAAGAAAAGTCAGAAATTTAGTAAGACTTTAAAGAGGCTTACAGATGCCATTTTATTCATTTTAAACCATCCCTCAAAAAGGCTTTACATTTCATGAACTCAATATAATAAGCTATTTAAGTGTTTATGTGCAGACAGGCACAGAAAGGGGAGGGGGGAGGAGGAGAAGGAAGAGGAGGAGGAAAATGAAGGGGAGCAAGAGGGGGAGGGAAGGGAAGAAGAAAGACAGAAGGAGAAGAGAGGAGATGAAGAGCCTTCCAGAATGGAGCTAAGAATCTCATGTGAGGGTAGGGGATTTAAAAAACAAATAAATAGCAATAATATGTAAGAAATGATAATAACTGAAGAAGAATAGTAGAAGCAAAGTCCTACTGACGGTCCTTAGAGGAAAAAATCTTTTCCAAATAGAGGAAGTTTTGAAGACAAGTAAGAATTAAATAGGTCAACTGACAGGAGGGGAAGATATTCCAGGCATATCACACTAAAGAGGCAAGAAAATTACCAATTTTATTCAGTTTTAAACTTCTGAAACACTTTTTAATATAAATTTTCTTCTTTATTATGAACTTAAATATCAATATAAACACTTTAATACACAAAGATCGGAATTGTAGATGAAACTGTGAACTTCTATTATGTACAGTTTTATATTATGTATACAGTGCTACATGTAGTTATGCCTAATTACAAAACTGTGCCCAATAATGTTTTCTTTATAATATAAAAATGAGGCTTTGAACATTAGTAGAGTATTAGAGGTAGACTTAAAAGATTAAGTAGAGAACTAATCATTATAAATATACTAAATTGCTCAGGGTTGATAAATATTCTCATGCTTATTTTTTTTTGCTCTTTGGAGGATTTGCTAGTACTTTTTTGCTTGATACTACTGTAGCGGAATTTCAGGAGGGTGGAGGCAGGACCAGAGCTGGACCAATGTAGAAGCTCTTTTCATCTTACAGAGGTAAGAGGAATGATGAAACCCATCATGGAGTGACTCCTGTTCCCAGACCAACTTCAGATGCATCCTAGACCTCTAGAAGTCTTCCCAACCACAGATGCCCCCAAAGAAGGCTGGTTTAAACTGGGTTTTTAGAACTCTCCCTAGTCAATAATAACAATCCCAGAAGCGGAAAAAGATCAGATCAAGGAGCTTTCACTCTACAGCTTCTGGCTGTTGATTAGCATTCATCTCTGGTGAAAAGGATGACAGCCACACATAAACTCAGAACCACAAGACAATATTACATTACTTCCTTCATTCAAAGGACCAAAGGCAAGAGAAACAGTAATAACTTAAGCTTAGGAGACCCAGATAACAAAATCAATAACACCATCCCATACCTTAGAGGCTCACAACAATGTCAAGAGGTGAGATTTGCAAGTATTATTATTTCCATTTTAGAGATAGAAGAATTGAGGGTGAGAAAGCTTAAGTAAGTCACTTGCTTAAGATCATTCTGATAGCAAGCTGTAGAACAAGGATCAGAACTCTGGGCTTCAGATTCTTCCTGTGCTCTTTCCAATAAACCAAGGTTTCTACTGAAGTTTCATTTTTAAGCCCTGGCTATAATATTTGGAGACCTTGTGAATACCCTCATTAATAATATGCTCAAAGCCAAAGATCCTAAAATGATTCCATTCAGCTGCATTAATTTAACAAGAACTTATTAAACACCAGTTTTGTCCCTGAGACTCTAAATGTGCCCTTTATTCTTTTTAGCATTGCACTAACAGTTTAACATTCCCTGTCAGCAATTCTACCTTCATTTTTGACATTTTTATGCAAAAATGCACAGAAAAGCAAAGAAAACAAGAAGAAAAATGGCAAAGTAAAGGAAGAAAAAGACAACTGTCACCCTGCAAAAATTAACATGATCAATCACGCTTGAAGAGCTCACCTTTGCTATTCTCCTCTTCAGATTTTCCTTTCCCATGTAAGAAGCCTGCAGTGAGATCACATTCTCTTCTTTGTGGATCAAAGAGGTCAGAATACTTTTGCAATTCTGATATTGCTTCAGGAGATCCATTGTTCTTTGGCATTGCTCAAGGCTATGAAAAGGAAGCATTTATACTTAGGTACGTTTTAATTAACACACTACAATTCTCCCTTTGCAAATGCCCAACCGTTAATTTTGTTCAGTCTATTTTCAGTCATGTCCAAATATTTATGACTCTATTTTGGGGTTTTCTTGATAAAGATAGTGGAGTGGTTTTCTATTTTCTTCTCCAGCAACTTTCACACATGAAGAAACTATGGCAAACAGGGTTAGATGACTTACCCAGGGTCATATAGTTAGTAAGTGTCTGAAGCTGAATTTGAACTCAGGTCTTCCTGACTCCAACGCCTGGCACTCTATCCACTGTGTAATCTAATTGCCAACTATTAATTAACTACCTAATAAGAAGAAATTCTCCTATTCAAATAGTTTCACAATATTAAGTTTTACCAACTTAAATTAAAAATCACTGCAATTATATTTACTTAATAGACTTCAAAGTGAACCACCCTACTAACATTTTCTCCAGACCAACCATACAGGTAACTTCAGGGAGAAACACTAGAGAATAACTCTGATTTCATTTTCTATCCAAAGTATAATCTCTCCAGAAATGCTCAATCCTTAGCATTACCCAGGGTATTAATTTTCTATTAACTCACAAAGGTTTGCATGATGACCATATTTTGTTAAACCATACCAAGACATGTGGGCTGACAAAGCATGGTACTTTTGAAACGTCTCATTAACAATACACTTTCATTTCCTTAAGTTGTGACCATCCCAGATAGTGTTATGGTATTATGCTCACAATTATTCTACCCAGATCTAGCCATCTCCAAAAGATGAAACAATCCAGTTTTAGCTGATCTAGGTTCTACACAAAGAATTTCATTGTCACCTAATTTCCTGCATTATGGATGTTCTTTAGTAAGATCTACATTCAAATATAATTTTATGGGGGTGAGGATATGTTGGTTTTTTTTTTTATTTTGGAAGAGTGCTCTTGCCTTACCATTCTTCAACAGAGTATTTCACATCTTCCCATAAACATGCTGTCTCTTGGCATTGTTGACTTGGGATTTTTCCTTTTCCATCTTTCAACTGTGGAAGAGAACTGGCCATTTTTCTGAGGTAGTCTATCTCCCCAGCATAGTAATCCAGATCCTTCTCCAGTTTGGTTAATGATTTTATCCTTGGTTATAAAAGAAATTTTTTTACTTATTAGGGAAGGGGAAAGGGATGCATTTATATAGCGCCTACTGTGTACCTGGCACTGTACTAGTGCTTTACAAATGTTGTCTCATTTAATCTTCACAGCAACCCTGTGAGGCAGTCAAGATTATTAACCCCATTTTATAGTTGAGGAAATTGAGGCAGGCAGAGGTTAAGTGCTTTGCTCAGGGTCACACATCTGGTAAGTATCTCAGGTGGGATTTGAACTGAGGTCTTTCTGACTCCAGGCCCAGTACTCTATCCACCTATCTAGATATTCAACTAAAAATTAATAGAAAGGATTAATAATTCTAATAATTATTAGAGTATAAAATAAACTCATACAAATCATCAACAGAACCCAGCAGAAAAAATAGAAAAAATTCTACCCAAAATTACTATAGAATGTATATAATATCTAGGAGTCAAAGATATAAGCAGAAATTATATGACTATAACTACAAAATACTCTTTATAGAAAGAATGAAATGTTTAAATAACTGGATTGGAATTAATTGCTCATGGTTGGGCATTATAATAAAAATTATAATATATAATTAATATAACAAAATTATAATACCTAAATTAATTTATAGAATCAGTATTATATCAAACTACCAAAAGATTAGTGTATAGAACTATTTAAAATAATAACAGAATTCCTCTGAAGGAACAAAAGGTCAAGAGTCTCAACTGAATTTTTTTCAAAATAGAAAAGAAAGAGGCCTAAATCCAACAGATCTCAAACTATACGTACCAAGCAAAATCATCTAAACGATTTAGTACTGGTTTAAAAATAAAAAAGTTGATCAATACAGAACAGATTGGGTAAACAAGGTGCAAAATCAACTGAACATAGAAGCTAAATGTCCAATAAACTAAAAGATACAAACTTAACATGAATAATGAAAGAATTTATTTTGCTTAACTATGCATATTTGATATGAGGTGATTTTTTCCATATTACTTTGAAAGGAGGAAGAGGCATCTAAGAGAGAAAATGGATTTTTGTTCATTAAAAAAAATGAAATTTAATGTAAAAGTGAACAAGGGGGAGACAGCACATATAGGGAAGCAGTCACCAGTAATGGATGTTTGGGCCCAGTTTCAAATTCTCAAGGAGGGGGCAGGCTGGGAGGGAGAGAATTTAAAACTTAAAATTTTAAATTAATATTAAATTTTTACTTGTAATTGGGAAATATTTAACAAAATAAATAAAAAATATATTGAAAAAATAACTAGATTCAAATCAGAGTTTATATCAGTCTGGTTAGAAAGACTTCATCAATTATTTTGGAATAAATGGAATTTAATTCTTAAAGATAAAAAGGAAAGAAAATAGGGAAAATTAAGACTTACATCAACATTTCAAAACACATGCCACAAGAAGTTCCAAAAGGACAAAAGGTCATTTAATAAACTAAAAGAGAATAGAAGGAAATACTTTTTACCACTCAGCATAAAGAAGGAGTTTGGGGCCAAACAAAGGAGAAGATCATAGGAGATAAAACAGACAACTTTGGTTGCATAAAACTGAAAACTTTTTGAGAAAAAAAAAATCAAAAGCGGCATTGTCAGAGAAAAGGGGGAAAACAGTTAACTGGGGGAAAATATTTACAGCAAATTTCTTTAATAAAAGCCTGATGTCCAAAAAAGAAAAGGAATTGATACAAATACAAAAGAAATGGAGCCATTCCCCAATAGGCAAATGGTCAAAGGATAAGAGCATGCAGTTCTTTAGAAGTTCAACCTATCAACAGCTATGTAAAACATTCCAGATACCCAGTAGTAAGAGAAATCAAATAAAACAACTCTGAGGTTCTACCTCAAAGTTATCTGATTGCCAAAGATGACAAAAATGGAAAATAATAATTACTGGAGGGGTTATGGGAAAACAGACACACGTAGTGGAGCTGTGAAGTGATTCAACTATTTTGAAAAGTATGAAACCAAAGTCACTAAACTGTGCATACCCTTTAACTTCGTGATACTACTAGAAAGCAAAACGATCAAAGACAAAGGAAAAGAATCAAAAGTCAAAAAAGGAAAAGAATACAAAAATAATGTAACAGCATTTTTTCCTGCTGCAGCAAAAAACTGGAAGACAAATTGGTTGCCCATCCATAATGGAATGGTACATGACTCTTATGGAATATTATTGCACCATAAGAAATTATGAAAGGCATGAATTCAAAGAAACCTAGGAAGACTTGAGAGCAAAGAGAGCAGGATTAGGAAACCTATTTCTAAAATGACCAAAACATTATGTGAACAATTTTGAAAGACTGAAGAACTCTGATCAATGTAATAACCTATCATCTCTCCAGAAGATGAATGTTGAAGCATTACTGCAACCTCTTGGTGGAGAGGAGAAGGTCTATCAGTGCAGAAGGAGACAAATATTTTCAGCACAACACAAATTTGATTTACTTGACAAGATATATTTGTTATAAAGGAGAGCTTTTAATTGGATATTAGAGTAGTATTGGAGAGGAAGTGAGAGTAATAGGCCAAAAAAAAAGAAAGGAAAGAAATGAATACCACAAAACATTCAAAAATCCACCGAAGAGAGCTCAGAAGGGGACATGGACAAGCAAGGCAATTTTGGCACCAGTAAGATACATCTGATATAGATATATACATATACATATATACACACATAAACATATAAACATACAAATATGCATGTGTGTATATTTTTATATGATTAAAAAGAAAAAGGCCACATATAGTGGATTCATGTACAATTCACTTTTTCAGGTCCTATTTGCATATGGAGTTATTCATATTTGTTGATGATTCTCTAATTCTTAATAAACTTCTAAAAATAACCAATAATTATTTGAGAATAATTAAAATATATTATAATTATATATGTGAATATATATTTTTGCAAATAAATACATAACAGCATTTTAAAGCTAGCATATTTTAAAACATAGCATATATATGTGTGTGTGTATGTATATATACAGATACATATATATTCATACATAAAACTAACATTTTGAAGCTCACTAAACATTTTCCTCACTACTTTCCTATGAGGCAGTATAAATATCCTTACCACTTTCTGACAGATGAAAAATGTTATGTTCAGAGACAATAACTTGTTCACAGTCATACACCTAGAAGTATCAGAACTGAGACTTGAACCCACATTTCTAATTCTAGAGTCCCATACTCTTTCTACTAAACCAGAAACCTACATTGTTTTTAGATTATAATAAATGGTAACTACTCACCTCTGTTTCACTGCTGGAATTGTTGGATCTTTGAGGCCAATTTTATTGATCTGGTCTTGAACATATGTAATGTTTTTAAGGATCTCATTATTTTTTGCAATAAAAACCTCTAGTAATTGGTCTTGTCTAGTGAAATCTTCAGGTTCATTATGGCCATGTGTCTCATCTATCATTTTTAAGAAAACTTCAATGAGTTTTTCACAGCAAGTATCTTCACCCCGTTCAGCATTTTTTAAGCTTATATCAAGCATTTTCATACGCTGATCCAAACATCTGGCCTCATCTTTTATCAGTGGAATTTTTTTCTGCACATCTTCCATCGTCCAGGTTCTGTCTTGCACCACAGGTATATCTGATATTGAAAAATCTGTTGCAGGCTGAATAGAAAGTTTAGCTTTTCTCAGGGAGGCCAAAAAGTCCTCAAGAGCTTTGATGGCTATTTCAGTGTTCTGCATTTTGTGGTTCATTTCTTCAAATTGTGTTTTATATTTTACTATAATGTTCTGAATTGCATGAAGATCCATTGGGTTAAATTCACATAATGCATCACTGCCTGGATGTTCCAAGTTACTACATAATTCAATTTGTTTTGCTACACTACTCTGGATATCCTGAAATAAAGATAAGAATACCTTAGAACATAGTCAGAGAAAGACAGATGCCATGTAATGAACAAGCAAAATTATGAGACTAGGTTTGAACTTGAAAAATACTCTGGAATTTAAACAAAGTTGTGAGCGTGGACAGAATGGAATGTTCTGATTTGGTCATGCAGTATCCTCTCCAATAATCTTACCCAAAGGAAAACAAACCAATATATCAATAATGTAAGAAGAAATAACAGCAGACATAACTGAAATGTTTATGATTTTCATTAACTACAAAGCACTTTCCCCTTCTTCCTCTTCTCTTTCCTCCCCACATTCCCTCCTCCCTTAAAAACAAAAATGAAAACAAAGAAACAACCACCACCATTTAGGATAAAATGAGAGTTTGAAGAATTTAGATAAGTCAAATAATAAAAAGCAAAAATATCTTTGCTAAAGCCAATGTGTTAAGGATATTATGATGCTAATGTCAGTCAATGAATAAGCATTTATCAAGCTATTGCTATGTGCCAGGCATTGGGAATACAAAGAAAGGCAAAAGATAGTTCCTGCTCTCAAGAAATTCAGAGTCTAAAAGGTAACTAAAATGATACCTTATGACACATTGAATTAATGCCAAAGTCTCCTGGTAGTGCAGAGGAAGATGATTATAAGAATATGGGAAAATTTTAATGCCTTAAGAAAACAAAGTAGATATCAAAATGTTATCACCTTAGGTGATCTACCTCAAAAGTTGTAACTAAGAAGATTTGAAGATGTAAATGACACATCTACATTAATGAAGACTTTTCTCTGTCGTGATACTAGATTTTATATTTGAATTATTAATAAAGTTGTGCTTATTGATTTTAAATAGTACATATCTATGAATCTTCCAGAAGAGATCATTCTGTTATAACTACACGGGAAGAAAAGTCTTCTTTTTTTACCTTAAGATTTCGGTAAGCATCATCACTACCAACTAGATTAAATTCTTGTATTTCCATCATATGAAGGAGTTGTTCTGAGTCACCAAGGAGAGCAGCTTCCCTTTCTATTGGCAAAACGATCCTCAATGCAGCGTCTAAGGATTTCATCCTATGAGAAAAATAAACAGAGGGATAAGCCAGAGAGCCATCGTAGCAAGCTTTCTCTTAGAAAATAATTCTACAACAGTTTCAGTTCAATTTAATTCCATAAATATTTAGGTGCCTCCTTTGGGCAAGGGTTCCTTACTAAGCAATAGTTTATAAAGGCAAACTGAAAAAATTCATGACCCCAAGTAGCTTACTTTCTATCATTTGACCAAAAACATACATAATAACACATTGACATGAGTTTAGATTCCTGCTGACAGTGCCATGACAGTGCTTCAGCTATTGAAGATGAGTCTATCCAGAATTCTGATAATTCCATACAATGGAAACATAAGAATTTAATCTAACCAGTAGTGATGATGCTTACCAAAATCTTAAGGTAAAAAAGACTTTTCTTCCTGTATAGATAGACTCATCTTCAATAGCTAAAGCACTGTCATGGCACTGTAAGCAGGAATCTAAAGTGATCAACTGTAATCATATGCAACAGAGTTAAAAAATAAAAAAAGAGTCAGGATCAGGGTGCCAAGCTAAACTTCCTAAAGAAACAAAGTGAAGACTTATCTGTTCCTGTCTGTGCTCTCTAGCATGTCAGGTTTATCCTTTTAAGTACTTAAGAGGTTTTTTTTAATTTTATTTTAACCATTGGGGTAGAAACCTTTCTGGGGCAGCTAAGTGGTGCAAAGGATGGAGTGCCAGGCCTGGAATCAGGAAAACTCCTCTTCTCGAGTTCAAATCTGGCCTCAGATACCTACTAGCTGTGTGACCCCAAGCAAGACCCTAGTGGCCTCAGTTTCCTCATCTGTAAAGTGAGCTGGAGAAGGAAATGGTAAACCACTCCAGAATCTTTGCCAAGAAAACCCCAAATGGGGTCACAGAGAGTCTGACGTGACCAAAAAATGACAAGAAACTTTTCTAAAAAGTATATCTCTCCTGACATTTTAAGTAGATTATAATGAGTATAACCTGATCCTATCATGATGCCCAAAAGTCATCATTCCAAAACTTTCTATTTTCTCTTAAGCTCCTAACTTCACCCCCAACAACCAATTGCAGATGACTTAGCCTCTTCACGGACCTTGATCCAGCAGTCATGCCCCTTCTGTCATTCTTCTTCAGTCTTCCTCTTCACTAATCCCTTCTTATTATCCAATAAACATATCCCCCAACTTGAAAACATGGCTTCCCCATCTTCCCTATCTAGCAAGTGTCTCATCCCTGTCTACCATTCCAGCACCTAAGTTATTTACATTTTATGGCTAAACTTTGTCACTTTCTGTCACTTCCCACTAAATTCCTCTTAATGTGGTTTGTGTCCTGCTACTATTACTCTCACAGATGTAATGAGTTCCTAATCATGACATTCAGTGGCCTCTTTTTTCCAGTCCTCATCATCCTCTTTGACTTTCCTGCAGCATTTGACACAGACCCCAGGCTCCTAAATGTAGAGTTGGAAGATACCTTGGAGATTATCTAGTCTGATTCCCTCACTTTACAAAAGATGGAACTGAGGCCCACAGAGGCTAAATAACTGGCCCAAGGTCATGCAGTTAGCAATTAGAATTGACCGCTATCCCTCTTGCTGGCTTGTGTGATTTACCTTTTCTCCCACAGTGTATTGGAAAGAGTGCTGGGCTTGGGAGTCAAAAGAAAACTGAGTTCAAATCCCACTTCTGACTCTCATTGTATGACCATGACCCTGGATAAGTCACAATCAATCTGAGCCCTGATTTTCTCACCTGTAAAAGAGTGATATTACTTGTAGTTGCTACCTCAGAGAGTTATTCTAGGGAATTCAATGAAATAGGGTATGAAATATTTTGCATATCTTTAAGAATTCTATTATTCTATTATTATTAATTATAAATGATGTAATTATTATATTATTATTAATGCTTCTATATCTCTTTCACAAGCTTCTGTTCTTCACAACTCCATTAAGGTGAGTGTTCCCAAAAGTTCAGTTCTTGTGCCTCCTCTCTGTCTCTGTCTCTCTGTCTACCTCTCTCTCTCTCTCTCTCTCTCTCTCTCTCTCTCTCTCTCTCTCTCTCTCTCTCTCTCTCTCTCTCCCTATTTCTGTGTGTGTGTCTCTCTCTGTCTCTGTCTCTCTCTTTCCCTCCCTGTCTCCACCCATCGCTTTAGTTACCACCCACATGCAAAGAACTCCTAAATTAATACCTACAGCCTTGTCTGAGTTTATTATCTTACCCTAAAATCTTGTTCCTTCTTCTGACTTCCTTCCTTCTATCTATCAGTTGTATCTACTCTCCTTTGCTCAAAACTTGATGCTATTTTTTTTCCTTCCCTTCCCTTCTTCTCCAAAGGAGAACCTGCATTTAGAATGCTTGGCTTCTAGTCTCAGCTCTGCTCCTCTCTCACTACCTATGTGACCTTTGTGGGCCCATTTCCTCATTTAGAATAAAAGGGGGAGGGCCAATCAGTTACCAGGTTTTGTCAGCTCTCTCTCCACTCTTCCTCTTTGTTCCCACTGCCACCACACTAGCATAAGCCCCATTATTACTAGCCTGTTTTACTGTAATCCCCTCTTAACACAGCCTCTTCCTTTCTTTCTCTCATCCTCCCACTATATTCTCCAGACCACTTTCAAAATAATCTACCTTATCATTGCCCTAAACCCCATCAGTTTTTTCCTATTGCTAAGTAATAATCAAAGTGCTTAGCTTGGCATTCAAGAGCTTCCACCATCTGGAAGCACCCTATCTTTCTCGTTTAATTCATATTACTCCTTTCCAGATATATTATGGCAGGTGGGCAATGCAGTGAATAGAGCACTGGACTTAGATTCAGGAAGTTCCAAGTTCAGAAGTCAGAGTTCCAATCCTGCCTAACATATTTACTTAATTGGTGACTTTGGACAAGTCACTTAACTTCTGTTTCCCCATCTGTAAAATGGGCATAATAATACCTCAAAGGATTGTGAAGACCAAATGAGCCAATAACATATATGTAAAGTACATCGTAAATCTTAAAGAGCTATATAAATGCTAGCTATTATTACTCTTACATTACACTGGAAAAAAAAGAGGACTGGACTATTCACTATTCCCTAAACTACTCTTTGTTTTTCCATCTCCATGCTTTTGTTCATGCTGTCCTTATTCTTGGAATATCCTTCTTCCCCATCTTTATCTGTTGAGTTTCGACCCTTCCATTAAAGCAGCATTTTCCAAACTTTTTCATCTTCAAGACCCTTCTATACTCTTAAAAATTATTGAGAACTTCCCCCTCCAAGAGCTTTTGTTTGTGCTGCCTATATCTATCAATGTTTACCATATCCAAAATGTAAATGTCTTAATAATAATATGAAAATGATTTCGACCTTGCAGACTCTCAGGGGTCCTCCTCACTTCTCCTCCTTTTCTTCCTTCTCCTCCTTTTTTTAAGACTGCGTCTCGCTATCTTGCCCAAGCTGAAAATGCAGCAATCACTCACAGGCCTGACCCCACTGCCAATCAACATTTAATCTGCTTTGTTTCTGACACAGGCTGCTTCACTTCTTCTTGGGCAGTCTGGAACCCCCCTCTCCCACATCTAGGGGCTCACCATATTGGTGTTGTACATAGTATGGACACCCATTTGACTTTAGCCCTAAAGCTCAGCTCAGAACTCCTCAGCACAAACGATCTACCAGCCTCAGGCTCCCCAGTAATAGGGATTATAGGTACCAGACCCATTCTAGGGCTCTATATGGGATCATATGATTTAGAACCAGAAGGGATCGTAAAAAAACAACAACAAAAAAACCCCATATAATTTAATGCTTTCATTTACAGAGGGAAAAGTCCCAAAGAAATTAAGCGATTTGTTCTAGGTCACACAGCTTATAAGTAGCAGAGCTAGCATTCGAACACAGTAACTTTAAGTCCAAATTCAGTGTTCTTTCCAGCACTTCAGGCTGTGCCTTTTTAAAATTAATTAATTAATTAATTTTGATTTATCAATAATCACTTCCATATGTTTTTGAGTTTAAAATTTTTCTCCCCCTTCCTCCACACCACCCTCCGCAAGACGGCGCGCAATCTGATATAGGCTATACATTACATTCCTATTAAACATATTTTCACATCAGTGATGTTGTAAGTAAGAATTAGAACCAATAGGAGGAACCACCAGAAAGAGGAAACAAAATTCAACAGAAGAAAAAAAAATAGCAAATACTATGCTTTGATCTGCATTCAAACTCCACAGTTCCTTCTTTGGATGTGGACAGCATTTTCCATCAGGAGGCCTTTGGAGATGTCTTAGATCCTTGTATTGCTGGGAAGGGTTAAGTTTATCAATATTACCACACAAGGTGGCTGTTATTGTATACAACGTTCTCCTGGTTCTGTTCACTTCACTCAGCATCAAGTCTTTCCAGGTTTTTCTGAAGTCAGCCTGTTCATCATTTCTTATAGCTGTGCCTTTTTTTTTTTTACTATAAAATGGGGATAATAACACTTGAATTTTATTTCTCACATGGTAATTGTGATTATCAAGTGTGTAACATGTGAAAAGGAAACTGATAAACTGGGAGGTCTGGATGCCTGAGGGGACATCTATATGTAAATTAAAATATTGAGGTGCCCAAGTGTGTAAGCAAAGTAGACCCAAAGACTCTAAGATAAATGTTAAAATTCTCAAGAAAGGGGACAATATGACCTGAGGGCCAGTAGATAACTGCAAGCAAGATCTGAACAGGGTGATGACATATGTAGTTGTAATGAACCTCAAAGGAAGAGAGCATGCTCAGTCACGGTATCATGGGAAGGTCTAGGAGTGGCAGTGAGTCTACCTGTTCCTCTTCCTTGCCCAGTGTGCCAAGGAGAATGAGATGAGCAACCCATCCCAGAGAGGTTGGCCAGGGACAGAGAAGCCAAGTTTCCATGAATAAGAAAAAATGGGAATAAAGTAACTGCTATGTACTTTACAGATATTACCTTATTTGATCCTCACAACAACCATGAGTGGTAGGTGCAATTATGATTCACACTTTACAGTTAAAAAAACTGAGGTAAAACAGAGTGCAAAACAATTGTTGTTCATCTTTTGTTTCGGAAGAGGACCAATGATATCATCGTGTGTTGACTTTGAAGTTAATTGGATTTAAGTGAGGCAGAGCTGCACAAAGTCATCAGCTTCACTCCGTCTTCCAGAGACATCAAAGTCCAGTGGCAAGACAAAAGTCAGGACAACTGGCCTGGGATGCAGTGGATGACCCTGGCATCTTGGAAGTCTGACCAAGCTCTCCACAGCATCTGCTTTCAGCCACCTTCACGGCCATTGGAACAAATTGTTCTCATTGACACATTCCACCGGGGGAAGTCTTCATATGCTTGGGGTAGACATCCCCCAAACTCACCAACGGGTTTGAGGCCTGTCAGTTACCCTTAATTTGGTTTAGCCCTTCTGTCTTGATGGTTTTACTGGGGTGTGGCCATTGCACACACTATCGCTTCTTGAAGCCACAGGTGATAATTGGGGGGCAGGTGTATTGGGGTGTTCATGGAGGACTAGAACCTCTGATATGAGAGCTTGCCAAGTCCTTTTCAGGGCTTCTCATTCACCTTTGGTGCAAAAGAGTATGAAGTGAAGAGATCTAGGCCAAAGAAATATTTAACCATAGAATAAGGGTTCCAGAAGGCACAACGGAACTAGAGAACAGAAGAGGATAAGTACTTAAGAGGCATAGGACAGGCATGAAAAGATGAGGAAAGAATAGAACGGATGGGGAGTTTTTACCTGGAAAACCCTTGACTGAAATACAGGATTTAGGAGATGAGAAGGTAGAAATTTATTGACAATCTAAAGGGAAATCGCTATATGAGTGGGGATCCCATCCTTGGTCCTGTGATAACTAAGGGTAGTAACAATTTGATTTCTTTCAAACAAAAGGGAAGAATAGATATAGTTTTGGGGATCTGAGTTGGTAAATAACTGGCAACTGGCATCTCTGCACCTAAATGAAGATACCCAATATATGGAGTGGGCATTAGGCTCAGATCTCTGGTGGCTATAAGGTCCCAGTAACATACCTCCTCTGGTGTCTCAGGCTCCAGGAGCTTGCAAGCATAGGAATGGAAGTAGAAGAGCTGTGTGTTGGGAACTCACTATCTTTCCCCTCCAAACCCAACCCTCTTACTAGATTCTGTTTCTGACAAGGGCACCGCCATCCTTTGAGTCATTTAGGTGGCCAACTTTGGAATTATCCTTCACGCCTCACTCTCTCTCACTCCTCATAGCCATTTGCTCTCCAAGTTTTGTCTTTTCTACCTCCATAGCATCACTCACGTGTCCCCTTCTCTCCACTCACATAGGCACCTTGGTAAGACCATAACCTTTTGATTGATCTCCCTGCCTCAAGTATCTCCTCTCTCCAATCATTTCCCAGACAGAAGCCAAAGTCATATCTTTAAAGCCTAAGTCTGACCATGTCACCATCCTATTTAAAAAGTTCCAATAACTCCAAATTATCTCTAGAAAAAATATGCAAATTCTTCAGCCTAGTAGTTAAACTCCTTCACAATCTGGCTCCAACCTACTTTTCAAGGATTATTTCATTCTTATCTCTTTCATACACTCTGTGATCTCATCAAATTATGCCACAATTGTTCCCCTAAACAGGAAATTAAACGTCTTATCTACCTACATTTGCCCAAACTGTCCCCTGTGTCAGGGATAATTATCTTGTATTTGCTAACCTATGTGCACAGTTATCCCTTCCACATTGCAGGGTTAGGATCTGGAAAATCTGTGTAAAATTTTTGGCCCTCTCTTCATATCAGAGAAGTCTGAATTTTTTATTTTTGTTTAATAAGGTGCTTATGGTACCTTATTGTAAAATTTGGGTTGATATTATATAATACTGTACATATTTTTATACATTTCTGAGTTTCTAAACTTTTTCTGTGTCATCTGCTGGCCTTTGTGTGTCTGTGGCTTCTACAAAATGCCCCCAAAACTCCTATTTAATTTCTTATGCCAACCCACAATATATTGAAACCGTGACAGGAAAAGTTGCGATGTGAAAGGCATTAACTATACTATAGACCCCAGGTAAATTGTGAGCTCTTCGAGGCCTCAAAAAAGTGGTTTGCTTTTATCTATGTACCATCAGTGTGTAGGCACAAAAGAATAGAGAGAGAAAATAAGGATCCTGAGAGAAATTTTAACTACTCTTGGACAATGCCAAAAAAAGTTATTTACCGTTTGATATAGATACTTGCAGTTAAAAAATACATAGTAATATATTAGTCAGATGGCTTCTTTCCTTATGCTATCATAATTCAGAAGCTCCATATAATTTTGCTGTTAATAAGTCATAATCATAACCCGAAATTATATGCTCAACAGATTTATTGTTCATCATACCTGTTGCTTAGAGTCACTTGAAGCTCTCCCTCTTCTTTCTTTAATTTATCCCTCGTTCGAGAAAGAACAGACCTTTCTAGGTCCCCCACTATATTTTCTAACTTCGATGAAGTCATTTCAAACTCTGTCCAGCAAGAACCGGTTTCATTTTTTAAAACCTGAAGTAGGATGAAAATACTGAGTTAGTACATATTTTAATAGAGACATAATTATAATCCCACATTTCAAAATTATAGATTTTGCTAACTGGGCACAGTGGCAAAGTTAGCAAAACTCCATATGAATAATGACAATTTACAAGTGAGTTGTGTTTCAGTGCAAAATGGGATAAATTCTGCTCTCACTTCATATAAACCAATAGTAGTGAACAATGTCTTTCTAAGTGTATACCGTTATCTTTTCCTTGAACATAAGACAAAGAACATGATTTGAAAGAAATAGTAGAATATGCATTGATACATTCTATTCTTTTGCCCCCTAAAAGCAGGTGTATGTAGTATAAACTAGAAAGAACTTGGATTGCATTGAAACTGATATTAATTAGATGAAAAATGAATGAAATTATTTTGTAAATACTAACTATATTTAGGGTGTACAGGAGCCAGATTGTACTGGCTCATGACAGCCAACTGTTAAATTTTCAGTGTGACCATTTACACTTCGCAAATCAGCAAATGCTACAAAATCAAGGCTTGATTTTTAAAAATTGTCTAGATTTAAGAAAGTGATGGAGAAAATGCTAACATTGCAGATTAAACTTAAAGGTATGTCATGCACACTTTATTATTTTTTTGGAAAGCCAGTTGTGAAACATTTACCAGCATACCCATAGCTATATCCTCCCCCCCCTTCTTTTTCTCTCCCCTCCCTACTCCATGTGTCTCTCTCCTTTCCAGAGGGTCCACACAATATGCTATGTAAGGAACTTCCTCTAGGTCTTATTCATTCATCCACTCCAGAAACATTATTTTGTACCAGTTATACTGTTTGAAAAATTATGTAGGAAAAGTGCTCCTCCACTCTTTCCACATGACTGACTAACTGTTATTCTTCTCTTTTTAAATAATGTTTTACAGGTTTTTAATAATTTTTGTTTTGTGAACTTGACAAACACCAACAAATGTGAATACTCCCTTATTAAAAAAAAAGAGGTGTTATATATGAAATAGCAAATCTCTATTATGTATAGCTTGTTTTTTAAAATATATATAAAAAATATAATGTTAGTTTCAAAGTTGTCCAGTTTGTCTCCTTCTAAACTTTTTTCTGTCTCTTCTGTGTATTTTTTAAATCCTTCTTTTCTTCTTTTTTGAGGAGCATCACTACCACTAATGCTCCTTTCTCAGATAAATCCCCACCTCCCATAAAAGAAACCCTTCCCTTGTAACAAACAAGCATATCCAGGAAGAACAAATGAACACATTTGGCCACCTCCTTTTCCAAGTAAAGTCAACAAGCATTTATTAAACACTTGCTATGTTCCAGATGCCATGCTAAGTGCTGGGGACACAAAGAAAAGCAAAACCAGTTCCTGCCCTCAAGGAGCTTACAATCTAATGTATCATACATTTCTTAAATAATCTCTTAAACCTTGCTTCTCACATACAGCTACAAGTTGCCAATAAGTTGCAATCCATCTGTGCCAATAGTAGCAATAAATTGTTATCCTGAAGTTCCTTTTCCCCTTGACCGAAACTCACTTGTGAAGTAAGATCACATAAGAGATGTACTACAACAAAGCAGACTAACATGTGGGTCAATATTTGGAGAAACCAGTCAATTCCTCAACAAATAGGTGCAGTCACATGAAATACTATAAGTCTATAATCATGGACAGTGGTAGTGTCTTTTACCTAACAAACAGGAAAAAAAAAGATACTGATTACAACTATTTACCTGTAGATCTGTCAATTTATCTTGTAAGCAAGAGATACTCCTTTCCTTTTCACTAGGAAAATCAGAAAGAACTCTGATTTTGTTGATTTGTAACTGCATCTCTAGATTATCTCTCTGTGCATCATATCTAGGAAAGAAGAATTGACGTTAATGAAGAATGGATTTTATTTTTTACTGAGGCCAAAACACCCCCATAATACTTTAAAATGAAAATGTCACCCTCAGTTACACATAAGGAAATCCCATATATAAGTTGAGAACTACATGGCAGAGGAAATAGACTTCTTACAAACTTATGAATAAAGCATAATAAAAGCATATCAAAATATAAAGCCTTCCTAATTTATATCTTGTTCAAAATCTGTGCTTTTAGGAAGGACAGAAAGATTATTAAGTCCCTACTATGTGCCAAGCACAGTTGAGCCTGACAACAAGCCTATAATTATCTCCATTTTACAGATGAGGAAAATGAGGCAGAGAGGAATTAAGTGACTTGCCCAGGGTCACATAGCTAGGAGGTATCTGAAGCTAGATTTGAACTCAGGTCTTCCTGACTCCAGGCCCAGCACTGTATCTACTGTTGTAACTCAATACCTCATTGCTTCTATAATAGGCAGTTTGTTTGAAATAATTTACCTTTCCAATAACTTCTTAAAAGGCGCATCACCATCTTTCTCTACATGCCTTTCATCTTCATGATGCTTTAGTATGCTGAAATATTCTAAGTCAAAGCTAGCAGATCCAGAAGCCTAAAAGAAAAGGAAAAACATTCAACACAACCTTTTCCAAATACCAGTCATCTCCCCCAAAAGCCACCTAGACCAGTTACTGATTCTTTATGCCAGTCAGGAGTGATAACAACATCATTTAAGATTCTCAGCTGAGACACCACGCTGCAGTAGCAGGGAAGACACCTGCCTGTAACTGGGGAGTCAGCAAACCAGAGGAACCATCCCCAACACATTCTAGAGAGAGGCTTCTGTCTACAGCCTGGGAGTGCAAATAAGAATAAAAACTAGCATTTATATAATACTTCCAGGTTTCCTAGATGCTTTACAAATAGTATCTCCTTTTGGTCCTCACAACAACCCTGGGAAACAGATGTTACTATTATCCTCATCTTAGTAATAATAATAACTAATAACATTTGCGTAATAACTAACCTTTATATAGCACTTATTATGTTCCAGGCACTGAACTTTGCACTTAATTATTATCTCTTTGATCCTCATAGCAACCCTAGGACATAGGTACTATTGTTACCCCCATCTTAATAATAATTAATATTTATATAGTACTTTCTCTGTGTGAAGCACTATGCTTAGTATTTTACTATTATTATCTCATTTGGTCCTGACAACAACCCTATGATGCAAACACTATTGTCATCCCCATTTTACAGATGAGGGAACTAAGACAAAGGTTAAGTGACTTGCCCAGGGTCACACAGCCAGCAAGTGTCTGAGACTGGATTTGAACTCAGGTCTTCCCGACTCCAGGCCCAGGGCTCTATCCACAGTACCAGCTAGCTGGCAGGACTAGATAAAGCAGAAAGCCCAAGTGATCACACAGCTAAGTAAGTGTCTAAAGCAGGATTTGAATTCAGACCTTTCTGACTCGAAGTACAGCTTGAAAGCCACTGTGCCACACTGCCTACAATGTTATACTGTCATCCTGTCTTTACTGGTGTATTGTCACACTGGAACCTCTCATTTATATGGAATCCACACAAGTGAAAAGCCCAAGTCACTGGCATTTTTAATAAACAAATTTTTAAAAAGAAAAATGACAAAAAATTTTTTAAAAGTTTATATTGTTTTTTTTAAAAAGTGATTTCCAATATAAATAATGTTGTTGTTATTAAGTCATGTCCAACTCTTTGTCACCCTATTTGAGGTTTTCTTCACAAAGAAATTCCAGTGGTTTGCCATTTTCTTCTCTAGCTCATTTTACAGGTGAGGAAAATGAGGCAAACACGGTTAAGTGAGTTGCCCAAGGTCACATAGCTAGTAAGTATCTGAAGCCAAAATTGAACTCAGGAGGAGTAGTCTTCCTTATTCCAGGCCCAGCACTCTATCCACTGTGCCACCTAGCTGCCCCATAAATAATCAGTATATATTATATCTTAGTATATATTTGAGTTAATCTCCTATACCATGGGTATAATAATACTATGATAGTAATTGCTGATGTTCATGATGATAACATATAAATTATTGTGAGAGAATTCCAGATGAGAAAATAAAAATTCATTGGGTTCTATGGGGCTTTATTTTGCCTATTTCATTAAAATATACCAGGTTACCTCCGAAGGTGGTGAGTTCCCCCTGTCTCAAGGTTTTTAAGTGAAGGCTGAATGACTATTTGTCAGGTACTTTATGAAGAGCATCTTTTTTTTCCAGACTAGATGACCTTGGAGGTCCCCTCTGACTCTGAAATTCTATGACTCTGAAATATAGTGCCTCAGTTAACCAGAACCCTAATTTCCCAACCATTCTTGATGAAAAAGAATCTACTTTATTGAAAAGTTTATCTATAGTATATATATCATAGTATTGAAGGCTTTCTTCATTAGATTTTCTTCTAAAAAGCAGCTAGGTGATGCACTGGATAGAGTTCTAGACTTAGAGTTAAGAAGACCAAAATTCAAATCCTGCTTCAGACAGTTACTAGCCATGTAAAGTTGGACAAGTCATTGAAGAAATTCTCAGCCTGTTTCCTCATCTGTAAAATGGGGATAACAATAGCACCTACTTTACAGGGTTATTGTGAGAATCAAGTGACACTACACGTGTAAAGTGTGTTGTAAACCTTGGTATCATCATCATCTAAATAGTATACCTCTTCAGGTAACGTTGCATCATCGGGTTTGGAAGGCTGTACCACCTTCCCAGCATCCCTTCCACCATTCTCAGATGCACTTAGGGGCTTCCTAGGAAGTAACAGAAATTTTCATTTAAAAGAGTGCCATAAACCTCAAACTCCAAAAAATAATACCATCAATGTTCAAATGCTATGTAACTTATTTTGCTATAAGTTTTGGAAGAAAATGGTTTTACAAATGTTTTCCCTGAAATTCCTCATGTTCTTATGAAATACCAACTTTTTTTCAGACATCTGAGTGTTTTCAATAAGGGCCTGGAGCATCATATAAATCTCAGAAGCAGTATTCTTAATTCCATTTTGTCTCTGTCCATATTCTATAATTGTTTTCCTTATTTCTTGTCGACTTTCCTCTGAAGTCAGCTCTTCACTCAGCTCCCTCAGGGCTTCCATGTGGTGATCAAGCTGACACAGGATCCCTTCATCAGAAAAGCAAGCCTAATTAAAGAAATAAAACAGCAGACAAGGATTCATTGTGAGTCGACATGATTTTTTCCATAATGATTAGAAACTAGTGGATTTTCAGAATGATGAGAAGCTGTTATTTTATTTCAGAATTTTTTTAATTTTTAACTGATACTCTTTGTTTTTACATCACATTACTATCTAAATATGTCTTTCTTCCCTTACCCAGCAAGCCATCCCTTGTAACAAAGAATAAAAGGAGTCTGACAATATAATAGGTAGCATTAAGATTTATAAAGCACTTTACATTTATTATCTTATAAACCTGGGAAGACTTATAGGGACTGATGCAAAGCAAAGTGAGCAGAACCAGGAGAATAATGTGCACAGTAACAGCAATAGTGTAATGATGATCAACTGGGAAAGACTTAGCTACTCTGATCAATACAATGATCCGTGACCATGCCAAAGGACTCATGATGAAAATTGCTATCCAGCTCTAGAAAGAGAGCTGATGAACTCTGAATGCAAACTAAAGCATGTTTTTCACTTTATTTTTCTTGCTTCTTTTTCACGACATGGTTAATGTGGAAATGTTTTGCATAACTTCATATGTATAATGGGTATCATATTTCTTGCTTTCTCAATGGGTAAAAGAAAGAGTGGATGGAGGGAAAGAATTTGGAAGTTAAAATAAAAAATTTTAAATTAAATTATATTTTTAAAAAATTTATTATCTCACTTGATCTTCGTTAGCTATCATGAGAAGTAGGTAGCATTATTAGCCCTATTTTACAGATAAGGAAACTGAGGCATACAGATGGTAAGCAACTTGCCCAGTATCACATGGCTAGTAAGCATCAGTGGCTAGATTTGAATGAAAGTCTGTCCTGACTGCTAATCCAGCCCTTAATGTATTGGTCCACTTAGCTGTGTACCAACATAGGCAGTATTCTGCAATTATAATCCCATATCTTGGCAAAGGGAAGGAGGGGATGCCGTTGTTATGAAAATATCAAGGGACTTTTGAATGTAATAACAGCTAGCATTTATATAGCTCTTTAAGATTTACAAAACACTTTACAAATATTATCTCACTTGATCCTCATAACAACGCTGAGAAAAGGTGCTATAATTATCCCCATTTTGCAGATGATGAAACTAAAGCAGAGAGAAGTTAGGTCAATTGGCCAGGGTCACACAGATAGTAAGTGTCTGAGGCTAGATTTGAACTTGGATCTCCCTAACTCCAAATTCAGTCTTTTATCTACTGTACCACCTAGCTGCCTCTAATATCTCAGTCTCTCCTGAAACAGTTTAAGCTTCAATGGGAGGCAGTCTTCAAAGCAAAAGTGCCACGTTTTTTAAAGAACATAATTAAATTAGAATGCACTACAAAGAGAATAATGAAGATGAGTCCATTTATTTCACCTCGACAAACATTTTTAAGCACCTACTATGTGCCAAGCAGTGTACTAGGTTCAGGCTTTTAAAAGAAAAACAGAACAAAAGCATTCCTGTCCTTAAGGAGCTTACATTCTTCTACTGGGAGTATACAACATGCATATATGCAACATGTACATGCAAATATAAAATCATCATGGTTGGGGGAAGGGACACCAGCAATTTAGGAGCTCAGAAAAGGCCTCTTGTAGAAAGTGGCACTTAAGCTGAGCTTTGTAAGGCAGCACGAGGTCTCAAACAGTAGAAGTAAGGAGTGAGAGCACCTCATGTATGGAGCTCTCCTGTGCAAAGACAGAGGCAGGAGGCAGAATGATGTACATGGGGAAAAATAAGTAGTCCAGTTTGGCTGAAATGTAGAGTGCATGAGGCTGAATAAGGAGCCTCAATAGATAGGTTAGAACCAGATTTTGAAGAGTTTTGAATGTCAGAGGCATTTGTCTTTTATTCTAGGAGCACCTGGGAGCCATAGACATTTCTTGAGCAGAGAAGTGACATAGGCAGACCTCTGTTTTAAATCAGTTCGGTAGTTGTGCAGAAGATGGGGTGAGGAAGCTGGAGGTGTTAAGGGGAAGAGCCTAGATGCTCAGAAGTCAATTAGGAGGCTATTGTAATAATCTGGGCAAGAGGTAACGGGAGCCTAAACTAGCCTGGTTGTGTGATGGACAAAAGATTGGAAACAATGTCACACAAGCACTTCCTCTTAATTGGCCCTCATGACTTTTTTCTTCCCCTCTCCAATCCATTCTCCACATAGCTGCCAAAGTGATTAACCTAAGACAAAGGTCTAACCATGTCATTCCCTTACTCAACAAACCCAGTGGCTCTTTGTCATTCCTAGAATCAAATACAAACTCATCTGTCTGGAATTTTGAAGCCTTTTAAAACCTAACTCGAATATCATTTTCCAGTTTTATCATTCATTTCTCCCCTTCAGATACCCTATAATCCATCCAAAATGGCCTTCTGGCTTTTCTTTACACATGACCCTCCATCTCCTATCTCTCTGCATTTGTACAGGCTCTGTCACAAGCCTGAATTATACTCCCTCCTTACCTAAATCTCTTAGAATCCCTAGCTTCTTTCAAAATTCAAGTCTCACCACAGGACCTTCACTGATCCCTCTAGCTTCTAGGACTTCCCCCCAAAATTGCCTTGCATTTCTTTGTTTGTATTTTATATATTCTTATATTTGTATATCTCCTTAATACAATGTAAGCTTCATGAGGGCAGAAACTGTTTCTTTTTTTGTCTCTGTACTTACAGTGCCTAAAACAGTGCCTGGCACATAGTAGTTGCTTAATATTTATTAACATGGTATAGAGGAGATTCTTGGTCAGATACAGCCTGAATTAACTGCCTTCTGATAACCCTTATATATCTAAATTAACTGGCTTCTGATATCCCTATCTGATATCCCTTTTGAATTCTAAGAGTCGTAGGGTCCCATGTGATTGCATAATGTTATCATTACTCAGAACCTTAAAAAAAATTCTCTATTAACTAGCTCCTACGGTACAGTGAGTGACTTTTCTACAACATAAAAGGGTTTTGAAAGTGTAAAGACTGGATTCTTGAGGACCCAACATAAAATAACTAAATGTGTGCCACTGTTTATATATGCGTGGATTATTCAATGAAAGTACCATGGGAAAATTCAAAATTGATTTTGGACTAACTTTGTAAGTATTCAAAGAAATGACCCTTGAAGTGGGGGATAGTTTAAAAAAAAAAGTCTGTTCAACCTGACTTGTTTGAATCTTTGTTCTGACATGCTATTCTTCACAAATACTTCAAGGCTACGTCTGGTGCTTAATCAGTAAAAGCCTACAGAGCATATCATGCTTTCCTAGAACACTTAGATCCTTCAAAGGTCACTGTGTCTATTTCAAAGAACAATAAAAAGTATTATATCTCGTATATAACTAGCAAATCAAGGGAAACTAAACATCAATTACTGAATGAATTTTTAGTACCAATAATAAATGAAAGAATTTAGGGCAGTGACAGAATTCCAAACTGGAATTGATAAACCTACAGAAAGACAGACTTGAAAATGATTCCCTAGATCATTTAATCTAAACTCATGCCATTAGATAGAAATAAATCTGAATGGATACCAACGCTCAGAAAGAGAGAGCTTACATGTCAAGGCATGGTCTTAAACACAATCAAAATGTTTACATAGGAATCAGTCTACCTCATGTTCCTCAATGAGTCCCTTGGTCTTCCCTTTACTGAGTAATTTTTTCTCTTTATTTAGTTGCTTTTCAAGTTTTGATATGTTTTCAGTAAGCTTTTTTTCAATTTCAATTTTTATTCGATGAATATATGAACATATTTCTTGATGAAGATCCTGTAAAATAAAATAAACATGATGCTTTTCTCCCAACTCCACTCATCAAATTTCTAGCCATATTTTAATAAAGGTCAGCTAGAATGTAACCCCATCCATGATCACTTTCTCCAGCTAGAAGTAACGTCTCCTCCTCTGAATTTTTTCGTGTAGAGGACTTTATGCCTCTATTTGCATCTTTACATTCTAACCCATAGTGTAGTTATCTATGGACATGTCTTACCTCCCTTCCTGAGTTGTAAGCTTTTCACAGGCTGGTCAAGGTGTCTTCCTTAACATGGTACTTGTAAACGTAAGCCATTTAATAAATACTTATTAAATGAATGAATGAATAGATAAATCCTAGAAACTAGCTTTGTCTAAACTGCTTGCTCCCAGTACAAACGGAAAACATGTCATGATTATCACAAGGCTAAGAGGGAACTAAAGTTCCCATCCCCATATCTTTAGGAAGGATTACACATTACCATTCCAAATAGTGAAAATATTTTTGTTTTATTTTTAAAAAATTAAAAAATGTGCTTCCAGCCAATACAATGCCATATAAATCTTACGGATATCTCACCTCCCACTCTTTAGAGAGCTCTCTGCTCATTTCTTCTAAGGATAGTTTTTCATCAGTAGACACAATATTTTTCAGTTGTTCAGTAGCTTTCAAAAATTTGTCCAAGCTTTTACTGCTTAAAATGGCTAGAATATCCTATAAACAAAGTACATAACAAACACATGAAAACTATATTACATGCAAAAGATAAGAAAGAAAAGAACATCAGTAAAGCATTAAACCACAGAAGAAACAGAAGAAAACAAAAGGAAATTTAGAAAAGGGATACAAATAAGGCAATTTTATTACAACCATATTAAATTTAACAAACACCTAGAGAAAACAAATTGTATATAACAAAAGCTTTCTCTTTGTATTATGAAATTTTCATGTTTGTAAATATTTGTTAAATTCATAGAAAAAAATTCTCTAAAAAAATTAAAATAACAAAGATGTAAAGCTAAAAACACATTCTAATTTCAAAACCGGTTTTTTCAAAGTTAGTACTAGGATATAGGGGGCCACTAGGTGGCAGAATCACCTAGGTGGAACACTGGGCCTGGAAGGCAAGTCAGGAAGACGAGTTCAAATTCGATTTCAGACTTACTAGCTGTATGACACTGGGCAAGGCACTTAACCCTGTTTGCTTCAGTTTCTTCATCTGTAAAATGAGCTGGAGAAGGAAAAGGTGAACCACCCCAGTATCTCTTTCAAGAAAACTCCGAATGGGGTCCCAAAGAGTTGAACACAACTGAAAAATGACTGAACTAGGGTGTGAGAAAACTGTCACAAGATGTCAACTGTAACACGTCTGAAGATTTGTATGAACATTTCCCTTTGTAAAGAGAAGCTACTATTACATCTCATGGGGCTAGAGGAGGTTCTTTCTGCTAAGTACACATTACTACATAATGGTATGGTTGAGAGATAAGGAAAATATTAAGGTACATTGAAAACTATGGAAAACTAAACATAACAGCTTTGATATTGTGTCAGAGCAAAGAAAGGTGTGGGAAAGGCATTAAACAATGTTCAGTATAAGCTTTCAAAGTTACGAATAAATAAGTTTGCTACATGAGCAACAAAATGTAGAAAGTGTGTGGAGAAGTAGTTCATGTCATACGAGTGCAAAGAAATTTCAATTATTAGTGGCAATTACACTGATAAGGAGGTCTGACAGGCAGTACGATACCCTTATTTTCCTATCTTCTTCTCCAAATGAATTCTGAATTCTGCCATATATCCCTTTTCCTCATTATCACTAACATTATGCACCTGCTAAAGTCTGGTAAGGGAGTATTATACTTCTTGCTCCCCAATTCCCCTTGTGGATTCTCCCACTATCACCATTATTCAGTAAACTCTTCTCTTCTGTTGTTCATAAAATCCATATTCATACCCAGTCAAGGATTCTGGTAGTTGGTATCTACTGACTCTTTTTCCTTCCTCATTGAATTCAGCAACTAACTCAGTCTTTCTATCTATTCAACTCCTGCCTTCATACAAAGGGACTTCAACATACATACTGATCCTCCCCTAAACATCAATAACTTCTCACTTCCTCAGCTTACTTATTTCTACCTTCTATTCCTCTCCTCTTCCTCAGGTACATGTAGAGATGGTCGTATCTTTGATCTTGGCACCACTCACAAGTGCACCACTTCTGCGCTCATGAACTTTAAATTTTCTTTATCTGATCACAGTCTTTTATCATTCTATCCACTTCTGTGCTCATGAACTTTAAATTTGCTTTATCTGATCACAGTCTTTTATCATTCTATCTTTCCCTCTGCTTCATGACCCCCAAACCGGTTCTTACTTTTTACTATGACTTCTAATCCTTTCACCCCTCAATACTTTCCCAGCCTCCACCCCTACAGTGGCTATACGCTCCTCCTTCCTCTTGGTGAACTAATTGAATTATACATCATCCTTTACTCACCATCCACTCTTCAAATGGAGTCACTTGCCCCTTATCTTTTTTGCTAATCATGCCATCCTAAACCTTGAATTACTCCCACCATCCACTATATTTATTTCTCTTTACATACTATTGAAAGAAGCTGGAGAAAATCATGAAACTATGCTAAAACTGAGTTCACTATAAATTTGTTACATAATCCCACCTGTGCCCTTATTGCAGTAAGGCAATCCTCATTAATTGATTCACTATTTTACTCATCATAGCAGCTATTCCAAGTTTTTTCATTTGTCCTCAAATCTGTCATGACTCTTCCTCTCCCCATCCTCTCAGCTGATAACCTTGCCTCATACTTCACTAAAAAAAAAAAATAGAAGCCATTTTCAGAGAGCTCCCTCTTCTCCCTGCCTCATCTCACCTCACCCAGATGTCTTCTGCCATTATTCCACAAGAACAGGTGACCTTTCTCCTTTCTAAGGCAAACCCCTCTATATGCACCATTGATCACATTCCATCCAGTCTTCTCCACCAAATTACTCCCCTCTGTTATCCCCATTCAGTCATTAATCTTCGATTTCTCTCTTTCTACAGGCTATTTCCCTGCTGCTTACAAACTCCCTCATTTTTCCCGAATCTCTGAAGAAAAGAAAAACCTCACTTGATCCATCCATCATCACTAGCTTTCATTCTATATCACCTCTATATTTTGTGGCTGAACTACTTGATAAAGCTCTCTACAATCAGTGCTTCTCTCTCTCCTCTCACTCTTCCAAAGTTTTTGTAATCTGGCTTTAAATCTCATTCAACTGGAATTGCTCTATTCAAAGTTACAAGTGACATCTTCATTGCTAAATCTAGTGGCCTTTTCTCAATCCTCCTCCTTTTGGACCTCTCTGAAGCCTACAATACAGTAAATCAGTGACATTGCTTTCTCCTAGTTCATCTCCTATCATCTAACTGTTCCTTTTCAAGTCTCCTTTTCCTATATCCAGATCATGGTAACTGTGGGTATTCCCTCAGAGTCCATCCTGGTGGGCCTTCTCTTTTTATACTTGGTCTTCTCATCAGTTTCCGTAGAGCCAAATGTCATCTTTATGCAGATAGATATTTCTCAGATATATTTAGTCAATCCTAACATCTCTCCTGATTTCCAGTCTTATATATCCAATTAGCCATCTAAAACTGAATAGCCTGTAGACATCTTAAACTCAGTGTTTCCAAAGCTGAACTCATGAGCTTTCCCCCTGAATCCTTTCCTCCTCCAAATTTCCCTATTACTTTTGAGGGCACTGCTACATAATCAGTCACCCAGGTTTGTAACCTAAGTGTCATTCTCACCTCCTCATTTTCTCTCACTCCACATATCCAATCTGCTGTCAAGTCTTGTCACTTTTTCTTTTGTGATGTCTATCATACAGGTCTCTTTCTTTTCTCTCAAACAATCACTACCATAGCCCTGCATCACTTTGTTCCTGGACTATTGCAATAGCATTCCAGTTATCTCCCTACCCAGAGTCTCTTCCCACTCTAATCAATCTTCCATCTAGGTGCTAAAGTAATCTTCTTAAAGTGTAGGTCTGACCATGTCACCCCCCTACTCAATAAACAACAAACTCCATATTAACTCCAGGATCAAATATAAAAATCTTTTTCAAAGCTTTTCAAGACCTTTAAAATTATGGCCCCTGGAAATTATGTCAAAAATCAAACTTAGGAGATAGCTAGGTGGTGCAGTGAACAGAGTTCTGGCCTTGGAGTAAGGAGGACCTGAGTTCAAATCCAGCCTCAGACTCTTAACACTTACTAGCTGTGTGACCCTGGGCAAGTCACTTAACCCCAATCTCCTCACCCAAAAAAAAAAAATCAAACTTGGGACTAAAGAAGGGAATCATAGTTGAAGAGTGAGGATAAGATCCTTTAAGTGTCTTTTATCAGTTCAGCTGAATGATAATTCTTGATATTTGTATAGCACTTTCACACTCACTATCTCATTTGATTCTTATTTTATCAGTTGGATAGGAAAGAGATCATCTTTTCTACTTACTACCTATGTGGCTTTGGATAAGTCACTTTACCTCTGATCCTCAATTTTCTTCTCCACAAAATGAAAGTATTGAACTAGATGGACTCTCAGGTACTTTCCAGCTCTATATGTTAACTCTATTAGCTCTATTTCACAGATAAGGAAAATGAAGCACAATTAAGTGACTTGTCTAAGGTCATAGTTGCAAAGCTAGCACTAAGACTAGATAAGTCAGGTTTCCTGAATCCTATTCCAGAGCTATTTTCACTGCAGCACTCAGCATTTTTAAAAGGTCTACATCAAAATCTGAATTTATTTTTTTTTCATTTAAATGAAGATTTTTTTAAAATTGTAATTGTAAGTCACTTTTGCTTACTACTGGAAAACTCAAAGAGGTTAAAAGAAGATAATGGCATCATTTTGTTTTGTATCTTAATTTTTTAATAGAGAAATAAGTACTAATAAATATTTTACAAGTAATGATAATAGAGATTCCCACCTTCTTTTGTGAAACCAAGTCACCAAGGCTCCCTTTTTGTCCAAGAAGTTCCTGAGCCTTTGTAATATCTGACTCAAGTTCCTTTTGTGACTTTTCAAACTTGGCCCTAACATCCATTTCTAGGGAACTCTCATATGAGGCCTGTAAGACAGCATCTAGCTCTGCCATGTTATTCTGTGAAGAAAAACAGTTTTAAATTATTTGCATTTTACCTTACTATCATAAAGGGTTCACACAGAAGAAAACAAGTTTTTCTTCTAAACTTCAAATCTTTTCCAAGGCTTAGCACAATGACCTATAATTTAATTCAATTCAACAAAAATTCAAGTATCTATTAAACAGAGAAGATGAGGCCAGATTTTAGAGGGCCATGAATTCATACAGGAGGTACTTAATAAAAGTTGGTTAAATTAAAGCTTCTTTCAAATAGTAGCTTTTTTCCATATAAATCCTAATATACTGTATTTATATGCAACTAAACAATAATTGTTTCAAACTGTAATGCAAAAATAATATTATGCAGGAAATTTTAAATGAATGGTAGCATTTTTTTCAGACCACTAAAAGCTAAGGAATAAAATATTTAGAAAATGCACTATGTTAGAGACCTTAACTGTGTCTTTTGCTTCTTTGATCTGTGTCTGGAGCCCAGATGTATGGAAATGCTGGAGGAGTACATTGCTTGAAATATTTTGTGCTGTTATTTGTAATGCATTTTCTTTCCTAGTCACATGTTCTTGGTACATAGATCCTCGGGCAATCAGGTTCTACAGAAATTAGAGCATAGTAAGGTTCAACATTAATCCAGATGAAAATCATGTTAATAAAAAGCCATTAAAGATGAATCCAAAATCCAAAATGATGAAATTTACATATGTTCTGAGTATTCCTTACATTGTCTAGCTTGGAGAAAGCCTGAGGATACAGTCTTAACACAAGTTTATCTTACGTAAGCACTACATATTACCTTGTAAGTAAGAAGGAAATAATTCATAAATAATTAAGAGCATATTTAAAGATGTACATGCATACACAAAAATATATAAAATAAAAATATGAACCATAATGATCAAGTTCTGAGAAACATCCTGATCCCTTTAATGTTATATCTATTCAAAATTACATCCTTTAAGTTGCAGATATCTTAGTATGTTATCAACTATAAGTAAAATAATAATATTTAAAAGATAAACTGGATTTAATCATCAGTATTAATTATGGGATCAGAAATTCAGACCTAAAATTAATTGTAGAGACTTGAGGTCTCTAACTTTAGAAACCAGACCTCAAAGAGGTTAAGGGACTTGACCAAGGTCATGCAGGTAGTTAGTGACATGATCATAGATGCTAGAGCTTAAAGAGATCTCACAGACCATCTAATCCAACACTTTCTTTAAACAGATGAGAAAACTGAGGTCCATGGAGCATTAGTGACTTTTTCAGATCCCCCATTCTCAAAAACATACAAATGATCTCTCTATACTTACTACAGAAATTATTGATAGATTAAATAAATACACAAAGCTAAGAAATGAAGATGTGCAAAGGAATTATTTCTTCTTCTGATTGTTGGAATTTTCCATCTTCTCAAAACTCATGCCTGGATGGTTTTATGACTTAGCTGAAACTCAGTCAAACTTTCAATGTTACATCTTCCCCAGGAGGGCTGAGTGTAATAGCTACGGCAGTATATTACAATGTAAACTATTTACTTCCCCGCTTCTCAATATGTTGGTTACACAGAAGTAAAGGCAAAACTGAGTCCCAGGGAAGAAAGAATACGTTCTCTTCTTCAAAAATCAGTAGGATTCCCTGCAATCAGTTAAGCTGTGGGAGTCTAATCCATGGGTAAGTTTTCAATAGAGAGCTAGTAATTCTTTATATTCACAAATCATACCTTCAAACGCAATATGAAACTAGACTTACTCATTCTCATTGTACTCTTTCATGGACACTTTTTTTTAAATTAATCTCCATTCTATTGATAGAAAAACAAATTCAAAACCAAAGGCATTGGCTAGGCAGAGTGGTACACAGCAGTCCCAGGTACTGAGGAGGATGACTCAATGTTATTATCCCTATTTTACATATTCTGAACAAGAACACAGCCGGAAGTAATGGAAACAGTACCAAATTTGCACTGGAGTTGAAAGCTATCTCTGCTACTCATTAGCTGTGTCACCAAGAGTGAGTCACTTAACTTCTTTGGGACTGTTTCCTCCTCTGAATTAGATCATCTTTACAATCCCATCTTGATCTTAAAGATCCCAAGAGACTTGCCCAAGGTTACATGGCTAATAAGTAGTGAGCCCTAGGCCCGGCATGGTGGTGGACATCTGTAATCTCTGTTACTGGGGAAGCTGAGGCTGGTGGGTCATACCCTTAGGAGTTCTAAGCTTCAAGAGGGCTAAAGCCACCTGGGTGTCCAAAATTATTCCAACAGCAGTATGGTCGACCCTGGGAGTGGGGTGGGCCTAAGAAGGGAAGAATTGGTCTACATCAGAAATGAAGGAAGTCAAAACCTCTGTGCTGATTAGTGGTGGGATTTGACCTCTGAGTAGCTGCTGTACTTCTGCCTGGATGCAATAAGGAAAGCCATTCTCCTTGAGGCTTCTAGGTGGATAGAGTGCTGGGTCTGGAGTGAGGAAGACCTGAATTCAAATCCGGCCTCAGATACTTCCTGGCTACATGATCCTAGGCAAGTCACTTAACCCTGTTTGCCTCAGTTTCCTCATCTGTAAATTGAACTGGAGAAAGAAATGACAAACCACTCCAGTATCTTTGCCAAGAAAACCCCAAATGGGGTCATGAAGAGTCAGACACAGGGGCAGCTAGGTGGCACGGTGGATAGAGCTCCAGCCTTGAAGTCAGGAAGACCTGAGCTCAAATCCGGTCTCAGACACATGTACTAGCTGTGTGACCCTGGGCAAGTCACTTAACCCCAATTGCCTAGCCAAAAAAAAAAAAAAGAATCAGACACAACTGAACAGCATCTCCTTATCCAAACAACAACCAAAACATAAAAAAGTAAAAACAAAAAACAAAAAAAAAACCAACAAAGGCATATTTTCGAGCAGTGGTGTCAAATTCAAATAGAAACAGATCCCAGAAGGCTGCATATTAACTTAGAAAACCACAGACTACCATTCTGTATATTGTATTGCATTTCATTTTGTTGACCATTTCCCAATTACATTTTAATCCGGCCAATGGGTAGAGTTTGAAGTCTCTTGCTTTAGAATACTTTTTGTCCATTTCTAGTGGCTCCCCTACAGGCAGAAAGGAGAATAACTAACCATTCCCTGGTGAGAATTCGTCTCATTAGAAAGAATTTCAAAGAAAAGTACTTCACTATCTCAGAGCCCCAAAATAAGCTAGTGTCAAAGTTCAAAAGACATAGATTTTGCAACTTTCCTAGACCCAGGGTACCAGGTAGTAAATATTGTGACCATAGCATGTCACTGGCTATGAAATACAGGTTTCTTAGAACTTCCTTTATCAACCTGATCTAAATTGAAATACAAGATCACAGCTGTAAAATTGGCATTTTGCTTTTCTACATTTTTACCTGCAAAGATTCTTCCATGGAAGCTTCCACATAACCTTGTTGTTTGATAAAATCCAGAACAGGTCTGATTTCTGTTTCCCAGGTTGCCACTTGATCGATGAATTCTTCCATCTCTTCAAGCACTTGTAGGAGCTCTGTGAACTCTTTAATTAAAGCCTCATTTTCTTTTCCAGTCTACAATATACAACCAAGATTATGAAAGCAAAGCAGTGTATCCAGAAATATCCTTTTTTATGCGAATAACTTAAAATTTCAATAGGTGGTCAACAAAATCATTATTCACAACTGACTGGCTAGTTACTCCCAGAATTTCCAATTTAATGGGGTTATCTAGGTCAACCATGTCAAGGAGGTCATCCAAGTCACCATGTCTTTATTCCTCTCCAAAGTGCACATCTGATTCTCCCAATCTTTTTCTACAATGCCCCAGAAACTTCTTCACCTTGGCCTCTCTCTCTGATTGGCTGGTTCTTCCCATAACCTCCATTTTAAGGAGGATGCCCAAACCAGTCATGTCTTCATTCGTCTCCAGGTTGTACTCCTGGCCCCCTGGATTTTTCTCTACCATGGCTTGGACAGGTACTTTCTCGTCTCCCCCTCCTCCCCTCTTTCAGCTTCCTTTTATGAGTTTTCTTCTTCCGTTAGAATATAATCTCTTTGAGGTCAGGGACTATCTTTCTACTTGTATTTTTATTCACAGCGCTTAACACAGTGCCTGGAACATAGTATGCACTTACGTATAGGTGGCATACTGGAAAGAACACAGGCCTTAGAGTCAATACAGCTAGAAACTATTTGAACCTTTCTACCTTTAATATTGTCCTAGGAAAGATCGGTCTCCTTGTACACCTAAGTTTAAGGGATAGTCATGGCCATTAACTTTGGGCAAAATAATTCCCTATTTAGGTTACTTAGTTTAATGTAGGGGAATACCCTGATGACAATACAAAATCAAGTTGCAGAATATTTCTTTAATGTTTACTTCTATTCCAAGATGAGATGATATTCTCTTGAATTAGGAGAAATGATGCTAAGCATTAGTACAGCAAGCAATGCAGCTGTGTATTAGAGTATACTAATGTCATTAGCCTTGCAATACACCCACAATCAGACCCCTTCAGCCAACAATGAGAGGTAATGAGGGGAATACCCAAAGGCTCAGCTACATGAACAAATCACTCAGCCTCTGAAGGCTGGGGGTCATAAGAGAGGAGTTCAGCAGGGGACTTGTCTCCAAAGAGCCTTCAAAGTTAATGGGTAAAGGCTTAGGCCAGAAGGGATTTTAACACTGAAAGAATGTAGACACTGAGGGAATTTGTACAGTGGTATTCTAAAGCAGGACAGTAGCAGTTAGCTAATGCAAGCTGTTAATTTGTGACTATAAATCTTGCACTAAAGCAGTAGTATTTCTTATTGAGAGCCTTTTAAGGGTAGAGTCACTGAGTACTGGTGGACCCAATTAGGTCCTACCATAAAATCTTATTAGCTGCAAAATCTTGTGCAAGTGTCAGTTAACTTTCTTGAGTATCAGTTTTTTCATTGTAGAAATCTGAATAATAATATTTGCTCTGGATACAGTTGTTGTGAGGAAAGTGCTTTGTAGATATTAAAACACGATAAAATAGTAATGCTATTACTATTGGGCCAGTGGATAGAGCACCGGCCCAGGGAGTCAGGAGGACCTGAATTCAAATCTGGCCTCACCTTCTAGCTGTCTGACACTGGGCAAGTCACTTAACCTTGTTTGCCTTAGTTTCCTCACCTGTAAAATGAGCTAGAGAAGGAAATGGCAAACCACTCCAGTATCTTTGCCAAGGAAACTACAAATGGGGTCATGGAGTCAGACACTACTGAAATGACTCAACAATGACACGTTGGGGATGAGAACAGCAGAGTTGTTGGGAGGATCAGATGAGATAATACTTCTAAAGCATTTAGCACAATGCCTGACACATAATAGGCACTCCATAAAAATGCTTATTCTCTTCCCCTATTAATCAGCTCCCTGGCTAGTTAACATCTGCCACTTCCACCATAGTTGTGAAATTGCTTTCTATGAGACATATTTCCAAAAATGCAATAATTATACTTAATTTGTAGGATCTTTTACTAAACTCCTCACTTAGCACTAAAATGAAATATTTAGAGAATGTATTGCTATGTTTAACAAAAACCTGTACGTTATCTTTGGCTTAATCTATGCTAAAGGTCAGGTGTATGGAAGTGTTAGAGGAGCACACACAATATGTTGCGTAATTATGCTTCTCAAGTCACATTTTCTTGGCACATAAACCCTCAGGCAATCGGGTACACTGCTAAAATAATCTCTCTTTCTACCAGCTGTTTCCCAATGTGTACATCAAAATATGCAAGAATTCTTGAAAGCTATATCCACACAGATAGCCATATTCAGCTACCCACTTATTAATATATCAGCTGAGGTATAAAACAAGAAGATGTATGCTCACCAAGTTATTCAACAGTGTCCTAGAGGAGACTGATTACAAAGACCAAATTGAAGAGGGTTTGCCTATTAGAGTTAATTACTTAGTGATGTTCCGATGTGAATCTGGGCAATAATGGCTTCAAGGTGACCCTGCGTTCTTAATGACACACATTTCCACAGAACTCTAACCTTTACAACAAATCTTGAAGTTAGGTAGTAAAAGTGGTATGATGGATGTTGTTGCAGAGGAGAAAATTAATGCCTAGACTTAAGGTCACCCAGGTGATTGAACCTCAAGAGCTACAACCTTCTTGCTATAAGGCCACCCTAGTTGAACTCAAGTTCTGGCAGGTCCTATTGAGCAAGAAGGGGTAGAGAGGTGGTGCAGTGGATAGAGTGCTGGGCTTGGAATCAGGAAAACTTATCTCCCTGTGTTCGAATATGGCCTCAGACTTACTAGTTATGTGACCCTGGGCAAGTCACTTAACCCTGTTTGCCTCAGTTTCCTCATCTATAAAATGAGCTGGAGAAGGAAACGGCAAACCACTCCAGCATCTTTGCCAAGAAAATCCTAAATGAGGTCATGAAGAGTCAGACATGACTAAAACAACTGAACAACACTACCATCAAGTGAGAAGGGTTTCAGGTACAGGCTTAACAACAGCCTGAGGTCCAAAATAGCTAATTTGAAGAGAGGCTCCTCTTCTGAACACTGGATACCTTATTATAAATTTTAATTTAACCAGAGTAATTAATGAAATTTACTACTAAGATGTGGATGTATTTCAATCACATTTCTGGAAGTATGAAAGTATATTTGGAAGATACTTAATGTTTTCTGCCCACATTTTATCCCTTTTTACATCTCCATTTCAATTCCCTAATTTCATTCTCCCAATAAGTTATGAGGGAGCTCTATAGAACCGGCATTATTATTTTCATTTCACAGACTAAGAAGCTGAGGCACATAGGTTGCCAAAGTGCACTCAGTAAGTTTCCATTAATTAGTAATGATTAGAGTAAAATAGCAATCAATAGCTTAGTGTCTGTAAAACTGAACAAGACCTTAATAACAGAGGTAATGGAGAGCATGGTCATTATGTGTACAGCTGTAGGTGATTACCAGAAGTAGAGAAAGATAAAGGCAGGAGCAACACCATTAGATAAGAAAAGCCTGCAGGCTTCTGGTGCTTGAAGGCTGCCAGCTGTCACTCTCTGCTCCATGATCATTCAGGACACGGTGCCATGTAGTTCGTCTCTCTAAATCTGATTCTTTAGCTCTGGAACTATCTGTTGACATTCCTTCATTTTCCTTTTCCATATACTCCACACTCATTCTCTTATTTCTTTTCATCAGAGCAGATCTTAGCATGATTTCCATCAATGAGACTTGAACTCCAGTGAGAAATATCATCCTTATTCAAGACTCCCAGTGGCAGGAAAGATTTTACCCAAACACCAGTTCATTGAATAACTCAGTATCTTTCCAGGAAACTCTTTATGTTTTAAATTTTATCTGCTTTTCCAGGCATATGTCCATAGTGATATATCCAACAATGTTTATCAAAGAAAGATAGCAGAAACAATTATTATTATCATTTGAATTGCCCTGTGATTGCAATGGTACAGGGAAATTCCTAGTCAGGAAATTCCCTCAGCACCTGCTTTACAATTTCTGTACTCTGGGACTTCTTTGGATAATTAACTTTCTCCAAGTCACATAACTTGCCCAGCATCATATACATAGTACATATCAGAAGTAGGTTTTTGAACCCAGGTCTTTTTGACACCAAGGCTCTTTATTTACACAGCCATGTTGTCGCTGTTCCATTGTTTCAGTCATGTCTGGCTCTCTGTGAACACACCTGGGTTTGTTTTTTTGTCTGTTCTTTGGCAAAGATACTGAACTAGTTTGAATTTCCTTCTCCAGCTCATTTTACAGATACAAAAACTGAGGCAAACAAGGTAAAGTGATTTGCCAAGGGTCTCACAACTAGTAAGTGTCTGAGATTGGATTTGAACTCAGGTTTTCCTGACTCTGGGCCCGGCATTCTATACAGCTGCTTGTTATTTTATTGTCATTCTTATTATTGCTAATAACAAAAACCGACATTTTATAACACTTTAAAAAATCTTTTCTTTTATCTAAATTAAACCTCTACATTCCTGAAAGGCATTTTCAAAATTCCTGCATTTTACCTTTAAATGCTGAATGTGCTTCCTAAGTGCTTCAGTTGAAATATCTGTTGAACCACCACAGGAAGTTAAGTTTTCTTCCAAAGGTAGCTCAGTATTTCCCATGCTATCAAGACTGGATTGTTCCTGTTCTTGGATAAAATGCAGTTTCATCTCCTATTAAAAAAATTAATGGTATAATTCTTTTATCTTCATTTTGCTTGTTTATTTAGCTAATACATTTTGTTAAAATAAAAAGTCTCATAAGTTATAGATCCTAGCATGGACAAAAAATGCTTATTACATTCTAACTCATTTAGCAATGATGTTATAAAAGAAGGAGGAGAACCACTAAAGGTTTCTGAAAAGGAGAGTGATATATATTACGTAGACAGCCAGGTTGAAAGCTGTCCTGGAGTGGGAAGACATTGAGAATTGAATAAATATAATAATTTCAAGTTATCCAGTAGGCCAATTAGGAGATTATTATAATAGTCTAGTGAAAAATGATGGAAGCCAAAACTAGGGTAGAAGGTAGTATAAATTAGGAGGAGGAAAGGATGAATGAAATACTATGGAGATAGAATCCAGAGAACTTGGCAACCAATTGGATATAAGAACCAAGGGAGAAGAAAGAGTTTTTAAAACAGCTCTAAATTTTCAAGAATTCCATCATCTTCTCAGTCACCTTGATATTATTAACAAAAACAAAGAGGTAAGGAAAAAGAAAAGATTCTATAAGGAGCAGGGTGGTAGGCATGGAAAAGGATAGAGATAATTTCAGTAAAAATTCTCACATTACTAATTTCAAATATAATGCTATACAACACAAAGTGGTCTCATGACTTACAAACTGAGTTTTCTTTATGAATTTTGACCATCTTTTATTAAGTCTTTTCAGTTCCTTATTAATAGACAATCCAACTTGTTGATTACTGACATCAATTAAAAACTTTCCAACCTCATTTACAGTACTAAGTACTGAATTCCAACTTGCTAGTGTCTCAAAAGGAATCTGCAAAACATAAAAGAATAATTGAATGAAATGATCTTTGACCTTCTGATAACCAATCCTCTCGCAGATTATTTTTTTTAACTAGGTAAAAGAGGCCATTCTTTGCCTCCTTTCTTACCTAGTCTTAATCTCTGAATGATCACTGCCTCAGTCAAACTGAGAGAGACCTGTTAAAGACCTTAACTTCAAAAGGCCGAGTTCTCTCACTGCATCTAGGACGATTTCCAGGCATCCTGATCTATATCTGGCCACTGGACCCAGATGGTCCGGGAGGAGAAAGTGAGGCTGGTGACTCGGCACAGCCCTCCCTCGCTTAAATCTAATTCACTTACATGTCATGGCATCACCTCCCTGATGTCATGGTCTTCTTTGAGAAGGAACAAACAACAATAACAGCTAGTATTTATAAAGCACTTTAAGGTTTGCAAAGAAACCAACTAAAATAGCAATAATAGCTAGTATTTATATAGTGCATTAAGGCTTGCAAATCCTTTACAGATATCATCTTTTTCCCCCCTCACAACCCTTGGAAATAAGTACTATTATTATCCCTATTCTGCAGATGAGGAAACTGAGCTTGAGAGAACTTAGGTGATTTTCCCAGAGGCACAAAGCTAAGTACGTGTCTGAGGTAGGATTTGAACTCAGGTCTTCCTGAATCCAAATCCAGAACTCTATCCACTGCACAACTTAGCCCAAAAAAGCTGTTAAGTGGATGGAACCTGTCTTCAATGCAGTCCTAGCTCCCCATTAAACATTCTTCTCTCCTTTCTTGGTTCCCCCAGGTCCCAGGTGGCTCACCTATCTCTCATTCTCACAAAGCCTTAGTCTCAGCTAGATGCCACCGTTAGTATCTGATAATTATTTCTAAGGTATTCATATTTCTTTAAGGTGCTATCCCTTCCAGAGTTATAGTTATCCCTTATACATTATGGGAGTTAGGGGCACAGCAACCCCTTTATTTAAAAAAAATCCACATAAAAATTTTTGGCCCTCCCTTCATACCAGAGAAATCTGAATGTTTTCTTTTTAAGGAGTGCTTACAGTATTAAAAGATAAAATATGTTGATATTATACATGTAATTTATGCATTTCTGAGTTTCTAAACTGAGTTTCTAGCCTTCATGTGTCATCTGTAGCTTCTACAAAACTCCCCCAAAATTCCCATTTAAGTTCTTATGCTGACCCACAGTATATCAAAACTATGATATATCAAAACAGTAATGGGGAAATTCAAGATGTGGAAGAGATAACTATTTATTTTAATACGAGATTACTGGAGAGGGAAAAGTGATCAAGACCTCAAAGAAAGGATTCCTAGTGGTAGAATTCTAAGCACCATGACAAGCAGCGAGGTAGGAATATTTGTAAAGTGGCAACCATACTTGATGGCCCTCCAATCACACCATTTAGGTTCATTACAACCTTTACTCAGTTATGAGGCTGCCTACACATAACATAGTATGAGTGTACTGATGACTGAAAATCTGCTCAATCACACTTATAAATTATTTTATCTTAAAAACAGCCTAGTTTCTTTTGAATGATTTAACTTTTTGGAAAAGTTTCCTCAAACTCATGATGACTGACTCCAATTAATTTCTAAGTTCAAAGGATTAACAATATCCTTCTTCAGTCAAGAGAAACAAATTACTTCTAAATTACTTCACCAGTAATGGGGAGGGGGGGAATCATCGTGGATGGTTCTAAGAACTGAACACATAAACAGCAAAATAGATCACTAATTTAAAATAGAAATAACTTTATTAACAAGACGACCTCCTCCACACCAAGAAAGCTAAAGTGTATTTTGATCAAATTTGTAGAAGATCAGAGCTAAAAGTCAAATAAGGGATCATCTCCTCTAACTTCCCTTTTTAAAAAAATGAACAAAATGAGTCCCAGAGAGGAACAGTGATACAAAGGCACAGAGCTAGTTAGTCAGAGAGCTTGGATTTAAACTCAGCTTCCTGACTCCCAATGAAATGGTCTTTGTTACGCCATATTATCTCCCCAATAATTCACAGCTACCCCCCCAAAAAAAGGTTTTGGAGTTAGGATCTTACTCAATTTAAAAATGAAATTTAATTTAAACCATTCGTTTCTTTTAAATTTGCCTATAAAATCAGTCCAATTCACCCATCCCCATTCAAAGAGGAAGACAATGATGTTTCAGAAAACAACACTAAGAAGAAAATGTTCCATTAACCATTTAGGCTTGAAGGGAGACAACATTTCTCAACTACACGCAAACCTTCCAAGGAGGATTGCCCTACACATGCCTGCTTATAACTCTGCAAACTCCTTTTCCTGAGTCGGAGAGTCAAGATCTCTAATAAAAGCAAAAACTCTTAAATCAAGAGAGAAAATGTACCTGTTTTGGGTGTTCTTTCCTCGATTCTCCAACCAAGTCTTGAGGGAATTAAGGTTTTCTGTATATGTAGCCCAAGATGACAAAACTTTTTGCAGGGTGGATTTTATATTGTACATACATTTTCTACATATAGAGATCTGAGATTCCACCATCTTAAACTGCTTGCTAATGTTCTGAGGATCTCCAGCTACCATAATTAACAAAAGAAAGGAATCTTAGGAAACATTATCATAATGTGACTAAAAGACTTTAACTGGACACATTTGTTCAAGTATGGCAAAGACAAAATTAAACAGGGATTATAACAATATTGTCTAGAAAACATTCTCTTTGAATTTTGTATTTATTATGTGTGGGTGCAAAATTCCCTTGTGTATAAAGAATACCAAAATATTGTTTAGATAAGTACATGGCACTTTCAGGATATGTCAGTTCATCTATGTGAGTTTGCCTACCCATTCAGACAAAAACTCTATAACTTAGTAAATGGTGTCCAAGAGTTCCTATTGCCTATAAAATTAATAACTCTATGGCCACCTAGTGATGAGCCTCTGTGAACTTTTTTGGGCTGGTCCTCAGAACACATAGTCATAGTCTATGACCTGGCTCATATTCAAAGTTTTTCTAGTTTGTTAGGACCCACCAGAGCTTGCATTCCTCTGGTTTAGTCTTCAAAAACTCAAGGGCACCTCTACAACAAGACATTATAGTATGCCTTCAGTAGAGCATTCTGAGATAAAACATGAAAAGAATAAAATATTTTATTTTTAAATTTTGTTGTATTGTTCCCTTTTTTCATTACCTCACAATCATTTTCTACCCAGTTCCAGGCTGGATTTTCCACTGTGATTTAAAAAAAACAACAAGCAAAAACAGCCAATACAATGATGTCATAAGACAATGAATATAGTACTTAACATTTTTTTCCAGTTTTTCAGAATTGTTCTTCCTTTTTAAAGAATTTTTCATTTTCACTGCAGTGATTGTATAAATTGCTCCTTTGGTCCTGCTTATTTTGCTTTGTATCAGTGATAGGAATCTTTCTGTAATTCTCTAAATTCCTCATATTAGTGATTTCTTTTTGCACAATAATATTCCATTTCATTTATTTAGCACAGCTTTTTTCAGCCATTCCCCCACTGATGGGGATTCACTTTGTTATAATACTGTCAGGAATAGTTTGTCACATAGTAGTCCCTTTTTTTCTGTCTTTTACTTCCTTCAGGTAGCTGCCCAGTCATGAAATCACTTGGTAAAAGGGTATGGACAATTTAGTCAATTTGAAATATAATTTTAAATTCAGTATTTCCAGGAGAAAATTATATACTCCAGAAATCTAAACGTGGAAAGGCAGGGACCTTATGATTAACTTTAGTGACCAATCATAGCTGTGGAAAACAGATAAGGAAGACAATTCCCTCCTAGTGGTAGAGAGGTAGAACACTAAATATACAGAACACTATAAATGCTGTGTTGATTATATCACTTTTTTTTTTGGCTGTACTCTTTTCTTTTTTGTTACAGTGAAGGAGCTATAATGTAAAAACAAAAGATAACAGTAACATTCTAAAAATCAAATAAAACTATAATAAATCATTTGTATTATCTTACCTAAATTCTTGATCATTATTTCACATTTTTGAAAAGAACTTTCAAGCTGAGTTAGGAACTCCTTTTCTTCAACAAATTTCTGTCCACATACAAAAGAAGAAAAATAGATTTACATAAACAAAAGTGTTTAAATAAAACAGGCAAGAAAGAGAAAATGCCACAAATTTGAACATATTTTACACTTCAATGCATAAAATTCAACTGAGAGAAATAAGTGATAAAATCTTCATAATTAATACTATCATTTGGGACAGTATAAGAGAGTAGAAGCTTAGTTATGGACTAAAATAATGTCATACATAAATCATTTAGGTTATTCTTTCTAATCTTTGTCAGTCATGATTTACTGGAATAAATTAATTTATAAACTTGTCAAGAAGAAGCTACTACAATGTTTTATAAACATGAATGCTAAATGTTAACAAATTTTCATAGCCATTTCAAATTCTCCTCACCTTACAAATATGTGTTATTTTCATAGTCTTCATTTTGAACAATATTACTGAGCTACCACAGAGAAAGATAGTGTTTTACAAATATTATTTCACGTAACCCTCACAACAACCATGTGTGATAGATGCTATTTTATCAACATTTTTCCAGGTGTGGAAACTAAGGCCAAGAGGGATTAAGTGAGTTGCCTACAGTCATACATTTAGTGTCCAAAACAGTTATTTGAACTCAGTTATTCCTGACTCCAAGTAAAAGATTCTATCCACTGTGCCACCCAGCTACCTATAATTATTAGGGGCTTTAAAATGGATATCATGCTTTTAAATCTAAAACACATTTGTAAAATAATCACTAATCAAAGTATCACACTTTTCCAACACACATAAATTCTGTTATCATCCTATCCATTTTTCAGGGCTGGGACCATATGGGTAGTAGGGCCTTTGGGATAGGTTGATCCTGAAGCATTGAAGCTGTTGAGCCCACAGGTAACGGAGGGTATGGTAGTCAGTCTAGATGCAAACAGGAGCTATAAACTTTGGCCAGATTTGTGGTTATTGGCCCAAGCAGGTGCAGTCCAGATTTGAAGTTATTCAGATCACAGTTATTCAGACTGCATTTATGTAAAAGCAATGGTCAGTTCTAGGCAAACTGTCAAGGACAAAGGTTACTAAACTGAGGGTTGAGAATAAAGGAGAAGAATCCAGTACAACGTAAGTTGATTAGGAAGAAGGCAAAAAAGACAAGATCTAAAAAAAAGACAAGAATATCAGGGGCAGGGGGGTCACAATGATGCTTTGGCTAATTTGGCTTAACCTCTGAGGAAGTGCCTATTCTAGACAATGAAGTAAAAACAATTCCTAGATGAAGAGGTTAGAACTCAAAAAACAAATTCTCTTTCCTGTCAATAAAGTGATCAAAAATGAAGACAGGTTGACTAAGGCAGAACATAAAATTTAACTTACATGCCAATCTCCCAATAATAGTTCTACAGATTCCTGGGTCCCATATTTGATATTCCAGAGATTCAATTTTGATTTCACTTCCTCTATTAAACCGAGGACTGAGCACAAGTAGTAGTGAAATTCTAAAAGTGCGGTGAAGTTGGTCCCCATAATATTGTGGAATCTAGAAAATAAGACAGCGTTTAGGATTTACCTTCAATTTTCCTGACATAATGAAATATCTATCCACAAAAAAACCCCAAAATCATTGGCTATTTTTAAAAACAAAAAAATCTACTGCATTTAAAACCCAGAGATATAAGAGCTCCCATTCAAATGATGAAAAATTGTAGCACAAAAATCATCCCTACTGCCAGAAAATACAGCAAACATTTCCAAGTTGGAAGTATCTGCCACAGAATGTTTTCTAAAGAAACATGCACTTTGGCTAAGATACGCTCTAATAAAAAAAGAAACATATCTTCAAAACACTTTACTGTATTTGGAAAATGGCAGTTAGTCAGTCAATTAAAATTTATTAAATACCTACCCTGTGACAGGCACTAGTGCTAAGCACCGGACATACAAAAAGAGGCAAAAGAGAGTACTTGCCTTGAAGGAACTTACAATCTAATGAGGGAGACAGCATGCAAATATACATGGACAAACAAGCTGTAGTATTTAGAAAAATGTTGTCAAATATTCATGTAGCCAAAATTTGAATATCTGGCATATGGAAAAAATTGTATTATTAAAGTTAAACTTATGAACATATTAGTAAGCTTTCTATTATGTAGAGAAAGCAAATGTAATGTGGAGAAATCAAGAGATTCAGAGACATGTTGGTATGGCATAAGCCCAAGTTTACAGAAATCCTTAAAGTAGTATCTTTAAAATAGTTGCACAGAGCCAACTCTACATTTTAATTTAGCAGCACACATAGGAGTACACTTGTCAGAAACTGGACCTAAATCAATCTGTGCTCTGTTGTCTTTACAAGCCTCCTAAACCCTTATCAGTACCCAAGAGTTCATAAATAACATTGCCAGATGTGAAATGCTAGAATTTCTACCACCTTCTTTTCATTTTGTCCAGTTTATCAGGTGGGACCATGGGCATGTGTTGCTCATCTCTATTCTCAAATGTCAAGAGGCTGTTCAAGTGACAATCAAAATCATCCATCAGACTCTGAAAAGAAAACAAGCATCAGGGCTGGCAGCCAGATAGTGTAACTGAGGACTTTTAATCTCACTTCCAGGAAACATGATATCATTTCCAGATACCCATTTAAGCTTTTCTTTCGGCCACTACAGAGACTGAAAAGTGAAAGTAAAATCTCGTGAATAAATGTTTTCATCTTAATTTGACTGAATGAAATTTAATCACAAGTGTGGAAACTGAAAACTTCTACAACAAACCACATTTTTTCTTTGATGAAAACACAAGTTCCCTTCTGGCAGAAATTTTCTGGTATGCTTTTCATTTTAATGCAGGTCCAAGTGCCAGAGACTACTATATTTTTAGAATAAGTTTATACCCTCTCATCATCATAATATAATTATGCATTTATTTTATTTATATTTATAATTTGTATTTAATTAAACTAGCATTTATATAGTACTTTAAAGTTTGCATAGCACCTTTACATGTATTATCTCATTTGATTTTCTCTGATTCAGAAAGAATGCCTTGAAACCATAAAACATTGTTTAGTCTTCATAGATGCTTTAATATCACTCTGGAATTTTTCTTCTTAATTCAGTGCTAAATATGCCCTATTGTTTGATGATAGCTGCTTCCTAGACCATCTTTCAAATTCTAAAAACTGATGCCCCTTGGCTTCCATTGTTGCCAGGGATATTAAGGGCACCAGTAATAAACAGGTGGCCTAATTCATACAGTATGGGATCTGGAGTCGAGAAGAGCTTGGTTCAGACACCACCTCTGGCACTTTCACTAGCTGTGTGGCCATGGACAAGACACTTAGCTTTTCTGAGCCTCATTTTCCTCATCTATAAAATGGGGATAGGAATACCTGTACTGCCCACTTGACAGGGTTGTAGTGAGGTTCAAATGAGACAACTGATGTAAAGCATTTTACAAACTTTAAAGTTCTATGAAGATTTCTCCAGTCTTGGTGCAGATTTGGCTTTTGGGATAGCCTGTATAAATGTCAGCTATTAGTATAATTGTTGGACTATTTGCATATTTGTTCACCCACAGTCCAAATGAGTACAAAAAACTGAGATGACCTGACCATGCTGCTACTTACTATCTGAACCCTGACCCTCACCTCTTGGTGGTCCCCTGTCAGGCTCTATCATGATTCCTGGTTTTCATTTAGCTTCCACTAAAGACATTGCATCCTTCCTCTTCAACTTAAGTTCTACAACTTTTAGCATCATAGATTTATAGCTCAAAGGAATGTTAGAGGTCATTGAGTCCAAACTCTTCATTTTACAAATGAGAAAACTGAGGCTAGAGAGATAAAATAACTCTCGCAGAGAACCACAGCTGTGTGAAGCAGGATTTGAATCCAGGTCTTAGGAGCAGCTAGGTGGCACATTAGAATGCCAAGCCTGGAGTCAGGAAGACTCCTCTTCCTGAGTTCAAATCTGGCCTCAGACACTTACTAGCTGTGTGACCCTGAGCAAGTCACTTAGCCCCGTTTGCCTCAGTTTCCTCATGTGTACAATGAGCTGGAGAAGGAAATGGCAAACCATTCCAGTGTCTCTGCCAAGAAAACTCCAAATGAGATCATAAAGAGTCTGACACAACTGAAAATCACTGAACCATCATAACTTTTTAACTCCAAGTCAAGTGTTCACTCCACTACTCCACAATGCCCATCACTGTCCTGGATCTGGACCTTGGTATCTGTTTCTATGATTGTGACCCAATCCTCAGAATGGAAATTTCTCAGCCATAATCTCTTCCTTCCTTCTAACACCCAATTCCTAAATGTGGAGGGTTCAGTCAGCACCCTCTATGAGCCAATCACAACTCTAGACCCTAGTACAAACAGTTTACCATCCCTCAGAAAAAAATGGACCCAATCATAATAAAAGATTACCTTTAACAGTGTACCTCCTTCCTAGGATAAAGTCTTACTCAAGAATGATGTCTCTAAAGTGTTCCTTTCCTTTCTATTTTTGCTTTACCAACCTTAAACAAATTGATTCTTTCTTTGATTAGAATCATGGCTTGACTGTAATCCTGGGAATCTGGTAAATCCTCTGCCATAAGATGTTCGATTTCTTGGAGCCAGACTTCAATGTTATCCAGGGGTGGGGGCAGGATTTGATCCAGCTTAGCACTCCATTCATTAATCTTAAAGAGCAAAGACAATTTTCATTATTGGTGTTCTACTGCTAATTATCACTTAGAATGAGCAAATAGCGCTTGTGAGGGTTTTCTGAAAGGCAACTCAAATAAATGTGATTTTATTAATGACCTAGCATGAATATTATCTTCACAATTCTAAAATTGCTTAGCATCTGAACATGATTCTTTTAAAATTGCTCAAAGCCTTAGCTCTCTGTTGCACTCATCAAGGATTATAAGTATCTGTGTACGTGTCGTATAAGGGCAGCTAGGTGGCACTGTGGATAGAAGGACACGTCTGGAATTAGAAAGCCTCATCTTCTTGAGTTCAAATCTGGCCTCAGAAAGTTAAGAGCTCTGTGACCCTTGGCAAGTCACTTAACCCCATTTACCTCAGTTTCTTCATCTGTAAAATGAGCTGGAGAAGGAAATGGCAAACCACTCCAGGATCTTTGCCAAGAAAAATCTTAAATGGGGTCACAGAGAGTTGGACAGAACTGAACAACAGCAACCTATGTCATATCCCCCTATTTGATTGTGAAAGTTCGGGTGCAAGTATTAATCCCATTACTTGGTAAGTCTGGTGAATATAAGAATGTCATTTAACTTGTTTGAGCTCTAGTTTTCTGAAAAATACAGTGGAGATAATAATGCTTATATTACCTACCTATCTCAACAGATTTCTGTGAAGAAAGTATTTTATAAACAGTAAAATGTTATGAGGAGGCAGCTAGGTGGCTCAGTGGATACAGCATCAGGCCTGGAGTCAAAAAGACCTGAGTTCAAATTTAGCTTCAAACATTTCCTAGCTGTGGGACCCTGGACAAGTCACTTAACCTCTGTTTGCCTTAATCCACTAAAGAAGAAAATGGTAAATCATCCTGGGATGTTTGCCAAGAAAATCCCATAGAAAGCATTGTTGTGCCATGGTCCATGGGGCCACAAAGAATCTGATACAACTGAACAACAAAAACAATGCCATGAGAATGTATGCTATTAATATGTGGTAAACTATGACCAAATCTTCTACTCTTATTTTGGGAAGATAACCTTGACTTTTTGCCTAAACTCACCATAAAACATACACATGTTGATAACACAGCAAAATCATACCTGGGGCATTCTTAAACCATGTTTAAATATTTACGATGACCTTTCATTCTATTAAGGACTTTGCTATTTACTGATGGAATCTAAATATTTGCATTCCTGAGCTGCTGAACTGGAAAAATACCCAGATGGCATGAAATTTATTTGGGTCATGATCTGGACACTGGACACAGCTCATTTTGCCATACTTGAGAAAAGGGGCATGCTAGAAGCTTAAGTACTGACTTATCAGCTCACTACACTAGCAGGTTGTAATCATGATGAGAGATGTGTCCTTTTCAGACATCTCTGCCCCCTCCCCAGCCTCCCTCCCACGATGCTGTTTTTAGTGATCTTCTAAAACTTGATTCAACTATGAGAAGTAAAATATGTAATTAGCAAAGAGCTGGACTTGAAGTTAGGAAGATCTGGGCCCCAGACCTCACCCAGATATTAATTAGCTGCGTATCCCTGGGGGGGGGGGAATCACAATCTATGCCTCAATTTCCTCATCTGTAAATAAAAATAATAATAGCCAGAGTTTATGTAGCACATTACATCTGTTATTTCATTCAGTCCTCACAACAATCCTGGAAGGTAGGTGCTATTATTACACCCATTTTATAAAATAAGAATGAAACTAAGGCTCAGAGGCACAGTGACTTGCCCAGGGGCACATAGCTGATAATTGTCTGAAGCAGAATTAGAACTTACATCCTCCTAACTACACATTGGGTCACCTAGCTGCTTCAGTAAAATCACAGAGTTGGACTTGATGACCTCTAAGGTCCCTTGCTAGGGCCCCTGGGCAGTTAGGTATCACAGTGGTTAGAATGCCAGCCCTGGAATCAGGAGACTTGAGTTCAAATTAGGCCTCAGACACTTACTAGCTGTGGAACCTTAGGCAACTCACTTAACCCTGCTGTCTCAGTTTCCACATCTGCAAAATGAGCTGGAGAAGGAAATGCAAACCACTGTGGTATCTTTGCCAAGAAAACCCCAAATGGGGTCACGAGAGTCAGACATGACTGAAGAGATTGAACAAGAACATCAAAGACCCCTTCCAGCCCTGGATCTAGGATCAGGTCTCCAAGACCTAAGCAAAAGTGTAATATCTAGATAAAGATTTCAACCTCCCATTTCTTACTATTGTTAGATCACTTATTCTTCAATGGATTTCCAGGGGAAAAAAAAACATGTTTAGTTACGAAGTTGTAGAAAGTATTGGAACAACACAATGGACCACATATAAATGCCTTTCATTCATTCCTTCATTCAGATAATCTATTCGTGTACAAGCTTTACTGAGCATGTTTTTGTTCAATAGGCATTTACTGACTATCTACAATGTGCAAAGCACTGTACTAGGTTATGGTAATATAAAACAAACCCCCTCCCCCCCCAAAAAAAAGTCCCTGTCCTCAGGAAGTTTACATTCTATGAGAACACAAAATCAATATGAAAAGTAATAAAACATCATTCAAGGTGGTGAAAAGAACTAATGACTAAAGGGGACAGGAGGAGTGTCCTATGGATGGCAACGTCTGAGTTAAGCAAAAATGAAATTAAAGATTCTAAGAGATGGAGATAAAGAAAACCAGGCACAGGAATCAACTCACTTATACAATAGTACAGAGGATGGAGAGAGGATGCTAACTCATGGAAACAAAAAGCGGGTCAGTTTGGCTGCAGCCCAGATTGGAGAAGACAGTCATATGTAGTAAGTCTCGAAAGGTAAGTTGGAACAAGATTACTGAGTTTGTACTTCTTCCTAGACACAAATGGGAACCACCAATGATGCTTGAGTAGAGAACCACGAGATCCTTGTGCTTTTGGAAGAATGTTTTGGCAGCTTGTAGAGGATGGATGCAGTCAGATGGCATGTTGGCTAGTCAGCCAACAGTCAACACTTACATAGTACCTGACACAAAGTTGGTGTTCAATAAATGTTTATCAACTGAGTGACTGACTATGGGGTAGGGTTTAGACTTGGAGCCAGGAAGACCTTTGTACAAAACCTCATCTACTAGCTGTGTGGCCCTGAGCAAGTCACTTAACCTTGTTTGCCTCATTTTCTTCATCTGTAAAATGAGCTGAAGAAGGAAATGGCAAACCACTCTGGTATCTTTGCCAAGAAAACCACAAATGCAATCATGGAGAGTTGGACATGACTTTAAAACAACTAAACAACAAAATAAATGCTAGCTTGAATAGGGTTCTTCATCTTTTGTAATTACACACTTTGAGAGGGAAATTATTTTCTAAGCAACTGTTACCACTTACCAGACTTAATAAACAATAATATGATAATTAAATATGATAAATAATTAATAAAATGATGTTAATTGTTCATGATGGGGCCGGGCCAATAAAATTAAAGTGATGATACTACCAAAATTAATTTACAAATACAATGTCATGCCAATCAAACTACCAAGGGGTTATTCTCTAGAATTAGACAAAATAATAACAAAATCCATCTGCAGGAACAAGGGAAATACTTTGAAAAAAGTAGGAAGGAAGGGAGACTAGCATTATTAGATCACACACTAGAGTATTAAGCAGAAATCAGCACAGCTGTCTGGTAGGAATAGAGACAGGGACCAAATCTGTGACTTTGTTCATACAGGGATTCTCTCTTTGGCAAAAAACTGTTGTGCAAACTGGAAAATGGTTTGGCAGAATATTAGGCTTACATCGAAATCTTACCCCATATCAATAAATCAAAAAATATTTATTATGTTCCTACAAGGTACCAGGCACTGGGGATAAAATACAATGAACGAAGCAACCCCAGATCACAAAGAGCTTGAGGGAAAGCCAAGGACTTAAAGAAACATAGATAGATAGATAGATAGATAGATAGATAAATAGATAGATAGATAGATAGATAGATAGATAGATAGATAGATAGACAGACAGACATATGACCATCTACATATATACATACACAAGCATATAAAATAAACACAAAGTATAAATACAAATAAATGCAATATCATTAGATAGAAGACAGCTTGAGAGGGAGGGCATTAGAAGTTGAAGAAATCAGGAAAGGCTTCGTGTAAAAGAAGGTCATACTTGAGCTGTGTTTAAAAGGATTCTATGAGGCACAGGTGAAGGAGTGCATTTCAGGTACGAGGGACAGTCAGCATAAAGACACAAAGATGACTGTCATGTGTGAGGAATGCAGAGAAAGCTGGATTAGCTGTATCATAAAATACAGGAGAAGGAATAATGAACAAATGAAGGTATGAGATAGTTTGGGACAAGGTCATAAAGATTTAAAAGCTAAACCAAAGACCTAATATTTGATTCTAGAGACACTAGGGAGCCACTGAGTTTATTGAGAAGAGTAATACAGCTAGCTCTACGCCTAAGGAAAATTAGTTGTGTGGCAGTATGAAATAGAGAATATGCTCCAAATGCATACACAACCTCCCTAGAAAAAGGTATGGTTGTGAAAAAAAAAACAATTAGAAGAAAATGAGGGCGGCCTCATTTCATTTCCTGTGAGATTAACAACTAAAATAGTGTAGTAAACTGAGGATAACAAGTGAAAGAAAAAACTAAGCCCAGTACAAGTCAGCAGCCCTGAGGGCATCACTACCTTGCAAATACTGTTCATAATGCTGAACTTGAATCATCAAGAAAGCATCAAATTATGTTCAGTATATTTGACAGTCTCACATTCTCATTACACAACCAATTCACTTGCTGGTTTAGTCACACATGTCATTGATTGAGTCTTTAATGCCATCTCTTTGGTGTAAATAATCAGTGGTAACATGTTGCAAACTATTAAGCCCATGATTGATCTTTCCGTGTCCTTTGGGCTTTTTATAACTTTAATTCTTTTGAGATCACAATATTCCATGTTTCAGAGCCACGTGGTGTCATCATGACAATACTGATTTTAAGAGATAGGTTTGGGGGCCAGTGAGAAATATGGAATTATTGAAAACATTGTACAATTTCCCCAAATGAAGTCCAGTCCAATCTCTTCAAACATTCAATTTTTGATATTTATTGATTTTTTATTGATTGATTAATTTTATTGATTGATTTTATTTATTGATTAATTCAAAAGACTGCTCATTTAATCTTTATGTACAATGACTTTTTCCTGACCTTTGGTTTTCTACTGCAATTGTCTCTTTTATCGAGTAGGATCTGTGGCTCTCCAGACAGCCACGTGGCTTAGTGGATGGAAGGCTGAGCCTGGATCCAGGAAGACTCAAGCTTAAGAACAACCTCGGAAGCTTAACAGTTGTGTGACTCTGGGCAAGTCACTTAACTTATGTCTACTCCAATTCCTCAACTGTAAAATGGGGATGATAATAGCACCTACCTCCCAGGGTTGTGGTGAGGATCAAGTGAGATAATATTTGTAAGGGCAGTTAGTACAGTGCCTGACATATAGTAAGCAGACTCTTAACACCACCCCCTCATCATGTTCCAGGGTTGGGTTAGTACAATGTTATCTGTTAAAAAAGCTTTTGGAGAAGCTCATTATCAAAAAAGAATCCTTTTATTTGAACTGTGTACAAATCTATGACACTGGCGAGCGATTTCGTCACCTACATCCATTCAGTCTCCTTGTTTTACACCTCATTTGAAGTCAATATTCAGTGGATCACTGAGCAAAGTTATCTCCATAATCTCATCTGTAATACCAACCCATCAACAAGTATATATTACTAACCAACAAGTATGTATTAAGCACCTACAACGTTCCAGGCTCTGGAGACACAAAGACATAAATGAAAGTCTCATGTATTTAAGGAGTGTATATTCTACTGGACAGGAAACATGCACATACATAAGCATAGATGAAATTAATTACATGGCAAATCTTGTAGGCGAAAGGAAGGCTTTAGAACGGGGGAAGAGGATCAAGAAAAGTTTCGTGTAATACAAGGGAAGGTGGCCTAGCTGTATAAAGCAGCAATCATTAAAACCACTTGGTGCTGGTTAAGAAATACAGTGGAGGATCTGTGGAATAGGTTAGGTATGCAAGACACAATAGTCAATGACTATAGTAATCTACTATTTGATAAATCCAGACTCTAGCTTCTGGGATAAGAACTCATTACTTCACAAAAACTGCTGGGAAAACTAGAAAAGAGTATGGCAGAAACTAGGCAAAGACCAGTATCTTACACCCTATACCAAGATAAAGTCAAAATGGGTACATGATTTAGGTATAAAGACTGATACTCTAAGCAAACTAGGAGAGCAAGGAATAGTTTACCTATCAGGTATGTGGAGAAGGGAAGAGTTTATGACCAAACAAGAGATAGAGAACAATATAAAATGCCAAATGGATGACTTTGATTACATTAAATTGAAAAGTTTTTGCACAAACAAAGCCAATGCAAGCAAGATTAGAAGGGAAGCAGAAAGCTGGGAAACAAATGTTCACAGTCAGTGCCTCTGATAAAGGCCTCATTTCTAAAATATATAGAGAATTGAGTCAAATTTATAAGAATACAAGTCATTCCCCAATTGATAAATGGTCAAAGGATATGAACAGGCAGTTTTCAGAGGAAGAAATTGAAGCTATGTATAGTTAAATGAAAAAAATTCTCTAAATCACTAGTGATTAAAGGAATGCAAATCAAAATGATTCTGAGGTACCACATCACACCTGTCAGATTGGCTAACACGACAAAACAGGAAAATAATAAATGTCAGAGAAGGTGTGAGAAAATTGGAACACTAACACATTGTTGGTAGAGTTGTAAACTGATTCAACTATTCTGGAGAGCAATTTGGAACTATGCCCAAAGGGTTATAAAATTGTGTGTACTCTTCAACCCAGCAATACCACTTCTAGGTCTATATCCCAAAGAAATCATAGAAACAGGAAAAGCACCTATATGTACAAAAATATTTATAGTAGCTCTTTTTGTGGTGGCAAAGAACTGGAAATTGAAGGAATGCCCATCAATTAGGGAATGGCTGAACAAGTTGTGCTATATGAATGTAATGGGATACTATTGTGCCATAAGAAATAATTAGCAGGCAGACTTCAGAAAAACCTGGAAAGATTTATATGAACTGATTCAAAGTGAAATGAGCAGAACCAGGAGAACATTGTACTAGGTAACAGCCACACTGTGTGATGACTGACTTTGATAGACTTAGCTCTTCTGCAAAATGCAAGGATCTAAGACAACTCCAAAAGACTCACAATGGAAAATGCTATCCACATCCAGAGAAAGAACTATGGAGTCTGAATGCATATGGAAGCATATTATTTGCTCTCCTTTTCTTTTCTTGTTTTGTTTTGTTTTTTCTTTCTCATGGTTCCTCCCATTAGTTCTAATTCTTCTTTACATCATGACTAATGTGAAAATATGCTTAATATGAATGTATAAGTAGAGCTTATATCAGATTGCACCCTATCTTGGGGAGGGGGAAGGATATGGAGGGGAAGAAAATTTAAAACTCAAAATCTTATGGAAGTGAATGTTGAAAACCAAAACTAAATTAATTAATTATTAAAAAAAAAAGTTTCCTGTATAAGGTGCTTGTTTAGCTGAGCTTTAGGAAACTGCTGAACTTTGAAGGAAACTAGGGATTCTAAAAAGTGGAAATTAGGTCAAGTGCATTTCAGATGAAGGGATCAGTCTGTGCAAAAGGCTAGGGACAGGAGATGATGCATTAGAATAAGAAGGTCAGTTTGGTCAGACTAAAGAGTTAATGAATAAGAGGAATGCATTGGAAGACTAGAAAAGGAAACTGCAGACAGATATGAAGGCCTTTCAATGCCAGAGACTCTGATTAATCTTAGAGACAATAGAGAGCCACTGGAGTTTATCGAGTAGGACAGTGACCTATGCTTTAGGAAGATCTCTTTGGCAGCTATGATGCAAGGGGATCAACTAAGAATCACAGGATCGTGTAATTTGAAGTGCTCCTGGGACATATCTTGCCTGGGACAACCTTCAAAGCTGCACACATTTTGTTCCACTGAGTTCAATGCTTTCTTAAAATCAATTGACAAAAAAGCACAATTAGACTTTATATCTCTCAATCAAGTTATGTGTTCATAAAGAGGGAGTCAACAATAGAAAATCATTAGTGAAAGCCTATTTATTACATTCTCATATTTTTATTGAAGATATCCCTGACTCAAGCATAGATCATTATCATGTACGTTATATAAAGACGAGAAGTTGGCAAATGCATCAGTTGTAGTGGCCGATGTTTTGGTTTCTTTGAGAGAGCACATATAAAACTAGTTTATGACACTTTCTACTCTTTTGGAATCTTTCCCTTTTAAAAATCTTGAGAGTTTATCCTCAAATGCCTTTAAAAGTATATCTTCACCAAAAAAAAATTACTAAAGAAGGCTTAATGGGTAGGTTTTAACTATTTGGAAATATACTTATGTGGACTAGATCATTTCGCAATGGTACTCTAAAAATGAGGCACTGTTGTTACTTAGCTTTGGAAAAGAATAAGAAAAGCCCAGTGAGACATGCCCAGACACACAAATGCACAAACTAAGAAATTCAGAAACTCATTTGTTTTTCATGCCTGGTTCCAAGTCCTTCGTAGATTTGCCCTTCTGATGTTAGTCTAGGGTCATGTGGCTAATATCTTTGCAGATTACTATACCAAAAGAACAGGTTTGCAGTTTTGCTCAGTGGCATGATAGAATACCCGTTCCCATTAAGTTGTTATTAAAATAAGGCCATGGGAAAATTGGAGTTGTCCCCCAAGGATAAGAAAAGTTGGAATGTAAAGATTTGGGGCTCCATTCATTGCTCCCCTTTTTTTTTAACATCACATGCTTAAACCTGCTGGTTATTTTGCCTTTTGTTTAGTGAATTTTCCATGAAAGTCTAACACAAGTCAAAATTAGTGCCATTCACTAAGGAGAAAGCTTTGCCCAATCCACAAAAAATCAAGTAAAGCTTCTATAATCAATATAATAGAAATCACCTGGGTAGTGAGCTTATCCCATGCTTGTCGTAATCGAGATTGGTCATCGGCCAGTCCAGCCACATTCCTTTTTATCGCCAACACATCCAAAAAGGCTTTTTTTTCTTCATTGAATGACTCCAAAAAAGCCTGCATGCCCTACGATTTGAATAAAGAGGTCATTTAAAATGTATTCTTAATAACCTCAGCTATAAACCTCAGTTAAATATTATTCTTTTTGTCTGTTCTTTATGAAAATCCATTCAGACTAGAGAGAAGTCCACTAAAATTATGGCCTTAAACTTACTTTTTCTTCATTACATAGATTCTTCCTCCCAATCCACCCTAGAGTCATGAATACCAATATAATGGTATATATATATACATATATATAGATAGATAGATAGATAGATATATGCATATATATATAGATATAGATATATATAGATACATAGATATATAGATACATAGATATATAGATATATAGATATATATAGATATAGATATCATCAAGATATATATCCCTGAGCTACATATCACTGGATTAGTGCTATGGCGGTTCTACTACAATGTGAACAAATCCACCTCAATACACAAGAGGAAGAAAAATAAAATGAGGGTATGTGGGATGTGTGATGACCTCATTAATACTTTTATCAATCTTTTGATTTAATCAATGTTTGGTGATCAATTCTGCAATGTTTTTCATAGGAAATAAAACTCTAAGACCAGGATAGAATTTTATAGTTAAATAATTTTACTTTATGAATACTTTTCATCATTCTGCTCAATACAATAAGCTCCCTTAAAGATGGCTAAAAAAAAAACAAAACACTGTGAATCAAAGCAAAGTGCCATGTAAGTCAATAATTTTTGCACTTACTTCAGATTTTTTAAAGTATGTCTCCTTTTCTGACCCCCTCTGTAATTCATGCAACTTTTCTTCTCGTGAAATCAACCAGACTGTGGCATCTTTCACCTTTTCCTAATGGTCAGAACAATAAGAAAAGCACTTTGGTCATAGAATGGGTAGTCATTAGATACATGGCAAAAATGGTATGAATGACTAGTTCTCAAAAGAATTCCAAACTGTTAACAACCATATAAAACAATACCCTAAATGACTAATAATAAAAGAAATGCAAATCAAAAAAACTCTAAGGTTTCACCTCACCCTGAAAATCAGCAAAGATGTTCAAAGATAGGAATAACTGATGTTGAAGAGGTTGTGGCACTCAAGTGCATTGTTGGCAGAATTTTGAATTACTATTTTGAAAAGTATTTTGGAATTATATAAAGTCACTAAAATTTCCATAACTTTTGACCTAGAGATTCCACTGCTACATTTATACCCTGAAGAGGCCATTAATAAGAAGGAAGTTCCCATTTACACCAAAATATTCATAGCAGCACTTTTTGTGGTAGCAAAGAATTGGAAATGAAGTGGATACCAATCTACTAGGGAAAATGGCTAAACAAATTGTGGTATGAATAAAATGGAACATTACTGTTATAGAAGTGCTTAGCACAGGGCCTGGCAGATGCTTAATAAATGTTTACTGACTATAAAAAATTATCAATATAATAAATACAGAATTCAGAATTCACTCTGCATCAGTTTATATAGTTCAACTCTTACTTTACTGAAAAAATCGAGACCATTTGCCATGAGTTCCCTATTCTCCCTTTATTGGCCTTTCCCACCCTACCCCGGTACACAGGCACATGTTCTTCCAGTCTCTGATAATGAAGTAGGCCTCCTCACTACCAAGGCTAATCCCTTTACAAGCATCATTGATTACTACCCCCATCCCTAGTGCCTCCAGCAGATTGCCTCCTCAACCATGTCCTCTTTCTCAACAGCTACTGCTCTCTCTTAAATATCTTGTATTTATTCTCTGTATAATTATTTATGCACTCGACAACTCCTTCTATCCCCGATAGAATGTAAGCTCCTTGAGAGTAGGAATTGCTCTCATCCTTTGTATTGGTATCCTCAGTGCCTAGCACATTAGGTACTTTAAAAATTCATTAACTGATTGATTGATTGAACAATTTAGGCAATCCCAAACAAAGATCCTGAGCACTTAGACAGTGCTATTATCACACTACTCAACATGAGCTGGCTTGGATATTTTGATTATCTTAGTTATATTGCATTTGCCTGTGTCCAAAGACAGAATCCATATTTTGGCAACATCAAAAAAGGTAGATTTTATTTTATTCTTTCCTAGACTTTATTCTCTATAATGCAGAAGATTTTTTTTCCTATTAAGCCAAAGTAACTCTTCTCTCATTCCACTCTGCATCGTGAACAATCAAATTTAGTTTCTTCATCCAGATTTTGTTTCCAAAAAAATAACTAGGAAATCAAGGAGATAGCAGCTGCCCAACACATTAGAATTGACTGAACTGAACTACAGAGTAAATTCAGCTTATGCATTTCTTCCACATCAGGCAAGCCTCTGGCTTAATATATACAAAATGGTGATTGGCAAAAAAAAAAAGCCTAGGGTAAGTTTCAAAATATACAAGGTGACTATGTGGTTAAATTTCCGGAAAAAAAATAATCAGCAACTTACAAGTATAGCTACGCTTTCATTTATCTAAATGGAGAGTTCTTAACTCTGCGTGATTTTGTGTCCTTTGAGAATATGGTACAGACTACGAACACTTTCTTAGAATAATATTTTTAATGCAGAAAATAAAATACAAAAAATTACACAAGAAATCAATTATAATTAAGTAATTATCAAAATATCTTCCAGAGTTCTCAGGCTCCAGGTTAAGAACTCTTGATCCCCCCCAAGGAGGGAATGGAGGGAGTCTCACTGTATGTTTCTTTCAGTCCTATGAAGTTTCAACCTCCCAATTATACTTCTGATTGACGGGTGTGACAAAAGAAATAGTCAAATTACTAAATAATAGTATAAAGACAATTTTCATGACAACTTGATGCAAGAATGACAAACATTTCGACAGTTGAGAAAACTATAAGTAAAGAAAAAAATTAACTTATTTGGTGATAATATGGACAACTACCTGAACTTCATCTCCAGCCACAGGCAAATCTTTGGAATACTGAAGAAATTGGGCCACATATGTCATGATTGATTTTTCATCTGGGTTGATAACATCAACATCTGTAAAACAGATCATACCATTAGTTGGGTTTTTTTTTTAACAGTTTTCAGTTTGATCATAAAATTTAGTATAGTCATCATGTAACTAAGTATAAATTGAAATATAATTCTTTAACTTAATTTTTCTTGCTTTTCTGTAACATGGCTAATACGGAAACATGTTTTACATGATTTCACATGTATAATTGATATCATATTATTTGCTTTCTTAATGGATGGGGAAGAGGTAGGAGGGAGGGAGAGAATTTGGAACTCAAAAAGAATGTTACAAATAAATAAAATTTTTAAAATTAGCAACAACAACAAAAATAGAGTCAGCAGATATGTGTTTAACAATAATGCACTCACCAGAATAGCTTATACTATATAGCAGCCTCAACAATAATCCCAAAATATTCCTCATCCTAAGAGTCTCTGGCTGCCTGCCCACTAGAAGCTCTAAGTTACAAATAGTAAAGCAGAGCCAAGAGTGGCAAAAGACAAAGACTTTCTTGGCTCACAGAGGCTGAGAAACCAGAAAGTGGAAGATTGGAAAAGTAAAAAAAAAATATTCCTTTGAACTTCGCTATTTTGAATTTATGATGATTAGGAAACAGATTAAGCTGTAATTTACCATTGCTCAGTTATTCCCAAACAATAAAAAACTAGGGGAATGGCATGCCAAAGTAGCCATTTGTCTAGTTCCAAGGTAGAGAAGCTAAAAATGACTATGTCTGAATGCATTCTTTCTTTTACATCTAAATTCAGTGTTCTTAATAAAATGTATTGATTTTTCTAAATATCATACTTGGATTTGGAAGTAACTTATAAAATGTATGGGTAGGTCAATTTTATTGAAAACTGCCAGAGGGCTGTTGATGCTTGTGTTCCAAACTGTAGCTCAACAGATACATTCTTTTGGTCTGATTTTATGGATGCTAAGAAAGCTTCACTGAAGCCTCAAATTAAATTGAAATTTATTGCATTGTCCTCAGTTAAAATGCATACGTTCTGAAGAATGGGCAAATGACTTCTATAGTCTTCCGTTTTCCTCATTTGCAAAATAAAAGAGAACAGAAAATATGCAAAGTCCTTCCCAGTTCTAAATTGTCTAATACTACAATAAACTATTAAGTGTCCTTAACATCCCAGTGTGAATTAGGTAGCCAGATCCCTTACAATATGATGTCAAGATGAAGGAAGGTTTTGAATGAAAGAAGCTGGATAGTCGAAGCTTTGTGGTGGGACACCAGGCATAGCAGGGAAATCTTGGCCAGTGAAGTAGGATGAGACCATTGAGTCGTTAGAGGGAAGAGAGAGGCTAGAGAGGAAGGAAATGGTTGAGAAGATACCCAAGACTAACTTTATCTACTGCACAATGTTGCCCAAGAATCTGGCCTGCAGGGTTATCACCAATAAACACAGTAACCAATGGCACTGAGTCACAGGATTTTCCCTCCGGGGGGAGCAGATTTCATTTTTGCCACAGATTAGATATCATTAAAGTCTACAAAGCCAATTTATAGACTACAATTTCCTTCAGGGGAACAACTGCCCTGGTGGGGTTCATAGAGAATCCAAGTTCCTCCCCCACGTCCTACAAGGGGTCCTCCCTCAGGAGCCATGGCAGTTCTTTAACATCACCCCTTATGCTAGACCCAGAAAGTGAATTGTGCCTAATAGTGCAGGCAATGCAGGAAAGAAATACTTGAAATAAGAAGTTATGGCCCAGGGACTTCCTTGTGGAAATCAGAAGCCTTAGAATTTCACTCAGGATAGAGACAAAAGGATTTTAGCATTTATATAGATGGAATTATTAGAGAAGTATGAAAACATACTTAAGAGATTTTTTTAAATTGTTACAGAATCACAGAATTGTAATACCCTAAGAACTCCTGGGCTTTCCCCTACACCCTGGAGCTATTGTTGTTCAGTCATGTTTCAGTCATATCTGACTCTTCATGACCCCATTTGGGGTTTTCTTGACAAAGATGTAAGAGTGGTTTACCATTTCCTTCTCCAACTCATTTTACAGATGAGGAAACTGAGGCAAACAGGATTAAGTGACTTGCCCAGGATCATGCAGCTGAGGCCAGTTTTGAACTCAGGAAGCTGAATCTTCCTGACACTCTATCCATTGTGCCACCTACCTGTCCCTGGAGCTAGAACCATCCTATACGTGCCTGTGTCCTCCAAGTGGAGTATTTTTGTTTACTCTTCTATTTGCATCCCTAGCGCTTAATATTGCAAGCCCTTAATAGATACTTTTTCATCTGTAAAATACAGATAATACTAGCACCTAGCTCACAGGGTTGTTGTAAGGATAAGATGAGATAATGTTTGTAAAAAGCTTTGCGAACCTTAAAGCACTATATAAATGCTAACTATTATCATCATTACTGCTATTTTCATTCACTGTATTCATTCATTCACATTCTCAGCTAGACCTGTGAAACTATCTTGTCTAACCTAGACATTCCAATCGAATGAATCAACTGGAACTCAATCCAGACCATAATGCTAAAAGTATGGGAAACAATGAATAAATCACATGTAATCTTCTAATCTCCCAAGGTATGCTGTCAAAAGAACCATCACAGATTACAGAAAAAAAAAGTATCATTTAATCAGAGCATACTAATACTGAAAAACAGTTAGATAAATAATCATGCCAGTTTCACCAGTTTGCTCCTTTTTTGAAACTACAAAAGATATATGCAGGTAGACATATCAACAACCTTGCAAAAGCATTTGGGTCAAGAGATGACTCACATTCACAAGTGACTACTATGTTTGGATTACATCAGTAATTAATGTCGCATTTCAAATGACTGAGTTGACTGGTTCTCACACATTTTAGTAAAGCAAGGACTATCATTCACAAGAAAATTACCTCTTTTAGTTTCTTAATTGTCTGCAGATACAAAAATGTTAAATTGTTTTATAGCTAATGAAGATTTAGGGAGCCATACTATAGCAAACAGATAGAAATAAGAAATTAGGACAGAAAAAGAGAAAACTATAAAGAAAAGGGAAGGAAAATGGGCCAGAAGTGGGGGGAAAGCAGAGGAGGGGAAGAGATGAGGTAAAGGAAGAAAAAATGATGAATATTACTTAAAGAAAAAATTTGTGGTAAAACTACTAAATTAATAAAAGAATCAGTAAAATGAACAAAAAGAAACACTATCTCCTGAACAAGATCTTAGGAATCATCATTTTTTAAAGATTTAGAAGTAAATATAGAAAATGAAGGAAGAAACAGAAAGGATGTTCCAGGCTTTCACAGCTGACAAACACAGAGTTGAAAGTACATCCCTGGTGTCTGGACTCCTGTTTTATTCCCCCATGAGTTGCATTGCCTTTTCACATTTGTGCTATGTAAAGTTATATAGATAAATCACTAACTCTGACTTTAGCTTTAATCTCAACATCATTCTCTACCCATTCTCCTCATCCAAAGCCATCCTCTCTGTGTGCCCTTAATCCTTTCATCTCTTCTCAAGCTTATTGCCCCCTTGATTATCCTCCCTCTAACCTAAAACTTCTCCTTTTACCCTTGACAGACATGCCTGTCTCCCCCATCCTTTAAAAATTTTCACTGGTTGTGAACTGATTCAACCATCCTGGAGAGCAATTTGAGACTATACCCAAAGGGCTACAAAACCATGTATACTCTTTGACCCAGCAAAACCACTACTAGATCTGTATCCCAGAGATAAAAACAAAAAGGAAAAACACCTATACGTACAAAAAATATTTATAGCAGCTCTTTTTGTGGTGGCAAAGAATTGGAAATTGAGGGAATGCTTATCAATGGAGGAATGGCTGAACAAGTTGCAATATATGATTGTAGGGGAATACTATTGTGCTTTAAGAAAGGATGAGCAGGATGCTCTCAGAAAAACCTAAAAAGACTTGCATGAACTGATAAAAAGTGAAATGATCAGAACCAGAAGAACATTGTACAAAGTAACAGTAATACTGTACTATGATCTACCGTGAATGACTTGGGCATCCTCAGCAATGCAATAATCCATTACAATTCTGAAAGACATATGATGAAAAATGCTGTTCAGTTCCAGAGAAAGAACTGATGGAATATGAATGCAGATCAAAGCATACTTTTTTTTTACTTTATTTTTCTTGGGTTTGGGGTTTTGTTTGTTTGGGTTTTTTTTTTGTTTGTGTTTTCTTTCACAACATGACTAATATGGAAATATGTTTTGCATGACTGCATATCTATAACCTATATCAAACTGCTTGCCTGTTCAAGGAAGGGGGAGGGGAGGGAGGGAAAGAGAATTTGGAACTCAACATTTTTAAAAAATGAATGTTAAAAATTGTTTTTACATGTAATTGGGAAAAATTTAATATCTAAAAAGGGAAAAAAATTCACTTGACTCTGCCATACCCTTAAGTTGTCAAACTCTTGGTAAAAGCTGGGTGCTGTCATTGCCTCCACTTCCTCTCATCTCACTCCTTTCTCAATCCCATACAATCCAGCTTCCATCAACAAAAACACTTCTCTCCAAAGTTACCAGTGGTCTCTTAATTGCCAAATATGAGGCTTCTATCTCAATCTTTATCCTTCTTGACCTCTGCATTTGATACAGTTGACCATCTTTTCTTCTGTTTTCATGATCATGCTTTCTCTTAGTTCTCCTCCTATTTGCCTAACCACTCCTTAGTTTCCTTTGCTAGACTATTGGCCATATCACATCACCAAACTTGATGTGTACACACACACACACACACACACACACACACACACACACACACACACACACACCCCAAGGGTCTATCCTGAGTTCTCTTCTCTTCCGTCTTTACCCTCTGTTTGAAAGCTTATTAGCATCCATGGTTTAATTATCATCCTTATGTAGATGTATGGATAAATTGATTAAGTGAATTATTCTCCAACATGTCAAAATTTATATGAGTAACATGACCCTGAGGTTTCACCTTCCACCCTTCAGATTTGAAACAATGACAAACAATGAAAATGGTAAACATAAGAGCTCTAGGAAGAAAGAACTATTAACATACTGTTGGAGAGCTGTGGATTGATCCAAAAGTTCTGGAGAACAATTGGAATTATCCTAAAAATATTAATTAAAGTGTACATGCTCTTTGCCCTACCAATTCTACTATTAGGCATAGATCTCAAGAAGCAAAGAGTCTAAGGAAAGGCTTTTTACATACAGAAGCATTTTTGTAGTAGAATTACGGAATTTTAGAGAAGGAAAGGAACTCAACAGCCACCTACTCTAATCTACACATTAAAGGAACCCCTCCTATAATGTACCAGATAAATAGTCATCAAACCTAATGAAGATCATAAAGATCTTCAAAGAAGGAAAAGTTACTAAAACCAAGGGCATCCATCTATTCTACTTATAGATAGCTCTAACTGTTAGGAAGTTTTTCTTGACATTAAGCCTAAATTCACCTCTTTCTGACTTCCCCATGTTGATCTTGCCTCTGCCTTCTGGGAAGATAAAACAAGTGAATTCCCTTTGCTAAGTGACAATCTTCCAGATAGTTGAAGACATCATCATGTCCTGCCATGTCTCTTCTCCAGGATAAACATCCCCAGTTCTTTCAAATGGTCTTTATGTGACATAGACTCAAGGTCCTTCAGCTTTATGGCTGCCTTCGTTTGGACACTCTCTAGCTTATCAATGTCCTTCTTTAGCTGTGGGACCCAGAGATGAACACAATACACAGATTAGGTGTGACAAGGGCAGAGTACAGTGGTACCATCATCCTATTCCAGGAAGTTATGCCTCTCTTATTGCAGCTCAAAGTTAGCTTTCTTGGCTGCCCCATCACACTGATGACTCATATGGAGCTTACAGTCTATGAATACATCCAAATCATCAGAAGAACTGCTGTCTAACCATATTTTGTAGGAACAACATTTATTTTTACATAAGTTGGAATGGTCCAATTCATAAGGCAAGGAGACTGTCCTTGTGATTTGGTTGGTTCAGAGTGATAAGGTTTATAAAAAGCCCTACCTACAAGGAGTTCACATCCTTGAGTTTGACAGAGTTCTAATTGTCCTGTGGAATTGCTTTCTAAACCAGGATAGATGCCCTAGAGAATTCAAAGTTGAAATTCTTTTTTCTTAAGTTTTTACTTAATTACGTTCTTTTAGTCCTTAGTTATAAAAGTAATTTTTTGTTTCAATAGTGTTTCATTGTAGTCCTAAGCCTGACTCTTTGGACTGGCGTTGTCAGCATTGATCATGGAACAAAACACTGTGCGTGCCTCCCCAGTCTTATACTTATGAAGCTAATTTTTTGTATCCAAGTGTAAGGCTATTTATCACTACTGAATTCCATCTTATTAGATTCAAGTCAATGCCCTAGAGCAGTGATATCTAACTCAAATAGAAATAAGAGTCACTAAGGCATACATAAGGATTCCTGCAGGCCACATGCTGATTTATTTATTATCTGTGTTTTATTGTATTTTTAATTGTTTTGTAAAATATTTCCAAATTACATTTTAATTGGGTTCAGATCGCACTCAGGAATATCGTGGGCCTCAAACAGCCCACGAGTCATGTGTTCGATACTTCTGCTCTAGATTACCAGGACCTTTTAGGATCTTGACCCATTTATCCAGTGTGATAACTATCCCTCCCAATTTAGGGTCACTTGCAAATTCAATAGGCATGTCATCTATGCCTTTATCTAAGACATTGATAGGAAGGTTAAACAGCACAGAGCCAAGTACAAATCTCTGGGGTACAACAGTGGAAACTTTCTAGAAGACTGGAATTGAACCATGCATAGTTACTCTTTACTCTCTACTTCAAGAAACCAGAGTCCCTCCCATGCCATGATGAGACATTAGAGTAGAACTTTGGTTGGAATATCCTAAAATTACTGAAGTTTAAAAACCCACGGGAATGCTGGCTTGTATTATAAAGATTAATAAATGGTTCGAGTGAATCACCCACTTTTATAAATATTATTACTGCTATTCCTCTTGTATATGAATGATTTTGCTGTGATATTCATGAAGATTATCAACCAAGATGTGGAAGGGTCGTGACCTACATAGGTGGATGGAGTACCAGCACCATGAGTGAGGATTTCAAAGAAGAAAAAAGAGTAATAGGGTGATGAAGAGGAGAGAGATCATTTACCTTCTGGATCCAATAGACTGGGGATGTTTAGTTCACGTTCTGCAATCCTGAATGCCTCTTTTAGATTGTCTCTGCTGGATCTAGCCTTTACACTGTTCATATCAATTAGGTCTGGTCTCAAAGCATGAATGACAGCTAAAAAAGCCATCCCATTTCTCCAGCTTGATTTAAAATCTGTAACATTTACAGATCCATGCCTATTACAAATAGAAAAGAAAGTATGAAAAAAAAATTTACAAAACTTTATCATAACCTTTTCCACTCTAGTCAAGAGCAAATAAAATGAAGAATCATGTTACTATTCATAGGAACAATATAAATTATTCTAGCAAAAAGTCTCTATTTGGGCCTTTTTCTTTGGTGATCCAATTGTGAGGTTTGGTGAGGCCCACGATCAATCATCAATCAATCAATATTTAGCAAGTGCCTACTATGTACCAGGTACTTTGCTAAGGGCTGGGGATACAAAAAGAGTCAAAAGATAGTCCTTGTTCTCAAGGAGCTTACATAAAAGCTCTGCTGTCGGATGGGCCTAACTCAAGTAGTTTAAATTCAACTTTTAAACTAAATGTAACACTTGTAGGTGACTCAATAGTTAATAAAAGGAGGTTTAATTAGACTTAATATGGAGAAGATGCACACCAAAGATATACTGTCACCATATATAACAACTTGGTCGGTTGAAGGGAGTGTGATGGCTGGCTGGGGGCTTGAAACAAGGCCTAAAAATAGGCGTATTTGATACCTTTAGGTGACTAGGAAGCCATAGTCAAACTAGATTGAGGCCATCAGAAAGCCCCAGGAATCTAGGAAATATGGCTCTTATGCCAATCAAGTCAACATTTTCCTTGCCTTTTGGGGAAAGAACCAGCCTCTTCCTGCTTAATTCTGGGCCTAATTCACTAGGACAAAGTGTAAAGACTGCCACCTAATTGAAGTTAAAAGCCCATGGGAATGCTGGCTTGTATTATAAAGATTAATAAATGGTTCAAGTAATTCAGCCACTTTCATAAATATGATTACTGCTATTTCTCTTGAATATGAATGATTTTACTATGACATTCAGGAAGATTATCAATCCTTCACCCATCATCTGTGCTTCTCAAACACAGATATGTATGAATGAAAGGGTAGCATGGTGATAAAAGGGAAACCTAGCACATTCTCATTATAAGACAGAAAAATAAGTCTCACTTCAACCTGGAGGAGCTATAGATGGCGAATAAGGTTGAGTTTGCACTAGGAGCCATAGTAATTTTATCAGATCATAGAAAATAACTCACATGGCACATTGTTCCTGGGCCCATAAAAGAAGGGCCTTCTTTGCAGACATCTTCCATCTAGCCTGTGCTTTAGACCGTTTCTTAGGTGGAGGCCCTGAAGTTTGAGATAAGTCCACAACACTCACACAATCCAAAGAAGGTTTATTATAATTACAAGAAAGAATCCAAGCCAGTTCTTCAATCTAAAGAAAGGAGAACCCAAAGTTAATGACAATTAACCTCTGTACCTTCACCTAGTTAAGGGCTTAATATATTTTTGTTCAATGAATAAAGGCACTGAAAGTTGTAAACTGGGAGAAGCTGAAGAATATTACAAAATCTACTCATATCAAGAGTGAGCCAGACAATGGAAGGATATTACAAACATCAAGTGAGGGCTAGAGGCGCTCTCTGCTTATTTGTTTGTTTTTCCAGAGCAGATTTGGCTTATTTATCTATTCTAGAATAGCCAGGAAGATACAGTCTCATTCACTTTACAGTAGTTGCTGAGGAAATGGAGGAAATATTTGTAAAGGAATTAAGTTGGGCAAATACATTAGACATCACAGAATAAGCATCAACTTCTAGCCCAAAGGCTACTTGACCTTTTTTCATATCATAGACCTTTCAACAGGCTGGTGAGGTGTATGAACACTTTTTTTCAGAATAACATTCTTAAATTCATAAGATAAAATGCAAAGAATTACAAAAGAAGCCAGTTATACTGAAATAAAGATATAATTTTTTTTTCCTATGTGTGTTCATGGACCTCCTGAAATCTATCCACAATTCCATCCCCAAGTGAGTCTAGTTTATAGATCCTGAATAAGAAGCCCTGCTCTAGCCTGAGAATGTCCCAAATTGGACCTTTGTGCCCAACATTATTAAAGACATAAATGATAACAGTTCACATTTACGTAGCGTTTTAGTTTTACAACTCTAAGTGGTAAGCAGAACAAGTAGTTTTTGATAGAGGCTTGTGATTTCATTAGTGTAAGGAGTTCCTAGAGTAGAAAAATCCCTCTAGTGATGCATATTGGCAACTTTTCTGTACCTTATATAGCACTAAAAAGTAGCCTGTGACATTGAAAAGAGAAGTGATTTGTCCATGGTAATACAGCTACTGTCAGAGGCAGGTCTTGAACCTGTCAGGTTCTGAAGCTACTTCTATCCACTGCCTATCAGTACAAGTACCATTATCTCCTTTTCACTGATGAGGGAACTGAGGCTAAAAACTAAAGACGAACCTATGGTCATATAGCTATTAAGTATCCAAGTCAGTATTCAAGCCTAGATCAAGTCTATCCAATACTCTTTCCATTACAACATAGTTGCTTCTCTAAAAAGATTTTAATTAAACAGCAAGTATTTACCAAGCACAAACCTAGCAATGTACTAAGAGTTTAGGTTTCAGGATTCCAGTCCTTGATATTCAGTAGTTTAGTGTTAGATAATCTGAAACATTCATTATGGCCAAACTACCATGTTAGTTTCGCGTTAGACTTTGGCTTGAAAACAGCTTTAAAAGTACAAACGATAGGTGTGGTGGAAAGATCGCTGGACTAGAAAACTATAAATCCTAGGTTTGACTGGGCTGCCCTTTGGTGACACTAGGTTCAGTAATTACTTGGTTAAGTGACTATTTAACCAATTTAGGTAAAATAAGGATAACTTTGTTTGTTACCACCAACCTCATTGAGTTGATATAAGCCAAATGTCATACAAATGAGGGCTGTTGTCACCGGGCAGCTAGGTGGCACAGTAGAGTGCCAGACCTGGAGTCAGAAAGACTCATCCTCCTGAGTTCAAATCTGACATCAGACACTTCCTAGCTGTGTGATCCTGGGCAAGTCACTTAACCCTGTGGCTTCAGTTTTCTCATCTATAAAATGAGCTGAAGAAGGAAACGGTAAATCACTTCAATATCTTTGGCAAGAAAACCCCAAATGGGTCATGAAGAGTCAGACACGACTGAAAGGACTGAACAAAATTATTATTATCATCATCATCATCATCATCATCATCATTAATAATAACTAGAAAATATCTATTACACCTTTTTTTAAGTACTAGAACTTCAAGAGCATAGCAGATTTTCAAGGGTTTGATTAATGTGGATTCATATTCTTTTTATTATGTTTCATAAAAGCAATTATTGAAAGATGTACTGTTGCACACAACCGAAGTACTTACGTGAAAGTGTAATATAATAGTCCAAATCAGACCAAGAATAATAGATGGATTTCCTTCTACAATATCAGTTACATGAATATTTATGAGCTTGATCTGGGAAAAGAAGAGCATGGGTTAAAAGAAGAAAACATCCCACAGCATGAATCTATTCCTATAATTAATTTTTATTTTAAATTTTAAGTTTATACTTACTGATTGTTTCTTCAGAAATGTCAAGGCATGTTCTATGTTGCTTCTGCACTGAAAGGTGTTAGATCCTTTCTCCCGAGCCTGTAAGTTTCAAGGGAAATGTCATTCACAAATAAGAGGGTGTTTTTAGGAAAAAATTATTAACAAAAAATTTTCAATTACTACCTAAAACCTTACCAATTGTTGGCCTGAAAGTACTTCCAACAGATCCAGGAGAACATGTCCTTTTTTAATATCTGTGAAGAGATCTGTTATGACTGAGGGAGGGATATGCTGAAAAACAAGGTTTGGAAAATTGTTACTTAAACTTTTCAGTTTGAAAATGAACATCTTTCAGAATATCATAAAAAAAATCAAGTAGCTATCTAATAGGGAATCATTTTCTACTTATTTTAATGGAAAACAAAGTTTTAAGCCAACAAATTTAATAAATTGAATTCATCTCATGGCAAATTTCTAATAAAGAAACTCTTTTCAGGAATAGATCTTGCATTGACTTTGGTGCGAAATACACACTTTTAAGTGCCAATAAAGACCTATGGAATCATATTTATTCATACATTCATAGGGAAAGAATGCTATGTGGTGCTTCCAGACTCCTTTTGGAATTAGAATAATAATAGAAGATAGGTACACAGGGAGAAAGAGACATGTAGAAAATCTACATTCCATTTCTGTTTACCTAACATAATAAGATCAAGAGAAAAAAGAAAACATTACAACTTTAAATATTTTTAATGTCACTATCTGTCACAGCCAAATGCCCAGGATAATGCCTTAAAAGGTGGTTTTCCCCCTTGTTAAAAACTGAAATTCAGAACTTTTTTTCCTTATTCTTTCACATGTAAGTTCTACATCTTATCTGTCCTCTCTCCTTTCCCAGCTCCTTATCCCCGATTTGATCATGAATTACTTTCTTCTTGTGCTAGGAAAGAAAAGCAGAAAAGCTGATGCAAGATCTCTGTCATGGTCACTTTAGCACCTTTTGTCAAACAAAGGCATGCCACAACCTGTCATCAAGTCAGTATTTATAAATCTTGTTCACTGCAAAAACTAAGGATGATAACAAAACCAAAAAAGTCCCTCAGGATTCAGTTCCTTATTTATTTTGTCTTTTATCTCTCACCTTTGCCAACTGTGAATTTATCCAGCAGGTAAACGTTTTCTTCTGCGTATGTTCTTGTTCAGCTATGGAATAAGACAAAGAAAGCAACGGTTCAAAGGTGAATTGGAATTTACTAAACTCTCCACAAAGCCAAGTTGGACACTTTTTAATTATCCCAAAGCTTTAATACCACCTTTGGATTTGTTGACTGATTCTAAAAGGAGTGAAGAAAGTACTCCAGAAATATAGTCGAGGATTTTCAGAAAAACCAACTATTTAAGAAAACCAAGATTTGGTGATACTAATGGTTTTTCTAAAGATATTAATAAAGATCATGAAATAGCTGCCATTTAATTTTTTAAAATTTCTGTCTTTTTAGCTTCTCATAGGAGACATGACTCTATGAATAGAATTTAATTAACTGAGCCACAGGACAAAAATTTTTTTTTAACAAAACTCCTTTTCAATTTTAAACAAGAATCTAATCTTGTCCAGATAAGATGGCTGTCTGAATGGAAGCTGACAGGCCAGCCCTCACACATCTATTCCAGAAAAAAGCTAAAAAACAATGTCATTCCCAATTGAGATCAAGAAATCCAATGAGAAAATATAGTAAGAGATTTCATCCACTCAGGAACTGAATAAAAAGACCATCATAAGACCATAGGTGGTACAAAAGAGTACCCCTCCAGAAAGCCAACAGTGATGGAAGCCTCCCACTGTGCTACCAGAGGCAGTCCAGAGACACCTGTAGTCCACAAGGCACTGTAAATAAAGGCAACAACAGCAGAGTATTCCCACAATAAAACTCTAAGGTGATCAGAAATCCACAACTCGGACCTTGGAAGTGACTGGCAGTGGCAATGACTAGTCCTAGAATGACATCAACCATTCTAGGAATAGCAGTGACCAGTACTGGCACGGCAGGCCACAAAGGTCCATATCATTTTTTTTCTCTGATATTCCCTAGAGGACCCTGAAGATTCAGGGCTGAGAATCTTAAAGATCCAGAACTACTTAAAACCTACCAGCACTCTTAACATGGAGACAACCCAAAGGGTAGATGCAAGTACAGGAACCCAGATGACCTAGGTCAAGGTCAAGCAGAGGCAACCATCTCACTTGGGTATAGAAAGAGAACAAATAGCTTAGAAGAGAAAGTGGTAAACCTTACCCAAGAAATAGATTCTGTAAAAATTAGAATAGACCAAAGAGAAATCAATAGCTCCATGAGCAACACCAAAAGATTGAAAAAATAATAGAAAATGTAAGGTATTTGCTATTTAGAAAATTACCTACAAAAGAGGTCAAGTAGAGATAATTTAAGAATTATCATACTTGCTTAATAAATGAAACTTTTGAAGATCTATTATTACCACAGGGCAAAGTGAAAATAGAATGAATCCACTATTCACTTCCCGTAAGAAACCCTAACAGGAAGAGTCCAAGGAATGCTATAGCCAAAATCTAGAGATTCTAGGTCAAAGAAAAAAAATACTGCAAAAGTAGAAAGATAGCATTCAAGTAAAGAAACCACACTAAGGATCGGAAAAGACTTGGCAGCAACCACTACAAAGAAGAGAAAAATCTTGTAATACAATATTCTAAAAGTCAAGAGATATAGGTTTACAAGTAAGAATAACTTACTCTGAAAAGCTGAGTATATAAGTCTATGGGGGGCAGGAACAGGGGGAGGGGAATGAACCTTTAATGGAATTTAATCAGGACTTTTAAGCATTCTTGAACAAAAACCACAGCTAAGTAGAAATTTTGAAATATGAACACAAGTTAAGAGAAATGTAGAAAAATAATGTTTTTTGAACAATTGGGAACAGTCATAGAATTGATGCTAACATTCTAACAGGAGAAGAAGAAATTTGTGTCTCTTCAGAACTTTAATCTTTTCAAAGGGCAATGTAGTTAAATAAGAAAAAGAGAGTGCCTCAAAGTATGTTGGCTCTGTTCTGATACTTTTAAGGGGATAAAGAAAAGGGTTAGAGTCAGAGGGGAAGCAACAGATATGAAATATAGTGTAGAAATGAAGAAGGGGGGTGCAACTTATTTCTCATAATTAGTTATGTTTAAATAATAGACAAACAGAGAAGAAGTGAGATGAACAGGAATCAACCAACCTCAGTCTTATCTGAAATCCACAACGGGTGGCTTAATAAACACACACACAACAACAACAACAACACATAGATATAAAAATACATCATACTCAACAAGGAAACAGTCCAATATAGGAAAAAGTAGGGTTAAGAGGAAGGATAACACCAGATAGGAAACAGTTGTAAGCAAAACAAACTTCATCTTCAGAGAGTGAATTCTGAGGGGAAAATTAAAAGGAAAGGAAAGAAAGAATTGATAGGAACCATTGATGGGGTCTGATCAAGGGGAAAAGAAGAGGGTCAATGGAACCACAGTACATTGCCTCATATATAAACCACCAGTGATAATCCTATCCTTTCTCTTTCATCATGTTCTTTGTAAAATATGGGATAAGAGAGGAAACCCTAACTGGGGAAAAAAAATCTTTACACCATGTTTTTCTGATAAAGGCTTAATATCCAAGATATATAAGAAATTGATACAGATATATAGGAACAAGAACCATTCCCAAATTAATGAATGTCAAAGAATAAGAAAAGAGTTCTCAAAGTTAAGCAGAGGCACTGCTACATGAAAAAATACAAAAATCACTGCCCCCAACCCCAATTAATGTAACTGATTCTAATACCTTTATCAGGTGAGAATGCCTCTTGGGCTGAATTACAGGATCAATCAAATCAAATACGTAAACGGGCTTTGATAATTCCTAGCTGCTTCTATGGAATCAACCAATCAATCAATCACCAGTGTAAACCAGGTTGGAAGAGTGAATGCCATTGGATAAAATCCAATGAAGAAATATACCAAGATTATTTAAAGGAATCAAGCACCCCTCCAGGCCTAGACATATTCCAGCAGGAGCATTCTAGTAATGGCTTCAGAAGTTACGGTTTGAGAGCACTTTGTGGAGCCAGACCTTTCTGCAGATACTAGAAGGCAGCAAGGAATTATGGGGAGGGTGGGGGGTAGGTAGGAGATGAGTGTCCTCAGAGGAACATGAGCTCCAGTTCTACTCTATGAACTACCCATTAGACATTTCGAATTGGATGTCCTGTATGTATCTCAAACTCAACATGCTCTCCCCCAAACCCATCCCTCTTCTGAACTTTCCTCTTACTGTCAAGTGCACCACCATGCTTCCAGTCAAGAAGGTTTGCATCTCTAGTGTTATCCTGGACAATTTACTTTCACTCACACCCACCTAGGTTGTCAGTTGCCAGATCTTATTTTTCTATCTCCATAACACCTCTCCTAAACATCCCTTCCTCTCTATTCACATTGCCACCACCATAGTTTTGTTAGTCTTTTTCAGTCATGTCTGATTCTTCAAGACCTCATTTGGGTTCTTCTTGGAAAGAAACTGGAGTGATCTTGCCATTTTCTTCTTTAACTCACTGTACAGATGAGGCAAACAAGGTTAAGTGACTTGCCCAGGGTCACATAGCTAGGAAGTGTCTGAGGCCATTTTTAAACTCAGGAAGTGAGTCTTCCTGACTTTAGGCCTGGCACTCTATCCACTGTGCCACCTAGGTGCCCCATATAAAGGTTAGCTATTATTATTCTTGTTGTTATTATCACGACCTTTCTAGTCTTCTTACACACTATTCTTCTCCATGCATTGTGCTATCTAGTCATATGGCCCATATGGGTCTACTTGTTCTGCACAGTGACAGAATGAGGATTCTCCTGTTTACCCCCAAAAAAGAAATTAGTTTTCCCTAAAAGGCAACAAAGTTATTTCTGGGACTTGACTGGTCCCTGATTCCTTTGACAATTTCCTGGTTACCTAAGGGCATTAAAAAATCCAAGCACGTGGAATTGGGGCTCCTCCAACCTGGGGTTCTGAAGACCACCTGACTCAACAGCCTTGCTGACCAGACAAGATTACACATAGACAGGAAGTGGGCCTCACCCAGAAAAACTAAGTGCCACTGTATCCCTGTTGCGTTTCCTTGCTGGGTTAGCTCAAAGTAAACGTCCTTTTATTAACTGTTCAATGACTTGAGAGTGCCTCATTTTTGTCTCAACCTCAAATCTAAACCATAACAGTGCTAGTATTAGGACTGCCTCTACATGCACATACGACATTCACCTCTCATCTCTTTGCCTATGTACTGATAGTCCCCCATACCTGGAATGTACTTCCTCCTCATCTCCATCTTTTAGAAGCTCTGGTTTTCTTCAAGACTCAGCTGAAGTGCTACTTTCTAAATGAAGCTTTTCTTGATATCCCCAGCTACTAATTTACTCTGTCTCAAAGTTACCTGAACTGAATGTAATTCATTTGTATATATTATGTATACAGCTATATATTTGTCCACATACAACATACACACCCATTGTCTTCCCTGACAGAAAGTTAGCTCCTTGAGGTCAGGGTATTATTTTCCTTTTGTCTTTGTATCTCTAATGTTTAGCATTTAGTGCCTAAAATACAGTAAGTACTTAATAAATTGGAAATTAAAACAATTCTGAGGAAACACCTCACACCTATCAGATTAGCTAATATGCAAAAAAGAAAATGACAAATGTTGGAAAGGATGTGGGAAAACTGGAACACTAATGCTCCACTGGTGGAGCTGTGAACTGATCCAACCATTCTGAGATCAATTTAGAACCATGACCAAAGGGCTATAAAATCATGCATACCCTTTAACCCAACAAAACCACTGCTATGTCTGTACATCAAAGATATTAAAAGGGGGGAGAGAAGACCTATTTGTATAAAAATATTTATAGCAGCTTTTTTTGTGGTGGCTAAGAATTGGAAATCAAGTGGAATGCCCATCAACTGGGGGATGGCTGAACAAGCTGTGGTATATGTTGTGATGGAATATTATTTGCTATAAGAAATGACAAGCAGGATAATTTCAGAAAAACCTGGAAAGACTTACATGACCTGATGCAAAGTGAAATGAGCAGAACCAGGAGAACTTTGAACACAGTAATAGCAATATTGTATGATGATCAA